AGGTTGACTCGGCATTAAAATGATTATCAGCTGGTGTGGTGGTTGGGAATTCCAAAGGTGCCCCGATCTCCTCGAATCTCAGAAGCCAAAACCAATTTGAGCCTGGGCAGTGATCGGATTGGGATAATCGCCGTGCTTAACAAACATTTTTTTTAATTTAAAGCTTTCGTGACTGCAGGGATCCATATTATTGGTTCTTTTGGTAAAGTCACGTAGAAGGGAAATAATATATACAAATGGTACTAAACTATATTTGAAAAAAGTGGCACTTTTTTCAAAATGTTCTTGCTGTGGTTTTTTCACACCTGACGATGATTGCTTGTGTTGCAATCGAAACGTCGTGAGAATTTGATTGTTTTCTTTTTATTATTTTATTATTTCCCTTCTACGTGACTTTACCGAAAGAACCAAGAATATGAACTAAACATTTTTTTTTTACCAGGCCAAGGTCCCACTGACCTCTATGGCTCTCTGTTTCAGAAGCGGACCTGGCCATCACAAATGATAGCTCAACGAAGTGGCTTACCACGTGGAAATGTATAGCAGCAGACAAATGCCCTTTCGCGGGTGCTATAGCCATGGGCATTAAAACTCGGTGATATAAAGGCAGTTTGGACGTGCGCACGTTTAGAGTATTTTTCTGCAATTAATTTACACGTGATAAGCCAATTCGTTGAGCTATTGCTTGTGATGGCCAGGTGGCTTCTGAAAAATATGCTAATAGCTCAGTGGGCGTTACCTGGTTGGATAAACATAAAATAATGAATTGATAAAATAAAATAACACAATAATATTCTCACGACGTTTCGGCCACAACACAAGCGGCTTTCAGACAGTCTCGTCCCTTCACCTGATGAAGGCCGCTTGTGTTGTGGCCGAAACGTCGTGAGAATATTATTGTGTTATTTCATTTTATCAATTTATTATTTTATTCTCATTCTACGTGACTTTACCGAAATAACCAAAGAAGATGAATCCTTGCAGTCACGAAAGCTTTAAATCGAAAAATGGATAAACATAGTTTAGTATCATTTGTATATATTTTTTCAAAGTGATTTGTTCCACTTCCCTATGCTTTGCGCTCCTATCGTTTATTTTTTGTAACGTTCTGACCCACCCCCTAGTGGACATCTGTGAAACAAGAGCTTTATAGCTCATCGTGATTCCCCCATTTAGAGTATTACAATTCAGATTGTGTGTGGCTTACAGGCTTCGTAAACACCGGTGTACGTAAACGCGTGTCCCGTGCAGACTTAATAGGCGCTCGCAGATAGCGCCTCCCTGCCCTGTACGTACGAGCAGAGCCCCCTCCTCGTGCCAATTCCACTGCTGATGAGAGACTCATTCCCCCATGCCGTGCGGGTCGCGAGGGAAGCTTGACCATCAGTGCCGGATGAAGCTCGTGCGGGGCCTGTAGCATGATGTTATAAAGGGGCCATAAATAAATAGCATTGATATTAAAACACACATGTTTTTTACTTGCACAGTAAAGTAATTGTATTTTTTCTCATTTTCTATACAGCCAGATAATACGACAAATCGCTAACCTTAAACACCCAGTCGTACGTAAAGGTTAAAGGCGGTATAGTACTGTAGTGATAGAGCAAGTGCAGAATCACTGAAACCGGAATCGGTGTCTTGAAAGCATTCAGCGCGGGGCCCTTAAAAGTGCGGGGACCGTAGCTACTACTACGATAATCACCATACTTCACCACGTCCGTCAGTTGCCGCTTGCATATGCGTAAGGAGCTTAGAAGTACGGTACAACGACGGATTCTGTTTGCGACGCTTCACTGCAACTTCGCCACTCTGGTCAGCGGGCGGCGGAATCGGGAGGGCAATGTGCACGGACGTGGAAGCATAGAAGTGCGTGACAACCACTTTGCTTTGCTGTCATCTCACGCACGTGGAGGAGGAGGGGGGCGGGCACAGCGCCGGCTCATTTGCATAAACTTAGTAGTCCTCAGCGCTCGCCTGGAGGTCACCCCGCCTGCAGTGACACATTTATAGTCGTCCAGCGCACTCGCCTGAAGGATCCCGCACCACGACAGTACAGTACTTGCTGTACTTGCTGTGCGGCGTGTACGTTGAACTTCTTTCGCGCCGTACGTAGCCAACCGTGCTAAATGTGGAGGTGCAGTGTTGAGTCTATGGGTAGTGTTAGTGCATGGGTAGTGTTAGTCTGTGTGAAGTGTTAGTCTATGTGTAGTGTTAGTTCTAGATTTAAAGCTTTCGTGACTGCTAGGATCCATACTCTTTGGTTCTATTGGGTAAAGTCACGTAGGTGAAAATAAAATAACAAAAAAATCACGACGTTTCGGCCACAACACAAGCGGCCTTCATCAGGTGAAGGGACGAGACTGTCTGGAGGACAGCGCTGTCCTCCAGACACTTCAATGCCCATATGCATTTCGGACATTATATATTAACGGTTTAAACGTTGAGTTTTATAAGGGCACCACGGGGTGACCAGCTCCTCCCCACCCAGCCCCTCCCCACCCATCCCCTCCCCACCCGGCCCCTCCCCACCCAGCCCCACCCCTCCCTCCCCTCTCCACCCAGCCCCACCCCTCCCATTTTTGGATGCACGACGTACGGACGGACACAATAATCCCCTGTGGGCTGGTGTAACCAGGAGGTTCCTACCAGTAAAACACTTTCTATGTACGATTGCGTGACTAGAGCCACATGCAATGAAGCTGCCCCGCCTGAATGTCGTCGACTCGAGTTTGCGATTTAAACATTCAAAGATCGCGGACAGTATCACATTTATTGTTTCACCAGGTGAGCGAGACGCTCAAAGCTACTGGATAGTCTCATTTGCATCTGTAACAAAAAGAGCGTTCTAGCTCATGGGATTGCTCCAGTATAAATATTCTGAGTGAGTTGAGTGATTGAGACGGTGTGAGCTAGTGGTTTTAAATGAAACGATGGGGTTAAAGTTGATTTCTGCTCAACCAGGATAGTCTCACTTGGGGTCATCGACATAACAAAAGCAAAATCAAATAAAACAGCCAGAACGCGCATTGATATTGAGAGCGAAAAAAGACCAGCTGCCGTCGCACGAGAAGTCAAAAAAATATTGCACGAAACAAATAAATGTTAAAATACATTATCCCTGGAGCGTAAGTTGTCTCCGGCAAATCGTCTTCGTACACATTCCACGTAACTGTTCTGCCCGTCTTATAATTTTCTAATAAGGGGGTCCGAGAGGCGACAGCCACAAATCTGGCTATCACCTGATGAAGCTGGTTGTAATTACTGGTGAAACGTCGTGCTCAAGATTGTAAACGTTGTGGCTTGGCTCTCCAGCACACCGGTTAGTGCTGCACTAGTGACGAATTGGCCACGTTCTGTTCACGTGACAAACCTTACTAGTTGGCTGTGTCGGGTGGTGGCGGATTTAACGGCATATTTACACGATCTAACCCAAAAAAAACCCTCTATTATGGTCACCTATAACTAAGCAGACAATTTCGCCCCTTTCACAAATCTGTTCTTCCAAATGAATAAAAAGGAAACCCCACCACAATTATACACATCCCATCAGCCTGTATGACAGCCATTCCTTAGGGAGAGCAACAAACATATCTCGTTTAACATATAGACTTTCGCGACCAATATCAGTAATACAGTTGTTTTGTATGGGTTAGATACCACGTTCTGCTTCTTCCCTCGCATTGCTCGACTTTGGAATCCCCTTCTCGTATCCCCCCCCCCCCCCCAAAGCACTATATATGTAGTGACTGACTCGGAGACACGAAGAGTAGGAGGCACCGTGTTTATTAACACGGCCTGACAGTTGACACTTAGTGACTACGGTTCCCAGTCAGGACAGCTGGTAGACTGCCTGACTGGCGCCGTCGAGACGGTGAAGACTCCAGCAGCAGCGCGACGGTGACCCCACTCCACACGACAGCCCCGAGGTCCCCTCCCGGGGCCCCTCTTATACCGTCAGCGTGGCCTGGCTCCGCCCCCGGCCACGCCCCCTTTCTGAGGTTATGGTTGAGTGGCGATGGTTGGGAAGTAGAGGTTATGGTTGAGTGGCGATGGTTGGGGGTTAGAGGTTATGGTTGAGTGGCGATGGTTGGGGGTTAGAGGTTATGGTTGAGTGGCGATGGTTGGGGGTTAGAGGTTATGGTTGAGTGGCGATGGTTGGGGGTTAGAGGTTATGGTTGAGTGACGATAGTTGGGGGTTAGAGGTTATGGTTGAATGGCGATGGTTGGGGGTTAGAGGTTATGGTTGAGTGGCGATGGTTGGGGGTTAGAGGTGAGGGTTCACGGTGGGGTCCGAGTGCTCTTGCTCCACATCTGCGTAGCTCATCCTAATCCACGTGGGTTTTGTAGTCGCCCACGGCGTTCGCCTGAATAACTAATGCAACGCTTATAAATACACCTTTAAATACACCTTTAAAAAATCTCAATCAAAGTAACTGTACAACGGTTGAACTTAAAATTATTTTAAACTTCATTTTTTTGGTGAATATAAATTTAAAAAACCAAAGTGCACTCTTACCGGCTAATTTGCATATTATAATCTTAGTCATTCACGGACCCCGGGGCGTGCCCGAAATCGATGTTAGTAGTCCAGCGCGTTCGCCTGAAGGACCCGCGACAGACGCTGAAATCCACGTTAGTAGTCAAGCGCGATCGCCCGAAGGACCCACCCAATTCATTGTAAAATAAAATAATAATGAAATAATAAAATATATAATTAAACTCTGTACACTAACAAACAATATAGGAATAAAATCACACGAATAAAATCACATGAAAATAATAATAAAAAAATATATACAACGATAAAAATAAAATAACAAAAAGGAAATAATAGAAAATACAATGCTGAAAATAAAATAACAAAAAACGAAACAATATAAAATACAATGATGAAAACAAAACCATCAAAACAAAACAACAGAAGATACAATGATGAAAATAAAAATAATACAAATTAAATAATAATAAAGAGTTGCGTAGGACCTCAACTCCCAACCAGGCGCCCCACCCCGCCCCCCCACCTCCTTCACCCGCAGCACGCGGCCACCGCCACCTTTACCCCTCCACGCCGCCGCCGCCGTCCGTCCGTCGCCTTCCGCCGCGTGTCTCAAGCGGGCGACAAAAATTCGATCGATCGACTGAGCCGCCAACCCGGTGTACGATGCTGGGAGACGCGGGCGACGTGCTCGAGGGGCTGTGCAAGGGCGCCGTGCCCGCGGGGCTGCTGCTCGTGCTCCTGCCCGCCGCCGCGCTGCTGCTGCTGTCGCGCGCGGCCCCGGCCCAGGCGGCGCACGAGTTCCCGGCCATGCGGGCCGCGCAGTTCGACATCCACGGGCAGCAGCACGGTGCGGGGGCAGGGAGGGGGGGGCAGGGAGGGGGGGGGGGGGCAGGGAGGGGGGGGGCAGGGAGGGGGGGGGCAGGGAGGGGGGTGACAGCCGGGTGTGCCAGCCGGGTGTGCAGGGGCAATCACAGTGAGTGGCATCATCAAATCAGAGTGGGTGGTGGTGGTGGTGGTGGCAGGCAGCAACACTTTGGGGGGGGGGCAGTGACAAAGAAGGGGGGTGGGGGGTGGGGTAGCGCAGTTGGGGGGGGGGCGAGTTGGGGGGGGCAGCGTGTAGACTGTAAAGAGAGTTGGGGGGGGGGGGCGCAAAGGGAGTGGAGGGGTGGGCACGGGTTAGCACGGTTGGCTACGTACGGTGCGAAAGAAGTTCAACATACACATGGTGGACAGAGCGAAGAGACGGGGGGTGGGGTGACCAGCAGGGAGGGCAGCAGTTGATGGGAGACGTCACGCGGACACGTGGGGTGGTGATGGGGGAGGGGAAGAGAGGACAGCAAGGTGGTGGTGGGTGGGGGGGCAGAGAGGGGACAGCAAGGTGGTGGTGGTGGTGGGGGGGGACAGCAAGGTGTTGGTGGGTGGGGGGCAGAGAGAGGACAGCAAGGTGGTGGTGGGGGGGGGCAGAGAGAGGACAGCAAGGTGGTGGTGGTGGTGGGGGGGGACAGCAAGGTGTTGATGGGTGGGTGGGGGGCAGAGAGGGGACAGCAAGGTGGTGGTGGTGGGTGGGGGGCAGAGGGGGGACAGCAAGGTGGTGATGGTGGGTGGGGGGGCAGAGAGGGGACAGCAAGGTGGTGGGGGGGGGGGCAGAGAGGGGACAGCAAAGGCCACAGCATTGTGGGCTTGAAACAGCAGCAGCAGCAGCAGGGACACTGACAGCCAAGGTGGTGATAGTTGAGAGTAAGGTAGCAGCCAGCCAGGGATGATGGCTGGGGCATGGGGGGAGAGGAGACGAGGAATCCCGCATCAGGCAAGAAAGGTGGGCGGGGGGTGGTGCAGATGAAAGGAACAGCAGGGGGCGGGGGGGGTGGAGATTGGGGGACAGATTTGGGGGTGGCATCCGAGAGACAAAAATAGGCAGATGTGGGTCGGGGAAGAAACACAAATCAGGGAGACACCACAGCGTGACGAGTAGGACTTGGGCAGAACACGCCGGGCTGATGGTGCTGGTGGTGATGGTGGTGATGATGGTGGTGATGATGATGATGGTGGTGATGGTGGTGATGGTGATGATGATGGTGGTGGTGATGATGATGATGGTGGTGGTGATGGTGGTGATGATGGTGGTGATGGTGGTGATGATGGTGGTGGTGGTGGTGATGGTGGTGATGATGATGGTGATGATGATGGTGGGTGATGATGATGATGGTGGTGATGATGATGGTGGTGGTGGTGATGATGGTGGTGATGATGATGGTGGGTGATGATGATGATGGTGGTGATGATGATGGTGGTGGTAATGGCCGAGGATCGGTGGGGGAATGGCAGCCAAAGCAGGTGAACTCGTTCCAGAGGGTTTCGTCCACTGCGGAGATGGAGCGGTGAGATCGGTGAATTCGCAGGGGCGAGGTCGCGACTGCGTTGGGAGGGGGCATTCATCCAGCAGTGGATGGACCATGGCTGATGATGAAAATGGGAAGGGGGAGAGGCATTGGTGAAGATCAGGGTTCTCGTTCAGCTGGCTGAGCTCCGGAAAATATCCCTTGAGGAATTTAAGCCCTTGGGGGGGGGAGACGCAGGAACACGTGACACAGCAGAAGCTGGGGGGGCAGCAGAGAGACGAGATACAGCATCGTGGTGCAGCAGTGAGATGGGGGGGGATGGGGGGGAGACAGTGGTGGAGACACAGCGAGATGGGAGGGAGAGACGCCAGTGGAGTTACTCGGAGACAGGAGGGCAGTAGACACGAGAGAAGATGGCGATATGTAGAGGACAACAGAGGGCACGTGTGTGTAATGTCTTGGTGTGTGTGTGTAATGTCTAGTGTGTGTGTAATGTCTAGTGTGTGTGTAATGTCTAGTGTGTGTGTGTAATGTCTAGTGTGTGTGTATAATGTCTTAGTATGTGTAATGTCTTAGTATGTGTAATGTCTTAGTGTGTGTGTGTGTAATGTCTAGTGTGTGTGTGTGTGTAATGTCTTAGTATGTGTAATGTCTTAGTGTGTGTAATGTCTTGGTGTGTAATGTCTTAGTGTGTGTGTGTGTGTGTAATGTATAGTGTGTGTGTGTAATGTCTTAGGGTGTGTGTGTAATGTCTTGGTGTGTGTGTAATATCTTAGTGTGTGTGTGTAATGTCTTAGTGTGTGTGTGTGTGTAATGTCTTAGTGTGTGTGTGTAATGTCTAGTGTGTGTGAAATGTCTTGGTGTGTGTGTAATGTCTTGGTGTGTGTGTAATGTCTTAGTGTGTGTGTAATGTCTTAGTGTGTGTGTAATGTATTAGTGTGTGTGTAATGTCTAGTGTGTGTGTAATGTATTAGTGTGTGTGTGTAATGTCTAGTGTGTGTGTAATGTCTTAGTGTGTGTGTGTGTGTAATGTCTAGTGTGTGTGTGTAATGTCTAGTGTGTGTGTGTAATGTCTAGTGTGTGTGTAATGTCTAGTGTGTGTGTGTAATGTCTAGTGTGTGTGTGTAATGTCTAGTGTGGGTGTAATGTCTAGTGTGTGTGTGTGTAATGTCTTAGTGTCTGTGTGTAATGTCTAGTGTGTGTGTTTAATGTCTAGTGTGTGTGTAATGTCTTAGTGTGTGTGTGTGTAATGTCTAGTGTGTGTGTGTAATGTCTAGTGTGTGTGTGTAATGTCTTAGTGTGTGTGTAATGTCTAGTGTGTGTGTGTAATGTCTAGTGTGGGTGTAATGTCTAGTGTGTGTGTGTGTAATGTCTTGGTGTGTGTGTGTGTAATGTCTAGTGTGTGTGTGTAATGTCTTAGTGTGTGTGTAATGTCTAGTGTGTGTGTGTAATGTCTTAGTGTGTGTGTGTGTAATGTCTAGTGTGTGTGTGTAATGTCTTAGTGTGTGTGTAATGTCTAGTGTGTGTGTGTGTAATGTCTTAGTGTGTGTGTAATGTCTTAGTGTGTGTGTAATGTCTTCGTGTGTGTAATATCTAGTGTGTGTGTGTGTAATGTCTAGTGTGTGTGTGTAATGTCTTAGTGTGTGTGTAATGTCTAGTGTGTGTGTGTGTAATGTCTTAGTGTGTGTGTAATGTCTTAGTGTGTGTGTGTAATGTCTAGTGTGTGTGTGTGTGTAATGTCTAGTGTGTGTGTAATGTCTAGTGTATGTGTGTAATGTCTAGTGTGTGTGTGTAATGTCTAGTGTGTGTGTGTAATGTCTAGTGTGGGTGTAATGTCTAGTGTGTGTGTGTGTAATGTCTTAGTGTCTGTGTGTAATGTCTAGTGTGTGTGTTTAATGTCTAGTGTGTGTGTAATGTCTTAGTGTGTGTGTGTGTGTAATGTCTAGTGTGTGTGTGTAATGTCTAGTGTGTGTGTGTAATGTCTTAGTGTGTGTGTAATGTCTAGTGTGTGTGTGTAATGTCTAGTGTGGGTGTAATGTCTAGTGTGTGTGTGTGTAATGTCTTGGTGTGTGTGTGTGTAATGTCTAGTGTGTGTGTGTAATGTCTTAGTGTGTGTGTAATGTCTAGTGTGTGTGTGTAATGTCTTAGTGTGTGTGTGTGTGTGTAATGTCTAGTATGTGTGTGTGTGTAATGTCTTAGTGTGGGTGTAATGTCTTCGTGTGTGTAATGTCTAGTGTGTGTGTGTGTAATGTCGAGTGTGTGTGTGTAATGTCTTAGTGTGTGTGTAATGTCGAGTGTGTGTGTGTAATGTCTTAGTGTGTGTGTAATGTCTAGTGTGTGTGTGTGTAATGTCTTAGTGTGTGTGTAATGTCTTAGTGTGTGTGTGTAATGTCTAGTGTGTGTGTGTGTGTAATGTCTAGTGTGTGTGTAATGTCTAGTGTATGTGTGTAATGTCTTAGTGTGTGTGTGATGTCTTAGTGTGTGTGTGTAATGTCTAGCGTGTGTGTAATATCTAGCGTTGGTGTAATGTCTTCGTGTGTGTGTAATGTCTTAGTGTGTGTTTTTAATGTCTAGTGTGTGTGTGTGTGTAATGTCTAGTATGTGTGTGTGTGTAATGTCTAGTGTGTGTGTGTAATGTCTTGTGTGTGTAATGTCTAGTGTGTGGGTGTAATGTCTAGTGTGGGTGTAATGTCTAGTGTGTGTGTGTAATGTCTAGTGTGTGTGTGTAATGTCTAATGTGTGTGTGTAATGTCTAGTGTGTGTGTGTAATGTCTTTGTGTGTAATGTATAGTGTGTGTGTGTGTAATGTCTAGTGTGGGTGTGCTGTGTTAGCGTGTGTGTGTGTAATGTCTAGTGTGTGTGTGTAATGTCTAGTGTGTGTGTGTGTAATGTCTAGTGTGTAATGTCTGGTGTGGGTGTACTGTCTGTGTAATGTCTAGTGTGTGTGTAATGTCTAGTGTGGGTGTAATGTCTTTGTGTGTGTAATGCCTAGTGTGTGTGTGTAATGTCTAGTGTGTGTGTAATGTCTAGTGTGTGTGTGTAATGCCTAGTGTGTGTGTGTAATGCCTAGTGTGTGTGTGTAATGTCTAGTGTGTGTGTGTAATGTCTAGTGTGTGTGTGTAATGTCTAGTGTGTGTGTGTAATGTCTAATGTGTGTGTGTAATGTCTAGTGTGTGTGTGTAATGTCTTAGTGTGTGTGTAATGTATAGTGTGTGTGTGTGTAATGTCTAGTGTGGGTGTGCTGTGTTAGCGTGTGTGTGTGTAATGTCTAGTGTGTGTGTGTAATGTCTAGTGTGTGTGTGTGTAATGTCTAGTGTGTGTGTGTGTAATGTCTAGTGTGTGTGTGTAATGTCTAGTGTGTGTGTGTAATGTCTAGTATGTGTGTGTGTAATGTCTTAGTGTGTGTGTGTGTAATGTCTTAGTGTGTGTGTGTAATGTCTTAGTGTGTGTGTGTAATATCTAGTGTGTGTGTAATGTCTAGCATGCGTGTGTGTGTAATGTCTAGTATGTGTGTGTGTAATGTCTAGCATGTGTGTGTGTAATGTAATGTCTAGCATGTGTGTGTGTAATGTAATGTCTAGTGTGTGTGTAATGTCTAGTGTGTGTGTAATGTCTTAGTGTGTGTGTGTAATGTAATGTCTTAGTGTGTGTGTGTAATGTAATGTCTTGGTGTGTGTGATGTCTAAGTATGTGTAATGTCTTAGTGTGTGTGTGTAATGTCTTAGTGCGTGTGTGTAATGTCGTGTGTGTATAATGTCTAGTGTGTGTGTGTGTAATGTCTAGTGTGTGTATGTGTAATGTCTTAGTGTGTGTGTGTAATGCCTTAGTGTGTGTGTATTGTCTTAGTGTGTGTGTGTAATATCTTAGTGTGTGTGTGTAATGTCTTAGTGTGTGTGTAATGTCTAGTGTGTGTGTGTAATGTCTTGGTGTGTGTGTGTAATGTCTAGTGTGTGTGTGTAATGTCTTAGTGTGTGTAATGTCTAGTGTGTGTGTGTAATGTCTTAGTGTGTGTGTGTAATGTCTTAGTGTCTGTGTGTGTGTAATGTCTTAGTGTGTGTGTGTAATATCTTAGTGTGTGTGTGTGTAATATCTTAGTGTGTGTGTGTAATGTCTAGTGTGTGTGTGTAATGTCTAGTATGTGTGTGTAATGTCTTAGTGTGTGTGTGTAATGTCTTAGTGTGTGTGTGTAATGTCTTATTGTGTGTGTGTGTAATGTCTACTGTGTGTCTAATGTCTTAGTGTGTATATGTAATGTCTAGTGTGTGTAATGTCTTAGTGTGTGGGTGTAATGTCTTAGCGTGTGTGTGGGTGTAATGTCTTAATGTGTGTGTGTAATGTATGTGGGGAGCGGTGGCGCAATGGTTAGCGCACTGAACTCTGAACCCAGCTATCCGAGTTGCAACAGCTAACGTCTGCAGCACTGACCAGCGTGGTGAAGTATGGTCAGTCAACCCCTTTGACAGACGTGGCTTTGTCAGGGCTTCATCCAGCAGTGGATTAAAAAGGGACTATCCACATTGTTACTTTCACGCTGTATGATTATGCGCCGAGTATTTACTTCCAGTTGATGTGTAGTACATTCTTAGAGTGGTTACGTACGTGTAAACATCGCCACTGGGGAGACAAAGGCGGCCAGGCACGGTGTTGGCCACCCGCTCCATGTGTGCCGTCTTTGCTTTAATAGGTGCTCGCTAACAGCACTTGCCCAAGCAGTTTGTGGGGTATCTGTCGTTGTCATAATGTGTGTGTATCCTATATATCACGTGTGTTACTTTTGTGTCTTTGTCATATGTCTCTGTTGAGGTGTTACTGTGTGTGTGTCTTATCCTTGACGTACTCGTTCCTGCAGTGTGTGCGTGTTAGTATGTTTATCTCTAAGAGTGATTTTGTATGTGTGGCGTATGTGTGTGTTTTTGTCTTTCCGTGCGTGCGTGTATGTATATGTGGTCGACTCAAACGAGTGCCTGGTGCGGTTGTGCAAACATCGCGGCCTGGCGCCGCGCTGGCCACGCGACCCCGTCGTGGACCCTGCCCGGCCTTCATAGGGCTCAACTCGCAAACAGCACTTGCCCTCGCCCAACGGTGCGTCGAGGCTGCATGGGGTGACCTTTGTCTCTGTGGCCGCGCAGGCTCGCGGAACGCGATCGTGAACGCTGAGGCGCGCTCGGGCGACGCCGACGGGCTGTCCCGCCGCTGCGTGCTGCTGCGCCTCTCGGAGCTGTCGCTGCACACGCTGCGACACGCGCTCGCGCAAGCCGCGGCCGCCATCGTCATCCTGCTGCCGCCCGACCTCGGCAGCCTCCCCGGCGATGCGCTCGAGGTGCGCTGCGCTAGCTCGCTCGCCCACCAGCTCGCCCGCCCGCCCGCTCGCTCGCCCACCAGCTCGCCCGCCCGCCCGCTCGCTCGCCCACCAGCTCGCCCGCCAGCTCGCCCGCCCGCCCGCCCGCTCGCTCGCACGCCAGCTCGCCCGCCCGCCCGCTCGCTCGCACGCCAGCTCACCCGCCCGCTAGCTCACCCGCCCGCTATCCTGCCCGCTAGCTCGCCCGCCCGCTCGCTCGCCTGCCAGCTCACCCGCCAGCTAACCCGCGCGCCCGCCAGCTTGCACGCTCGCTCACCCGTTCACTTGCTTACCCACTCACTTGCGCGCTGCCTCACATATTCGCCTGCTCGCTCGCTTGCTCACCCGCTAGCTCAACCGCTCGCTCAGCCGCCCATTTGCTCATCCACACACTCACCCGCTCACCCGCTTGCTCAACCGTTGGCACGCTTGCTCACCCGCTCACTCAGCAGCTCACTCAACCGCTCACTCGCCCAATCCCCTCGCTCATTAACTCCCCCGCTCCGCTCATTTTCTAACTATCCACTCGTCCATCCGGGTACTGGCAGGCGAATGCCCATCGCTGAACCACAGTCGCCTTACACAGCACGGGGGACATGTTTGCTGCTGTGTACAATCCCGATGAGATAATTTGCGCTGCAAGTTTGGCACATCCAGACCACGATGCCGGTGGCACACAATGGTCTGCTCTTGCAAATGACGCCACGGCATCTTGAACATCCACTGTGAGTGACACGGACGGTGCGTGGTATTGTCATCACGGGCTAATACACACACCGCCACACCGCAATGATGATTATTAAGCAGGGCGGCCGCTATATTCGAACCGCGAACCTCTGCAAAGAGCGGCGAACGCGCCACCGTTGGGCCGCCGCGGCACCTCCCAAGTGGGGGATCTGCGTGCATGCGTGCGTGCGTGCGTGTGTGTGCACGTGTGCGCGTGTGTGTGTGATGTGCGTTCAACTTCTTTCGCAGCGTACGAATGCAAATTAATTCGCTCGCCCCCCCCCTCGCTCCCTGCCCCCCCCTCGCCCCCCGCCCCCTACTTCCCCCCCCCCCCCCCCCCCCCCCGTGTGGCACAGCGGCTGCGGGAGGTGGAGCCGGAGCTGCTGATGATGGAGACGGCAGTGCCGGTGTACCTGGCGCAGGAGGACGAGGAGCTCCTCTCCATCCACGAGCAGCTCCACGCCGCCTCCACCGCCCTGCAGCACGCCTCCGCCGCGCAGGGTAAGCGCTGGGCTAGGTGCGTGCACGCTGGGGGTACGCGCCAGGCTAGGTGCACGCACACAAGGGGGTGCACGCGCCGGGCTTGTGCACACGCGCAGGGTGCTCGCACTCGGGGTATGTGCCAGGCTAGGTGCACAGCCAAAATCAAGCGTTCGTCAGTTTTTATTATTCTGCTAGTTTATTCGGGGAAGCCGCACTGTGTCCCATGACTCCTTATCTGGAGGCCTCTACCCAGGTTTCACAGTGTAGGGTGTGCTGGTTTCTATGTAGATTCCAAATGAGTGATTGAAAATGTTTGAATCTTAATCGATAACCTCGCCGATTCAACCAATCACCGAACCATTCTGCGACTCACACCAGCGTGTATGGCACGTGAGGAAGTGGCATTGTCGGCACCATACCTGATGTTTTCACTGTACCACGTACTCATTTAGGGCCGAGTCATCGTAAGGGTGGCCCAGGATTGGTCCATTGGCTATGAGCAGGAATCTAACTCGTAATGCAGTCCACTAGCCACTGCACTACCACTCCCCACACACACAGAGACAAGACAAAGATCCCCCGTATAGCCTTAACAGACTGTTGGGGCAAGTGCTGTTAACGAGGGGTGGGTGGCCAGCACCACGCCCGGCCGCCTTTGTCTCCCCAGGGACGATGCTAACCCACCACACCAGTTACTCATTTGAGGTTATCTAGGTGAGGCCCAGGACCTGTTCAGATAATCGTCACTGGTGTTGACCATGAGCTGGAATTGAACTCTGGCCGCCGGGCTTGTAGCGCAGCGCACTCACCACTGTACTACCATTCCCCACACACTCCTAACCCTACCCTCTCCGTGTGCCCCCTCCCCGTGTAGTCATGCTGAGCACGGCGACAGCCAACGGCTTCCAGATGGTGGCAAGCGGAGGCCAAAGCAAGGCCCTTCCAGACTGGCCAATCGCCAGCATCGAGGTGCCCGATTAAGACGCCATATTGCCGCCCCCCCCCCCCTCCAAAACAAAGCACAGTAGTGGTGATGATAGTGCTGGTGGTGACTGCTGGCAGTGCTGGTAAGGGTTTTGCTGATAGTGGCGGTGCTGGTGGTGGAGGTGGTTTTGCTGCTGGTGGAGGTGGTGGTGAATGGTGACAGCGGTGATGACTGCGGGTGGTGGATCTCATGCTGGTTATGGCGACAGCGGCGGTGATGCTGCCGATGCTGGTGATGGTGGAATTGGTGCTGCTGCTGACGTAGGTGGTTGTGGCGGTTGTTGTGGCGCAGGGCCGGCTGCCTGGTATGGGGGGAGACGATTTGCCGACCATCGTGATTGTGGCTCATTACGACTCGCTGGGACTCGCTCCGGTCAGTCTCTCCGCACCTCTTCATGCGTCTCACCGCACCCCGTCAGTTTGCTCGCAAGGAAAGGAACAGAATATTCAAATATTGTTTTCAAAAATTCTGTTGAAATATTGAACATTTTTCCCCATTGTGTTTGGATCCCAATATGAAGAAATTTCCATTTGGAACGAGTGGGGACGGCTACGGTCATCCTTGTAACAGAGCTGCTGAGGCACAATGGGGCATCACCAGCTGAAATAATATAAAGTCTGAGAGAAGGGACACTGAAGATGACATTTACGGAACTTCTTTTGAAATGGGCGCGCGTGTGTGTGTGAACACTGCTCGACGACCCCGGGAGATCTGTGTCGGTTCCCGCTCACAGCCTCAACATCGGGGGAAAATATCTGAGCTGGTGCTTGGCCTCCGGTAGCTTGACTTGGCCTTAAATGAGCACCTGCTACAGTGTGCACGAAACATCGGCACTGGGGAGGCTTCCGCGCGAGGTGCTGGTCACACGACCCCCGTCGTGCCGGCCTTAATAGCTGCTGCTCGCTTGAAGCCTTTCCCCAACATTCTGTTAAGGTCGACGGGATGGGAGGGGGACGGGGGGGGGGTGTGTGTGGTGACCTTTGTCTTTGTGCGCAGTGGCTGTCATTTGGCGCGGACTCCAACGGGAGCGGAGTGGCGGCGCTGCTGGAGTTGGCGCGGCTCTTCTCCAAGCTCTACACACACAAGCGCACGCACGCCGCGTGGGTTCACGCACGCGCGGGGCCCACAGTCACGTACACAGATGACAAAGATCCCCCGTGTAGTCTCACCTATGAAGGCCGGTGCGGTACATGACGGGGTGGGTGGCCAGCCTCACGCCCGGCCGCCTTTTGTCTCTTCCAGGGGTGATGAGGACAAACCTCACCAAGTGCTATTTTAAGGCCGAGTCAACCTTGGAGAGGCCCAGGAATGGTTCAGATATTTTCCAGTGATGTAGGTCGTGAATGAGAAACGATCTTGGGTTGCTGGATTTGTAGCGCAGTGTGCTAACCACTGCTCCACCGCTCCACCCAGACAGACACGCACAGATGCACACGCGCACCCACCCACTACTCTACCTTTAAGAGTAACCACTCGCTTCACATTAAAGGTTGTCGGCCCAACCCATGCCTCTAGGTACAACCTCCTGTTCTTCCTGTCGGGCGGCGGGAAGTTCGGATACCAGGGAACCAAGCGCTGGCTCGAGGACAACCTAGACCACACGGGTAAGATGATCCTCGCCGGTGTTGGCCACGAGCGGGAATTGAACTCGGGTCGCTGGGGTTCGTGGCGCAGCGCGCTAACCACTGCGTTGCCGCTGCGCGCTTAAAAAAATATAGTAGTCGACTCTCGACTATCCACGCTAATGACAGAGAGGACGGCCGCAGATAATTCAAAATCGCGGATAATCCAAAAATGTGACCATTTTCCGTGGATCTCTGTGCCAAAAACAAACGATCGACCGACCAATGCGCGTGCATTGATAACAATTTCCTGCGCCTGCCCAGCAGAAGACTCGGGCCACTAAGTGGATGACAGCAGAGCCATGCCAATTAACATCAATCAAACTCCGCCCCACTGTTGTAAAGATATTGCAACCACTTTACTGTCACGGCAATCACATGGATCTCGAATTAACCGGAGCGCATATTTGTTCGGTTTAAACACGTGACTTGTAATAAACATTTCCAAGAATACCAATGTGTAACTCTTAGATTATCAATTTAGACTTAAGGAAAAATCACTGAGTTATTAATTCATGGCAAAATCTTCGGTGTGCGGTTAATCCGCACATCGGATAAACTGTACGCGGATAATCGAGAGTCTACTGTGGCTGAATTGATAGTTCAATAAAATGATCAGTTTAACACACAGGCTTTCGGGACCAATATTATCCATTTTAGAGGTTTTTTTGGGGTTAGATTGCGTAAATATAAATGTATCGTAAACCTACAACATTTACAATTCGGATAAGTCTTGTGGGTTTGCTCTCCAACACACCGGTGTGCTGAATTAGTAACGGATTGGCACGTTTTGTTTACGTGTCGGGCAGTGGCAGGTTTAACGACATATTACGCGATCTAACCTCAAAAAAACCTCTCATGCATGATCAAATTATCGATTGGGGGGCAGCTACTGTGTGTGGCCATCGGCCGCGGTGACCGGTTGGGGTGTCCGTGGCGACGCAGATGCGAGCTGGCTACAGGACAGCGTGGCGTTCGTGCTGTGCCTCGACACGCTGGGCAGCGGGGATAGCCTCCACCTGCACGTGTCGAAGCCCCCCAAGGAGGGCACCCCCCCCTACGCCTTCCTCAAGGAGCTCGAATACGTGAGGCCCCTTCACTCGCTCAAACTCCCGTCTGTCTGTCTGTCTCGCTCGCTCTCCAGCTCGTCCCGCTTACTCGCGCTCCCGTCTGTCTGTCTGTCTCGCACGCTCGCTCCTCAGCTTGTTCACTCGCACCCGGGTGTCTGTTTCGCTCGCTCGCTCGCCCGCTGACTCGCTCGCTCTAGCTTGTTCGCATGCTCGTGCTCCGTCTGGGTCGCTCGCTTACTCGCTGCCCAGCTCGCTCGCCCACACTCCGTCTGGCTCGCCCACGCTCCGTCTGGCTCGCTCGCCCACACTCCGTCTGGGTCGCTCGCATACTCGCTGTCCAACTCGCTTGCCAACACTCCGTCTGGCTCGCTCGCCCACGCTCCGTCTGGCTCGCCCACGCTTCATCTCGCTCGCTCGCTCACACTCCCTCTGGCGCGCTTGCTCATTTGCTGGCTCACTCTGTCGATCGCTTCCCTTCCTTGAGGGGCTGGAATGCGTGAGCCCATCCACACCCCGTCGCCGTCTGACTCTTCCACACCCCCGGTCCGTCCCTTCCCTCTGTACCTTTGTGTATCTCTCCGTCACTGTGTACCTCTTGCTTATTGTGTGCCCCGTGTCTCTCCCATGACCTGCTTTTGTCCCATGTCTCTGTGTCCACATGTCTACGTGTGTACCCCCCGTGTCTTTCTGAATGACCGCGTCTCTTTTGCGTGCCCCCCCCATCGACCGTTGTCGTCTTTGCGTTGTCTTCCCGTGTCCCCTTGTCCCCAGCTTCATGTCGCGTGTGGCTACTACGCTTACACCTGCGCGAGTGTGCGCGCACACGCCTGCATGTGTACGCGCTTGTGAGTGAGTGCACACACGCGCCTGCATGTGTACGCGCTTGTGAGTGAGTGCACACACGCGCCTGCATGTGTACGCGCTTGTGAGTGAGTGCACACACGCGCCTGCATGTGTACGCGCGTGCGAGTGAGTTGGCACGGCGGCGGGCGGGGGGGCACGGGTGGCGGTCATCTCGGTCATTTTACCCACAACACCCGAGTCTTGCCCCGTGACTTCCTGCCGGCGGCGAAGCCCTTCCACACTTGACGTGGCCTCCTGGCGCACCGCGCGACGTACGCGGTGACGAACCGCGCTTGTTGCCGTCGTGCGGCGTGCGCGTGGCGCAGGTGGCGGCGAGCCAGCACCCGTCGCTGCGCTTCTCCATGCTGCACAAGAAGATCAACCTGGCGGAGGAGACGCTGGCGTGGGAGCACGAGCGCTTCGGCATCCGCCGCCTGCCCGCGTTCACGGCCTCGCGCCTCGACACGCACCGCCGGCCCGAGCGCACCACCATCGCCGACGTCGGGTGCGGCGGAGCGGGGAGTGGGGGACGGGGGGGGAGGGTGTGGGGCAGGGGCGGGGGGGGGAGGGACGGGCCTCCGCACGGCTACGCTTGCATGCCCGGCAGCGTGCTTGCGCGCAATCACGCCTGCGTGCATTTGCTGCGCGCATGCAAGACGGACAAAGATCCCCCCCGTGTAGCCTGAACAGATTGTTGGGGCAAGTGCTGTTTAGCGAGGAGCACCTATGAAGGCCGGCACCGCACACGGGGGGGGGGGGGGGGGGTGGGTTGCCAACACCACGCCCGGCCGCCTTTGTCTCCCGAGTGGTGATGTGTACACACCTGCACCAGGTACTCATATCAGGCTGAGTCGACCTAGCGGAGGCCCAGGAATGGTTCAGATAATACTCACTGGCGTTGGCCGTGAGCGGTAATCGAACTCGAGTCGCCGGGTTCGTAAGTGTCGGTACGCTTACCAATGCATTACCGCTCCACACACACACACTCGTCCTGAAACCCATTGCACGCTTGCTAGCATGCTCGCACGAGCAAACCCGCACTCGTGTGCCCACGCACGCTCGCACCAACATGGACGCGCAACGCAGACACCGGGACGCGCGGAATGTTGACCACGCGCGGGTGTGTCCCACTCGTGCCGGTGCAGGTCCCAGGTGGACATCACGAAGCTGAGTCGGAACGTGAAGATCCTGGGCGAGGCGCTGGCGCGGTACATCTACAACCTCACGGGGAAGGTGAGAGGGGGACGGTGCCCGCACGTGTTAAATCGCTTGCCAATTGTGGGATTTTGAAACCATTCTACAATATCGCCCCCCTCCTGAGAGTGGGGCTTTCCCGGTTCATTCAAAAAACAGTTCTTGATATATACACGTGTCCATCTTGATGTTGCCTGCGTCTTATCGCCGTGTCGCCCGTCCTCTGTGTCTCATCCCAGGGCACGACAGGAGAGTTTGAGGTGTTCTCAGAGCAACTGGTGAGTGGTACAAACGTTTCCGTCAACCCCTCCCGTGCGTGCCCCCCCTCCGGCCTGTCGGCCTACCCCTATACCCTTGTGCCCCTACTCACCCAATCACCCCACTACCCCTGTATCCCTGCCACCCATGCACCCCTGCCACCCCACTACGCCTGCCCCCACACCCCGTACCCTGCACCCCTGCCACCCCACTACCCCTGTAACCCTACTGTCCCCCCCCCCAACCCCTTCCACCCCACCCACCAGCGCCTGCAGGAGGAGCAGATGGGCGCCATGCTGGACTGGCTGGCTTCGCAGCCACGCGCCGCTCCGCTCGTGGGGCCGGACCACGCGCTCGTGACGACACTCGAGCACCACATGGGGCGCTACCTCAAGGATGTCCGCACGCACAACGTGCGCGCCGACAAGAGGTAGCCAGGCGCTTGGTAGCCAGGCGCTCGGTAGCCAGGCGCTCGGTAGCCAGGCGCTCGGTAGCCAGGCGCTCGGTAGCCAGGCGCTCAGTAGCCAGGCGCTCGGTAGCCAGGCGCTCGGTAGCCAGGCGCTCAGTAGCCAGGCGCCCGGTAGCCAGGCGCTCAGTAGCCAGGCGCTCGGTAGCTAGGCGCCCGGTAGCCAGGCGCTCAGTAGCCAGGCGCTCGGTAGCCAGGCGCCCGGTCGCCAGGCGCCCGGTCGCCAGGCGCCCGGTCGCCAGGTGCCCGGTCGCCAGGCGCCCGGTCGCCAGGCGCCCGGTAGCCAGGCGCTCGGTAGCCAGGCGCTCGGTAGCCAGGCGCTCGGTAGCCAGGCGCTCGGTAGCCAGACGTTCCGTCGCCAGGCGCCCGGTCGCCAGGCGCCCGGTCGCCAGGCGCCCGGTGGCCAGGCGAGGCAGCGCCAGGCACGCGCAACGTGCGCGCACGCAAGAGGTGCCACGGTGCATCAGAATCGGCAATCGGGAAAAAGCGATGGTCATGGACATTTTAGTCATTATCTCGACGATTTAATCTTTGTTTATACTGGAGGAATCCGATGAGCTATGAAGCTCTTTTCACAGCTGTTCAGTGGGGGCACGGGGATCGGAAAGTTACAACAACAAACATTGCGTTAAAACACGACAGGAGTGCAAAGTATAGGAAATGTAAGCAAATCGCAAAGCAAAAAAAACAACCTACCTTTATTTTACCAGGTAAGGCCCGCTGGCCACAAACGATAGCTCAACGAAGTGGCTTATCGCGTGGAAATGTGTAGCAGCCGACAGTAGGTGAAGAGTCTCGGGGAGGCTTGCCTGGTCGAATAACGTCCAGAGCTGACGCTTTAGAGTCCTCGCCAACGTCGCGAAAAAGGCGCAAAGGTGCGACCCCGCAGTGGCTTAGCTAACGGCACCGCTGGCGGGAGGGCCCTCGGCAAACAGGGAGCCGTAGAGAAGGCCCCGCTGGAGTGTATTTGGCACGGTGGCCAAGATATCTTGAACGGGGGTGGGCGTGTACCCACATTTTCCAGGGTGCTTCAAAAAATGTCAACAAATATATGGGACTATCGTTTTTAATGGAAAAAGAATGGATAATACACTGTAACGTGATAACAAATGTATGTTAATAGCTTGAAAAAGTCAAAGAGTCTCCACTTATTCGCCGTCATTGTCAACGCGTGCCCGGAATCTTCTCCAGGTGGTCTCCAAAGCCCGCAGGCAATTTTCTCGTGGTATTGTTGCAAATTCTCGGAAGTGTGAACATTCTTTTTAAGCACCCTGTATGTACACCACCGCACCTGACCAGCCGATCAACTAACTGGCGTACTCATGTATACTGCTGGTTGGACAGAGGCCGGTGGGGATTTAATAAACCAACAAAATTTAACTCTCACTAAAAGTGGAGTACAATTTGTTGGCCCCTGCGGATTGATGATTACGTGCTGAGTTGACCTTTGACCGGAATGTGAACTCCTACAACACTCCGCTGACCCGTTCTTGTAACAATGTGTTACAGAGAACCAGAGTTCCTCTTTTATGATCAGCTGAAGCAGACGATGAATGCCTATCGGTGAGTAATCTGCTACCATCATCATGATCATCTTCAACGTCGTCATTATTTGCATAATTGTAATTTAACAAGGCCCGGCATCACCACCGTCATTAATAGGGTCATCAACAATATCATCGCCGTTGTCATCCTCGCAATGAACGTCAGCTGGAAAGACACACAGCAGCAGCTTCGCTCCCTGCTGCGAAAACTTGGCGGGGCCTTTTTGAAACGAGTCCTGAGACTCTGCGAGGCTTTTCTGAGTAAACTAGCGTAGCAGTGATAATAACAACTCCCACGTGAGCTCCCCGGTAGAGCCTAGCGAGGCAGGATTTCCCCCCCCCCCCCTAAAATGTTGTGGGCTATGGATCAACAACACAGCGATGACAAACACGACAATTGGATTTTCTTTTAAGTGGCCGATGTGTGAGGGGAGCTGTGGGGGGAGCGGTAGTGTAGCAGTGAGCACGCTGCACTACGAACCGGGCAATACGGGTTCGATTCCCGCTCATGGCCAACACCAGTGACGATTATCTGAACCGGTCCTGGGCCTCCCCTAGGCCTTAAGTTATTAACTGGTATTTGGTGTTCACAACATCGGCACAGCATTTCAAACCAAGAGCCTGTATGGCTATATGGGGGAGATTTGTTTCTGTATGTCTAGCAAATGTATTATCTCTAAATTGTGTACAAGACTTGTTGTGTGTCTGTGCATATGTATGTATGTAACTGGTGAATCTGCCAGTCATCTCAGTCAACCCATGGCACCTGGGTCTGACCTGTGACCTGTCAGCGAGCCTTTGACACTTCCCGTGGCCTCAAAGTGCACCTGGCCTGGCAGAGGCACTGTGGTGTTGTCACCGTCACTTAGTGGCGAATGGCGGGTATTGATATTGGTGTGTAACTTTGTATGTGTGTGTGTCTGTAGATATGTTTTTGTATATGTGTATATATCAGTGGCTGCCTTAACAGTCTATAGGTGCCATGTGATGTGGATTATTTTTTTTGTGTGTGTGTGTCTGTCTGGCAGAGTGAAGCCTGCAATTTTTGACCTGATCTTGGCAGTTGGGATTGCGGCCTACCTGGGCGTGGTGTACCTGGCTATACAGGTGAGAAATGGGTAATTTTTATTGGGGAGTATGGTTATTATAGGTGCAGCCGTTGTTGGTTTTTGCGCTTATCCACATAGAAAACGGGATTTACATGAAAACACTTGAATGTGATAAAATTGCAGGTGAAAACAATACCCAGGGACTACATCTCATCGTTTCTTGGAAGCTAAAGCTGGGTTTGAGCCCGCTCGTAGTGCTTGGATGGGCGACCATCATCGTGCCTATGGGAACAGGCCTTGTAGGCTGCTGCGGAGCTTGTGTCTTGGACAGCAGGGGGCAGTGCAGCATAACCAATTGTTGTACTGTACATCTACGCTCTCACGTCTGTGCTGCTCTATTTACCAACCCGCACTGACCAGGATAGCAAAGTCCAGTCAAATATCCGCCACAGAAATCTACTTGGTTTGGTGCGGACGCTCTCATCCAGCAGTGGATTGACACACGGGCTGTACATGTCTATGTCTGGACATCTGTAAAAAAAAGAGCTTAATAGCTCATCGGATTCCTCCATACTCTTTGGTTCTTTTGGTAAAGTCACGTAGGTAGAAAAATAATAGATCACGACGTCTCGACCGCAACACAAGCAATCGTCATCAGGTGGGACAACCACAGCAAGAAAAAACTGCTCCAGTATGGTAAAAAAAAAGTATTTTCACAGAAGTTAACGGGTAACTTTTTCTCTTCACAGAACTTCGGGCTGCTCTACGAGACCATGCGAAGGCTCAACGCTAAGCCAAAGCTGCAGTGAGCAGCAGCAATCACACACACATCCTCGCACACACACGCACAGAGACAATACCCAATATAGGCACACAGACTGTTTGGGGCAAGTGCTGTTAGCGAGCACCTATGAAGGCCGGCACGGCACACGAAGGGGCTGGGTGGACCGACACCACTCCCGGCCGCCTTTGTCTCCCCAGTGGTGATCTTTACACACCACACCGGGTACTCATTTGAGGCTGAGTCGACCTAGTGGAGGCCCGTGTCCGGTTCGGTAAATCGTCACTTGTGTTGGCCGTGAGCGGGAATCGAACTGGGGTCGCCGGGTTCGTAGTGCAGCGCGCTAACCGCTACACCACCGCTCGCCAGCGCCAGGCACACACGCACGAACGCGCACGCACATACTTGCAGACGCAGAAGGCGAGGGTGAAGGGGGGGGGGCACACAAACCCTCCCCCACCTACCCACCCGCACGTTCCGTTTGCGAGTTGCGAGCGGGGGATCGGAGGGTGGCGTGCGTGATGCGGAAGCCAAAACTGTGGACTCTTGCCGTGACGCATTCGTTCCGTCGGTCGATCCGTATCCATCCTCGCGATGCACATGTCAACGGGAGAATGCATTTTTATTTAACTTGCACTTCGAGATTGGTTCACGTGACCTACGTCCAGCAGAGGGGTCTGCATTGCGCCACAATGTTAAACACGTTTTACCATATCCTCCAGATTATAAGATCCACTTTCCCCACTGCATTTTCAAGCAAAGGTTGAGGGGGGGGGGGACGGGTTGCATCCTATAGCCCTGTATGTGCGTGTGAGACCAGATGAGTTTTTAACTTTTTTGGCACCCACCACCACATGTTTGGAATGCGTCCTTCCTTTCCGAAGAATCTCACAATCCAGAGAATACGGTAATAATAGTTATAGTAATAATATATTATTGAATTGAGTCATGACCCAAAATCGTCACATATCCTAACAATGGCGAGGTCTTGGTGGGTGGGGGGGGGGATGGGTGGGTTGGCGAACGGATTGGTCAATGATTATGTCCAGACATGGGGTTACTTATATTTGTGATTGCGTCGTTGATACAAAAAAAAATTGCCAGCACAGTGTTATCGTGAATTTGGGCGATCATTGCCGCTGTGCTCGTAATTACAACTGTGACAACCCCCAGGTGTGGCTTTTGTCCAAGGTGTTTGGATCCGGGCCGTCTCGCACTCCGCTGCTTTCTCGTGCATCCCTGGCCGATTGGAACAACGCGAGCCAATGTCGTGTGGTCGTCACCCGTGCGTGCGTGCACGTGCTGTATAGCACTGCAGCTGAATTGTAAAACGAAAAAAACGAGGGTCGCCGCGATATGGAGAATCGACGATCTGTCGCGCAATGCAAGATGCGCGATAATCGTGCCGATGTGGCTTGCAAAATACCGTCACATCGTGACGATCGTCGCTCATTTTGTTGCTCGCAATACTCTATTTCCTGACGAAATATGCAAACTATTTAAAGGTCTAAAAAAATAAATCATCGCCCTTTTCCCCCTTTCAAATTGGTGCCAATTGGTGCCGGAGTAACTGACGGCACGCCGGTGATGTGGCATAAACTCCAAATGACTGCGGAGGGAGACTTCCGACAGCAGCAAGGCTTACGTTGAGCTCACTGCAGTCGAAAGAACTCCTGTGGCAATCTTTACTCATACCTGAAGCACACCGGAGCACGATAAGAAGACGGTGACAATCTGAAATTGGTTTCACAAACTCAAGGGAATGTTCTCGCGCGCGCGATGATCGGCACGTCTCGTAGGAACGGGCGTCGTTCTCGTGGAAAGATGTACACCGTGGCAAAAAACCCTCTTGCAAACCGAACACTGCATGCACTGTTCTGCGTCGGACAATGGTGTCATGGCGCTGCAGGGACGCGTCCCGGGTCAAGTGACGATGCGTTCGGCTCGTCGATCGATGGAAATCGATCGATCGACGCTCGCGGAAAACGCGTCGAAGCCGGGCGCGCGCCAATCGATAATCCGCGACAGGCGACGGACGGCGGGGGGGGGCCCGAACGACGTGGCCCGCGGCTTTTTTTACGGTAACGGGGGGTGGGGTGCGGTGAGGGCGAACAAAACTACAAAACGAATCGAACAACGCGGAGGTGAATGTTATAACTCGACGGCGGTCAAGACATGCGACGGGTTTTCTGGGTGTTGCCCCGCCGCGCGTTGTTTGACTTCGCACCCCCGACGATTCGCCGCGACGTCGCTACGGAGCTTCGTCGCATCCCCGGGGACCTGCTCGGCACAACCGCGAAAAGCCTCGACGGTACCTGCAAAAAAATAATTGGTTTGTTCAATCGAAAATGTCGCCGCTCGTGGATCTCTTTGACAATTCCGTCGAATCACCGGGCATAGATCAACCGTTTTACGTGTCTAGGCTTTACCGCGAAATGGCCGCCGGGTTCTCAAATCAAAGAGGACTTTGCGAGCTTCTCTCAGCAACCCACTCCTCCTCCCTGGGCTTTATTCCTTCATCAACTCCCGTCGGTTTTACTGCCGCCGAAATAAACGAGCGCTGTAAAGCGCGCGCCCCGGTTTGATAGAGCTGGACGTCGCGAGCAAAGGCGTTCATTAATCGAGGGGGCGGTCTAAGGTTTTGCATGGTGTTTTTTAATTAAATCTGTGATCGGTGATGAAGCCACCCCCCCCCCCCCCGCGAGGCGGAGCGAGAGATGAGACTTGCGCGAAGGGTCGAATCTGCGGAGCTTAAATTGATTGGTGGCGGGTTGTCGCTCCCTCGGGGTTGAGTGTTTTGTCTTCGGCTCAAAATGTGAACAATTTAAAAGATTTGCTAAAGATTGCGAGACAAGTCCGTGTGTGTGTGTGGTTCCTTTTAAGTCGATCGGTCATGAAGCCCGTCTTGGCGTCTTTTTTTTGGTCATACTTTTGCCTCCAATTCCCGTAGTGGTACGTCAAGTGTCGTTGTCATGAGATGACCGCAGACATTTTCCAAATAACTTATCCACGAAACGTCATTCAAGGGCCATTTTCATATTTTGCACAGTAGGGGCGGGGATTCTTGCACACTGGATACGAGATTGTCGCAATGACAGGATTCTTGGACACACTGCGGCGATGTTTGTCAAGCTCCCCATTGGAGCCGAGGAAGTCGCCAAACCGTTGCTCGGCAGGAGGAGGCGGTCCAGCAAAGTGCGGACTAAGCTTCATTTCACATCGTCTTTGGTTCTTTCGGTAAAGTCGCGTAGAATGAGAATAAAATAATAAATTGATAAAATAAAAGAACACAATAAAATTCTCACGACGTTTCGGCCACTTGTGTTGTGGCCGAAACGTGAGAAAGTTATTGTGTTATTTTATTAATGTATTATTTTATTCTCATTCTACGTGACTTTACCGAAAGAACCAAAGAAGATGAATCCTTGCAGTCACAAAAGCTTTAAATCGAAATTCATTTAATATTTCAAGGTTTTTGGGTTAAATCGCGTTAAGTGTAAATGTGTCGTAACCCTCCACCACCCGACACAGCCAGCAAGTGAACAACGCGCCAATTAGTTACTACAATTAGAGTAAAATTTGAGTACTCAGATTGCAAATGTTGTGGGATTACTCCAAACACAACGGTGGGCTGAAGTAGAATTCCAATTCCTTTCTCGTAGGCATCGAGGAGGAATCGTATATCCTGGCTTGCCGGGAGGCAAGACGGTAAATGTGGACTCCCACCGGTTCCATCTGTATGGGATCGAGTGTTGCACACTCGCACCCATGGGTTTTCTCTCCAATTGCTCCGGTTTTGGACAATAACACCTTAATACTGTATATAGAGGGCAGCAGAGCTTGGGAAATTTGGCGCCGGCTCAACGTGCGGCTTCTGCCTTTTACAAATTCTCATCCAACGTGAAGAGCCTACAAATATAAACTTTGCAAGGTTTCTGCCGAGACGGCACGTGGAAGCTCATTTCGACGAGGCTCCCATGTTTGTTTGGTTTTTTTTAACCGATTATTTATCTCGCATTTTATCCAAACTGAGACAATTCTCTTCAACGTAACGGCTCCAGTCGCAACCGGCGTCTTGTTTGTGTTCGCTTCCTAGGGACATCCACCACGAATTGCCGCCTCCCGAGGTGGGAAACCCCCATAAGCCACGCCCAGTTGCGTGACGTGGCTAAACGCGACGATGACGTGGGCCCACTCCCAACAACCTCCCGTCCAGTGGCACATCGTGTGGAGAAAAAAAACCAGGGTAGACCCCGTTCCCCCGTCCAAAATATCGTCATTTGATTAATCGATCGCACCGATTTAACGGTGGTGGAATCGATTACACACGACTTAAATCGGATAGGCCAGCTGTATACACCTGTGACGAGTTTGATGAACAAAGGCGTGGTATTGTGGGCTTTGTGGTGATTATCGGATTAAATCACGACGGCAGTGTGCATTGTATTACAATGTTAAGTGGCAAGGGCGCAAGTTATTATTGTGGATTTGAGGTAATTATCGGGGTGAAAATGACGTCACCGGTAAATTATCGGGGTAAAAAAAAAAGCTCGTCGGCATTGGTAATTATTGGGTTAAATCACGTCGGCATTGGCAATTATTGGGTTAAATTACGTGGGCATTGGTAATAATTATTGGGTTAAATCGCGTCAGACGAGTATTGTATTCCAGACCCCCCCCCGTTTTTTCCCGCGCAAATGCAAGACGGCACGTGCACGTGACGTCACGACCCACCCCCACAGCCCCGCGTTCACCTCGCCGCCTGCCCTCATTAATTCTCGGCATTAGCGCGAGAGAGGGGGGAGTGGTTTTGGGGGGGGGGGATGAACCGCGCTCGGTAATTTCCGTCAGCCAATCGGGTCGCGTCAACCGCCGCTCGCGGTGACCTCGCCGCCCAGTCGAGGCCCGGTTTAAAATCGTACAACGTATGGGCGGGAGGAAGGGGGGGGGTGGGGCAGCCTCGGGCCGAATCGCTCGGCCGCTCGGTTTATCCGCTCTGGGAAATCTACGCGGCATTTCCGCCGCGTCGTCACGTTTTCCCTCCGCCGTGCTCCGCCCGCCCGTCCGCCCCCCCTCCCCGCCGCCAGTCGCGGCCGCATCACCGCCGCGGCTCGCGGTGATAAGGCGAGCGGGGAAAGTAGGGCCCTGAGGCCTGGGGCCCCCGCGCGCACGGGAATCGCGAATTTAAGGCGAATTTAGTTGAAGCGTCGCCACCAATGCCATTCGCGCTCAAGTAGGGGGACGTAAGAAGACTCGGACACCGCCGGAGCGTCGCGTTTGAAGGTAATTTCGGTGTAAAATGACCGCGCTATAGCTGTAACAGAGGCTTACGATGATACGGTATTCATAAAGAGCCTGGTGGCAAGTAACGCGTAATTCCTCGAATATAAAGCGAACTCTAATAAAGAAAAGAAATGTTCGTTGCCTTCAACTTCCTCGCGTGTCGTGTTTATTTTTTTTACGTAACGCCGAGTTGTCTCGATGTCGATTAATTTGTGAATTCGTTGTTTGAGGCCTTCGCCGGTGTAGGTTGGGCGGCCCTGCCGGGTCGGATCGCTTCTTGCGCCGGTAGGCAAACTATCCGAGCAACGGGGTCTGAGCGATACCCCGAGGGGCCTGCTACTTAATGCTCTTGTTTATTTGTGAACATTTTTAATTATTAACAGGTTGTAAAACTACAACAAGCATATCGTACGTAAACAACGATGCAGGTAAACGGATAGTCGTCATCAGCAGTGATCAGTCCACTGCCGAGTGAACAGATATTGACAACACTTTAATCTGATACATAAGCGCACGCTACTACAGGTAAATGCTTAAACGGATAAACAGGATACGTTAATGGGTAATAAACATTGCGTTTGTGGATTATGTTTGTATTTGCTCAGTCCGTTGTCAATCCACAGCTGGGTTAGGGTACTCTCCCCATGCCGTGCCGGTCGCGGGGTGTTTGGTGGTTTGTCAACGTTTGTTTGTCGTTTACATATTTGTTGAGTTCCCTTTTATGTATCAAACATGCTTGGTATTCCGTACATCATCAACTTCACCAACTCGCGCGCTGACCAGCGCGGTGAAGTATGGCCAAATGATCCTTCGGTGGATTGACATCGAGGCCCCTTGTATTGTTTACGCGACCTTGTTTCGGGGCCATTGAGCAGCTGACAACAACTTTAAAAAAAGCGAATCATTGTCCAGGTTGTACATCCCGAAATACTGTACCTGTAGTCGTTTTTTAAATCTCCCTTGTGTTCTCGCCATATTTATAAAGGTCGCGTTCGCGTGTACAGTAATGTCTGGTGTTTGTAACTGGGTTAATTCGCCTATTGCGTGGGAAAAATCGCCTGCCGTGTTTTTGTGTCGTGGATTATTTCCGAGCCCTCTTTTTGAAGATTTTTGCCCCCCCCCCCCATACCATGCTTCCAAAGAAGGCTGGAAACCAACTCCTCGTTGACAAAAGCCGTGGCCTCTACCCAATCACCTCCCGTCCAACGTCTCATGTAGAGGCACAATGTTTTTTTTAACCCGATTTAGACGAGTAATGCGACTAATTGGCGGAGTAATCTTTCGCTTAAATGGTTTGATTGGCCAACTGTCAAAACAATGTGCAGTTAGAATCAGAAATGTTTATACTGGAGGAATCCGATGAGCTATCAAGCTCTTTTTCACAGATGTCCAGTCGTCGTGGTTGGTCAGAACGTTACAACAACCAATACAAAAACACGATGGGAGTGCATATTATAGGAAGGGTACACATTTACAGTTCGTTGCAGCTTCCGCAGCCTTGTGTACTTAAAACTTATAAGTGCCATGATTATTATTGGCCATCGGTGACCTTTGAACCAGGTGATAGCCCATTGAGTTGTATTTCCCATTGTCAGTTACACTTATCTTGAGCCAAACTTTGGAGCCTTTGTTACATTCAATTGTTTCTTGCAAATCATTCCCGTAGTTATTATCGTCACTGACATCATTCTCATCACCTGTTGTGTATTCCACGACCGAAAAGCAGGGCAGTGTGTCTGTAAACACGTAGGACTGATTAAAAATCAAACCGCATGGTTATTGTTAAATAAAGATGTTGGCAAGAGCAGGTCACGGTAATTTAATAAAAAAAATAATTTGACAATAAAAAAACAACACGCCAATGTACCTCCAAAAAGATGCATCTCAATTGCTGCTGTACATTGCTTGCTCTTAAAGGGATCAGAAATGTAGATGATGACACAGTCGGACAAACTGATAACTACGCTTTAAGAGCATTTTTCAGGGGAATGCTGTCAGTTAAATAGACAAAAAAGAGTAACACAATGAGTAGGCTTGAGCGTGAGAAATTTGCTGGGGGGGGGGGGGGGGGTGGGATAAAGTTCATAGCCGGTGGGCTGAGACGGGTGACGAAATAGCAGCCAAAGCATGGAAACGCCCAAGGGTCTGTGCGTGCACTCTGAGATGCGAACAGCAAGATCAGCTTGTTTGCAGGAGTGACGTGGATTTGGCATCGCAAGACCACAAGGAATGGCGCTGTGTTGGGGAGGCCTGCATTGAGCAGTGTATAGAAGCATGGCTGTTGACACGCATCTACCCTTGAGTCACCAGAATTGAACGAGTACAGTTATTGCCTAATGGACCGGACTTTACGTCAAGAAGGAAAAAATAGCTGTGTGTGGAGAAGACCATCCCCTGCCACAGAAGTGTGGAATTTCCACAATTGGCGACGGGTGACTAATGTAAGGGGCAGACGAACTCGTCATAACAGTTAATTAAATTAAAGATTGACGTTCCAGGCAGTGGCCCTCCTTCAGAGCAGAGCGAAATGGCAGAGCATATCTCTCGCGCCTCTTATAGAGGTTGTATTTGGAGATGGAACTTTGCACATTGTGGCCCTGAGAAAACTGGAACATTTACAAATGAACGCTTCGAGCTTCGTTTTTAAAAACAACATTTATTGACATTTTTATAACCCATAGAAAACAATGGGGTGGAGTGGCAGGGCAGTGAGTAACACACTGCGATTCTCGGCCACGACTAAAATCGGTGGCGAGTGATATATGAACCCGTCCTGAGCGCCCCCCTTCAACCCATGCTCACCAGTGTTCGTGAACTGTGGTAAATTAAAAAAAGCACCCATGACTGACACCGCATGTAGATGCTTTCAGAAATGGATGAACACGGGGCTATAAATCATTTATATTAGTCAAGAATAAATAATGGGGTTGACAGCCAGGGATTGGAATGCATGAGAGTACGTCTACCGAAGAGATGGTGTATACAGGTGCTGGGTGCATTTTTACATTACGGTCATGGGAGGTGGTGGTGTCTTCGGGAGCTCTTCATCCAGCTGTGGATTGACTTGTTGATGATGGTGATGGATGATTTTTCGAACACGTAAGAATGCATTTATCTCAATGAAGCCACAAAGACGCCCACATTGAGGGTGCGTTTGTTTTTATTTTAAGAACTTTTGGTGTGGGAGAGCGGAATTTTTTTTTTGGTTCCCAGTGGCTGACCTGCGAGTTGAGTCACCTTTTGCTGTAATGAATGCGTGGTTTCTATTAATAGTGAGGGGGACTGGTGGAAACACTTTTTGCCTGTCATCAGGAGCGTGGGCTTACTGAGCCAGGCGACATGGCCACCAGAACTCGATATCAGTGTCCTCTCTTCCACCCTTCTGAGTTTTCCAGTCACCTCAGGCAGGGTTAGCATGAGGGTTGAACTCCGAACCGGGTCCTTGGAACAACTGCCACGGGCAGGTAGGAGACATATCTAAACGTGTTTTTTTTTAAATGCTATTTTCTCTTTTTATTTAATTGGAGTCATTTGTCAGAATATTTTCTCTTTAACGGCCACTAACTTGGGGTTCGAGGGATTCCGCCGTGGTGTAATGGTTGGCACTTTGGATGCCACCGGTTTGATTTCGGCACTCTCATTGAAGCGATAGGCACGTTTTTTTTTTTAAATCCCCCACATAAATAGGAACGCCGCAATCGTTCGATCGGCAGGTCAAGTGTGGTGGGGTAAAGTTGTCGGTATTCCCACCCCTTCCAAGACATTTGGCCCGTGTGGAAGAGAAGGCCAAACATAGCCAGCGCAGAGGTGCTCTATTATTCTAAACGGCAGAGGCCCTTCTGCCAGCAGTGAAATGAGCAAAAAATTGCAGGACTACACCTTTATCTCTTTGCGTTGCTGTGATTCTCACATTGCGCTTACAATAACGTCTTGATTCTGGCTGTCTTTTTTTATGAGATGAAATCCTAAACCGAAAGGATCAATCTATGCATTTTGAATTTGTTTGTGAGCATATTGACATTTTGAAACGCGTAAATGTTTATCAATCCTTTTGGGGTTTTTTTTCCAAATCACTATTATACAGAATGAATGGGTGACTAGGAAACCTGGCAAGGGTGATGGACACCCCACTGTTTTTCATGGCGTCTTGAGATGTAGTTGCACAGAAGCAAAATGTTAGAAATTGTATCGTGAGTCCTCAACCCACTGGGTGCCATTGCCGTGTGTCACTCCTGGTTTCCATTTGAACAAGATAATAATTGACCAAAGAACACAAAAAAGCACGTGCAGAATTCCAATTGAACGTGGTCAATATTTTGGCCTCAAAGCCATGGCCCTGTCGCAGCATTCGGGGATAGCTGTGCTGTCTTGTTTGGGACGCTCGTGATGAAAACGCTGTACAGCACAAAGTAACGTTTTTTTTTCACACCATAGCCAAACTCAAGGTTATTTGAATACAAGTTGTAAATGAATGTGCAGATGGGGAGGTATCACTTTACGCGATTGTTTAGCTGATGTCAGATTAAATATAAACTTTCCCCTTTTTTAAGTTTTACACTTGAATCTCAGCTCCCACTCCGGTGTCATTTGCTGTGGCTGATGTCGTGTATTACTTATCGCGAGTTGGTGAATACGGGATTGGCTTTGGGCCACGACGTCCGTCTGTACATTTTTTCTTGTAACTGGCTGCAAAACTTGAAATAATTCAAACTGATCCACGACACACTGGTGAACGAAAGCCTCGAATGGAAACCTTGCGAGTCGCTACCTCCAAAACATTTATCCGGTCGTTGGCACTTGATATGTGCCGTTCCGTTAGCGCGAGGCCATCGGCGGAGGTGCGATGTTTCCCTGACGATTGTAGTCCGCACTAATTTCACAGGTGGGTGGGGGGGGGTAAGAAATATTTCTTTCTGATTTCACTCAATCAGATAATTTGAGTTTTTATTTTTGAAAATTTTGGACCATGACTCCACATGTGGCCTAACTCTTTTTTTTAATGTTACAGATCCTTAGCGTCCACTGTGAAGTGGTATGCTGCATATCTTTGGTACGTACACATCGGCATTAATTAGCCAGTGCGGCCGTGAACCTCTGCAATAAGCGACAAACTCGCCAGTCGCACGCTCGTGAAGACCTTTTAAAGGTGCTCACTAACGGCAGCCATCCCAACAGCCCTTCCAGGCTACAGGAGATCACCGATTAAATAATCGCATTCTGGTGGAATTGCTTCGTTGATGCCATACAATATATTCCTCTCGGTGATGCATAACTCATGTATTTGTTTGTGTTTTAAGTGAACCTACAATCGGAGTCAATTTCAGTTACCTGTTGAGCAGGCGTGTGTGTGCTTGCATGCGATGTGTATTGACGCTGAATAGCAACTGATGCACACATACCTTCCCCAGGTGAGTCATTATCAACCTCCTGAAAGTAGTGTAGCTAAAGTTAAATGCCACCAAAAAACTCCCTGTTTCTAACACAGGACATTCCAGTGTGTAAATGATGTGTGTGTGGTGGTCTGTGGGAAGCGGTTAGCGCGCCGCGTTACTAACCCGGTGACCCTGAGTTTCGATTCCCCGCTCACTGCCCACACCAGTGACGATTATCTAAACCAGTCCTGGGCCTCCCCTAGGTCGACTCGGCCTCAAATCACTAGCTGGTGTGGTGTGTAGTAAACATCAGTGCCAGGAAGGCAAAGGCACCCGGGCTCTGCTAGCCACCCACCCCCTTGTGTGCTGTGCCGGTCCTTAATAGGTTCTCGCTAGTTGCACTTGCCCCTATAGTCTGTTAAAATTTGTGGTCTGTGGAGCCCGTAGTATTTGTGCACTGCTGTGAACCTGGTGACTGACCCACGTGCGAATCCGTTTGCTGTGCTGGCCTTCATAGGTGCCTGCAAAAACCTACGTTGGTTTTCACGCTTAACTGCCGGCAATGTCAAGACCTAAGCTGATTTCTTGTAGAGGCTTTAAAGAAATATTACAGCGCCCTTTAAGCGCAACGTCGGAGGTGAATCCTCGGTACCCAAGCTGCGTTTGGCAATGACGATGAGATGACGTGGGTCGTTATTGCTCGAGCGATGGGAAGTGGGGTGGGGTGGGTTTAGTCCAACTATTCTTGGAGGAGCCAAGTGCGTGATGACCTCTTGTAGAAAGTGAGGCACACAGGAGTGCTGCAACTCATTTGCACGTTGGCCTGGAAAACTGTGGCAGGAATACAAATTCCCCCCCCCCCCACCTGCTTCCTCTAGTAATGAAAAACTTGTTTTAAGTCATGAAATGTAAAGCAGTTTTTTTCTTTTGGATATTTCCCCAGTTTTTATCCCGGTTGTGCTCTTGATGTCATGTCACGAGACTAATCAATTCGGAACTCTCGTGGTGCAGTGCCACCCTTGTTGGAGAACCTTTTGAGTAGCGTGGTTAGCTTTGTACGGTGCAAAAAAAAAATGTTCAACAAAGTGGCTATCACGGAACTACTTCTAAAATTCCTTCAAGTGACCATTGTTGCACACTAGGGGGCAGCACTTTCACACTGCTATTGAGAAATGTTAATTTTATGAAACTCAAACCAGTATTTTTAATTATCAAAAGCTGAAATTTAGCCAAATTCGTAGTTTTGTGTGCGTGTGTGTGTGTGCTACATCTTGCGCAATTCGAGTGACATTTGTGAAACTCGGTGAGAAAAAAAATCTAGTGCAAGCTGGAAATAAGGGGTAATGATGCAGCCTGCACATGCTTTTCAGTCTTGTGCGACTTCTTCACCATTCAGTTGGTTTATTGTCGCCCTTAGGCAGCTCCAGTCTGTGCCTCTACAGTGATCAGGGCGGGCGTGTCCACACGAAGCCGCCGAGACACAAAAGCGGCGGTAAGGAATAACGTCCATACTCTACCACAATTGATACGCTGATGCGTAATGCGATTTAGTCGACGTGACAATGGATAATTCCGTTCTGCGATAGTATGGATGCATATTCTTGGTTCTTTCGGTAAAGTCACGTTGAAGGGAAACAATAAAAAATATATAAAGCAATAAAATTCTCACGACGTTTCGACTGCAACACAAGCAGTCATCATCAGGTGTGAAAACCAACGGCAAGAAACATTTGAAAGAAGTGGCGGTTTGTATTTTTTTTAAACGTTAGCACCACGGATAGCGATTTGACAGTTTGTTTAGATAGACGAGTCCATCTATGTTCGGAAAAGGAGGGGGAAGACGAAAAATTAATGTGTGCTGTCTGAAAGCCACCGTAAGCGTGAACAATCAATTAAGTCCCGAAATGGTTTATCAAATCCTTCTAATGATTGCTAAGCCAGAATCTATATTCTTAGTTGAAATTGTCTCTGTTTGTATATGTGGATAGCCTCATGAACGAATCTTTCTCGATAGCCAGATTGCTTGCAGAGAACCTCTGTCTTGGATACGTCAATGTCAATCTCCAAGACAGAGGTTCTTTGCAAGCCATCTGGTTACCATGAGAGATTCGTTCATGAGGCTATCCACATATACAAACAGAGACAATTTCAACCGAGAAGATGGATTCTGGCTTAGCAATCATTGGAAGGATTTGATCAACCATTTTGGGTCTTAATTGATTGTTCACGCTTACGGTGGCTTTCAGACAGCATTCATTAATTTTTCGTCTCCCCCCCCTCCTTTTCCGAACATAGATGGACTCGTCCATCTAAACAAACTGTCAAATCGCTATCCGTGGTGCTAACGTTTAAAAAAAATACAAACCGCCACTTCTTGCAAATGTTTCTTGCCGTTGGTTTTCACACCTGATGATGACTGCTTGTGTTGCAGTCGAAACGTCGTGAGAATTTTATTGTTTTATATATTTTATTGTTTCCCTTCAACGTGACTTTACCGAAAGAACCAAGAATATGAATCGCTGCAGTCACGAAAGCTTTAAATCTAAATTTAGTATGGATGCATGTTGAACTTTATTCATACCTTTACATAGCCAACCGTGCTCCGTAAGGTGCGTGGGGGGGAAAGGGCAACAATCTTAAGCGCGTTAAAAAAAACCGTTCTAAATAAATGAGTTTTAAATCCGAACCTGGCACACTGCGCTCTTCTCGGCAGGCAGCAGGGCGGCGAGGCGAGCGATGGCGCAAGAAGCGAACCGCTCGCAGGGCCCCATGCTGTGCACCATGGGCTGCGGTTTCTACGGGAACCCACGCACCAACGGCATGTGCTCCGTGTGCTACAAGGAGCACCTGCAGAGGCAGAACGCTGGCGGCAGACTCAGCCCCACAGGTAAAGTGCGGCGGCCTCGTCGGCGACCCGCGCTCGGGAGGCTTGAGCTCGAGCGACGCGACGAATCGCCGCTTGCGTTCACGGGACGGGAGACGGACTGTACGCAGCATTTTTATTTTTTGTTCGAACTCTCACTCGCATGGGTTATCGCAGAATTATGAAGTCTTTTTGTAAATGTTCACTGCTGAAGATTCGCGCACCGCCACGCATTCTATAATTACACCGCTGTAGATTCACACCCCCTGTGTATTATATATTCACACCACTGTCACTTCACACGACTGAATATTCGCACGATGATGATGAGTTTGGACGGCTTCTGTCACGCCATACCGCGATAACTACATCCTTTTAGGGCGCTGTGCAATGCTACAGAAGAGATGTGGCGCACGAGTGCATCTTCAGTGACCTCTTGAAAGCCTCTCGCGTCGGTACGAGTCGAGCGCCATCGAGTGAGGCAGCTCCGTGCCGCGGGGGACCAGTCGCGCAGAATGCACAATTGGAGACACAACTCGTTTTATTTTTTTTCTGTTGCTAATTTTTCGGCTCCCCCGTCGGTTTGCACTCGCCGCGTCTGACCCTGCTTTTATCGCGACGCGTCTCGTCCACCTCGTGTTCATGCTAGGTCAGAGGTCGGCGACCTGCGGCTCTCTTTTTACACGCTCTTATTTAACTCGCTCTGTCCGTCGTTGTATCCTCAAATCTTGTAACTCAATTTTAACCCACTTGCCAATGTGGTATCGACTGCAAACTTGGTATACTTATGTCATACTGATGACAATACTATATTCTATCATTAAATATGAAGAATATATATTTTAAAACATTTTTTTTATGTTTCGGCTTGGGTCTAATTGTCCGCGGTCAACTGACGGCTGTAAATCACCACGGCCCCTTAAGTTGTGGCAAGCTTCGGGGCCACTTCCTGGAGTCGTGGGGTTCTTCCAATACTAGTACGGTACATTTCATTAAAGCGTGTTTTAGAAAAAAGTTTTTTTTAATTTTACTTATTTATTATGGACCGCTTTGTGACGTTATTCATGCTCGTTGTTGGCGCCTCTTGGAATATTGAGTTTATTTTTTGGAAATCAAATTATTTTGGTTGTCGACCCCTTTGCTAGGTGTACATTGTATACTTTCAACACTGTAGATCGCACCACCCTACGTTCCATAATCGCACCACTGTCCTGTCGAGTCTATAGATTACATTTCTACTCAATCGTACCTCCTAGGTTTTGCAAATTTGCACCACTGTGCAAGAATGGGTAGTTTCCAAAACCAAATCATAACTACTGATCGTAATGACTTTAAGGCAGGCCTGAATCATTACATTCTGTTGGCTAGGTGTGTAGCAGTGCTTTAATGGTCAATGAAGGTTTATTCAGGTTCATGATACACGCATCAAAGCGCATTTGCAAAAGTTTGTATAATCTTATTTATTCAAAGTGTGTACAGGTGACTTGTTAATGTTCATCCTAATGAAGAGAACAATACTATACAAACGAGACGAGCATTCTCTTCCGAATGATCGAATCGCACCCCTGAAATGCTGCAAGTTTATAAAGTCTCTTGAGTTCCTGTCACTGTTCTACTGTTTGCATTCTGTCACTTTACATTAGCTCTTGCGTTCAGTCACTGGCGCTCCATCTCTTTTGTTCCATTACTTACAATCTCTAACTTTGCGTTCCCATCGCTTTTTTCTGTCGAATGTGGTCTCGCACCCCCTTGAAGCCACAAGTCCCGGGAACAGCGGTGCCGTCGCGGTCGCTCAAGCAGCGGCCGACAGCCTCGCGTCGTCGACGGCAACCGTTGCCGTGGCAGCTGCGGTGTCGTCACCTTCATCGGTCGCTCCAGCGACGAGTGGCAGTGCCTCTCCGTTGCCAGCTCCATCACCATCGCCATCTTCAACGTCATTGTCATCTGCTGCTGCTGCTGTTGCCGCCGCCGCCACTGCCGCCTCTTCCGCGGTGATGACTGGCACCGCCATGGCAACGGCAAACATGATGGCGACGGCGGCGCGGGGGGAAGGTAGCCCCGCGGTGATGTCGACGCCACAACAGGAGCCCTCGCAGGCGGAGGCTCCCTCACCCGGGGTCTTTGGGTCTCCCAGCAGGTGGGCACGGGCAGTTGGCGGCAAAGTAGGTTGGGCGACGAGGGGGCAAAGTGGGCAGAGGGGTGGTGACGTTGAGTGGTGTGGATAGGGGAGGGGCGAATGGGATGGGCACTGCGTAAATAGTTGAGGGGGTAATTGAGAGAGAGAGATTGCGCAAGTAATAGTGAGATGGTGATTTGGTGGGCGAGTCGGTGATTGTGTAGTTGAGCGCTGGTGGGTGAGTAGATTAATATTTTTTTTAAATTTTTTTAATAGGTTTTACCCTTTCCGGCAATCCAGCAGGTGTTAAGATGTTCAAACACCAAATAGAAACATTTTGCAAGGAATCGTGTCCATCATTAACCACACACGCTACTTGTGATGAACATGCAAACAAATATGCTCTGATAATAAATGGCATTGTATTTGAAACTGATCCGCTCTCTTTCGGGCCTAGTCTCACCAGTGTCAGACCAGAGAATGCCAAAAGGCGAACAGTACAGAGGCAATGGACTTTCAGAGCATTTATAGCTTGGTGAGCAAAATGGGACCTTTTTTTGCCAGTACTAGATTACCGTATTTTCCCGCATATAGCCTGCAGATGCATATACTCTGCAAAAATAGCGTTTTGTGTAAAACAAATTTCAGATAGCCCGCACCTCCATATACCCCGCATGCATTCATATCTCTAACGTCGTTACCGCAGCTTAATTCCATCATTAATACGAAGTTTACATTTGTAATACATTCCACTATCAATCGTTAACATTAAAGTCATAACGTGCACAAAGAAAACAAACAAACTGGAAACGAGTGAACTTAAAACAGTAAATAAGTAACAATTAAAATATGCAATAAATAAGTAACACAACTGGTAGATAAGTAAGTACAGTTTTAGCACTGGTAGATTGCGCACTGCGCAGACAATAGCAGCACTACGGTAACGCCATAGCCTCGCCCCCAACCCCCCACCTCGCTCTCCCGTCGCCGGTAAACAAAGTGCGCACACTTCAAACATTTTCGTTTCGGGTGATTTGAGTAGGTGATGGTGAAAGGGTGTATGGGCGGGTCAGTAATTAAGTGGGTGGGTGACTCAACGAAAAAGTGTGTGAGGTGGGTGAGTGGTCGACTCGTTGAGTAAGTGAGTGGCTGACTTGGTGAGCGGGCAGGTAGGTGAGTTGATGCGTGGGTGGGCAAGTGACTGAAAGGGTGGGTGAGTGACGTTGCGTGGATGCCCTCTGCTGCGCTTGCAGCCCCATCACAAGCCAGCCCTCACCTGTCAGTTCCCGCATGACGGCCATGACCCTGGTGGCCGACGGCGAGGACGTGGTCACCACCGACCAACCTGTGGCCGCCGCCACCTCCGCCGACCTCAGCGGTATGCTCGCTCGGCCGCACGCGCACACGATCACACGTCTCCACGACAGCTTTGCTGCCGCTTTGGAAGGTTTTCCACGGCAGAAGTTTAACCTTTTGTCATGTGGAAATAGAAGTATTTACCAGGGTAGATCGAGTTTAGATATCCGGCCGAGGGCATCGTCAAATGCGGAATTAACCTTTGTCGTCCCGCTGGGAAAGTGAATATCAGGGGCGATGATTCACGGTATCTTCCGTTGTATGTATGTATCTTGAACTTCTATTGCAACGTTCGTTCGCCAACCGTGCTAATTGGAGGTGGAATTGGCACGGTTGCGTGACACCGTTCACAGTTGCAGTGTGGATCGTATTGCAATCGTCGCCACTCGTGCATTGGGTACGATCCACGTCGTCCGTGGGAAGTCCTTGATGCGGTTTGTGATTGCCCACCACCGCCGCAATGACCATTGGAGAAAAACGGGTGGTGACGAAACTTGAGTGTTCACGAGAGGCCGAGGTGACGGTCAATGGCGGTCTGTAGACGTCGCTCACCCTCTCGTGGTGCACACCTCGCCGCACACCCACAGCGTGCACCCTCGGGGATCTGGACGGCGCCGAGGGTTCGCCAGACAGCGCCGACAAGCCCCGGCAGCAGAAGAAGAACCGCTGCCACACCTGCAGGAAGAAGGTCGGCCTCACCGGTATGTCGCCGCCCTCCCTGCACGAAGGGCCCCGTGTTTTGTCTTTGGCATTGTTTGTGTTTATTCTTTTTGTAAGTACGTGTCCTCTTCGTGTCTTTGTGTGCGTGTCTGCCTGTTTATGTCGCCGGGTTCGACATACGCAGGTGGTAGCGCTAACCACTACGCCACCGCTACGCCTTCCAAACCTGCGTTTCATTTACTGCCACGGCCAATATCGGCGACGAATATCTGGATTGGTCCTGAGCCTCGCTTATATCGATTCGGCCTGAAATTAGTTTTTTGCGCAGTGCTCACCACACCCCCCCCCACCCCACCCCCTTGTGCACCATGCCTGCCTTAAGTGCTTGCAAATAGGACTTGCCCCAACAGTCTATACAGGGGATCTGACTGTGTGTGTGTGAGAACAGTGACACTGTGGTTCACTGACTGCACTCGGGGATGTCGGTGACTTGGGTTCGATTCCTGATGAAGGGTAACACAGGTAGAATGAGGAATCTCAACCTGTTGTTGGTCACTACTAGTTTGAGCCTTACTAAATGAGTGCTGACCACACTACCACCACCACCACATAGTGCTCTGTGCCATTCTTAAAAAGTGCTTGCTCACAACACCTGTTTCATCGGTATATTTAGCTTTACGCAAGTGGTATATGTGTGTGTGTATGTCGCTCTCAGTGTCTGTGTTCGCGTGTATTTAATGCACGGTTGAATTGTAAAATTCAGACCCTCCAGATTAATACAGTCAAATCATGCACAAATTTTATATCGTATTAATTGCGTCAAAAATAATGAGAGGAATTGGATTTTTTTTTGTTCAGTTTTATTTTCGTGAATTTATTCCACTGCGAACACAGGGCTCAAACTTATCAATTTCATGCATGGCGGCGGCGGTGGTGGTGGTTATGGTTCTCTAGCCAGTGCCATTGGTGGCAATTGCAGGAATGGTGGTAGTGATGGCGGTGGTGATTGATGTCATTTGGTGGTGGTAATAATGGTGGTGGTGGTCATGGTGAGTGATGGCGATTGTGGTTGCTGTATCACTGGTTGGGCATTACGGTTCTTATTTACACTTTTGCATCCGTGCACATTCCCGCACCTGCCCTCTTGCTCACTCTCTTGCGCCCACATTACCCGCTCACCCACCCACCTGCCCTCTCGCCCGCCCGCTCGCTCGCTTGCCCGTCCACCCGCCCGCTTGCCCCGCGCTCTTTCACTCGCTCGCCAACTTGCTTACTTGCTCACCCGCCCGCCCAGCAGGATTTGAGTGTCGCTGCGGAAACCTGTTCTGCGGCCTGCACCGCTACTCGGACAAACACGAGTGTTCGTACGACTACAAGTCGGAGGCGGCCGAGAAAATCCGCAAGGAGAACCCCATCGTAGTGAGCGAGAAGATCCAGAAGATTTGAAACGGTGGCGGCGATGCCATCGGGTTGGGGGGGGGTGGGACACACGCCAAGGGAACAATCGCACGTGCACCCGGGGGCCAGGAGGACGAGTCGCGACCTCCTCCCTTCTGAGCCGCCTCCACCAATCACTCGTTATGGGGTGGTGGGAGGGAGTTGGTGTGTGTTGGGGGGGGGAGGGAGGAGGGGTGGTGGAAGATGAGTGCCATTTCAGCCAGTCTTCACCTCCTTGCGCTGGGGACACGTTTTGGTTTATTTTAATTTTTGTTTTTTTTGACCGGCATGCATTACAAGGTGCCCAGGCATGCTCGCACTGGAATCCGTTGAAGATAATAAAGCGTCGAGGATGTTTGGCTTGTTCCCAACTATTACTTTCTTCACCACCCCCCCCCCCTCAACTTTTATTCTTTTTTTTTTCCTGTTGGTTTATTTTGAATCAAGTACCATCAGTTTTAAACAAATTTAAGTGAAAACGGTAGGTTTGTTTCTGTTTTACGTCGCCGGAACACGCTTGTGTACGCGCCCGGCCGCCCGCGCCGTGACGGGAAGGGCCCTGGAGATTTTCCGACTGCGCGACTCCTTGCGGGGCCGTTTTCCCGTGCACAGCGACGACCGAAAACTTGACTATTAAAAGGGGAAGAAGCGGGGGGGGGCCGCCTTGCGAACTGCAGGGTGGGGGGGGGGGGGGGGAGCCCAGGAACGGGGAGGCGCCATCATCACGTGGAGCACTATCACCGGCCAGCTTTCACGCCAGCGTCCATCGATTTGTGCAACTCCCGCAGTTGGAAACATCGCGTGGCTGGTGGCAAGGGAACGTTTTTAGCTCGGACGGCAAGCAGGGGCTTGTGGCGCGTGAGGTTTGTACGTCGGTTGCGGTGCTGTGAGAAATAAAGGACTTGCTCGCACATCTTATTTAGCACGTTGCGCGGAATAATGCCCCGTTACAACAGACCCCCCCCCCCCCCCCCCCCCGCTGGAAGATGGAACGGTGATACATTTGTCAGAGTTTTCCCTTGCGCTGGGTTGAGCGGAGGGCAAAGGGCTTGTGTTTGGCCAAGCAGCGGGGTTCTAGCATTAGGCAGTTTCACCAGCAGCCGCGTCTCGTCGCGATAATGCATTAGCTCGTTAATACAAAAGTAACTATGATAATCGAGTGATGAGCAAGGTTGGGCTCCGTCCCATGCCTAACTCTTCCAGTTGTTCCTGCATGCGACAGACTTGTACATTTTAGGCAGACGGCGGTAATGATAGCAGTGAAGAGTACAAGTTAATTACAGCAAGTGACAAACAAATAAGATAAACTATATCATGAATATTGGTTATAATGGCTTCAAGTTTAGCAAATCTGCTGGACTCTGCTCCACGAGACGATCCACGGTTGTGTGAGAGTCGACGGCGATCCTCCATAGGTTTGGACGTCGGCACAACGGCCTAATGGTGTCTCCTTCCAACCGGAGCGAGGCTCGCATGGATTTTGTGTGTTTTTCCCCCCCACCCCCACCCCCATTTCATTGGTTGAGTGATTTTCGTTTGTTTTAAATTTGCTTGAGAAATGGAAATTCAGTGTACGTTATATATGTTAATAGTATACCCGCTGTGCTCTCGTCTATCTAAAAAAAAATGTCGTTTTTGAGTTTGTCTGCTAAGGGGAGGCCCCAGAACGTGTCTGAGATGGGTCCATCGCACACCATCTTTTCCCCGGGAGGGGGGGGCGGTGGAGGAGTGGCCGTCAAACCCACGAGGCCGTTTTGGCCACACGGAGCTCCCTTGCCGCACCATCCCCCCCCCCCCCACAGCCCGTTTCCTATGGTTCTCCAAGGAGGAGGATGGCTTTTTGTGATTGGCTGCCGAGGGTCACGTACAACGTCTTTATTTTCCGATAACATTTTGGATTGGCAAAGGGGTGCAAACCATGGTTATGGAATCAACCGCCCACCCATATGCTGTACCGGGGGGTAGGTTCTGTTTGCACTCAAACAGAACCTACCCCCGTTGGTCTGCTCGGCTCGGCGGGGCTGACTCGTGTTTGTGTGTGTGTGTCCCAGGTGCTAGTATAAATGGCCCCTTAGGATCGAGTCATCCTGGTCGTTGACTCGAATGCCCGAGTGGGTCATGACGCAGACACCTGCGTTGGAGGGATCGGAAGGCATGGGTCAGATCGGCTCATAATAATGGAAGGAGGCTGCTTGACTTCTTTGCAGCCCATGGGCTTGTAATTACAAACATGCTGTTCCGCCATCTGCGCATCCACACCACATCATAGATGCAGGCCGGGTCCAAGCAAGAACATCCGCTGGACTATATGATTATGGACCAGCAGATGCGGGCCCATGTCCTTGACACCAGGACCTACCGTAGAGATGATATGCCCACTGACCATCGATTTGTCCTCTGTAAGATGTGCCTACCATTCTTCTATTCTGGCGGTGGGTGTCTAATGAGGACCCAGTTCAAAACCTTGTAGCCTGGTCTCTACTAGCTGAGGACAGTTGCAAGCAGGAATTTCAACATCGCTTGCAGCTGGGGTTAGCATCGTGCCCCCTACTGATGCTGAGGGGAAATGGGTGCGGTTTAGGACTTCAGCTTGTGCAGCTGCAATGGCTGCATTGGGTATGTGGTCCAGACCTCCGAAGAGACCCTGTCTGAAGGAGATGTTCTGGCTGGTTGAGAGAAAACAGACCCACTCCCATGTACAAAATCCAACATCGGAGAATGAGTCTTACCGCAGCCTTCGCTCGGATTCTGAGAGCCGTGTGGCACTACGAAGATGAGTGGTGGGGCGGTTTGCTGAGGAGATGGAATCTGCCTCAATAGCCCGCAATCACAAATTGCTATTCCATCAAGTAACTTGCAGTCCCTCGCCTATCACCATCCTTAAGGGAAAGAACAGTAAGCCGACCTCCGAACCCCAGGAAAAGGTCTGCAGGTTTGCAGAGCATTTTTGCGAGTTCTTTGGGGGTGAAATTCCCTCAACCCAGACACCCTCATGGGGCAGGGTGGGGACGACCCTGCTATTGCGGCAGTGCCTCATTGGCAGAAGTAGCCACCCCTTGTGAATGGTTGGCTTAGGTGCCATTTGTGGTGGAAGTGAGGGGCGATCCAAAGTCTGAGACCAGGAAAAGCGCTGGGCAGAGATGATCTCTCAAGCGAAATGCTGAGGGAGGGTGACATCTGTGTGCAGACTGCCCTACATGACATCACAACTCTGGACCACAAGATGGGTCCAGACAGTCACTCGGGAGGAGTTTGATGTGCTGCTGCTGAACCTGGTGTGTGCCACTAAAAGGTGGGTGTGGTCTTGCCATCAGCCCCACCAAAACTAAGCACCTGCCTGGGTATTTTTGTGCCACCAAATACTCCATCCCTTCAGCTCCCCATTGGGGATGGAGCAGTTATGGAGAGTGAAGTTTCCCATACCTGGACGGTGCTTATGACCAGCTCCGGGTTTGACAGCAGAGGTCTCACTCCGAATCCGTTGGGCGACATCTTTTCATCGGCTGTGCAGTGTTGCGTGGAAGCTGCCTGGTCTGTCGCTCCGCATGAAGCTTCGGGTCTTGGCCACAGTCATGCGCTCCCTTCTCTATGCTTGTGAAACGTGGACCCCTCTAATGGAATGCCAGCTATAAACATTCAGGCTGGCATACCTACGATCCATCTTTTGTTTAATGTGAGGAGCTCACAAATCCTTGAAAAATGTGGACATTCCCATCGGTGAGCTCCTCCGGCAAGCAAGGCTGCGTTGGTTGTGTCACGTAGCCCGCATGCCCATCCACCAGATGCCCAAGCCGCTTCTGTTTGGCGGCATAGAGGGGGCTAAACGGGCACGACATGGGCTGGAGAAGAGATGGATTGATGCTGTAAGGGAGGATTTGGAGCTGTGTGGACTTGCCGACGACTGGTAACAGTTGTCAAGATCGGACTCTATGGAGGAGTTGTGAAGAACGCTACTGGGCAGTTGGAGGCAGTCGCCCTCCAGCAACAACGGAGGGCAGAGGAGCGACGCGCCGGGTAGCTAAAATGCAGCACGTTGGCACAGTAAGGGGTACAGATGGTGCATCTACCGATCATTTCAGTCGGCCAACCCATGACACCTGGGTCTTTCCCGAGACCACGTGTCGGCGAACTTTCGACACTTCACGTGGCCTCGGTGCACCTGGCCTGCCACAGGCGCAGTGATGACGCCACCGTCACTTAGTGGAGAATTGTGGGTATTGGTGTCTGCATGTACCGTGTGCTAATAAGATTTATAAGAATAAGCCAAACGTCCCCCAAGTCTCCTTGCGCTCTGTTCACACTTGGGGCTAAAGTGTGCCACGTTTGATTTAACTGTGCGTGACCCGGGTCTTTTTTTTCCCCCCCTTCATCGACATTTGGGAATTTCTGCAGAATCCTAAGAACGTTTTACCCTTTGTGAGCAAGTGAAGCTGTGCTGTGGAAGGAGGTGGGAGGCGACGGGAGACAAGGAACCGTGAATTTCGGCACGCGACCAGCTTCAGGGAGGCGCGTGAGATTGATGGGGAACGTAAATCTGTAAATCCGCGACACTGAACACCCCCCCCCCCCTTCTGAGTTCACGTAGTGGTGCGCTCTTAATGTATTGTAATAACATTAATCTGTTGTTGTGGGCGTACCTTACCATTTCTAAGCATAGGGAAGGGGGTGGTTGCTAAACTCTCTCCACACTCGGCCTTATCCTTGCCTCGGCTCCACCACCCCCTTCGCTCTCCATCACTGTCGCCCAACGCATGCTCCTTAATTGACGCTTGGCCAATTAGGGAGTGAGGATTCTGCCGGTGGGGGGTGGGGGGGGGCGAGAGGAGCAAAGGTTGTGGCAAAGTGCGCCTGTAGTGTGGGAACTGCATGACTTGGTTTTGGGCCAGGTCTGGTTGGAAAATGCGCGCGCGTGTTTTGTGTGTGTGTGTGATGTGTAGCATGAGCTTGAGAACATGACACTCGGCAGTTCTTGCCCAAGCTGCACGGGGCGTGACTCCCATTCAGGTGCGATGGATTACATCGGACTGGGTGGGGGTACACCCCCCCCCCCATTCTCCGTGTTTCTCTTGAAAGTTATTTTGATTTTAATGTTCTTCGTATCTCAGCGCTCAGGTGGACCCGTAGGTCTATTTTCAATCACTTAACCATGTCCAGCATGTGTGGTCTTCTGGAGGAGGAAGAAACAACACGCAAATATACTCGCGGAACCATGCAAGCCACAGAGAGCATGTGTGTGTGTGCGCACAGTGTGGGGAGCGGTGGCGCAGCGGTTAGCGCGCTGTGCTACAAACACGGCGACCCGAGTTCGATTCTCGCTCACGGCCAACATCGGTGACGATTATTTGAACCGGTCCTGAGCCTCCCCTAGGTCGACTCAGCCTGAAATGAGTACCTGGTGCGATGTGTAAACATCGTCACTGGGGAGACAAAGGCGGCCGGGCGTGGTGCTGGCCACCCACCCCCTCGTGTGCCGTTCTGGCTTTCATAGGTGCTCGCTGACAGCACTTGCCCCTACAGTCTGTTAAGGCTATAAGGGGGTTCTTTGTCTTGTCTTGTGTGCGCACAGTAGCCTGATTGTAGCCACTGTCCTTGGGAGGATGAAAGCGTGGCCTTTTAAAGCTCCTGGCAGTAAAAACGGCTTTGCCAACCCACGTGTACCTGCTTCACCCTGCATTTAAGAGTCTTCAGTGCAGCTTCTCCCTGCTGCCCTGCGTTGACAACTCTGTACTTTCGCTCTCGACTGACAACAGTTTTAAACGAATAAAAAGTGGCCGTGCTGTCCTCATTTTATGGCTAAAAGTTGCAAATTCGATCAAACTTAAGCATCAGTTGAGCTCATCGTGGGATAATCTTTATAAAGTTTGATTTTTTTTTTAAGTTGCGTCTGTCACAATAAACTATTCAGATCTCGTCCCTAGTTATGGACAGATGGTGAACTAATCTCTTCGACAACTACGAACTTTTATCATTTGTTTTCTTTTTGTTCATAGATTTGTATGAATAAAACAAATTATTTATGCTAGATAATCTGCTTGGTTGTTTTAGGCATCGTCTTGACAGTATATTGTACAAATTTTACGGTAATAAAGTGCTTTGAAAATTCGTTTTTCGCTTCGTATTGTTACTAAATTACGCGCCGCGGAGTGTGTTGTGTCTGGGTTTTTAATCCAGCTAACAGAACCATGCTGTCATGTTTGGAAACCAACCAAAAGTGACGAGCATTTTGTTTATTATCCTACACCCCCCTCCCCGTCTTCATTTCACATCGTTCACGCTTTCCAATTAGGGGTTTGTTAATCTTTTACGGGTGATATGCGGGGGGGGGAAGGGGGAGACGCTGGAGTTATGCAACTCTCCTTAAGATGATCCAATGTGAGAAAAAGCTGATCCAAATGTGGCGATTCAATGTGTCGCGGTCAAGCCTCCTCGGAAATAGATTTTACAAAAAAAGAGGCATGGATTTATTTCGCCTCTTTTTCAAATGTGACGATGTCAAATCGGTTGGTCAACCACGAACTTTCTACCCGCCCCCCCACAGGGGGTGATGGGGGTCAGCATTGTTAAACAACGGCAATGCTTGTAGCAATCGTTTATTTTTGGGCGAGATCGCTTGTAACAAGCATTACATTACCGTAAGCGGTGGCGCAGAGGTTAGCACACTGGACCAACGAACCCCGTCTATCCGAGTTCGATTCCCGGCCACGGCTAACTTCAGTGGGCGAGTGATCTATCCGAACCAGCTGTTAGGCTCTTAATTTTTGTTTTAAATTGTTTCACCAACTCGCACTGACCAGCGTGGTGAAGTATGGTCAAACAACCCCCCCCCCATGACCGACACGGGCGTGTGTGTTGGGGGGGGGGGGGGGAGCCTGCAGTGTCGAGTTGATTTCGTTTCACTAAGTGACAACTCGAGTACGTTTTACTCTCCCAACACGACCGGTGTGTGCTGAACTAGAAACGAATTGGCACGTTATGTTTTCGTGACAAAACCACCTTAACAATTTTGACTTCAAGCTTTCGTGACTGCAGAAATTAATATGCCTTGAGTCTTTCGCTAAAGTCACGTAGATCGGTTCAAATAAAATAAACTTGTTATTTTCTTCTTTGAACATATCTGCGTGACTTTACCAAAAGACCCAAAGAACACCTTAACAATTGTCCGTGTCGGGTGGTGGAGGCCGGTTTAACGACGCATTTATAATTTATACGCGATCTCGCCCAAAAAATAAACTATTGAGTCTCATTTGCAAGTGACCTCTACGGAATTAGTCCTCCCAGTATATTTATCATTTAAACAAATGCCCCCCCCAACCCCCAAAATCCTTATCGTCCTGAAACCACTCTGGACCTCGGATGTCCTTGTGTAGGGGGTCTGTGTGTGCGCGATTGACCTATCCGCCTCGCAGACTGCACGTGACGTGCGCTGGCTGTGTGTGTACCTTGCCGTTCGGGGGGGACAGCTGAACTTTGTTTCCTCGGTGCAGGGGTTGTGTTTGTGGGTCACTTCTCCGGGTTTGGGTTTCTCTTCCATTAAAACAAAATATATAAAAACCCTCGCCGGTGTCTGCGTTGCCAGCAGCGCCACACATCGAACATTGAAACATTCCATTTTGCCCCAAATGGTGTTTTTATTCGTGCCCCGATAAACCCGAAACGAAGCTAATTGCATTCGCGGGCCGATAATTGCTATGCGCGCGCGCGTAACCTCAATTGAATAATACTTTGCAATGTAATATGCGGATAGGACAAAGGGACCGTAACGGTCAACTATTACGTGTGATTATATAACACGATGCAGACTTAGATTGGGAGAGAAGTGCATGTGGTTCGATATTTGCGGTGTATGTTTATTTACAATGCAGCAATCGCCCGCGCGCGCGTGTGTAGGGGAGCGGTGGTACCGCGGTTAGCGCCACGCTGCGCTACTGTCGGTGACGATTATCTGAACCGGTCCCGGGGCCTTCCCCTAGGTCGACTCAGCCTCAAATGAGTACCCGGTGCGGTGTGTAAACATTGCCACTGGGGAGACAAAGGCGGCCGGGCGTGGTGTTGGCCACCCACCCCCTCGGGTGGTGCTACTCGCTAACAGCACTTGCCCCTGCAGTCTGTTAAGGCTCGTATCTCAACAGATTTGAAGACATCGTTATTTAATTACGTACAGCTCCTTTCTCAATCTACTGCTGGATGGAGGGCCTCCCTACGCCGTTTCGGTCGTGGGGGGGGGGCGGTCGTCTGACCATACTTCACCACGCTGGTCATTTGCAGGTTGGGGTGTTGAGGAATCGCTCGCCACTGATGTTTGCCATGGCTGCGTGTCGCCGCCCCGTTTGCTAATTTGGGGCCGTCCATAAATGACGTCACGCACCTGGGGGGGGGGGGTCAGACATTTGTGACGATGTGTGACGAGGGGGGGGGGGGGTGTTGAGAAATGTGACGTCACATCAAAATGCGCAACTTTAAATAAATATAGACAACACGTTCTACTTAATTAAATAGACTTTTTAATAAATGTTTTCTCCTACAACATCAGAGTGCAGCGCCACATTAAATACTCACTACAATGACAATAGTTTAAAGCGAGGGGGGTCTGACTTTTTGTGACACCTTGTGACAAGGGGGGGGGGGGGGTCAAAAATCGTCCAAAATCGCGTGACGTCATTTATGGACGGCCCCTTTAGCGCATAGCGCTAACCACTGCGCCACCGCTCCACCGCCCTTGTTATAAAACCACGTGCCATGTGGGTGAGAGGGTGAGCACTTTAAATGAATGTGAATACCGAACGCGTGCTAGAAAATGAATCGTGCTGAATTAAGGTGGCGTGGCAGTGATAGGAGGGGGGCCGGGCTATACAGCCAGAGAGCCGAGAGACACACACACGGAGTGACACACAGACACACGCAGTGACACACAGACAGACACGCAGTGACACACAGACAGACACACACGCAGTGACACACAGACACACGCAGTGACACACACACACACGGAGTGACACACAGACACACGCAGTGACACACGCAGTGACACACACACACGCAGTGACACACAGACAGACACACAAAGACAAAGATCCCCCGTATAGCCTTAACAGACTGTAGGAGCAAGTGCTGTTAGCGAGCACACACACACACGCAGTGACACACACACACACAGTGACACACAGACACACACGCAGTGACACACAGACAGACACGCAGTGACACACATAGACACACAGACACACGCAGTGACACACAGACACACATTGACACACAGACACACGCAGTGACACACAGACACGCAGTGACACACAGACACGCAATGATACACAGACACGCAGTGACACACAGACACATGCAGTGACACATACATATACAGTGACACACACAGACACGCAGTGACACACACAGACATACAGACACACGCAGTGACACACAGACAGACACGCAGTGACACACACAGACACGCAGTGACACACAGACACACGCAGTGACACACACAGACACGCAGTGACACACAGACACACGCAGTGACACACACAGACACGCAGTGACACACACAGACACGCAATGACACACACAGACATGCAATGACACACACAGACACGCAGTGACACACACAGACACGCAATGACACACACAGACATGCAATGACACACACAGACACGCAGTGACACACACAGACACGCAATGACACACACACATATACAGTGACACAGACATGCAGTGACACACACAGACAAAAAAGGCAAAGATCCCCCGTATAGCCTTAACGGACTGTAGGGGCAAGTGCTGATAGCGAGCAGCTATGAAGGCCGGCACGGCACACGAGGGGGTGGGTGGCCAACACCACGCCCGGCCGCCTTTGTCTCCCTAGTGGCGATGTTTGACACATCGCGCCAGGTACTCATTTGATGCTGAGTCAACCTAGAGGAGGCCCAGGGCCGGTTCAGATAATCGTCACTGATGTTGGCCGTGAGCGGGAATCGAACCCGGGACGCCAGGTTCGTAGCGCAGCGCGCGAACCGCTACACTACCGCTCCCCACACACAGTGACACACACAGTGACACACAAACACAACTATCCCACGTATTGCCTTGAACAGCCTGTTGGGGCAAGTGCTTTTAGCGAGCACCTTACCCACAGACACGCGCATACGCAGCGACACACACGCACACACACACACCCACACAGACACACGCACATAGACACACGAACAGACACACACACATACACGCACATAGACACACGAACAGACACACACACATACACGCACAGACACACGTACACACACACATACGCACAGACACACGCACACACACATGCCCACACAGACACACGCACAGAGACACACGAACACAGACACACACACATACACGCACACGCACAGACACACGTACACACATACACACGCACAGACACACACACATGCCCACACAGACACACGCACATAGACACACGAACACAGAGACACACACATACGCACACACACACATATACGCCCACACATACGCACAGACACACACACACCGATTCGCACACAAGGAGTGGGCACGCCTTATATAGCAGCAACAGCGGGTGGATGACAGCGCCCATTATAAACAGGCAGTGCCGGAGCCACTGCCGGGTTTGCTCGCGAAGGCACTGATGATGAAGATGATGAAGAAGCTGTCGCTGCGGCAGACACAGCAGCAGACACAGCAGCAGACACAGCAGCATCGGCAGTAATACAACAGCTGACTGAGCCACAACCAACAGCAGAAGCAGCGAAGGGAAGAACGAACACGAATTAGCAAGTCATTCAAGACCTTGCCTCGGCAGATCACGGCCACCTTACAACGGTGATACTACAACAGCTGAGAGAATAACCAGCACCAGCACCACTAGCACCACCACCAGCACCAGCACCACCAGCACCACCAGCACCAGCACCACCACTACCAGCACCACCACTACCAGCACCACCAGCACCACCAGCAGCACCACCAGCAGCACCACCAGCACCAGCACCACTAGAACCACCACCAGCACCAACACCACCAGCACCATCACCAGCACCACCACCAGCACCACCAGCACCACCACCAGCACCACCACCAGCACCACCACCACGAGCACCACCACCAGCACCACCACCAGCCGTAACACAGACGAACAGAAGAGCCACACACCCCCACCACATTCAGCAGTGACACAAGACCACACAGCGGTAACAGCGGCAGCTGCAGCAGCAGCAGCGGCACTGCGCTAACAGCAGCAAATATAAGAACCACAGCGACGAGCGACAGAGTTACAGTAACAACAACAAGAAAAAGCAGCAACAGCACAACACAGAAGCAAGATCCGACGTGGCAGCATCGGCGACATCGCCCAAGGAAGCCGGAACAATCTCAGCCTTGGAAGAATATCATCATCAGCCTGCCTTGATTTAATAGGCGCTCGCCAACTACATTCGCCTCGACAGCAGACACACCACAACACACACCACACGCACATACCACACACACCACACACACCAACACACACACCAACACACACACACCACAACACACGCACACCAACACACCACACACAGCACACATACCACACACACCACACACACACCACACACACACCACACACACACCAACACACAGCACACACAGCACACACACACCACACACACACCCCGCAGGACCTGCAGGACCTGATTTTGAGGCTGTTGCTGCTTCGTCATCATCATCATCAGCAGCATGTCAGCTTCTGAGGCTGCATGCGAGGTGGAGGTGGAGGAGGAGGATTGGTTCGACTCTGGGACCGGAGGAGATTTGGATTCCGGGGTGCAGGAGGCGCTTCTGGAGCGGTCGGAGATACAGGTGACGGAGTGGGGGCACCCCCCCCCCCCCCCCCCCCCCCCCCCCAGTCAACGCGTGTTGAACGTGGGGGCAACGTTTGCAATGTTGATGGAACCGTCGGGCCAATGGTGGCCCGATGTCGGGCCAACATTAATCCAACGTTCGATGTTGACTGTGGGGGGTGGGAGGTGCCTGGTGTTTGTTGTTGCGCTCGATGGTGGATCCTTCGTCCCGCCGTCCCGTTCAATTCTCTCGCGTTGCTTCTCCCCTTCTGTGTTTCTGGCCCCTTTGGCACCCGCCGCTGCCGCTGGGTGCCCATGGGATTTGCGAACTAACTGTGGGAGTATACTCTTGGTTCTATTCGGTAAAGTCACGTAGGTAAAAAATAAAACAACAAAAACCACGACGTTTCGCCCACAACAGCTTTAAATCTAGAATTAACTGTGGGAGGATCTTGACTTAAAGCTTTCGTAACCGCAGGAATTCATATTCTTTGGGTCTATCGGTAGAGTCACGTAGGTAGGTTCAAATTATTTTATCTTTATGGATTCGAACCGATCTACGTGACTTTACCGAAGGACCCAAAGGATTTGACTGTGGGAGCTCTGGATTTCGCACGACCACGGTTTTCCTGAGCTCTTGATGCCTGAGTGGTTTTTTTTTATCTGTGTCCCCGGATTTTGGGTCCCGAGTCATTCTGATTTTGGGATTCTGTCTCTCTTGACTTAAGCCAGCTTCCGTGGTCTTAGATCGGCTGCTTTTACGTCTCTAGGATATGTGTCTCTGGTTCTTGGGCCTGCCCAGTTAAACATGCAACGTGGGCCCAACGTTCGCCCAACGTTCCACGTTGACCGGTGGTGGGATCTGGGTGCCCGGGGCGCGAGTTACGTTACTGCATGGCCCCGCAATTGTAAACAAACAAAGAAACCAATAAACGTAGCTTAGGCCACGAATTTTCGCATTTCCGATTCTACCGCGGGATTTACGCAGTGGGCCGCATTGCCTCGATGCCCTCCCGCCACGTGCCCGTGCTGTGTTGCCGTTCTGTTGGTTTGCTGAACTTCTTTCGCCCCGCCGCACGTAGCTAAACCGTGCTCATCGGTGGTGCGGGTACGCGCGTGTGTGTGTGTAATTTGGCTTCTGTGTGTGGGGAGCGGTAGTGTAGCGGTTAGTGCGCTGCGCTACGAACCCGGCGACCCGGGTTCGATTCTCGCTCACGGACAACACCCAGTGACGATTATATGAACCGGTCTTGGACCTCCCCTAGGTCGACTCAGCCTCCAATGAGTACCTGGTGCAGTGTGTAAACATCGCCACTGGGGGGACAAAGGCGGTCGGGCGTGGTGTTGACCACCCACCCCCTCGTGTGCCGTTCCGGCCTTCATAGGTGCTCGCTAACAGCACTTGCCCCAATAGTCTGTTAAGGCTACACGGGGGCATCTTTGTCCTTGTCTTCTGTGTGGTTGTGTTTCTAGTTGCGTGTTGAGCTGTTGTGTTGTGCGTGTGTAGTTGCGTTGGCACACTTTTTGTGATGTGGTTGTTTGAGGGCTGGTTGTGGTTGTTTTAGTGGTCATTATTAAAACAATTTTCGAACGATATAATGAATTATTATTACAAATCACCACCTACTCCACATTTCCTCCATGCCATCACCCCTCCACACCTCCACGCCGTCACCCCTCCACATCTCCACGCCATCACCCCTCCACACCTCCTCCACGTGGCTCTCCATCCTCTCTCCCCCCCACCTCCTACCGCACCCCTCCGCCCACCACCCGCTTCCGCCAGGTCCCCATGAAGAACCTGGAGCGCGAACTGCTGTGCCCGGTGTGCGAGGAGCTCTTCACGCACCCCATCATCCTGCCGTGCCAGCACAGCGTGTGCCACCGCTGCGCCAAGGAGCTCCTGTGCTCTCGCGAGTGGTCCTGCTCGTCCTCCTCGTCGTGGGCCCCGCCGGCACCCGAGGCCTCCACCGAGCCGGCGTCCCCCAGCGCGTCGCCCGTGCCGAGCCCGCGCCGCCGCAGCCTCCGCGGGGGCTCCCCGAGCGTCGAGCGGCTGGAGAAGGTGCTGCGTGCCGGTAAGCCCGTGCGCCGTCGGCGCCGCTGTCGTCCGTCCCCCTGACCCCCCCCCCACCCCCCCTCGAACCGCGGTGGTTTTTCCGGCTCGCTGGCGGAACCGTGAGGAGGTGGCGGTGGCGGGCGGCCTAAGCGTGGCTCGGCGGCGGAGAGGTCCGCGAGTTGGTTCGCGTTCTCGCGCCCTCGGAGTTGACTCGAGCGATCCTTCCGGGCTCAGTGAGACGAGGGGGAAAGTTGACGGTGTTTTTTTTTTCTTCCCGTCCAGCGACACACGACGGGACAGGGAGCCAGGCCTTCGTTTTTTCTTCTTTCTTTTTCCCCCCCCTCCCAACTATTTTCGTGTACTAATAATCCCCTCCCCCCGTGGAGCTGCGTCGAACTGTCTCCCTGATGACGAGAATGTGAAGTCGTGGTCGCACGAGTTGGATTCCATCTGCACACCGCCGCCGTTCCGCCAAGACGTTGTACCGCCGTTGGATTGAAGGCCCGGCCACGCCACGCACGTGTCGATCACGTGGGGCTACGGGACCGTAATTCACCATGCCGATCAGTGCAAGTCGGTGAATTTAAGGCGGGGGTGTCCTAGATTGGCCACTGGATATACGAACCACTGCCTTGGCTCCCCCCCCCCCCCAAGCCGCCATTTTTATCGTGGGGGGTTGGTTTGACCCATTCCTCACCGCGCAGGTCAGGGCAGATTGGTGCAGTGGGGCCCCGAAGTCCTCGGTTGTGACGTGGGTTGCCACCCGTGTCAGCGTGCCACCACTTGCAGGGCCGTAAGAAAATTTCTTGCCTGGGTGCGATCCCATTCTCTGCGTGCCCAGTCAGGTCTTGGCCTCTGACGCATTTTGAAAGTGGTTTACATTCTCAAAATGCAATCTCCTTCTGCTTGCGTTTGCTGTCAGAGGTCTGCGTCCCAGCCACTTTAGCTTCCGACCGACCGACCGACCCACCCACCCACCACCTCGTCATCATCTGGTTAAATCGGCCCTCTCGCTCCCCCATTCTAGCCAGCGCCAGGGACGGCCCTCAGCTATCAGCGCATCGGCACGCAATGATTCGGTGACTACATCGATCGATTGCTCGGCTAAAATCATATGAAAAAAATGTATTCTCACGGTCACCGAATCCTTCGCGATTTATATAACACCAACTTGTTTGGCCTGGTGGAATTCATGCGCATGCTATGTTCTTTATTTTTGGCTGACATGACAAAGAATCCAGAGCAAACGATGCAGACCATGCGGACGGTGCCAAAGAGGCGGCGGCACGGCGTGAGCCGTGGGCCGGGCAGCGGCGTCGTGCCGGTGGAAGCCTCCGGCGAGAAGGAAAATGACAGAACAGCTGACACATTGGCAGTGGCGGACGCCGGCGGGTGAATGGTTCACATCGACGGATTGCGAGAGGAGGGGAGCAGGGGCGGGGGCCGTCCATCCAGCAGTGGAGCGACGCTGCCTGGTGATTCGTGCGCCCCTTGAAAAATTGTACGCTTGTGGCATCGAGGCGATTAAAACAAAACAGTCGAGTCTTTTTTTTTGTTATTTGCAACGGGACCAACGCGAGCGCGGCCGCCGCGGCGGCGGCGGCGGCTGCTGCAGGCTGGGAATCCCTCGACGACGACGCTTCTTGCAACGCTTCGTTCGCCCTCGCTTTGCCACACCCTCGCAGGAGGTAACGGTTCGGCTCGTCCTGGGAGCAGCCTCGCGCGCGAGCGAGCGAGCGGGCGGCGTACAGTGCCGCGCAGCGAATGGTCGAAGTCTGCCGTTGCGGTGGGCGGGAGGGTGCAGATTAGCGAGGGCGGGAGCGGGCGCGCGCGCTCCTCTGCCGATTCGCTCTCGCGGGCACGCCGCACGGCGGTCGTGCGTCAGGGACATCTGCGTCAACCTGTCGCGGTGGTTTGACGTCGGGGTCCGCGCCCCACCGTCCCATCCCCTCCGTCCGCCGCACCCCTCCCCTCCCCTCCCCCCACCACCACCACCACCCAAATTCTACGCAAACACCGTTTGTGCCCGGGCGGAGGGTTCGGGATAAAGTCTGTTCTATTGTATTTTGGATTCATACAGAAGCCTTTCCAGGGCTCTGTCTCTCGGCCAGATGTGCGCGGGATCACTGGGTTTACCGAGACATGCCCTTGGGAGTGATTTCCACGAGGCCCGCGGCCCCAAGGCCAGATGGTGGTGGTGCAGGGAGGGGGGGGGTGGGGGGCGGTTGGGGTGCTGTCAGGGGCAGCACCCCTTGGAAGTGGCGCTGCCTTCGGCAGCCGGGCAGAAGCCGGCGGGGGTCGGGGAGCGCCGGCGTCGCCCGTGGTGGCGTCTCGACCGTGAATCTTGGCCGACACTCGACGAGGCACGTGACTTCCAGCCACAGCAAGAGGTGCCCTGTGGAGTGCGGTGCGCCGGCCGTGGAAAACGTCTTCTGGTTGTCGACCCGGGCGAGCCGGACTGATTCATAATAATTAACCGCCTTTGTTTTGCGCGTTAACCGTCTGTCACCGGTTCTTTTTCCACCCCCACCCCCCACCCCTCGCAGCGGTTAAGTTGAGAAAACTGACTCCGAAGAAATCAGGTAAACCGTACCTGCACGTCTCTCTTCCTCGAGGCAGACGACGTCCCCCTACCTCGTCGTCAGAAGTTTTTTTTCTTTCCCCCCCCCCCCCTGGGGATGGGTGGGGGGTAAATGGAATCAAAATCTTCTAAAAGCTTCAGCACATCGAGCTGTGTGCTCTGGTCCCACCTGGGAGTGTGTTTCTCGTCCAAAGCAGCGCCGTTGGTTACAATCGGAGTGCGATCATAATACATCGCTAGAGTGCGGCTGTGGGCAATGGCGGAGCCAGGATTTTCAGGTAGGAGGGGGCAACCCCTCCAGCAATGAAAAATGATAGAGGAGTTTAACATGTAGGCTTTCGCGACCAATATTATTCATAATAAAGGTTTTTGGGTTAGATCGCGTTAGTTATAAATCTGTCGTAACCCTCCACCACCCGACACGGCCAATCAGCAAAAAAAGTGTCACGTTTACAAAAGACAAATCCACAACATTTAAAGTTTGAATACGACGTTTCGCTGGTAATTACATCCAGCATCATCGGGCAATTAGCTAGAATGGTGGAGGGTTACGACACATTTATAAATAACGTGATATAACCCACAAACCTTTTATTATGGATAGTGGAGTTGCTAGTAAGTAAGGACTTGTCCCTTGCTTTTTATTCGACGCGTGTGCGGCGATGGCGCAGCCATCGATCGAGGGTCGAATTCGAACCGCGTTGTGTGATCGACATCACGCTCGCTGAAGGTGTTTGCCTTCAGGGAAGTCGTGTCCTGTATACACAACTGCGCACAATTCTGCGAGTCACTTATAACCGCTTTTCCATTACTTATTGCCAATTATGGACTCAGGCTATTGTCCTATCATCTCATAGAGTCCCTGGCACGTAATAATATGCTACACGGTGGCGGTGGGGGTCGTGAAATGCTGATTTATTAATAATAAACCCCAATAATCCGATCGAAATTAGGGATTTCGATTGGATCATTGGGGGGGCACGTGCCAAACCGACTCCGGTCGTCATCCTCGCAGCAGCAACAGCAGCAGCGGCAGCTTTTGGCTTCAGCCATCGAACAAAGACGGCGGTCGCACCGCATCGCGTGGCGCATTCAGATGCGCTTCTGAGGCCGTCTGGAACGACGCTCTTCCTTCCGATATTAGGAAGCCCACTGGGAGCTATGATGCACTTTTAAACCATCGAGATTGCCCTTCCCCCGCGCCTCCGATGAGCACGGTTGGCTACGTACGGATCAAAAGAAGTTCAACGTACCGTACATACAGACGTACATACACGGGGGACTCGTAGTGAGATCGTAACTCCCACTCGTGTTAGATCTGTTGCTCGGGGGTTGCGTCCTCACTCCCACCGTCTCCAGCCGGTGGCCCTGCCAGGGAGACGAGGACCAGCACCCGTCCGGCACGGCCAGACGGGTGCTGGACGTGTGCCATGAGTCTGCCAATGCCGAGTCCTGTAAACCCTCCATCGCTCTGGAGTGGAGGAAAATCTTCATCCCGAACCGAACTAGGCGACGCCGCTACAGTTGTTGTGGCACGTCCCGCACTCTGGCCCCGCGCACCCTAAATTTACAACTTGAGATGTAAATTTATAAAGCCGCTAAATATGCCTTCCCCCGTCTTAGGACGCTGCGCAAATAGGGATGGGGTGATTCTTTTTAAAAGGATTTGCTTCTCCGTTGACTTTATTGGGGGGTTGTAATCGCAGGCGTCGCTCGGCACGCGGCGTGCCGACGTTCCCCCTCCTCGTGCCGACCGCTCCTGGGCGTGCTCTCGGCAACACGCGGCGCGAAACGTCGGACACCGTGCCGAAAGGACACCGCGGTCGCGACCCCCGAAAACTCCGCGGAGAGCCGCACAGCGCGGCCGCGAAGACCTGAACACGGCCGTAGGGAGGGGGCCGTTTGTCAACGCTAGGCAGACGCAGCGCTGTTGTAACCCCGGCACTGCTTGCTGCGGATAGGGAAACACACTCCCAGGAACAATTGCAGGCCAGTCTTCCTCTACGGCTGCAGCTTGCGGCGCACTGCCTTGCCCTGCCGCTGCCTGTGTGGTTTTGTTAAGGAGGGAGGGCGGCTTCAGGTTTCGGGAGGCTGTCTCTTCTTCTCTCGCCTCTGTCGCTCCTGTGGGTTACGCTGGCTCATCTTGGCCATGTGGGTGGCATGCGTGTTCGTGTGTTGCAGCAGCTGGAACTTGCAAGGTGTTTCCCCCCCCCCCCCCGTGTTTTGCTGATGTGTGTATGTCATGTGTGTGTGCATGTGAATTATTGTTATTGTGCGTGTATGTATTGTTACGGGGAGCGGTAGCGTAGCGGTTAGCGCGCTGCGCTCCAAACCCGGCGAGCCGAGTTCGATTCCCGCTCACGGTCAAAACCAGTGACGATCATCTGAACCGGTCCTCCCCTAGGTCGACTCAGCCTCCAATGACTACCTGGTGTGGTGTGTAAACATCGCCACCGGGGGAGACAAAGGCTGGCCACCCGCCCCACCGTGCTACTCATACTTTCCCCAACAGTCTGTTAGACTATACGGGGGGGGGGGGATCTTTGTGTATGTGTAGTGACTCACTTAGGGGACAGGGTTCATTCATGCACTTTCTTTGTTGTACACGTTAGGGGATCTACAGGCACCCTACGTGCTTACACGCTAGTCACACGTCCGTCTCTTCTGACGGCACTGCCTAGCTAGTACAGTCGGCAGACTGTCTAGCTCATGGCGGCGTCGAAGAAGGGTGGTCAAGACGGCGGCGACGGTGGTGACGAACGGCGACACGGCGAGAGGCTATCCACTTCCAGCGACAGCCCCGAGCTCTCGCCCCGGGCCCCCTTTTATCCTCCCGGCGTGGCCTCGCTCCGCCCTCGCCACGCCCCCTTTCCGGAACCTACTAGCAGGTTCCCGGGCTTCCAGATGGACCCCTTCCTGAGCTTCTCTTTAGATCTCCTCCCTCTGCTGACGTGTGTACTGCCCTCTGCTGTTAGTACCACTTTTCCGTCAAAAGCCAGCGTTATTACACCACATATGTATTGCGTGGCTATAAATAATGTACATTAGTGATTCAATACTGTGATTCAATACTGTGAATCACTAATCAAAGGTCGCCCGGTGACTAAAAGCTCACAGCGCTGAAGCCAGCACTGCTGAGAGCCCGGGTTCGAATCCGGGTTTCAGCCGCGTCTGGTACAAGCCAGGTTCTCAAGTGTGGCAAGTTGACGGTTTCAGCCAGGCCACCAGTGACGACGCACCACAATAAATTGGCAAATAAATAAGCAGATCAGTTTCTCCGCGGTAACGATGAACATTGCTCCCCTTAATAGTCGGAACCGGCTGGAAAGTGCTGCGTCGTTACTCCCTGGGCTCAGAGGGCTCTAAAATCGATCTCAGAGGTAGCTCTGTGGTATCCGCTTCCAAATGGATTCTGCGTTTTGTGACGCCGCCGATAGACCACAATCTGGATAACGGTCCTCGACGTGGTCTGGGGGAGGAGCGGGGGGTGGGGGGGGGGTAGGGGTTACACGTGCGACGTGTCCAGCAATAGCTAAAGAGCCCGCTGCTTTAACAAAAAAAAAGCATGCTTTTTAGTTTTTCTGCCGAGTCAGCCCAGAGGGAGGTTTCGGGCCAAATCGATCACCCCAGGCTGCTGGCTCCCGCGGGGGGGGGCGGGGGTGGGGGGGGGGGAGCTTTCGGATTGCCGTACCTACATGGGCGCCGCTGTCAATCGGAGCTATCGCGGGCCGCTCTCCCCCATCGTGACCCTTGACGATGGCCACCATTGTAACATCGACCCCAGCAGGCAAAGCGCCCGCTCGCGAGTGCTCAGCCCGGCACGACACACGACCGAGGGGGCGGTGTGTGGCCAGCGCCGCGCCCCGGCCGCCTTTGTCTCCCCCCACAGCCGATGTTTTACCTCGCCGCGCCAGCTGGTCGTTTAAGGTTGAGTCGACCTATGGGATGGCCACTGATTGTTGGCCGTCGTCGGGAAATCGAACTCGAGGCACCAGGTTCGTGGTGCAGCGCGCTGATCTCTACACCGCCGCGCCTTACGCACAGCGACAAAGGTACCCTGTGTAGCCTTAACAGACTGTTAGGCGCTCACTAACACCACTTGCCCCATGAAAGCCGGAACGGCACACGAGGGGGTGGGTGGCCAACACCACGCCCGGCCGTCTTTGTCTCCCCAGCGGCGATGTTAACACTCTGCACCTGGTGCTCGTTTGCGGGGGCGGGGGTGGGCCGACCTCGTGGAGGCCCGGGACCGGTTCAGATGATCGTCACTGGAGTTAGCCGTGGGCGGGAATCGAACTCGGGTCACCGGGTCCGTAGCGCGGCGTAGCGCTAACCGCTGCACCACCGCTCCCACACGGCCCTGACAAACGCACGCACTCGTGCACAAACCATTCGCCCTCGCACGGAGAGACACTCGCACGCTCGCATCGCTCGCTCGGCCTCGGCACAAACACGCGCGGGCTGCGTGAGCTGGCGTGAATGTGCTGAGATGATTAAAGCACAAAGGCTCGATTGTCTCTTAGTGGGGGGGGGGGGGGGGGGTTGGTGGGAGCCCCCCCGGGTCTGCTTGATAAGCGCAAGCGCCTGCATACCTGAACCTCTTCCACGCTAATTCGCACCGAGTCCCAACAAGCCCCCGCTCGTGACAACACAATCACGGCCACTGTCACTTGCTCATTACTGTTGGCCCCAAATCCTATTACAGGGTACAGCGTGTGTGTCTGTTTGTGTGTACGTGTCTGTTTGCCTGTCTTTTTGTGTGTATGTGTGCCTATTTGTGTGTACGTCTGTGTGTGTGTGTGTGTGTCTGTTTGTGTGTGTCAGTCATGGGGAGCGATCGTGTTTGTAGCGGTTAGCGCACTGCGCTACGCACCCGGCGACCCGAGTTAGATTCCCGCTCAAGCCCACCATCGCTGACTATTAGCTGAACCGGTCCTGGGCCTCCCCAAGGTCGACTCAGCCTCACATGAGAACTGCACTTGGTCCGCTGTGTAAACATCACCACTGGGGACACAAATGTAGTTAGACGTAGTGCTGGCCACCCACCCCCTCGTGTGCCGTGCCGGCCTTCATAGGTGCTCGCTCACAGCACTTGCCCCAAAAATCTCAGAAGGCTACACTGGGTGATCTGTGTCTTTGTGTACGTGTGGTGTGTGGTGTGTGGTGTGTGGTGCGTGTTAACACGATCGGAACGGATGATGCGCGCAGGGCGAGAGGCCCCGCCGAGTGGGAGCTCCGTGTCTCCTGCGGGAATGTGTGTGAGCGTCCGTGCGTGGGGGGCGTCTATGTGTGGGCGGCATGCGTGGGTTGTGCGTGCGTGGCGTGCGAGGTCTAGCGTCCTCCGCTCATCCTCGCTGCTAATCTACGCGTCTGGAGGCTGCGACGCCGTCACGCCGCGACCCCCTCTCCCCCGCCCCCAACCGATCATCGTCGTCATTATCGTCGTCAGCCTCCCGTGAACTTTCGACACAATACATCCGTACAGCACCTGGAATTGATTCCATCCACCTCGGTGGCCATCCTCAAAGACGCGGTTCCATTCCTTGGCCGCCACTCGTTTTTTTTTTCCCTTCCTTCCCTTTTCCCTCGGCCATCGGCGATCGGCGATCGTCCCTTCTGGCCGCGACGAGCCGCGTCTCGCTCGCTCTCCTTTAGCGGTGTCTCCGACACGGCCGGTGGGAATGTTCGACGACGACGACAATGAGGGTGGACGCACTTTTTGTTTACCCAGGGAGACGTCACAGGAGTCTCGGGCACTGTCTCCAGGGAGGGCACCGCTCCAACGCGATGTTTTTGGCCTATTCCGTTTTGAGTTGCTTGAGCGATGAGCGTTTGGCGTCGCGTGGCAGGAAAACCCGAAAAACAAAGCCCCGAAGAAACCTCCCCTCCCCTCCCCTCCGGCACTCCCGCGAGGAGATACCCAACACTCGACGGATCGCCCACAGACGAATCATTTAAACGAACAAAATTAACGCTTCCCCGCCGCCCTCCCCCGCCCGCCGCCTCCGATCTACCCAGAATCCCTTGTGAACCTGACGGCTGCCCGCCCGGGTGCCCGCGGCGGCTGCTCCTTCCCGTGCCCGTCCTGCGACTGCGACGTCGACCTGGGGCCCAGGGGCATCGCCGGACTCTTCCGCAACTTCACGCTGGAGACCATCGTGGAGCGATTCCGACAGGCGGGTGTCCAACAGGGGTGGGGGCGTGGTGGGGTGGGGGGGTGTGGGGGATAGTGGGGGGGGGGTGGTAGTGCGCCTACGCATGGGTGAAGTCGATCGACGCCGATCGACGTCGATGCACGCAAGGCAAAGCGGCCGCGCGCCCCCCTTTTGTAAATCGGTTGTTGAAAAACATTTGACGGGAAATTGCACCGATATGATTTGCTGAGTGCTGCGAATGGGGAAGTGAAATGAAACGATGAAAGGAGAGAATAACAACAACAAAAGGGGACTGTTGCAATTAGGCCAAGAACGGGCCTTGGTTACTCGCTTATCAGGCTGTGCAGCGTGCTGTTCGCCTGCCACTTCGCTCTCCCAAGTTTCCGAATGAATCGAGTTCCTCACGAAGCTCTCAGTGCGTGGATCGAAACGCCGGACATCGTGGGAGAGCTGCACAGTGTCCCCTCCCCCCCCCCCCCCCGTATCGCCCCCCCCCCCACCGTGTTGCCCCCCCGCGTCCCTCCCCCCCGTGTCACCCCCACCATGTCACCCTCCTCGTGCCCCCAGAGCGCTGGGGCACAGCCTGCACCAACACAGCTGCGTTGGCAAGGGGCGTTTGTTTCATTGCACGCCCGTCTCCTCTGCTGTCACCTCCACCATGACCCACCACCATCACCACCACCACCACCGTGAACACCGCCACCATTGCCTACGTCATCTTCACTACCGCCACCTTCACTGCCACCTCCACCACCACCGTCGCCTTCACTTCCTCCACCGCCATCGCCTTCACCGCCACCACCGCCACCACCACCACCACCACCACCCCCTGCCACCACCACCTACAGGCGGCCAGGGCTGCGACGGCCGTGATGTGCGACCTGTGCTACCCTCCGCCGACCGAGGCCACCAAGAGCTGCCTGGACTGCCGCAAGAGCTACTGCAACGAGTGCTTCAAGGTGCACCATCCCTGGAACACGTCCAGGGCCACGCACGAGTACATCGGGCCGACCAAGAACTTCCGGCCCAAGGTGGGGACGGGACGCAAGGCGGGAGGGCGGCTCGTCAGGCACCCCCCTCCCTCCACCCACCACCACCCACCCCCCTCCACACCCCCCCCCCCCCCGTCTCCCCCCATGCCCCACGCCGGCAGGATACGGACACGACGAAGCGACCGCGTGGTGGGGGGGCACCGTCGCGGCAGCGCCTGCCGTGATCGTGACGTCGCTCCGCCCCCCGCGTGCCTGACCTAGATCCACACCACCCGCCCACCCACCCCCACCTCCCCTCCCACCACCCACCCCCGCCCCCATCCCTCTCTACGTTCTTAGAATTCTTCGAATGTTTCGCTTGTTAGGTATACCCGGCTCTGCAAACGCGCTAACATTTGGTCAGACTTGTGTAGATTTTCCTGAGCCTGAGAAGCCTCGTGCCACCGCCACCGCTTCCCTGCTTACCCCCCCCCACACCCCCCGTGCCCCCCACTCCCGAAGGTGCTGATGTGCCCGGAGCACGAGGCGGAGAAGGTGAACATGTACTGCGAGGTTTGCCGCCGCCCCGTGTGCCACCTGTGCAAGCTCGCCGGCATTCACTCCAACCACAAGGTCACCAACATCAACAGCGCCTACAAGGCACTCAAGGTGGGCACGTGACGACGACGACGACGACGTGGAGGGGACCGCCGCCTCCGTCGTCGTTGTCGTCACCGCGGTCGTCGTCGTCGCGGTCGTCGCGACGATCGTCGTCGCAGTTGTCATAACAGTCATCGTCGCGGTCGTCTTCGCGGTCGTCACAACGATTGTAGTCACCGTCATCATCCTGCTCGTGGTCTTCACGTTCATCGCCGGCCTCGCCATGAGCTTCGGCACGGTTCTTACATTCGTCGCGATCGTTGGGGTCGTCATTGTAATAGTCACGATTGTTGTCGTCACGATGGTGACCTTTGTCACCACCGGCATTGTCGTCGTCGTCGTCATCATCCTCGTCGTGTCGGTCATCGTCAACATCATCACAGTCATTTTCATCGTCAATGTCGTCATCGTCATACTCGTGAACATCATCTTGGCTGCTGTAAATGTCCACGTGATAAGGCCACTTCGTTGAGCTATCATTTGTGAAAGCCAGGTCGCTGCTGAATAAGAGCTACATTGCAGCTCAGTGGGCCTTATCTGGTAGTAAAAAAAATAATAATTAAGTTTTAGTTTGTGTAGTTTAGTTTATTTCTGATACTCACGCGATGAGCGGTGCCACGTGGTAGGGTCTGCACGGTCGTAGCCACCTTGCTAAATCTTCATAATAAGGTGACCCCACTCAATCTAGTTTCTATAAAAAGGTGACCCCACTAAATCTAATTTCATAATAAGGTGACCCCACTAAATCTAATTTCATAATAAGGTGACCCCACTAAATCTAATTTCATAATAAGGTGACCCCACTAAATCTAATTTCATAATAAGGTGACCCCCACTAAATCTAATTTCATAAAAAGGTGACCCCACCAAATCGAATTCGCATCAAGCACATTGTTACGGCTTAAACTCCACGTCTATCCTGGGGCATCACCTCTAACCCCCCTCCTCCCCCTCCCCCACCCCTCCCTCCCTCCCTCCCTCCCACGGCTTCTTCTCGTCTCTCCCTCATTGGCGCTGCCAGGAGAAATTGGCCAAGAGCATCAACCTGCTGATGAGCAAGGAGGACCAGGTGAAGGAGCAGCTGGGAGTCATCGAGACTCTGATCGAGGACACGGAGGTGCGATGCTTTGCTAATCGATCGGCGTCCCAGACCGCCCCCACCCCCCCCGCCCCCACCCCCCCCCCCCCGGGGTCGTGCGGCGGTCCGAGCGGCAGATCATGAGGACACCGCCGCTGGGCACGGTTGGCCACGCGCGGTGTTAAAGAAGTTCAAGCGAACGTACATCCATTGTGCCCATCCACGTATTTGTCATTCCACCTCCGTGGCTGTCCTTAACTGCATGTCCTCCATCCTTCAACGCCTGCATCCTTGCCCCCCCCCCCCCGCCCCCCCCCGTCATTCCACTTTCCACTCTTCCCCACACTCACCCTTCCGTCGTATCTATTCCTGCGTCCGTGTGAACTCTTCTCCCGTCTCTGCATTTGTCTCAGCCCAGCTGTTCACCCGTGACACCTGGGTCTGTCCCGTCACCGCGTGCCAGTGAGCCTTGGACACTTGGCGTGGCTTGAGGGTGCACGTAGCCTGGTTACAAGCACTGTGGTGGTGTCACCATCACTTCGTGGCACATGGTGGCGGTTGTTGTTGACTGCATCCGTGTGCACGTGTGTCTGTCAGCGGTTAGCGCGCCGCGCTGCGAACCCGGCGACCCGAGTTCGATTCCCACTGACGGCCAATACCCAGTGACGATTATCTGAACCGGTCCTGGGCCTCCCCTAGGTCGACTTGGCCTCAAATGAGTACGGGGCGCAGTGTGTAAAAACATCGCCACTGGGGAGACAAAGGTGGTCGGGCGTGGTGCTTGCCACCCACCCCCTCGTGTGCCGGCCGTCATGGGCGCCCGCTAACAGCGCTTGCCCCAACAGTCTGTTTAGACTACACGGGGGATCTGTGTCTTTATCAGTGCTCCTGCGTGTCCGCGCGTCCACTGGCGCGTGCGTTGCATCTGTCCACATGACATCGGCGCATCCACGCACGCGTCCGTCCGTCCGTCCGCGTGTCCGCCCGTCCGCGCGTCCGTTCCGTTCCGTGTGCGTGCAGACGGGCGGCGATCTCGCGGCGCGCAGCATCACGGATGCCTTCGGGGGCCTGGAGGAGGCCGTGCAGGCGCGGCGGGCGGCCATGTCGCACCGCCTGGAGGGCTGCCGCGACGACGTCGCGCGCCGGCTGCACTCGCAGCACGCCGAGTGCGAGCAGCTGCTGCAGAGCTCGGGCCTCGTCGGCCTCGCCCGCGAGTTCCTCAAGGAGAGCGACCCCTCCTGCTTCATGCAGACCGCCAAGCTGCTGCACAGCAGGTAGACGAAGATCATGAAGGCGACGTTGATGGCGACGTTGATGGCGTCGATGGCGGCGACGACGATGATGATAGCGGTGACGATAATGGCGACGAAGATGATAGCGACGATGGCGACCGTGGCGACGATGACGATGATGACGGTGACGATGATGATGATGACGATGACGACGACGGGGACGACGACGCAGCAGGGTCGCGCGGTGCCCACCAGCGCGTGCCAAAGAGGCCCCTTTCTTTCCGCTGGTGGAGGCCCAGCCGGCAGCGGTGGCGCGAGCCGGCTACTGCGCGGGGCTGTCGTCTCGGCCGTTTTGTGGCCAGGCAGTACGCACGCGTACACGGACGCACGCGCACGCGTGTGCGCGTACACACGCACACGCGTGCGCATACACATGTACACACGTACACATAGTACACACGTACACATAGTACACACGTACACAAACACATGCACACGCACACACGTACACACGTACACATAGTACACACGTACACATATTACACACGTACACAAACACATGCACACGCGCACACGCGCACATGTACACACATACACATATTACACACGTACACGTACACATATTACACGCGTACACAAACACGTACACACGCACACACACACACACACGATGCGTGCGCGCGTGATCCCGCAGTTCTGGTGTTGGGCCTCCCATAGGGTTCACTCGGCTTGAAATGAGTACCTGGTGAAGCCTGTAAACATCAGCAATGGGGAGACAAAGACGGCCGGGTGCGGTGCTGTCCTGCCCACCCACTTGCGCGTGCGCGCCGTGCCGGCCATCGTCGGTGTTCGCTGACAGCACTTGCCCCCGACGGTCTGTTGGAGGCTACACGGGGCACCTTTGTCTTTGTGATCCCGCAGGATCATGAGGGCGACGGATCGCTTCAAGTCGTTTGAGCCGGACGTGGTGGACGCGTCATTCTCCGGGTTCACGGTGGACGTGGCTCGGGAACAAGCCTTGCTGGGCTCCCTCGACTTCCTCAAGGGTGAGGGCCCACCACCGCCAGCACCACAGCCACCACCACCAGCACCACCGCCACCACCGCCACCACCACCACCACCACAGCCACCACCACCACCACCACCACAGCCACGACTACCACCACCACAGCCACCACCACTGACACCGCCACCACCACCACCACCGCCAGCACCCCCACCACAGCGACCACCACCGCCACAACAACAACCGCCATTCGCTACTTCGTGGCGGTGACATCACCACGGCGCTTGCGCCAGGCTGAGTGCAATTTAAGGCCGCGTGAAGTGTCGAATGCCCGCCGGCAGGCGGTCACGGGACAGACCCCTCATCTCGTGGGAGGGCGCGCCCGCCGGCAGCTGTCCCCGTGTGGCAAAAAGGGAAATTCGTCCTGCGGTAGCGTGCGACGTTTGCTCTGCGGCGGATTCCCCCAGCGACCGATCGACTTCGTGAGTAGATTCACCAAACGTGGGGCGCCACGCCGGCACGCGGTGCCGACCGCTCCACCTCGAGAACGTCGCCTGGCAACGTCCAACTGTGGCCAACCGTGCGGCTCGTCCACGCAGCGGAGATGCGAGTCAGACCCCGACCGGCACGCTTCACGACGCGGCCCGGCGATTGGCGGCGATGCGGCAGTCACGTTGGCAAACCCTCTCCCCCCCCCCCCTCCCCCCAGCCCCGACCGCGTAGACGTTTGGGCGCCACCCCCCTCGTGCATGGTCGGGGTTTTCTCCGGGCTCCCTCCGGTTTCCCTGCCCCCCCCCCCCCGCACCCGAAGCGCCGAACGCTCGCCCCAAAACGGATCTGGCCGGACATCCCCAACGTAGCGGGACCCTCATGGAGAGATTTGCTCGGCGAGGCTCGGCGAGGTGTGACCAAGAATGGCGGAGCGGAGAGAGGCCATGGCGGTGACAATGAACCGGCGGTGATGATGAACCGGCGATGGTGACGATGAACCGGCGGTAACGATGAACTGGCGGTGACAATGAACCGGCGGTGATGATGAAACGATGGCGACGATGAGCCGGCGTTGACGATGACACAGCGGTGACGACCCAGTGGCGATGAATGAACTGGCAACGGTGATGATGAACCGGCGACTTTGACGATGAACCGGCGGCGAGGATCTAAACGGCGGTGACAATGAACCGGTGACGGTGACGATGAACCCCCCGCGTTTTGTGTTCCAGCCCCGGAGACGCCGGTGCTGGACCCGAGCCGCAGCGCGATTTACAAAGACGCCCAGGTGAGCTGGTCTCTCCCCGAGGGCTCCGCTCCTGCCGATCGGTTCCAACTCGAGTTCCGGCCCCCTCCGCGGCGCCACCCGTCGCCCGTCCCGGATCGCGGCACCCCGGATCCGGCTACCGAAGATGACGACGACGACGACCCGGAGTGGAGCCGCGTGGACGGGATCCGGAGCACGAGCCACATGGTGACGGGAGTCCGGTCCGGCACGGACCTCGCGGTCCGAGTCCGAGCCGTCAACGCAGCCGGAGCGAGTGCGTTCAGCGCGGAGATGACGATCGCGGCACCGCCGGCGCAAGGTAGGCAGACGCATGTTGCGCGCTGGCACGCGCTGGTGCACACATCAGCACGCACGTCACGTGCACATTCGCACGCGTAATAATAAGAATACGAATTGTTGCAATCTCTGCGTTTCAGTGTCGCTTGCTTAAATGCCTCGGCGGGTCAAGGTGTACCTGGCATCAAATCCTCACCTCGGTCTCTCGAAGGGCTGTCCCTTGCGCAGCGCAAAGTCACTCGGCACCGGCCTGCGAGTAGGCGTGCGCCTGCAAGTCGGGGACAGCTGCCACCGGTGGCGTCCGCCTCGGCTAGACCGCGGCAAGGCGTTGGGACGGCTGAGATGGGACGCGACGGTGGGGGGTGGGGGGTGAAGGTGGTGAAGGCGCTTGGAGACGCCGGGGTCTTTGAGCGAGCGGCCCTGTGTTGCCACGACTCTCCCTCGTCCCTTCGTCCCAGTCTTCAGCTTCCTGCTGGACGACGACTGCGGCTACGAGCGCGAGCGGCTCGTCCTCTCCCCGCGCCGCGCCAGCGTCGACAGCGTCGTCGGGCTGCCCGCTCTGCTCGCGTCCGAGGGGCTCGGCGCCGGCGACGGCGACGACCCCCGCCGCTGCCACGGGGACGGCGGCAGCGGCGTCGACGGCGCCGCCGGCGGTCCGCTGGCGCCGCTGTCGTTCGTCGCCGGGGACGCGGCCGTGAGAGGCGGGCGCCACTTCTGGGTGGTGCGCGTGCGGCCGAGCAGCTACCTGGTGCGTGTCGGGGTGGCGGCGCCGGAGGCTCTGCGGCGCTGGCTGCGTCGCACCGGTGGTGGCAGCGGCGGCAGCGGCGGCAGAGGCAGCGCCGGCGGCAAGGACGCGGCCGCGCGGGGGAAGGGCGTTCGGTGAGCGGCGCTACCGCTCGTGGGTGGTCCCCGATCCTGTTCCTAACGCAGATCTATTATTGTTGTTGTTATTGTTATTGTTGTTATTGTTGTTATTGTTGTTGTTCTTGTTGTTACCGGCTAATATTGCACGCCGGCCGCGTCGCACTCCCACGATGTCGCAAGTCGTTCGCAAAGACCGCAGGCTATCTGCGCCACGTGTCACGGTCTTACTTTTTATTTTAAATAAATTTCGTCAAAAATTACCCCTAAATGTAAAGCGCACGGCAATCATCGCCTTCCTCCCGAACCTACCAGCAGGCTCATGCCATTGCCGGTTCCATGCCGAGTCGCCTTGTGCTGCACAGGGACAGCTGCCATAAGGGGGTTTCCCCTAGCCAATGCGGCATCACCTTAGCCCCAAAGAGAATTCCAATCGGTGGCTGTATTGTCTTTCAGAGCTTATGGCTCTCAGTTGGTGAATGCATGCACGTACGCTTCTCACCGTGTAGATGCATGCGTAGGCCGTGTGTCCCGGGCTGTCCCACCCGCGTTTAAAGCTTCGTTGGGTGAGAGCCATGATGGTGATGACGATTAACAGGAAGTTATACGTATGTTTGTTAAACTTCTTTCGCACCATGCACGATGATGATCATGACAATTACGGGATGACGGTTTTTGCTCAGAATGATGATGATGGCGATGCTTATCAAGATAATGATGACGGCGATCCTGAACATGAGGATTATCACAATGATGATAATGATGCTGATATTTGATTTGATGAAGACAATGACGATCAGCACAACGGCGATGATGACGACGATTCCCCCCCCCCCGCCCGCCCGCCCGCAGGCACAAGCCGGACAGCCCCTCCTCCGCCGCCCCCTCGGCGTCACCGTCCTGCGCCTTCGTCTCCGTGGGCATGGGTCAGGTGGTGGCCCCCAGCTGGGCCCAGCTGCCCGCGCCCCCCTCCTCTCCCGCCAAGGGCACGACCCGGGCGGCACCGCAGGCGCCGGCGTTGCCGCAGCACCGCCAGCAGCAGCCGCAGCAGCCGGCGCCGCGCGCCACCTCCGCTCGCTCCCAGCGGGCCGCGAAACCCCTCGCTCGCTCCGCCTCCGCGACGAAGTCGGCGCCGGGGACGCCGCGGCGCGCCGCGGCCTCCGGGCGGAACGCGCGCGTGTCGGCGCTGCCGGCGCGCCTCGGCGTCTGCCTGGACCACGGCGCCGGGACGGTGGCGTTCTACGACGCCGACGGCGGCAGAGCGACCCGGCTCTGCGAGATGCCGGTCGACTGCTCGGGCCCTGTGTTCCCCGTGTTCGGGTTTCTGGGCGGCGGCGGGCTGGAGCTGGAAGTGGCCGACGGTGGGGTCTGCGCCGACAGTACCGGTGGAGGTGGCGGCGGCGGCGGCAAGAGGGGAGCCACGCCGCCGCTGTCGGGACGGCCGGGCGTGAACGGTGTCTGACCGCAGCCGTGCGGGAAATTAATTTTGGGCCTGTCGTTAAAAAAACATCTGTGGGTCTCACGTAAGTCTATCAGTGTCTGTATGAGGCTGTGGGTCTCTATGTGAGTCTATGGGTCTCCCTGTGAGTCTATGGCTCTCCATGTGAGTCTATGGGTCTTTATGTTAGTCTGTGGGTCTCTACGTGAGACTGTGGGTATCTGTGCATCTGTGGGTCTCCGTATCAATCTGAGGGTCTCTGTGTGAGTCCATGGGTCTTTATGTGATTGTCTGGGTCTCCGTGTGAGTCTATGGGTCTCCGTGTGAGTCTGTGGGTCTCCGTGTGAGCCTGGAGCTTGAGTGGGTGAGAGACGGGAGTGTCTTGTTGTGGTCGTTATTTTTGTTTAGTTTGTTTATTTTTTTCTGGTCGAACAAAGCCCTCGCTCTGAATCGGGGCCTTTGCTTGAAACATCAGCCGAGTGGAGGGAATATTTTTTTTTCCTTTCTCTAAGGTGGTGGAAATGGCGAACGCGGTGAGTGATGGTGGTCCACCACCACCGCCGACGGTGCTGCTAAAAAAACGACCTTTCGCTCTTGTGAGAAATCCCCACCACCTTAATTTCATCTCGTAATTTTATTTTGTCTCTCTCTCTCACCTCCCACGTTTTATGTCTGTCGACGCCGGCGCGCTCGGCGCATCACCACAGCGGGGGGGGGGGGGGGGGGGGGGGGGGAGGGGAGACCCGCGCGTCTTAAAAACAAAACAAAAAAACGGCACCCTCGTCGTATCTCTCGGTGCAGCCGATTTCGGTTGAAAGTTGGCGACGCGGCCGGACCCGTCCTCGCGTCGCTCCCGCGGCGACAGTCGGTGCCGCTTGTGCTGGGAGTTGGGGGGCGGCGGCGGGGGGGTTTGCCACCCCCCCCCGGAGTGACGACCAACGCCAAACTCCGGAAGGATCGACCTCAAACCCGTGCCTCGTCGAGCTCGCGGAAACAAAATCCCAGGTCGGGGGCGGCCGCGCGGAGCTATGCAAGGCGCGCGCAAACGGAGAGCGCTCGCGGCGTCAACGTGCCAAGCCATCAGCCGAGACTCCCAAGTTGGGTCCAACAGTGCTCACCGTATATCGCTGAGCATTAGGTAGCGCGCCTCTTGCTGTGGTGTCCCCGTGCCTCCGCGTTCTAATCCACACCCACCCCCCCCCCCCCCCCCCCCCCCAAAAAAAATGTTTTTGTTACTTTATTACGAGATTTGTTTCCCTTGAGGTGTTGTTTAATTGTGACTGCACAGTGGGATGCTATCTCCCCACGCCAGGTCTCACAACAACACCCCCTACTACTGCTGCCTAATAATAATAATAACAATCGTAATCGTCAAACACGATGGTGATTCTGACGTCTTGAAAATGTGCATGCAAATGAACACTTAATTTACAGGGTGCAAAAGCAATATTCAGCTAAACTTTAAAGATTGCACTGCGAAAAAAGGAAAGGCACTAACAATGTTGCTGCTGCTGATGCTGCTGATGCTACTACTACGGGTCGGGATTTGGGGGCACGTGTCTTTGTCTCGTGTCTTTGTCTCGTGTCTAACACCGTGTCTAACACCGTGTCTAAGCTCAATTACGAATGTGTGTCGGTGCGCGCGAGATCAATCAGCTATGTAGTGGCGGGGGGGGGGGTGGTGCAGTGGTTAGCACGCTGCGCTACGAACCCAGCAACCAGAGTTCGATTCCCGCTCACGACCAATAACAGCGGCGATTAATTGGAACCGGTTCTGGGTCTCCCCGAAGTGAATACCTGCTGCGGTGTGCAAACATCAGGACTGGGGAGACAAAGGCGGCCGTGCATGATGCTGGCCACCCACCACCCCCTTGTCGCTCTGTGTTGGCCTCTATAGGTGCTACTCGCTAATAGCACTTTGCCCCAACGGTCCGGTAAAGGCTCTACGGGGGATCTTTGTGTCTGTGTGTGTTTGCGTAATAATTGAACGGCATAAAGGAAGCAAGGAAACCAGGCGCTGTGTGGTGCCTTTTTGTCCGAAGTAAGGGCGACTCGTCCGTAGCGACCACCCCCCCCCTCCTACTCTACTCTGGGCAGCCCAGGGATTGCGTATAACGGATTAGCCAAAGAGAAATTAGCCTCCGTTTCCCCCCCCCCCCCCCCCCCCCCCCAGTAACATTTGTTCGCGCCGATGTTAAATCGTTAGACGCTGAACCTTGGGTGAATGTCGTGAATCGTCGAGGCTGCTTCTCACAGCCCCCCCCCCCCCCCCCCACCGATTATAGCACGGTTTGCCCGCGTACGACGCGAAATAATTGTCAACGCGTGCCCACTTCACGGGCCTCCTCCTGCTCCCTTGCACTTGGCGTTCACGTGGAACCAGCGCCGGGCGTGGCGTTCGCGTCTCGCCATCAGGAGTCGTCGGCACCCCGCGTAAGCCGCCGGCGAACGGGGGTCACCCCGGCACAAACAGCGGCGTCACTTTCTCAACGTTGCCCCGCGTAGGTCGCCCGCCTGCCTGCCCACCCCCCCCATCAGAATGGGCCGAAAGGGGGATGGGGAAATTGTGATGGTGCCAGATCTTTGGGCTGCTTGGGTGTGATGGGAAACACAGCCCAAACCTGAAGGCTTTCCTCGTTGTGAGGTCTGGAACTGTTATCTGGCAACTGCTCTGGAGGAAGAGGAGGAAGAGGAAGAAGGCTGCCACCCTAAATTCTGGATGTTTTCACCAATTATGGACTTTCAGTTTCAATCTTGATTTGAAGCTTGACTTTCAGTTTCTTCATCGTCCGCAAAGAGGACGCTAAATGGGAGGCATTCTTTCGGGGCGGGCGTGTGGTGGGGGTGTGTGTGTGGCTTCTGTCGTAATTAAAGGCTCATTAATTTAAGTGCGCTCTCAAGCCACGCCAGTTGTCGACCGCCTTATGAATTGCAGTCGTGGCTCGGGGTAGGCACACGTGGCTCGTCGTGCCTTCTAGCCAGTCCCGTGCGTGTCCGCGCTCGCCGCCGTATACGCGATCGCTCGCTGGCGATAACCGCACGCGACGTTCGTTCGAGGTTTATTTTGTTGCGACGTGTAACTTATTGTGTGATTCACGCGCCCCCCCCCCACCACCCACCCACCACCACCGGCCCCCCGCCTCTTCGTGCCAGGTCTCTCTCGCGTTGCAATGCGGGGGTCCGCGATGCCACCGGCAGGGTCGAGGCTTTCACCGATTCCAGCCTTCCTGCCCCATGTCATGAGCGTCGTCTGCCCATTCCACAGTTTTTTTTTTTCCCATCCCGACTTGACCATTTGCGCAATGCACATTTGGATGTTCTTCCCTTGGTCGCGTGGATTTTTTTTTCTTGGGGGGGTCCTCCGGTTCCCCCCCCTCCCTCCCCGCATTTTTTTGAAACGTGCGTTTAGGAGTATTTTTGGCTGCTATGAATTTCCACGTGACGATTAAGCCACTTCGTTGAGCTATCATCTGTGACCAGGTGGCTTCTGAAAGAGAGCTACATAGCTCAGTGGGCCTTACCTGGTAGAATAAAAACATAGTTTAGTTTTTAAATGGAGTCGTTACACGCCGCACGAGCCTGATGTTTGCTAAACACATCCCGAGTAACAGGGACTGTACGGACTTGAATTTGGAACCACGGCTAACATCAGTGGTGAACATCTGAACTGTTCCTGGGCCTTCTCCTATATTGACCCAGCCTTAAATTAGGGTTAGTCGGAGATGTGTGTTAACGTCAGCACCGTGGAGACAAAGGCGTGGTGCTGGCTATTTGTGAGCCACACCGGCTTAAAGTAGTCCCCGACAGTCCGCGAAAGGCGATCAAGTGATGGAGAGTGCCGATTCTAATTAAGCCATAGCTCTCGCGTGCGCGCACGTGCGTTAACGTGCACGCACGTGCGCCGACACCCACGTGGCGTCGAGAACATTCTCGAACTTGAATCGGCGCTCCCACGCGAGGCCAGTTTCGAGCAATGATCGGGCGTGTGCGGCGCGTTTGCGACTTCAAATTGCATTCGAAGGGAAATGTTTTCGCGGTCAACGTGGAGAGGGTGGGCGCATCGTGGTGTGGGTCCCCATGGAGTGGCGCGCAGGGAATCCAGGCGTGGACGGCTCCGTCCGTCCATTCATTAATATTTTCATTCATTCTTATTTTCATTCATTCATTCATTAATATTTTCGTCTATTCACAGCCCGCCGCCGGTAGCGAACAAATCGTTTGAGAGCCGCCAGGTCGTGTTTCGAGAACCCACGCGGCCCATCATCCAGTGACACGAGCGGGGGGTGGTACAGCATCGCTTCCCAGAAAGAAGCGGTGGGTGGGTTAGGTGGGTTGGGCGGAAATCAGCCCGGCGGCTCGTGTACCTTTGTGGCTTTTTTCTTTTCTAAAGTCGCGCCCACCCTTTTTAGATTGCGCAGGTGGTCTTCGTTCGTGCACTTTATCGCTGCGCGTTGTGCTAACCGAGTGTCCGTTTACCCCGACTTGCGTTTTAATGCTTCAACCAAGTGCGCGGATCCGGATCGGTGGGACCACAAATCCACTCCGGGTTTTAACCAACGGGGGGGGGGGGGGGGGGTGTGGATGGGGGGTGGGGCGACCGAAGGCCTCCGGATTAGAACCCGGACAAGTCTATCGTTAAACCCTTTTTTATGCATTCACCCGCTGCACGGTTCGCGCCTTTAGCTGTAAAACCCGAAACGGAGTTGGTCCTCCCAACCGACCTGGAGCCACGATCAAGATGCTGAACTTTAAAATAATATGCAGGGTGCTTCAAGAAAAAAATGTTAACACTTATTACGTGACTGTCGGTTTTTTTTATTGCAAAAAGAACGGATAATAAATACACTGTAGCATGATAACAAATGCATGTTGATGGCTTCAAAAGTCAAAACAGTCTCCCACTTGTTCGCCATCGTTGTCAACACGTGGCTTGGAATCTTCTCCAGAGCCCGGAGGCCAGCAGCACATGTCACGTGGTGTTGTAGCAAATTCTCTGAAGTGTTAACATTTTTTTGAAGCAGCCTGTATATATAAAACGGATGTCGCTGCCGACGTGTAATAATTAGCCAGAGTTGTCCTCTGTTTGTGACGAGTGTTGTGGGTGGTGGTGGTCGTGGGGGGGTGCGTTGTAACGCGTTAGTCGTCTCCAATAAAAAGTGATTGAGTTCTGAGTGTCTCCCTCTCTCTCTCTCCTCCCTTGAATTCAACCCCTTCATGCAAACCACAAGGCTGTGAATAATTAAGCCACCGAAAGTAATTGAGAGTATTTGCCTGCCATAAAGTTCCACGTGATAAGTCGTCACTTTGTTGAGCCATCATTAGTGGCGAGGACGCTTCTGAAAAATTTATCTCATAGCTCAGTGGACCTTACCTTGAAAAAAACCCCATGGTTTTAGTTTTTTTTTGTGTGCGTGATTTGCTTACCGCTCATACGCTTTGCACTCGTATCGTGTTTGTTGTTGCGACTTTCTAATCCTACCCGACTGGACATCTGTGGACGAAGAGCTTTATAGCTCATTGGATTCCTCCTGCAGTGTAAGTATTCTGATTTTGACATCATTGTGTACATGCATGCGGGGTCACAGTGGGCACTGTCACACTGACATGTGTCCCCCTACAAGTAACACGGCCGCACTAATCGGGTACTAGAGGGGAGGATGTGGATATGTTCAACCTGGAAATTCACTTTTAAGGGACTTGCAGTGGAAAAGAAGCGACAGGTGTGTTGACTGGAGTCAAATTGTAAGTGTGTTAACTTCTTTCTCACCGTACGTAGCCAACCGTGCTAATCGGAGGTGCGGGGGGAAGCACAACAAACTAAAACACAACAAGCAGTTCTTAACGATAATATATTAGCAATTAACGAGAATATGTTAACAATTAACAAGACTATGCTAACAATAATATAATTAAGGGGTACGTAATTGCAATGCAATGTGAGCATGCTCATGAGAGATTAACGCGAATGCAAATATACAGCTACATTTACGATATGTGAAAATATACGATCGGGTTAGGTTCCAGAGGTCTGTTCGTAAGTTAATTTGTTCGCAAGTCCAACTTTACCTACAGTAGTTGTATAATCTACTGTAGGTCTAGATACCACTGGTTGTTCACATTCTGTATATATAGATGCCACTGGCTCTTCACGTTCTGTATATGTATATGCCACTGGTTCTTCGAGTTCTGTATATGTAGATGCCACTGGTTCTTCACGTTCTGAAAATGTACATGCCACTGTTGCTTCACGTTCTGTAGATCTAGATGTTAATGCCACTGGTTCTTCATGTTCTGCAGATGTAGATGCCACTGGTTCTTTACGTTCTGCAGATGTAGATGCCACTGGTTCTTCATGTTCTGTAGATACTACTAATCCTTCATGTTATGTAGATGTATATGCCACTGGTTCTTCATGTTCTGCAAATGTATATGCCACGGGTTCTTAACGTTCTGTAGATGTATATGCCACTGGTTCTTCGTGTTCTGCAAATGTATATGCCACGGGTTCTTAACGTTCTGTAGATGTATATGCCACTGGTTCTTCATGTTCTGCAGATGTATATGCCACGGGTTCTTAACGTTCTGTAGATGTAGATGCCACTGGTTCTTCACGTTCTGCAGATGTAGATGCCACTGGTTCTTCACGTTCTGCAGATGTAGATGCCACTGGTTCTTCATGTTCTGTAGATACCACTAATCCTTCATGTTTTGTAGATGTATATGCCACTGGTTCTTCATGTTCTGCAAATGTAGATGCCACTGGTTTTTCACGTTCTGCAGATGTATATGCCACGGGTTCTTCACGTTCTGCAGATGTAGATGCCACTGGTTCTTCATGTTCTGCAGATGTATATGCCACGGGTTCTTCACGTTCTGCAGATGTATATGCTACTGGTTCTTTACGTTCTGCAGATGTAGATGCCACTGGTTCTTCACGTTCTGCAGACGTAGATGCCACCACCGCCATCTATTGCGCTGCGGTTGAACTTACGACTACGGCTCCGAACAGGCGACTGGACCATACGGGACGGATTTATTCGTCTAAATTTGAAGTTCTTCATGTTCTGCAGATGTAGAACATATCTCTGAACGTTCGTAAGTCGAACATTCGTAAGTCGAGGCGTCTTCTGTATGCTAATCGCGTTGAGGTCGTGGCGCGTCATCGCCGACCCCCCATTGGTTGCGGCGGTGATGGGCGGGGCAGGTGATGGGCGGGGCAAGATACTGCGCGGCATTGTGGGATGGCGGCCCACATTACTTAAGCCTCGCCATGCAAAAATGTTTTTATTGTAACAACATTTACACGCGAAACAAAAACTAAACTCGATCGGCGGAAATTAGTGTCGGCATGAGCGAGTCGTCGGCGTCGCGTCTCAAAGGGACTCGCGTTTGAGCCTTATGTTGGGAGTGTCCATACGGGTAGGCCTCGTCGGAGCCTTACGTTTTTCCTGAGCAGCCTGCCCGCGGTCATGTGAGGCCGGCGAGCCGCGGGGACCCTGGACCCGCACATCGGGGGGGGGGGTGTCGTTGGACGCTCACACTTGAATATCACCACAACTGTGTACACATATACGTTTAAAGTATAGTGTACATACTTCTACACGTAGATACGAATACAAATGCTACTACGATACAGCCATAAACTACACGCTTAACGACACAATACAACTCGCACTTTCATAGACACGCACAGACACCTCCACATTTGTACATCCGAACAGACGCGTCCATACACACTTACACAAACGTGTTCTCTCGCACACCTACACACACGTATTCTCTCGTACACCTACACAATATACCCAGACACACACCTACACGTGTACTCACACACCTAGACACACACACCTACATACACGTGTATGTAGGTGTGTGTGTCTCACAGCTACACAATATACACACCTACACACGTGTACTCACACCTACACACGTGTACTCACACCTAGACACCTATATACACGTGTACTCTCACAGCTACACAATATATACACACACCTACACGTGTACTCACACCTACACACGTGTACTCACACACCTAGACACCTATATACACGTGTACTCTCACAGCTACACAATATATACACACACCTACACACGTGTACTCACACCTACACACGTGTACTCACACACCTAGACACCTACATACACGTGTACTCTCACAGCTACACAATACACACACACCTACACACGTGTACTCACACCTAGACACCTACATACACGTGTACTCTCACAGCTACACAATACACACACACACCTACACACGTGTACTCACACCTACACACGTGTACTCATACACCTAGACACCTACATACACGTGTACTCTCACAGCTACACAATATACACACACACCTACACACGTGTACTCACACCTAGACACCTACATACACGTGTACTCTCACAGCCACACAATATACACACCTACACACGTGTACTCGCACACCTAGACACCTACATACACGTGTACTCTCACAGCTACACAACACACACACACGTATACTCACATAGCTAGACACCTACATACACGTGTACTCTCACAGCTACACAATATACACACACCTACACACGTGTACTCACACCTAGACACCTACATACACGTGTACTCTCACAGCTACACAACACACACACACGCGCGCGTGCGTGCGCGACCCATTCGCCATGCTTCGCCGCGCCAGAATCAGCGTGAAGCCGAACGTGCGTCTCAGCACGGGCCGGGCGGGACCCGGGACCATCGAAGCAGGGAGCCGGGACCGCGGGGACCAGAAAGCCGAGGGAGCCGGGGAAGCTCCAGAGACCCAAGCCACCTCGCGGACACCACCAAGGCGGACCGCCGAGACGGACTCCTCCGAACACCGGCTACCGGAGGCGACTGCTGCTCCGGCCGCTGCGACTCCTGCTGCTGTTGCTTCTTCTACTAAACGCGTTGCTTCTCCTGCCGCTCCTGTTTCTTCTTCTGCTTCTACCACTGCTCCTTCAGTTGCACCTGTTGCTGAAGCTGGTGCCTCTACCGCTGCCGATACTTCTGCTCTTGCTGCTTCCACTGCTGCAGCTGTTGCTGCTGATGTAGTTGCAACGCCTTGTGCATCTGTTGATACCGACGCAGACGTTGTTACTTCAGCTGCACCACTCGCTTCTGTCACTCCACATTCCAGCCCTTCGATTGTTGCTGTACATCCGACTCTCTCTGCTACTGCTGCTGCTGCTGCAGTACCTTCTGCAGACGTTGCAGATTCAGCTGCATCCAATCCTGCCGCACATTCTCCGCCATCTGCCCATACTGTCACTGCTCCACCTGTTGCTACTGTTAATCTTCTTACCGAAACGATTTCTGGACTTGCACCTACATCTACTGCTGCATGCAGCGCCGCGCGCTCTCAGCAGCACGCCACGGCAGGAGATAACGAGCCAATGCGTCCGGGCCCCGACTCCGATTTGATTTCCCCATCTGCTGATGCCTTCGGAGAAGCCACAACGTTGTCGATTGCTGATTCTGCTGCTGATTCTGCGCGCCACCACCGCAGGTGTGCGAGTTTGCAGAGGTCGCCTCGGGCGTTCGTCGTTAGCTGATGTTGCGTCGTGTACACATCGACACTGGGGAGACAAAGGCGTGGTTCTAGCCAGTGCCGCCGGATTAAGGCCGCTTGTGTTGTGGCCGAAACGTCGTGAGAATATTGTTGTGTTATTTTAGTTTATACATTTCTTATTTTGTTCTCATTCTACGTGACTTTACCGAAAGAACCAAAGAAGATGAATCCTTGCAGTCACGAAAGCTTTAAATCGAAATGGTATAAAGGGGCCCTAAATATATATTTAAAAAAACACTTAAATATTAAAACACATTTTTTAACTTGCACAGTAAGGTAATTGTATTTTTTCATTTGCTATACAGCCAGATAATAGACAAATCGCTAAGCTTAAACACCCGGTCGTTCATAAAAAAAGTTGAAGGTGGTATAGTACTATAGTGATAGAGCAAGTGCAGAACCACTGAACCGGAATTGTTAGCTTGAAAAGCATTTAGCGCGGGGCCCTTGAAAGTGCGGGTGCCCGTAGCTACATGTGAAACTTTTGCTACTAGGATAATCCGGCACTGGTTCTAGCCACCCCCCCCCCCCCCCCTCGTGTGAAGTTCTGCCGGTCTTTGGTGGATCGCTGACGGCTCTTGAGGCAACAGGTTGCTACGGATGTGATGGGGGTGATGCAGTGCAGCAGTTATGTTGTGGGCCGTGTGTAATTTTGTGGATGTGTGTGTTCGTCCTTCCTGGCATGTATGGCTTTTTTCATCTCATGGGTGTAAAAATATATTCACACACACGGTGCTTCCAAAAAATGTTAACACTTCCGAGAATTTAAAACAATATCACAAGGCACGTGCCTCCAGGCTTCTGGAGACCACCTGGAGAACATTCCAGGCACGTGTTGACAATGATGGCGAACAAGTGGGAGACTCTTTGGATTTTAATATTAACATTACATTTGTTATGTTAGTGTACTATCCGTTCTTTTTCCATTAAAAGCGTTAGTCCTGTATAAGTGTCAAAACAAAATTTGAAGCAACTTGTATATAAATGAATGGAATTGGTCAATAATCCCAAAGCAGGACCCTCCTCAAAAATAATATTTTAAGACTCAGTCATTGCTTTCCTGGGTAATAATACAAATAATCTATGGCCTTGGTGAATCCACTGCTTGATGAAAGCTTCTCCACGCTGCGTCGGACGTGGAAATTATCAGATCGTGCTAAACCTGCGGGTGTGTGAAGCTGGGGGTGGCTCAGATCTCATGCCTTTGTTTTGACAGCGCCCGTGCTCCCGCCACTGCTGCTGCCGCCACCCCCTCAAAACCGGACGCTGGCGCCGTCGCCGGAAAGCTGCTGCCGCCGTCTCGCCGCAAGCGCCTGTTCGCCGCGCCGATCATCCCTCGCACCCGGGCAGCCGCTCAAGCTCCTGTTACAGCCGGTCCTGCCAAGAAACCACAGACCTCGCTTCCTGCCGAGGATGGGACCGCCAGCAAGCTCGCCGCCGCAGCCACCGTCGAAGGACCTCGTGACCCGGGGGGATCGTCGACCGGTGAGGCATCCGGTGAAGCGTCGCCGGCAGTACCCGTCAAACCGCCTACCGGCGAGACGCAGTATTCATCGGTTAGCCCCTCTGGTGCGGATGCAGCGGAGGCGGAGGGTGTGGAGGTGGACCATGCGCAGGAGGTATATGAAAGGCCGCCAATGGTGCCTGACTGGTGTGTGACGGATGGCGAGACTCCTGGCCCGGTAACTTTAGCACAGCTTGGAGTGAGCGCTCAGGAACCGGCGAGCGGGACAGTGAAGTGTGCCGCTACTACCGGAGCCGATGCCGAAACGCCACCGGTGGCGCAATCGGCAGAGGTTTCCGGAGCTGCCGGGAGCACCGCAGCTTTGCCGGGCAGGCCGGCGGAGCCGAGCAGGAGTGAGATTTCCAAGAAGCTGCTGGCGTCGCTGAAGAAGAGCCTGCTGAAGCCACCAGCATTGTCGGCGAAGGCCACACCGGCGGGACCTGTTGACGACGACAACGATGACGACTCCGGGATGGCGCTGGTGACCGCGCAAGATGGCTCGGCACGGCCTGGGACCGCCAGTGGTGCCGGTGGTGGTGGTGGTGGGGGAGGAGGGAGCGGGACCAATGCTGGCAGGACCCAACCAAGGCCGAACTTTAAAAAGTCGTCGCGTACAGTGCAAAAGACAGCTCGGGAGCTGGCTGAGAAGACCGAGGCTAAAAAGGTACCGTGAAAATAGTAAACAAGGATGTAGACCCCATATAGAAACCCATAGGCTCACATACGAACCCACAGACTCACATAGATGCATAGACTAACATAAAGAACTTTAGACTCGTAGACTCGCATTGATACCCATAGACTGAGTTGTGATTATACTGGGTTCTTAGTTGTGGTGAGTTGATGGTCTCAGCCTCATCACCAATGGCTGAACAATAAATCCATCACATTAAATGTTGTTGTATGTATGCGTCTTGAACTTCTTTCCCACCATACGTAGCCAACCGCGTTAATCGGAGGTTCAGCTTCTGCACTTAGCTGTGCACTTAATTTGGTAAAATTCTGGCTGTGTGAGGCTTAAACAGTTTGGTTTGATTCACATACAATAAACGCTCTTGGCAGGACATGTAAGATATGTGCCCCCTTGTGTGGATAAGTGGATAGAGGGGCCATGTCAAGTTCCGGAACAACGAGCGGAGCGCCGGGCGGCTAAAACACGGAGTTGGCACAGTAGGGGGCACAGGTGGTGCATCGGCCGGTCATCTCAGTCAATCAACCCATGGCACCTGGGTATGCCACGTGACCTGCCAGCGGGCATTCGACACTTCACGTGGCGGCCTTATAGTGCACATTGCCTGGCACAAGCGCCGTGGTGACGTCACCGCCACTTAGTGGTGCAATGGCAGTTGTTGTTGTGAGTTCCCGGTGTGATGCGTAAGAACATTGCCACTCGGGAAACGGATGGCCGTGCGTGGTGGCCGGCCTTCATGTAGGTGATGTAGGTGCTACCCGCTAACAGCACTTGCCCAAAAAGTCTCTTCAGGTCTATACGGTGGGGGAGGGCGAGTGGGGATCTTTTTCTCTCTTTGTGTCGTGTGGTGGGGGGGGGCAGGCTGCCCGCAAGCTGGCGTGGCGCACGTGGGAGCAGCACCAGTCGGCCCCCGACCGCTCGCAGATGACGATGAAGGACCTGCTCTACTGGGTGCCCAGAAACAACCCCATGCTGTGAGTGAGCAACCCCACGCTTCGCAAAGGAATATGGTGCACACTCGCATTTGTGCATCGCTAATTGATTTTTGGTAGGCGAGGCCACGCGGCGATCCGGGCAAAATTTTGCGTGCGGTAAGGAATAAGTTTCCCCCCCCCCGACCTCCCTGTGCAGGCAAAACGTAGCGTGAAAGCATTTGACGCGCCGGTTATTGCCGTTTTCACCTCCCGTTAAGTTGGAAGAACAATTCTCACAATCGAATTTCGCGAATAGATACCAACGACGTTTCGCTCGAAACTGTACCGAGCTTCTTCAGGGAAAGATACAGGAAGTCAAAATAACTGTCACCTGACCCGGCTTCTGAAATTGGTGTCATGACATCACAGGAATAATCAATGTGATGTAAAGCAGTTATTAACCATAATATTCTAATTGTATTGCTAATTATCTGGGCCAAGGATTAACACCGTATGCATTATTCATTATGACTGCCACGGTGGCGAGATATGAACTACCTCGCCTGTTATACAGGAGGTCGTGGGTTCGATCTCGACTCTGACACCTGCATATTTGGAGTTTGTGTGTTCTACCCGTGGTTGTGTGGATTTTTCTCTGGGTCCTCCGGTATATGGCTGCTATAAATTGGCACATGATAAGCCACTTCGTGGCCAGGTTGCTCCTGAAAAAGACCTATACAGCTCATTGGGCCTTTCTTGGTCAAATAAAAATGGTTTTATAGTTTGAATATACTAGCCTGTACATATAACATTGGCTGCTCAGATCTCCGTGTTAGTGTTAACTTGCGTTTGTGTTCTACTCCTTGGACTTTGCCCTGTTCGCTGGTGGTCGTGAACTTGGTTCACTTCATAATAAAGGTTTTTGGGTTAGATCGCGTTATTTATAAATGTGTCGTAAACCTCCACCACCCGACACGGCCAAACAGTAAAAAATGTGTCACGTTGACAAAGGACAAATAGTTCACTACTTCAGCCCACCGGTGTGTTTATAAATAACGCGATCTATCCCAAAAACCTTTATTATGAATAATATTGGTCGCGAAAGCCTACGTGTTAAATTGGTTCACCTCCACTATTCTCGGTTTGCGGCCGGACTCTTAGTTGGCATCAGTGCAACGGCTGCTGGGGTCACATGAGCCAATTACATACAACGTGTGTACAGATCAAATACAATCGATTCTCTCGCTCGCGAATTCAAGCCTACATGACGAGCTTAAGATTATACTTTTATTGACTAATCGGTGCGCCATCAGACAACTAGTTTTAATCGAGGATTAACTTGTCAGTGAATATGTATCTGGGTCGCTGGTAGACTTGGAGTAGGCTGCACGTGATAGTAGCCACAGCTGTAGCCAAATCAGGATGTGGTGTGCCGGGTGCGGAAATATTTTCTGTGGTCACTGACCCGGCTGAAATTAAGTCCAGGTTTAAACCATCCCCCCCCCCCCCCCTTCTATCCCCGCTCACCATTCTCCCGCCTGCGCTTCGCTCTCAGCCGCCTCAAGTCGGAGGATGGGAAGCTGCTGCCGGAAAAGCGCTTCGACAAGTACCCCAAGGGCGATCGGTCGGCGGCTCACGGCGACAGCGGCTCCCTCGAGCCGACTCCTCCTGACGGCCCCACCTCCCCGCCGCCGCCGCCGCCGCTGCCACCCCCGGATTGTTCGGACGATCCGGCTCCTTCCCCGAGCCCCACCGCCGCTCCCGCCGCCGGCGTCCCTGCTCCTCCGTCCGACGCCGCCGCTGCTGCCACCGCTGCCTCGAAGGCGTCTGTCCCGTCCATCCCGTGCGCGCCGGCGTCGAGCGACTCGCCCGCGGAGGTTTCTCCGGCGGCGGAGGCGGCGCCGTCGCTAAGCTCCGCGGGCGACGCGCAGTCGCTGCTCGTGCCACAGGTCAGGGTCGCCGAGGATGGCTCCATTGTGCTCAACGAGGACAGGCAAGTGAGCGGTCCGCCTGTCTGCTCGTCCGCTCGCCTACCCATCCGATTGTTTGCCTGCTTGCTCACCTGCTCGCCTGCTCTTGCCCTTCATCCAATCGTTTGCTCACCTGCCGTGACATCTGCTCACCCCGCTTTTGCACAATTGCTTACCCGCCACGTCGCCCAACAGGCCACCCGCTTGTCCAAGTAAGCTCGAGCTCACTCTATAAACTAACATTTTGATTTTACTAGGTGAGGCCCACTGAGCCATGAAGCTCTTTTTCAGAAACTACCTGGCCACAAATGATAGCTCAACGAAGTGACAAATATTCTAAACGCACGTTGATTCTAAACGTGGAGGGAAAAACCGGAGGGCCCAAATAAAAATCCACGACCACGGGGCGAACATGCAGATATACAGGAGCGGGCGTCAGGGTCAGGATCGAACCCACAGCCTCCTGTATACCAGGCGAGATAGTTAACTTGTCACCTTGGTGCCCTGCTCACCCACTAGTTTTCACATTTTCGCTTACCCGCCCGCTTGCCCATGAACATGACTGCTCATCTACAGTCCCACCCTCGCTTCGAATCACTCAGTCACCGGATAGCGCTCCCCACTCACCTGCGCAACAGCTTGATCGACTTGCTGGTACACCTGCTCACCCGTTAATTTGCTTCGCCAGTCTGCTCGCTCTTCCGCTCATTCATTCGTCCGTTCACAAGCACACACTCCACCATTGCCTCCAAGGGCACATCTCCACCATATCCTGTCACGACCACGCATTTTGCACGTCAGTGTGGGGTCTTTGTCAAGAGGGACTCCTATGACTCCTGTAACGTGGGTTCACAGGGGTGGGGGTAGATTTGTCAGGAGGGGGGACCCCGAGCAAGGGAGCTCGCTTCGGGAGCTTTTCCATTGGTGGATGCTGCACTGTGCCGTCTCTGACTGTGCCCCCGCATTTGACTTGATCATCAGCGCTGGAGCAGTGGTCGGTCTCTCTCCTCGGTAGTCATTGTGACCCCGTCATTCGAGGCCAACTGCCTCCCTGGACACGTTGCTGCGGTTAAGCACTGGCACAAGGAAGGATGAGCCTGTGCTTGCGTTTGTTGTGTGTGTGGAGAGCGGCAGCGTCGCGGGTTAGCGCACCGCGCCACGAACCGTGCAACCCGAGTTCAATTTCCACTCACGGCCAAAATCGGTGACAAGCGAACTGGTCCTGGGCCTCCCCGTGCGTGGTGCTGACCAACCACCCCCCTCGTTTCCCGTGCGCGCCTTCATAGGTGTCGCTCGCTAACATCGCTTGCCTTTGTGTGTTGCGGCAGCCTGATGGTGGAGGTGTCGCGCACGGAGGGGCTGCCCCCCGTGTCGGACTGCGACCCCATCCACGAGTACGGCTCCCACACCACCTACTCGAGCTTCCGCAAGAGCTACCACGCCAAGCAGTGGGGGCTCCTAGGTAACGGTGACACACACACACTCACAAACACAAAGATCGCCTCCACCCCCGTGTAGCCTTGACAGACTGTTGGGGCAAGTGCTGCTCGCGAGTAGCACCTATGAAGGCCGGCACGGCACACGGAGGGAGGGGGGTGGGTGGCCAGCACCACGCCCAGTCGTCTTTGTCTCCCCAGTGGCGATCTTTACACAGGGCAGCAGGGACTCGCACCGCCAATTAGCACGGTTGGCTGCGTACGGTGCGAAAGAAGCTCAACGTAATACACACTGCACATAGACTTACACTACTGCCCGTAGACTCAACACTGCACCTCCGTTTAGCACGGTTGGCTACGTACGGTGCGAAAGAAGTTCAACATACATAATACTCATTCTGAGGCTGCCTAGAGGTAGTCGACCTAGAGGAGGGAGGGCCTAGGACCGGTTCAGATAATTGTCACTGATGGTGGCCGTGAGCGGGAATTGAAACCGGGTCGCCGGTTTCGTAGCGCAGCGCACAAACCACTCCACTCCCACGCTCACACACGCACACACGCTCACGCAGGGACACACGCTAACAACGTAGGCATGCGAACACACGATCATGTACACACACCGCACGCTCTAATTCTCGTAGGTAAACGCACACATTCACGTGTGCACACACAATCACGAGGTCACAATGGCACGCAAACACACAATGACGAAGACAAATACTCTCCCTATAGCCTCAACGGAAATGTTGGGGGCGAGTGACGTTTAGCGAGCACTTACGAAAGGCAGTACGGTGTACTTATGAGGGGGCGGTGTGGCCATCACCATGCCGGGCCGCATTTGTCTCCCGAGTGCTGATGTTTACACAGAGCACCAGATATTCATTTCAGGCTGACTTGACGTACGGGTAGCCCATGCCAGGTTGAGGTAGTCACCACTAATGCCGTGAGCGGGAACCGAACTCGGGTCGCTGGGTTCGTTGCGCGGTGCGCTAACCGTTGCGCTACCGCTCCCCACAGTGGTAGCACGGTGCGCTCGCACGCACTGAAGCCCACATAGGCGCGCACTCGCGCTCACACACGCACTCACGTGCGCGCACACACACATGCACGTACACCTGCATACAAGCCCGCACTCACGTAAGCACGTGCACGCACGCTCGGTGACATGCACGCACACGCTCACTTACAACAACAACCACCGCCGTTCACTACTACGCGGCGGTGACGTCCCCATGATGCTTGTGCCAAGCTAGGTGCGCTACAACAATAACAACCGCCATTCGACACTAAATGATGGTGACGTCACCACGGCGTTTGTGCCAGGCTATGTGCGCTTTAAGGCCACGTAAAGTGTTGAACGCCCGCTGGCAGGAGGTAACGGGACAGACCCAGGGGCCATGGGTAGGAAAACAATATAGCCTGAACAGACATTTGGGGCAAGTGCTGTTAGCGAGCACCTATGAAGGCCAGCACTTCACACGAGGGGGTGGGTGGCCAACACCACGCCCGGCTGCCTTTGTCTCCCCAGTGGTGATGTTTACACACCAGGTACTTAATTGAGGCTAGGAGAGACGCCCAGGACCGCTTCAGATAATCGTCACCGGTGTTGGCCATGAGCGTGAATCGAACTTGGGTCACCGGGTTTGTAGCGCAGCGCGGTAACCACTACACTACCGCTCCCTATGGGTAGGTACCAACACACACACACACACGCACGTGGTCGTACGTGCATCTTCTGTTCCTGATCACGTTGTTGTTGTTGTTGTTTGCGCAGAGACCGAGCTGTTTTTCCTGGCCATCAGCATGGTGGGCATGGACTTCTCCATGATTGGACAGCTCTTCCCCAACCGCTCTCGCGTTGACATCAAGGTGGTGTCAGGGTTGCCCGGTTACACAAACTCACTTCGGCGTTGCCTCCGCTTGCTCGAACCGTGCGTGCGCGCGCGTGTTCGTGAGGAGCGGTGGCGCAGCGGTTAGCTGCACTCCGAACCCGGCTACCTGAGTTCGATTCCTGCTCAAGCCCAACAACGGTGACGATTATCTGAACTGGTCCTGGGCCTCCCCTAGGTCGACTCAGCCTTAAATGAGTACCTGGTGCGGTGTGCAGTAAGCATCGCCACTGGGGAGACAAAGACGGCCGGCCATGGTTGCTGGACACCCCCCACCCCTTCGTGTGCTGTCGCGGCCTTCATAGGTGCTCGCTAACAGCACTTGCCCCAACAGTCTGTTAAGGCTATACGGGGGGGACCTTTGTGTGTGTGACTCCGCAAAGTACGTTCATCGGACTTCCTCTCTTTCCGCAGAACAAGTTCAAGCGCGAGGAGCGGTGCAATCCTCGCAAGATCGACCAGGCCTTCCGTGAGTCCCTCGTTACTTGCTAGGGCTCTGTCACGACGTGCAAATCGGATCTGCACGTGGCCGGGATCAAACGTCCGAACATCGGGCCCTATTGGCTCTCCGGTTCTCAGAGGAACACAAAAACGTCAAGGTTGCAACGCGCGCCGCTCGCCATTCGCTCGCTCCCTACAGAGCGAGCGAACGAGTCGGAGGCACGAGGAGGAAACCGCGGACAAGCGGCGAGAGAGGGCAGCGTACACACGAGTCGGACAGAAAAACTAATTGGGACAAAAAAAACGGTGCTCGCGAAAGCGCGGGCCTTGGCGTCGTGACATGTCGTCCGACGTCTTCAACCTGCTGTCGTTCTTTAGAATGTGCAGGCAAAAGCTGACAGGTGCCGCGCACGGATGCACGTTTGGAATCGCGCCGGACCGTCGCGTCGCTTGCACCGTCGGGAGACTGCGATGGCTTGGGAAAATTCTTCGTCCAGCAGCGGGCAGATCCCCGACCGGTATTATTTGTCTTGGGTCCGTTGTTTTGATTGATGTCCGTGTTGCAGGCAACAAGTTGCCGCTGGACGTGTCATGCTTCGAGACGCTGCTGCAGGAGTTCGAGCGGCAGAAGACGGAAGCGCTCAACCGGGCGCCCGACTCGAAGGGCAGGCGGCGGCGCAAGTACCACCCAAAGAGTGAGCGTGCAGTTTTTTCATTAACGGCTGGAGCAATCCAATGAGCTATGAAGCTCTTTCTCACAGATGTACAGGAGAGGGGCGGTTTCCGGAGGGGCTGTTTCACCGCGCCACCACCGCCGTCGCTTCTTTACGTTTCACCGCTGCGCCTCCCGTGCAGCGTCTCCCGCCGCCCCGCAAGCCGGGGGTGGGGCCCCCGGCGGCAGCTGTCCCCGTGAGGCACTCGGTGAAGAACGCGGCGCCGGCCAGGAAAGAGTGGGCGTTTGTCTCTCACCACCGGGGCGATGGGTGGCGGGAGGCAGAAATGTGGCTTTGCCAACAGACGTCGTGGGATCTTTAACGACCTCTGTGAAGTAGATGGGGCGCGTATTTTAAACGTCCGCGGTATTAACCAGGACGGCCGCTGGGCTCGTACCGTCGCCATAACACCTCCGTGCGGTGTTTCAGCACCGCGTGGAGAAGGGAGGGGTGGTCTGTTTTCTCTTTTTCATCCCCCCTCTGCCTCTTCACCTGGGGTTTCTCCCGATGTCTTTTGTATTTCCTGTTATTATCGTGGCATTCTTAAGTGTCGTCGTTGTCGTCGTCGTCATCCTCACGTCGCGTCCGGTCCTGCGACAGAGACGGGGCGACGCAGGAGCGACGTGGACAGCGACGGCGACGCCGACTGCTGGAGCGAGAGCGGCGGCGAGAGCGGGACCGGAGCGGCAGCCACCGAAACCCGAGCCAGAACCGTCGCCCACAGCGGAACGGAAAGAGCGATCGGAGCGGCGGCTGCCACCCAAAACGGAATCGGAATGGAAATCCGAACCGGGACGAGAACCGCCACCGAAACTCAAACGGGAACCGAAACGCCGACCGGAACGGCGACTCCAGGAACCGGAGAGTCCACGGCGGTCCCCGGGCCTCCGCCGCCCCCTCCCGCGCCCAGTGGCCTGGAGGAGGCGGAGCTGCTGCTGTCGCTGGGCTGCGAGATCGCTCGCGGCGCCGGCGCCGGCGCGGGCGCGGGCGCGGGCGCGGATGAGGGCTCCCCGGCGCCGGTACCGTCCCCCGAGTTCGTGGTGGAATCGGCAGAACGCCGAGACGGGCGCAGTGGGGGTGACGAAGACATTGACGACGAAGAAGATTTTGAGCGTGTCAAAGAGAGAATGTTGAGTCACCCGACGAGGTGAGGTTCTGGTGAGCGACCGTTTTCGGTTAAAACTTAGAATTTGGACGACAAGAGATGTTGTGCATGGGGTGGGCCAGGTGGCTCAAGAGAGGGTCAGGGCACTGGGCCGGCAACGCTGAGATCCTGGGTTCAAATTCAGGTCACAGCTGCCTGTCATTAAACTGGGTTCTCAAGGTTTCGTGATTTGATGGTCTCAGCCCGGTCACAAGTATATAAAACATCGCGTTTAAGTTTGGTTGTTTTCTTAATTCGGTTGAATTCCAACTCCTGTGAACACAAAATATTACTCTGAATGTCAGGCAACAGCAGATGTTGTGGTAGGGCAGCTGGGAAAGTGCTGCCCTCTGCTGTGTGAGCCGCAGGTCACTAGATGGGAACTCGGAGGTAGCTCTGTGATGTCCGCCGCTGTGGGTCGTCTAACACGGAGGGTCGCACTGCTCCGCGGGCGTTCCGAGTGGGTTCCCCGTCTCTTGACGTGACGACGATGGCGCAATTGAGATGAAATTGGGGTAAAACGATTTTTTTGTTTCAAGATGCAGGCAGCAGGGAATTGTGGGTAGATAATTGACACGCGAGAAGTGACGAACGGTTCACTTGGAGCAGCGCGCAACGCAGGAAACAACACAGCTGGAGTCGTGTGGAGAGCTCCCCACGAAGTAGACGCTGTGGCCGGGACTTTCGCTGACACGAGGCTTCGTGATTGAGAACAACAAATATAAAAAAGTCATGGTCAGGCATTGTGAAAAACTGCCAAGAAAATGAAACCAAAAACGCGGTTACGGTTTTGGTCACGGTTTTGGTGTCGGTGTCGGGAACGTGTCGGCCATGGCCACGGTGTCGGCCGCGCGGTTCCGCGTCCGCGTAACGCAAGCGTCGGTTCGACCGCCTGCACACAGGTCCGGGCGCAGGCCCAAGCCCACGGCGTTCTACAGCACCGGCTCGGCGGGACCCGGCGGCGACACGCCGATCAAGGAAGGGGGGGCGGCCAAGCGGCCGCGGCGACGCGAGGCCCAAGACCCCGCGGCCCCAGCGAAGCTCAAGCCGAGGCCCAGCACGCGTGGACGGAGGCCGCCGCCGCCAATGAGGCCTCCTCGTAGGGACGCGACGGTGAGTGGCGGTGACGGCCATCGTCACCGCCTGGTATGCTGATCAGGATCAGCATACCAGGCGAGGTAGTTAACATCTTGCCACCGTGGCACCCCTGATATCCGCACAAGTGTGCCCGGAGTAAAATATACAGCAGACATCGGATTCAGCATCGAACCCACGACCTCCTTTGTACCAAGTGAGGTAGTTAACATCTCGCCACCCGCGCAGCCACAGTGACGCGTGCCTCTTCTCGGCAGGACACGGCGCCGGTGCTGGCGACTCGCGGTCGTGGGGGCCTGGTGACTCTGCGTGCCGTGCCCCCTCCCGAGGAGGAGGAGGAGGAGGAGGGGCGGGGTGGGGGGGACCGCGCCAGCGAGCGGCGCCACCGCGCCAGCGGCCTCGCGGCAGCGGCGGCGGCGACGCCGGCACCCCCCGTGAGGCCGGAACACATGAGCTGCGCGCCAGCGTTCGTGCCGGTGTGCCTGCGCTCCCCCGAGCCGCAGCAGCTCACGGAGCACATGGAGGAGGTATGGGCGAGGTGGAGGGTGGTGAACGGAGAAGTGAGTGTAAGCCGGTCGCTCTGGCCGAAGTTAATCGCGTCCTGATGGTTGAATTGGCGAAATAAATCGCGGCAGAAATCTTTGTGTTAGCAGTTGTAAATAAAGGAGGTGAAGAGCGTCGAGGTGATCGCGTTGATGATGATGGCGGCGACGTTGATGACGATGACGAAGGACAATGGTAGCAGCGACGATGGTAACGATGATCGCGATTGACGCCGATGACGCCGGTCATAATTTGTGACTTGATATTGCTGCTCACACGAATGTAAAACTGATCCTGAGGTGCCGATGGAACCGGCGCTTGCTCCGCACCGTTCCCGAGACGGCCAATAGCATCGCGTGCTCGGCAGCGTCCAATAAACCGATGCCGGGGGCGGGGGGAGGTGGGGCACGGCAGCAGCCTACACGTGAGCTGCTGACGCAGCGTTCTCTCTCAATCCGTTGGCGCGCCGACGAACCTCCGACAGCAGGTGGAGCTGTCGGAAGGCGACGCGATGCTGGAGGAGCTGGTGGTGACGTGCGTGGAAGAGATGGTGGTCGCCGATGACGACGATGGCCCGGAGGCGGCGGAGGAGTCCGTTAACCCCGGCAGTGACGCGCGCGGTCTGCAGGTCGAGCAGAACTGCGACGTCGTAATCGTGAGTCCCACGCCTGGGGGATTTGTGTAATGTATGTTGAACTTCGTACGTAGCCAACCGTGCTAATCGAGGGTGCTGGGGAAGGACAACAAGCTGAACACAAAAAGCAATTCTGTTTAGTTTTGTTTGTTATCAACGTCGACCAACAGCGGTTGAGATCGTGGGGTCACGGTGTCGTGGGGGTCACGGTGTCGTGGGGTCACAGTGACTCTTGGAACGATTGTCCGGTGTGAATGAAACTCTCCAGTAGCGGTCGTGCTGCTGTCAGGGACTTGCCGAATTGACAACCGGCCCACGGTGGCTATGAGATGTTAATTACCTTGCCTGGTATGCAAGAGGTTGTGGGGTTCGATCCCGACCCTGATGTCTGCTGTATATTTGGGAGTTTGAATGTTCTCGCCACGGTCGCGTGGATTTTTCTCCGAGTCCTCCAGTTTTTCTCTCCGCATTTAGAGACGAGCTAAGCGGGCGTGAGCCTGGATGGCCTAGCCACCAATCATCGGTGAACCAAAGCGGCTGTAATTCAAATTGACGAAACGCGAGCAAGGAACACCACGAATGAAACATGGTTGGTCTATTGACATTCTTTTTGTTTGTGTTCTCTTTCTAGACTGACGACGAACACTTGAGGGTTAATGGTGAGTTCTGCATTGCGTTGGTGACCTCCAAGTGTTGCGTGTGCGATCGTGTGTAATCCGCACAATGTCGTGCGTTTGTGTCGATGACACCGATCATCGTAAATTAATTCGGATCTTTTTTTTCCCCAAACTATTTTTAGACCTGTTTATGTATTTTTTTTTTATTCTCACCATCCGCTGTGTAAAGGCCTCCAAAGGCCACCGACATTCCGCGCACCGCCCCACTGCAGGAATCCAACGTAGCTCCCGCGCACGAGCTGATCTCATGGCTCCATTTCCCTTATGGACGTCCCCTGCGTCGCCACTCCGCGATTACTCTCGAGCGTCGCCCCCTTCACCCTCCTCGCCACGACGCATCCCGCTCAAGTCCGCTTCTGGTCTTAGCAGTTTGGACGACGTGCGTGTGTGTGTTGAACTTCTTTCGCACAGTGCGTAGCCAACCGTACCAATCGGAGGTGTACGGATGTCATTAACCCGCGTGTCTTCCTCTACACCACGTGCACCTCATGTCGTCTTGCAATGTGGTTCCAAGCATGCACCTCTCCCTCTCCTCTCCATGCTTCTCCGGGCACTTCTCAGTTTTCGTTCCGTTTCGTCATAGGTAATGCGCTCTTTGAAAAAAAAAAGATAATTATTATTTATTCTCGTCTACATTGTGATGAATCGCGTATGTGCATGAATCTCGCCTCCTTAAACGCGTACATGTCTGCACTAATAAACGAAACACTCTTCCTCCCCCACGCGCTGCTGTCAACCGCAGAAGCGTTCGTGTACGAGATGATGGAGCAGGCGGGCTTCGGGAGCATGCAGGACGCCTACGTGTCCTCGCAGGAGGTCGACGGGGGTGGCAGCGCTCCCACAATGCTTTGCTTCATGATGTGCGAGGGCGCGGAGACCGGCGCGGCATTCCGGCTGGCCGGGGGCGGGGACGGTGGTGACGCCGCGGGGGCGGCACCGGAGATTGAGCGCCTCTCGCTCACCCCGGTGGTGGACGATCGGGAGGGTCAGGAAGCCTCCACGCGGACGAACAACGCGAAGAGGTGACGGCTTTGCGCGCGTTTCGTTTTTTGGTTTTTTTGTGCGTTACACGGTCACGTGCAGCGCTCGTGAGTAGGCGCCACTCGTATCGATCGGTGAGACCTGTCCAAAGCGACAAACCCCTTGGCTTTTCAACGGAGGGTAATTTGACATTTTTGCTGCTTTACAAACGGACATGCGCAGAACCGACGACCGCCACGAGTCCACCGTTGCGACACCGCAGCACACTATTTTGGTTTTTTTACCCCCATCGTAACGACGGCGGGCTCGTTGTTGTCGCCTCGCGCAGCGCGGCGCTGGAGGGCAGCGTTCCGCCCGGCGACTGGGAGGGGGCGGCACCCACCGTCTCGGATGGTCACGCGACCTCGTGGGCAGCACCAGCGGGCGCGCCGAGCCCCGAGTGGCCTCTCGCCGCCGCAGCGCTCGACGCGGATGGCAACTCGGCCGAGCGACACGCCGCTGAGGCCGCGCCGGGCTCGCCGGAAACACCGGACATCTTGTCGAGGGAGGCCCCGAGCGGCGCGAGCGGCGGCCTCCTGACCCCCGAGCCGGGCCGCGACGCCGTCAAAGAGGAGGGGGGTTCGGTCGCCGAGCCGGCCGAGCCCACGGTCCCAACCGTGCCGGTGGCCCAAATGACCGTGTCAGTTTTAACCGAGGCGGCTGGCTCTGGGGTCGCGGTCGACGACGACGGCGGCCAGGACGATCTGGTGCAACTGCCGGCAACCGCGAGCGCCGGCAATGCAGGCACGGTACCGCGGCCCAGGAGGCCTCGTTCCGAAATGGCGGACGGCCCCCCGGCGAAACGGCACGCCGCGGAGGCCACGCCGGGCCCGCCGGAAGCTCCGGACGTCCCGTCGAGAGAATCCGCAAGCGCCTCCGACGACCTCCTGACCCCCGAGTTGGGCCGCGGCACCGGCGAAGACGAGGTGCCGGTCGCAGAACCGGCCGAACCCACCGTCTCACCGGCGCCGCCCGGTTCAACCGAGGCGCCGGCTGCTGACGACGACGGACAGTCCGATTCGGCGCGGCCGCAGCCAACTCGGAGCGCCGGCGACGCCAAGAAGGGCGGCGCCGACGTGGCGCCGCCGGCCAGGAGGGCGCGCTTCGCCAAGCCCAGGCCGAACCTCGCCGCGTGCAGCGCGCGCCGGCCAGCGGGGCCGGCCGGCGCGTCCAAGCCGGCGCAGGTCGGCCCGCTGGGAGCGGTGAAGTGAATCCGGCACGTGGACAAAGTCGATGCGGGTGAGTGTAGGGGATTAGCGAGCCGTCTCGCTGCCGGGAGCCGTGGTGAATGATTCGTCGGCGTTAATCGGCGTACGAATGACGCTCGCAGTCGTGTTGGAAGGGAACGGCATATGTGCCCCGGAGAGAGGCACGCGCGCCGCGGAGATGGAGCGATGAGATCGGCTCGCGTGCGAGAGTTGGATGGAATGTTGCAGCGCGGGAGCCTCAGAGATGGCTTGAGGGAGACCGTCATCCAGCAGTGCATTGAGAATGGCCGACAATCAGCCCCAATGTGAATCTACTGCCGGATGAAATACTCTGGCTGTCGTCTGATGATGCTGGTTGTAATTACCGGCGCAACGTCGTACTCGAATTGTAAATGTTGTGGATTTGCTGTCCAACACACCGGCGTGCTGAACTAGTAACGAATTGCCACGTTTTGTTTACGTGACAAACCTTACCAGTTGGTTGTCGGGTGGTGGCGGGTTTAACGACACATTCATATTTACGCGCTCGAACGCAAAAAAACTCTATTAGGGATAATGTTTAGGGATAGAGCGTTGCCCCCTTGCACTCGCGGGTTTCTTTTCCTCTAGGCGCTCCGGTTTCCCCCCTTTACATGTATCAGCACTCATTAAATGGCTGAAAATAACTCGATACGTAGAGGACCGCAGAGCTTGGGCAATTGTTGTCGTAGACTGGCCGCCACCGGCTGCTGCCTCCCCCCGCTCGTTTGCAGTTCCTTCCCTTGAGTCGTTCTCTCTGTAAAAGTAAAAAAAAAATATCGAAAATGTTAAATTAACACCGTTTATTTACTTGTATTGCGCTATTGGTTGCTGCGCGATTGCAATTTTGCTCTGCTCGGTCAGTGTTAGCCGCCGAGGTCGTGACGGGTATTTTTCTTTTCATTCCCCGGTGCCATTCCATCGCAACGTGCACTGATGCCTCACTTTATTGAGGGCGACATTGGCAATGAAGTAAAGATTGATTTATTGATCTCAACTCGAAAGCGAGTACGATTTGAAACGATCGTTATTATTGTTAAACGTCGGGTGATTCTGCGTGTGCAGAGACGTTGGGACGCTGGCGCCCAGGAAGGGATCGGCGGAGCGGCTTCTTCTCAGTCGGCATCGGCACCCGAGGTCTGAGCCGGCTCGGTTAGCGGAGTCGCTGGCGGGGTCGGCGGCGGGGGGGGGGGGGGGCTGTGGACGGGAAGGCCGGAGCCGGCGGAGTAGAAGGAGACGCGATCGTGAACCTCGTGTTCTCATGCCACTCTCGTCAATGCGCACACACGCACACACACACGCACGTACACACGTGTGCACGCGCGAACGGCGGCGAGCGGACTTTAAATTGTCGGTGCGCGGCTCGTGTTTGTGTGTTTTTTTTTTCCCCTTCCCAAGCTTTGATTTTTTTTTTACGATAATTTTCACGGAACGTGTACCGCCCCTTGCCGCCGTGGTGTCGTCAGATGGATGCAGTGACCGCTCGGAGGTCTCGCGGTGGAGGGAAAAAAAAAACTGTTCCGGAACTACTTCTGAGCTCCCCTTGACATTTCGTCGTATCCACGCTTAACGTCGGTGCGCCTACTTGCACGCTCTGCCCCCACACGGCAAACCGGAAATGCCGTGATCCTCGTACTATCTGGAAATATGCCAAAATAAGTGAAAACCAAACCGCGGTGGCCGTGCTTCAATGTGTGTTTGAGCAGTCGTCGGTAACCGGGCTGAGACCAATCGGCTCACCGCACTCTCCGTCTCTCCGTCTCTCCGTCTTGAAGCCCGAACTTGAGCCCAGGATCCTCGGCGGTGCCGGCTCCGTGTCCGTGACGCGCGATGGCCGCGGTGAGCCGCGCCACCGCCTCCAGCCGCGTTCCCTCTCCCCGCGAACCACGATTGATCGATTGCATTTGGCGTGGTTGTGTACCAACGTGCGCGCGCCAGTTTGCCCCGTGTGGATGCAGGACTACGTGTGCGGTTTGTTGGCATGAGAGGGCAGTACCAGCAAAATCCATAATTATACTGTACTTCTATGCTCCCCTCCCCACCCCACCCCCCCCCCCCACTGCCTTAGGCACACACTGACCAGCATAGTGAAGTATGGTCAAACGACTCCCAGGACCTGTACGCCCGTCTGGCAGTGAATTGATGACACGGACTGTCCGTGTGCACGCAGTGTACGTGTATCGCACGCACAATCGTTTGGCTCATTGAGGCCCTCCCGTGTGGCAGACGAAGTGAGTTTCAAGAGAAGCGTTTTTTAAGGAGTTGTGAGTTTGTTGTTCCAGAACTATTTTAGACACATTGACATTATAGAGAAAAACAAAACATCGTATTTATAAAGTCTCCGCGCGTCTCTCCTACCAATCTCAACACAGTTCGGGCCGCGGCAGAATTCAGTACCACAGGTGTTTGCAAATTAATTTGACAGATGGGCTATTGCATAATTCTTATCCATTGGCGATTTAAAGTCGAGTTTTTTTTTTGGTAGCGACAGGTAAAATATTTGGCCTGGCCTCGTACTAAGTTATTCAATCTTCTAACTCTCTCCCCCCTGTAAGACCTGGCTGGAGCCATTGCTTTTAAAATGTTCAGCCGGATGTTGGGAAGTCACGGAGGTGCATTATAAATCAGTGGGGCGTCTGGAAGTGATCATTCTGGGTTTTATTGGAGTCGTTTCCAGTGTGTTCAGGAAAGCCTCGAGTGAGTCTCAAGAATTTCAAGAGGGGTCTTTCTTTTGTAACGTTGGGCCAATTCCTTGTTTACTATTTTAGTTTTTCACCTTGCGCAAAAAAATTACTTGGGAAGAGCAGTAGGCCGGTGGGTTAGCAAACCCGCGCGATGAACTCGGCGAGCCGGAGTTGGATTCCCGGCCACGGCTAACGTCACCAGTCCTCGGCTTACTACCCCGCTCCCCACCCTCGCACAAACCAGCGTGGTGAAGTATGATCGATCAACCACCTCAGCTGACGCGGTGTAGGGGGGTCTTCATCCAGCAGTGATTTTACAAAGGCTGGAAGTTATATATTATTGCTATCTTACGCGAATTATAGGAAGAAAAATGATCATTTCAGGCTGCACCAAGGAGAGGGGAGGTTTGGAGACCGATCCAGTGGTGATTCCGACAGTGTTTTTCGTTTTGCAAAATCTTTTTAATTGCTAATTTATTGTCGCTTTCGTTATTTAATTCGGCGTCGAGGAGTTGCCGTGTCGCGTTGCCGACCGATGTTGCATGGCGAAGGCCTCCTTTGTTGTTCCTGGCGCCGCCTGTCCCCATCTTCACGCTCTCATCACCACGCCCTGTGCCGTCTTGTCGCTGCTGAAGGGAAGACGCGACGACTCGCGACTCTTTTTGCCACCGCAGAACGCGAGCCGTGCCGCCTACGTCGGGACTTTCTGAACGGACATTGCCTCAGTCCGTGGGCTGAATAACGCAGCGTACGACGGAGAGTTTTTAACCCCCCCCCCCCAAACCACACCTGGCCCTGCTTGGCCCCAGACCAGATTGCATGCATCTTGCGAGGCCCCCCCCCCCCCCAGCGTATGACGCTTTGGTGCTGGCTTGGCTTGGTAAATAGGCAGTGGAAAACCACCCGTACCGCGAGGGGGGCCCCCCGTCTCTGGCTCCGAGGCATGTGGCTACGGTGGTGTAAGATCACAAGCGCGTTGTGTAGCGGTGCTGCTACGCTGGGGCCCACGGGGCCGGATGGGGCCCAACGAGGAGCAGAGGATCAGGCCTCATTTCCTTGCACCGGGGGCCCACGTGTGTGCCCCTTTGCATGAAGGGTAATTTCATGAACCGGCTATTGTAGAAACGCGTCCACAGGTTGAAATGTTTTCCAGTGTTGCTGGATAATCGAGAAGGGAAAAAAAAATAATCGCTTGGCACGACGTCTGACGTTTCGCTGCCACAACCGCGTCCCCGAAGATCCTCTCGATGTGCGGCTTGACCCGTACGCGCTCCGGCGAACCGCGGAGCACTACCGTGAAATAGTTGTAAAAAGAATAAATCACTTCATTCGATTTAGAAAATAACCACTGGCGTTGTTAGATCTGACACTTGATTAATCCGGCCTTAAACAAGCTTATTTTGTTGTGTTAACTTGAGTATTATACGTGTTTGATTTTTAGTGTTTTTAAATTTGCGGTGCCATTCGTGGAGATGTGCGCCGTTAACTTATTTAAACAAATTTTATGCTGCCACTAATGTTAAAGCACCGGATTCTTAACAATGGAGATTTTACAGATGTTTGAGAAACGTCAGCTCCGAAGTTACGCTCGGGATTTATCAAAAAAATCTTTGTATGTTTTTGTACAAAATACGGAATATGTACAGCGCAAATCAAAAGTGCTCACTGCCTATGTTAATAAATCTTGCTTGTAATGTTTACATTCTCGCTGTGCCATGACTTAAGGCTGAACGGATCATCGTAATGCAATGTAACGGTTTTGCCATTATCAAACCACCGCTGGATGATGGTCTGCCGAATGCCATTTGGTTGACTGTACCTCACCCTGGCTTGTGTAGTGATTGCTGTGGGGGGGGGGGGGGAGAGGCTGCCCTCGACCAATTTGTATAATCGCTTGCCCACCGACTTTTTCCATGGCTGGAAATTGAACTCGGGCCGCCAGGTTCATGCCGCCACCAGTCTCTGCGCTACCGCTCCGGGCCCTGCGAGTACCGATACCGTTTGAGACGGCAAGATTAGTGACTAAGCCGGCATTTCAACGCAGCGCTTCCCGGTGAGCTTGTGAGAATGAGGCGTCTTCCAGGAGCTGGTGATGTCTCGTTTTGTGTAATATATCGTCGCTGCTAGTCCCAACGCTTTCAAGAAGGTCGTCATGGTAACGTCCATGTTTATAATACAGCACCTCCCATGGCGATGCATCCAGGTGCCCTGCAGCAGGGGCACCCCTCGTGGCAGCTGTCCCTGCGAGGTGCAACATGGGCCACTCGTCTTTTGCGTCATCTTTTTAAACAAACGCTGCGAAGCAGATGTACCGCATTTCATAGTTTGATACGCCCACAGTCTTCTTCTGGGATCCCTCGTGGTCGAGTGTGATTTCCCTCCAGGTGTCGCTTGTCTGTGTTGTGAGTTGGACCTTGGCTGGCCATGGGTCCGGGAGTTGGCTGAATAGGCCACTCCGTGACCTGCAGATCTTGGCACAGTGGGGGCACCAGGATGGTCCATCCTGGAGCTCCCACTCGTCTCTGTCTCTGTTGTGTGCTTTACTCTCTGGTTCTTTCGGTAAAGTCACGTAGATAGAAAAATAAAATAAAAAAACGACGTTTCGGTCGCAACACAAGCGTCCGTCTTCAGGTGAGAAAATTATCTGCTTTATATAGCCACGGGAATGGGGGGGAAAGGAGGTTTTGTCGAATCGTGGCTGTAGGAGTCCACGGGGGAGAGAGGGGAGGTTTGAGGGTTTGTGGCGTGCAGGGAAGGGTGGGGGCTGGAGAAATAAGCAAGTAAAGGAGCTTGAATTAGTTTTGTCGAACCAGAGAGTATGGATTCCTGCAGTCACGAAAGCTTCAAATCAAGACTGTAATGTGCTTTGCGGCGTGCTCCTTTCCTGGCTATCAACTCTTCGCTCGGCCTCAAACTGCTGAGTTACATTGTTTTATTTTGGCCCTCCCATGATGGTCGATCAAGAGCATAGATTTGCCAGTTGTTTGAATCTACGTGACTTCGCTTGAGGTGCATTTTAAGGTTGTCACAGAAACGCTTCAACAGTATTAAGCAGGGCGCCCACTGGGCTTGAACCGTGAACCTCTGCAATTAGCATTGGGGGGGGGGGGGTCAAACACCCGCCCCTAAAAAGATGCATCGCAGCAACCTCGAGCGGCATGGATTCCACTGTCATCACAGATACAACTCTAAAAGACACCATCCACAGACTATGTAATTAATTTATTTCCAAATAATTCGATAAACATTTATACAGATCATTCATAGTATTAACGTTAAATAGGACGCGTCACAACAACTAGTAATCCCCGTTGATTCCCCAGACACACGGAAGTACTTGCAAAAAAAACGGTGGAAAAAAGTTTGGTCTTAAATTTTGGGGGGGGGGGGGTGGGGGCAATAGCCAGGCAATTAGTACCATGAGCAGCCACGGGGAAATCGGAGACATTTGTCCTCTGGAACGCTGCAGTTCGAGCAACTTTGATGAAGCGCGGAGACCCAGAGTTTGGTGCAGATGACCGACGGAGGCCGGTGGATGGGTGGACAATTGACCAGGGTGGACAATTGGCCAGGGTCGACTCGATCCTGGTTATAACTTAGTCCTCAACCTCGCACCCCCAGACCACAGAGACAAAGTCTGGTCACGTGAGAGGCCCAGGGGCTCAATCGGTAGACTTGCCGACGAACTTTACGCCCGAGTAACGTTGAACACGTCGCGTGAAGGGCGTTTCACGCGGACCCAGTTCCACGCTTGTAGAGATTCACATTTGCGATCGCTCTGATTCAGGTTACTTGCTTTTGTTCAACTCATCGACCTCCAATACAAGGAATGAAATGGGCACCGTCGCCCCCCGCCCAAACCCCCCGTCCTAACCCCTTCTCTTCAGAGCCTGGCACTTGGGCCCCCTATATGCAGCTGCACCGGCTTCACAATCAACAGCTATGAGCCACTGGTTCGATGGGACTGAAAAATGCTTGCAAGCGTTCCTTGGGACTGAAAAATTTCTCAAGCGTTCCTTACGACTGACCAGCTTGCCCCATATATATAGATTTTTTTTACTTTCGAATTTTAATTACTTTTGGGTTATTCCCTAAAACAATGTGTTCCGTGCGGTTTCAGACTTGAATCGACTCAAAACATGGGCGCATTGGTGGGTAAAAGTTACTTGGGTTGAATGTGAAGTACAACCGAAGGTGCACTTGGGGTTGTCATCACAACGCAAAGCACGCACCGCGGATTTCGGGGTGGGACAATCCATAAATCTGTCGCGACACCCAATTCAGCGAAAGCCACTCGGCTGACATTGCCGCGCACGGTACCAGCGCCTCTAGTGGGACGCAGATCCAATAATCACACGATCCAAAATACGACATCCATTCTGCCACGCGTGACCCTCAGTGGTCGATATTAACCGAGGCACGAAGAACGTTGCTGCCACCCCTACTAATGCGGTTAGTTAAACGACGACGACCGTGCATGCATACGTTATTACAGCACCAGCATGGAAGCAGATTATTATTATTGCCTTAAAGGTTGGCCTCGGGAATAATCACTTTTCGGAGCCACACATTGACCACATAAGCCAGAGAGCCAGAATCGCACGATCTCCGCATTCTGCTCTCTCGAGTCCAGGGATTCATTTTAGCCGCATCTTGCCCCCAAGTCGAAGACCCCAGAAAATATTTCCGCACCCGGCACACCGCCATCCAGTGTACACCTCTGGCTGCGACTGTGGCGAATACGAAGTCAAGTGCCACCTCCTCCGGTCTTACCAGCGGATCCAGGAAATAGTGAAACATTAACCTCTGTCGGTGTCCCACCGCGTCATTACAGCCGAGGTTAACAAAGAAGGTAATTATTATTATCGTCGTCGTATTATTCAAGGAATTCATCCCAAGACAAGAACCAACTGGCAAAACGATTGTGAAGCGGCGAAGTAAAAGAACATGCGCTGCAACCTCGGCACCCCCCACTCCCACAACCACCCCCGTGCCGAGACTTCCCAAAACGTCCCGAAGCGGGAAGACAAAGTTAACAACCCACCGCGGGGAATGATCTCGGTTGTGCTGCTCGGCTCCCCGATGTGCTTTGACACGTCATTCGGCACAATGTCCGACGTTTCGCTCCCAAGCGCTCCGTCGGATACCACGCCGAACACCAGAAACAGCCACTGCCCAAAAATCTCCCCCTCTGCTCAAGACCGCGTGACCGGGGGGGGGTCCCCCCCCCCCCCCCCCCCCCCCGAGTTTAACCGGATATGACGGACAGGGCAAGGAGAATCAGGGAGAGGGGTGGGGTGTGGCGGGAGGGTGGCAGGGCGCTTGACGGAGGGTGCGGTGGGTTTCGGGGGGGGGGGGGATGGTGCCGAAGGCAAGGGTTTACCCCCTCCTGGAGGGGCCGCAGGGCGATTGTGGAGCAGGCGAGGAGGTTCGTATGGGGAGCGTTGAGGTGCCGCCACCTAGCTCCTGGCTGCCACGATGATGGAGACGATGATGCTTCCCAGCGCGATTGTGGCCGCTCCGAAGACCCACTTCCAGGGCAGGCCCTACACGCACGGCGCCATGACGACGCGGGTGAGCACGTACGCACGCACGCACGTACGCACGCACGCACGTACGCACATACACACGCACGTACGCACGTACGCACGTACGCACGTACGCACGTACGCACGTACGCACGCACACAGACAAATACGAGACAGAGCACCGCCATATAGCCTACACCGGCTGTTGCGGAAAGTGCCGTGCGCGAGCGTCCATGAAGGCCGGCACTGTGCCACATGTTGGGGGTGGGCGGCCAGCGCCACGCCTGGCCGCCTTTGTCTCCCAAACGCTGATGTTTAGACACACAGCACCAGGTGCTCATTTAACAGGGGGGGGGGGGGGTGGGGGGGGCACGAGTCTTATTCCCACTCGCGGCCAATAGACAAATATCGGTTCCGAGCCTCCCCTAAGTCGACTCGGCCACAAATGAGTACCTGGTGCGGTGCGTAAACATCGCCGGGCGTGGTGCCGGCCACCAAACCCCCTCGTGTACCGCTAACAGCACTCGCCCCAACAGTCTGTTAAGGGCTATACGGGAGACCTTTGTTTTTTACGAGCGTGCATGCGTGCGCGCTCGTGCGCAGGTGCTTACCCAGGAGCCCGGCTTCCCGCGCTCCGCATCGTCGGTAGGCACGGCCATGTTGCCCAGCATCTTCTTGTACAGCGTCTTCTCCTCGGCCTGCTGCTCGCTGCGCTGCCTCTTCAGCTTGTGCAGCTCCGCCTGGATCGTCTGTCGCGAGGACCACGCAACGGCAGCCGTTGGTGAGACGCCAGAGAGGCGCGTGTCTCAGCTCCGCGGTCGTAGCTGGGAATCTATTTTTTTTGCTTTCAACTAAAGTATGTTTTCTTTTACCAGGTAAGGGGGGGGGGGGGGGCAACTGTGCTATGTAGCTCTTTCTTTCAGAAGCAAACTGGCCACAAATGATGGCTCAACGACGCGGCTTTATCACGTGCAAATTTATAGCAGCCAAAATACTCCAAAACGCGTGATGCTGATTCTCAGTGTGAAGGGAAAACACCGGAAGACCCGGAGAAAAATCCACACGACCACATGGGGAACATGCAAACTCCACAAATACAGGTGTTGGGATCGAAGCCACGACCTCCTGCGCACCAGGCGAGGTGGTAAACATCTCGCCACCATGGCGCCCCCAATCGGATTTGCGTGGCCGGGTTTAAAGCGCGGTGTGCGAACCGCTGCTCCACGCAGTCATCTCACGAGCAGTAACGACCGGTCGGCACGCGATCGTGGCGGTGATGCGGTCCCACGGTAGCCGCTTGTTGCAGAGGCTCGCGGTTCCAAATCCGGCGGCCGCCCTGGTTAATGCCGTGCGCGAGTTCAACGAAAAATGCCGCGCGCAGTCTGCTTCACGGTGGACGACGTGAGAGATCCCGTGACGTCTTCTTACATAAAGGGATCGACAAGTCATCTATTGTATTGTGAGCAAGCGGAGATTCCTGCTTGTTACTGGTTTTCCACGAGGACGGTGCAGAGTCTGCGTGGGGGGGTGAGGAACGCGGATGTGACGCGAGTGACGTCGCGCTTCTCCGCAGGCACCTTGTTAGACGGCTCAAGCTTGAGGGCCTTCCTGAGCGTGTCTGCGGCCTGCGAGAACTCCCCTTGCAGTGCCAAAACCTGTCCATTGTGACACACGGAGTGGGGATGGGTTGGGGGGGGGGGCACGGGTAAGTGTTGGCCACCCAGGCCGGGGAGCGAGAGGGTAAGCGATGGATCGGACGGACAGACGAGCGTGCGCAAAATCGAGCGGGAGAGTAAACGGAATGGACAATTGAGTGACTGGTTAAGCGAGCAAGCAGCTGACAAGTGAGCGAGTAGGCAGGGGAGTGATCCAATGGCAAAAAGTGAGCAAAAGAAAATTAGCGGGCAAGAGCGCAAGCGGTAGGCAAGTAAGCGCTCAGTCTCCGACTAGCACGGTTGGCTAGGTACAGCGCGAAAGAAGTTCAACGTACACACGAGAGCGTCAGGCGAGCGAGCAAATGAGCGAGCATCACGGGGCAGGCGGGAGGACGATCGGCGGGGCGAGCCTGTCCCCCCCCCCCCCTTCCCCCCCACGCACCTTGCCCTTGCGGAAGAGCGCCTTGACGCTGTCGGGCTGCAGGGCGAGCGCCGCCTCGCACGACCTCAGCGCCGCGTCGCGCTGGTCCAGGCGCAGCTGCGCGGCCGCCACGTTGTTGAGGCACTTGAGCTTGACGTCGAGCAGCGGGGAGCGGTCCTCGTCCTCGCTCCCCGCCACTGCCGCGCCCGCGGTAACGAGCGGTGGGGTGGTGGTGGTGGTGAAGGGATTGTGGGTAGAGAGACGAGCGACCGTTATGCCTTGGTCACGTTTGCGTGCACGGCCACCGTTACGTTGAAGATCGATGATGGATGGAACATGCTGATTATGATGGCTATAGAATGGATGATGGTCGTTAAAATATGGATGATGATGGATCGACGGATGATGATCATGGATGGATGACGGAATAATAAACGGATGAAGCCAGCGACAACGCCGATGGATGATGATTATTGACAATGGAAAAACCGGCGATGATTATCAGCATCCCATTTGTTTACCCAAGAAAGCCTCATCGAGTATCACGACTTTTTCAGCAAGGCCCTGCCAGGTTTTCACAGCAGGAGATGGTGAGGGGGGGGGTGCGGAACGACCGTCGCTCTTCGCATATCCCAACCAAATAATGACGCCCGTGACGGATGACGACGCCCGTGACGGATGACGACGGCAGCGTACGGTGACAACAGTGCGGCGGCTGCGGCGCTTCACCGGCGCTCTCCGTGTCGGCGATCTTGATGGCGCGGTCGTACGAGGCGATGGCGTGCGTGTAGTCGCCGCGCTGGAAGTAGTGGTTCCCGCGCTCGCGCTTGCGGTGAGCGAGGGCGGCGCGTTCGGCGACGGGGAGGGAGCCCGCGTCCAGCGCGTCGCTCACCGCCACCAGCTCCGCCTCCATCACCAGCGTGGCGCCGCCCGGTACCGCCGGCACCCCGAGGCTGTGAGCAGGTGCCCACGGCGACATTGTTCGTCGTGGTCGTTCACTCCGCGTGTAAATACTCATCACGGTACAACCCCTCTTAACGACCACCCCTGTTAACGACTAATCGCTTAACCACGGGCCTCCATAAAGCCCAATGTGCAGTGTATAGTATAGTAGTGCAGTGTACAGTGGTGCAGTGGTGCAGTGTGCAGTGGTGCAGTGTACAGTAGTGAAGTGTACAGTAGTGCAGTGTATTGTAGTGCAGTGGTGCAGTGTGCAGTGGTGCAGTGGTGCAGTGGTGCAGTGTATAGTGGTGCAGTGGCAGTTGTGCAGTGTACAGTGGTGCAGTGTACAGTGGTGCAGTGTACTGTAGTGCAGTGTACAGTAGTGAAGTGTACAGTAGTGAAGTGTACAGTAGTGAAGTGTACAGTAGTGCATAGTAGTGCAGTGTATAGTAGTGTATAGTGTAGTGTATATTAGTGCAGTATAGTAGTGCAGTGTATTGTAGTGCAGTGTATTGTAGTGCAGTGTATAGTAGTGCAGTGTATAGTAGTGCAGTGTATAGTAGTGCAGTGTATAGTAGTGCAGCGTACAGTGGTGCAGTGTATAGTAGAACCCCTCTTAACGACCACCCCTGTTAACAACTAATCGCTTAACCACGGGCCTCCATAGAGCCCAATGTGTTCACTTACCGACAATTCCTCCATTAAAGATGGCTTAAGACGAGCACGTGACCGCCAATTTCGGCCAATCGGCGAGCTGCAAAGTGGTCTGACCAGACCTCGGCCAATGAGCGGCGTCCATTCATGAGCGTTGGGGCATGCTTTGCATTCAGTGTCTGCCAGTCATCTTTTTTGCCAAAGGTAAGATTTTTGTTGCAAGTACAGTAAATATGAATTAATGCATTGATTAACCATGTTTCTTTTAATTGTGCGTTTATAATGTTGTTAGTATCTTTATGTATAAAGTATTTTGTGGGTGAAAAAGGGTAACTTGCGATGCTATCGGAATTAATTCATCCTTTTAACATGCATTTCCTATACTCGCTTTACGACCAAATCACTTAATGACCTGTTTCGTGGACGGGTTCCGTCCTCAAACACAGAGAGGACTGCAGAGCTCAGGAAATTGGGAAATTGTCAGCGGAAATTGGTAACTCGTCTGTGGTTCCTTGCGTCTCCGAGTCGTTCTCTACAAGAGTGAGCGAGTGCTGTGTGCGGTACAAGTTCCCTTGGCACCTTCGTCGTCCATTCGTCCATCATCATCGGCGTCATTATCCGACATCGTCAGAGAACACCGCACCATGATTTATTTTAGATTTTTTTTTTTCCCCTCGATCAAGACTTGTGTCAGACGGCACTTTGCCCGTCAGGTCTCTGCCCACAACTCCCTGCCATCTCTAAACCAAAACATTTTTACCCCGATTTCATCTCGATTGCGCTATTGGTGTCACGTCAAGAGACGGGGAACCCCCTCGGAACTCTCGCGGAGCGGTGCGACCCTCCGTGTTAGACAACGACCCACAGAAGCGGATTTTACAGAGCTACCTCCGAGTTCCCATCCTTGTGACCTGCGGTTCACAGAGTAGGACGACATCCTTTCCAACCTGCTCTACGACCGAGAGTAACTGTTCGTCGCGCAAATAAAACTGCATTTTTATTAATTCTCAGACCTGTAGCCAAATTAATGTCATTGGTGACCCGGGCATGAGATCATCCACTGACTGTGTATGTATGCAGAACTTATTTCGCGCCGTACATAGGGCAACCGTGCTACACTTCAGACCCCAGTTTTAAATCACAGGTGGCTGTGACCTAGACTCGAACCCCGGACCTCAGCGGTACCGGCTCAAGCGCTCTTAGCCACAGAGCTGAGAGGTTGCAGGAGTGGCTGCTGGCACGGAGCTGTGGCTTGCCCCCCAATGCCCCCCCACCCAACACCAAGCCGCTCACCTGCCCAGTGCTCCATAGGCGTACTTGGCATCCGTAGTGATCTCAGCGACTTCCCCCAAGGCCATCAGCTCCGCACAAAGATCCAAGGCCTAAGCACAGACACGCGCACCCACCAAAGACAAAGACCAACGGGGACCAAAATGAGCAAACAGAAACCGTCAAAGAGTCTAAGGCACCGTCAGGGATCATAACGGACTATTTGAGACCATGTATGCATGCATGTTGAACTTCTTTCCCTCCGTATGTAGCCAATTGCGGTGCTAATCGGAAGTCCATCAGGGACCATTAAGGCCAACGAGAGTCATAAAGAAGCCCACGAGGAACCATCAGGAACTATCAGAGACCATCAGATTTAATCAGGGAACCAGTAGGGACCATGTAGGTTGGGGCAGGTAGGGTTGGGTAGGGGTGGACGCCCTCACCTGGATGACGTCTCCATCTCCGACGGTGAAGCGCAGCGCCTCCTGCTCATCCACCACTGTGCCGTCTCCCAGCATGCTCTTCACCCGCATCGTGACTTCCTGTCGCCGCCGCGGCCGTGACTCGTCTCCCTGCCCCTCCCTGAGCACCTTCTTCTTGAGCAGCCCGTTACCTGCAGTCGCCACGGCAACGCAGGTGATAGGGGGGACGGGAGGGTGAAACTGAGCGAGACTTGCACGGAGACAAAGATCCACCGTATAGCCTGAACAGACTGTTGGGGCAAGTGCTGTTAGCCTGTAGCACCTATGAAGGGTGGCACGGCTACACAATGGGGTGGGTGGCCAGCACCACGGCCATTGTCTCCCCAGTACTCACCTTTATACACACTGCACAAAGTACTCATTTAAGTCCGAGTGGAGCTAGGGGAGGCCCAGGATGTTGGCCACGAGTGGGAATATGAACTCGGCTTTGCCGAAATAGAAGCGCAGTTCGCGCCAACCGCTCACGACCGCTCTTCCGAAAAGGTTTACGCGGACACAAAAAAATCGGACAAAGATCCCCGTATAGCCTGTAACAGACTGTTGGGGCAAGTTGTGTTTAAGCGAGCACCCATGGAGGCCGGAACGGTACAAGAAGGGGTCGGTGGCCAGCACCACGCCCAGCTGCCTTTGTCTCCCTAGTGGCAATGTTTACACATCGCACCAGGTACTCATTTGAGACTGAGTCGACCTAAGGGAGGCCGAGGACCGGTTCAAATAATCGTCACTGGTGTTGGCCGTGAGTGGGAATCGAACTCGGGACGCCAGGTTCGTAGGGCAGCGCGCTAACCGCTACACCACCGCTCCCCACACACGCACACACACAGACACACATGTGCCAGCTCAGCACTCTGACTCCCACGCCACCCGGCCGTCCCCTCGCTCTCCACATGCTCGAGTGACAGCAGTCATCCCACATAACAGCGGTGCTGCCTCGGCCTAGCAGTAACCCCTCCCCCCGCCCCACCCTGACCTTTACTTCACACCACATTCGGGACATCTCTCACTACGAGTCACGTGCTGCCTACGCCAGTCCAACAGAGGAACCAGGAAAGACATGAGGCGAGAACTCGAGCCCCCCCGAAACCCACCCAACACGTCCATGCACTGGTCGAGTGCGGTGGTGGCGGTGGCGGTGGCGGAGTCTGTGTTTCCCGCGGGGTCCGGTCTGGGCCCTGGGACTTGGCCGGAATCTCCAGATTTACCATCTCCGTCTTCGTGGGATGGGGGCGCTTCTCCGCCACTAGCCTGGGTCACACACACACACACGTGGACATAGGTTCATACATTACGCATTAATAATGGATATAGGTTCACATGTAGACAAATATCCCCACCGGAACCTTTAACATTCGAGGCAGCTGTGGGGGTAGCGTGGCTAGCATAACAGGAGTGATGTTCACACTCTGCCCAGGATGGGCTCAGGTATCACTTGCCACTGGTGTTAGCCTTGGCCAGGAATAAAACTCACGTCACTGGGTTCATAAGCGCGGTGCGCCAACCGCTCCAGTACCGCTCCCTGTAAGTCCGCGCATACACGTGTAATGACATGATGACACCTGCTGGCTGGGAAAGGGAAGCACGGGTACGGGCACCGCTAAGACAACATCCAATCTGAAAGGGAGAGGTATCTGGGGCAAAGGTAATAGGCGGGGTTGGCCAAGATGCTCCAGGGGACCTGCTCGAAGGTTTCACAATAGGGCGTGGCTGGAGGCGGAGCCTAGCCGCGCCTGGGGAGATATAAGCGGGGGTGGGGACCAGCGCTCAGGGTTCGTGTGTGTGGAGTCTTGGGTCCGGATTGCGTCGCTGCTCGCCGTCATCTCTCTCCGTCGTCCGGCCACGTGGAAGATCTCCTGCGGGGTTTCCATCGCCGTCATCGTCAACGCCGCCGGCCAGCGGCGTGGCCGAGTGAGGGCGGTGGGACCACGCCGAGTGATCGGCCATGTGCGCGTGTAGCCAGTAGAGACATTAATCTCTAAGTGTTGTACTCAGAGTGAGAAGGATCAGGTTGGCCTGTGTTGTGCCCGTGTAAGAAATAAAAGAAGTACCCTCTACGCGGCGTGTCGTGGAAGTCGCTCATTACACACATGTAAACAGCACACATTAATTTATAAGCAGATAGGTATGTACACGTTCACACAGCAATAACAGCCGCCATTTGCCACTAAGTGGCGGTGACGTGCCCTTTGAGGCGACGCAAAATGTTGGAGGCTTGCTGGCAGGAGGAGGTCACGGAACAGACCCTGGTCCTATAGGCTGACTGAGATCACTGGCAGATGCACACCACCTTTGCTCCCTACTGTGCCAACTTGCTGTGTGTTAACTGCCTAGCGCTCCGCTCGTTGTTTTGAGTGTCGCTCCTCTACACTCCACTGTTGTTGGAGAGCAACTGCCTCCAACTGCCCAATAGCGACTGTCAAGAGCCTCCTCCATAGAAGCTGATCTTGACACCAATGGTACCGCTCTTCGGCAAGTCCAATCAGCTCCACATCCTCCTGTATTACATCAGCCCCCTCTACCCGGCCTGACACGTTCCATTAGAGGGGCCCACATTTTGCAAGCGTAGAGAAGGGAGGACAGAACTACGGCCGAGAAAACACGGAGCTCTGTATGGAGCGACAGACAGAGCAGCTTTCACACAACATTACGCAGCTGATAAAAAGGTAATGCCGCTCTCGACTGATTTGGAGGGAGACCTCTGCTGCCAAAGCAGAGCTAGACATCAAGACATCAAGCACATAACATACCCAGCTAGGTACTTCGTTTTGGAGTGATGCTCATAATGGTACACTCCCGGTTCAGTAGCTAGAGTCTCCAACTCTTTCTCAGAGTGAGCAGCAATTACCAAATCATCAGGATACGTAACATGGTTGATCAGTAGGGAGCCATCCCGTGACCGTACCCGGACATCGTTCAGCCTCCCATTGTACCTGTACCACATGGAAATTCCTCTGGTAAAGCCATGGAAAGCTTTTGGAACGTGGTCGAAAAATACGTAAAATAATGTAGGAGCCCGAGGACATCCTTGTTGCACTCCAAAGTGAACATGGAATGGCTCCGGCTCGCGGCCACGTAGCTTTACCCGGGCTTGCCTTGAACACTTTAATGTAAGTCCGAGACCCCAAAAGCACAAAGTATAACCCCCAGAGCCCTGGCCTACTGCTGTTATCAATAGGCCTTGACCAGATCAATGAAGCAGAGATGTAGGTCCAGTTGAAATTCCCTACATCTCTGCTGTAGCAAACTGACAGAGGATATGGCCTCTGTGCAGGACTGCCTAGAAATGAAACTACATTGGGGTTCCGGAAGCCTCTCTTCAACAAGGCGATGTTGAATAATCCATGTCAGGAAGGACCTTTCCCTGGCCCACTGAGGGGGTCGATGCCGGTAGTTGTTACACTGATATAGCAACACACATACACCTGCAAACCTGTAGTTTAGTATTACTGATCTACAATGTAGACGAGTTATTAACAGAATTACCTCAACTCTGATGATTGGGTGACAATAAGACACGTTCGATCTAGAACTCACCAACGGCTTCGTGTCTTCGAGAGGTGGCATTCCTGTGTCGTCGTCATCATCGTCATCGTCCAACTCCACTCCTCGGTCGTCAGTGGGCTGAACCACCTCCTCGCTGGGGTCGTGCTTTTCCTCCTCTCCCCCCGCGCATTCTACCGACTTGGACCCTTCCTGCTTCTTCTCCTCCCGATGGCCCTTGCCCTCTGCGGACCCCTGCTGCTCATCTGGGTCGAGCACATCGTGTGCGGAGACGTGGAGGAATTGCTCCTCCTCCTCCGACGATGGTGACGACGGTGGCGATGATGACGGAGGCGATGGTGGGGACACCGCACCCTCCATTTGCTGGTTTTGTCACCTGCACACGCACGCAGATGGCGGTGTAGAGAAGCTCTGGGAGTCCAATATTGAGATGCTTTTTTTCTCTTCACAGGTGGCCGGGTGGCTCCACCAGTTTGCTAAACTATCTTTTGGATGGGGAAAAAAAATAATCGAAAAACACATTGAACTACCGTACCTATACATTGAGGTTTTGATGGTGAAATAAACCAACAGAAAATCCCTATGAGTAAATAGAAATCAATCCACATTATTATCATCATCATCATCACCACAGTAAAAGCAATGCCGCGATGTTCATCTCCCGTGTACCGTACAGCCCTGCAGAGCCAGTGGTGAGAATTCCACATTCCTATGGCGGCGGTGAGAGGGGGGAAGGAGGCGTTCTCGTCACACAACCACCGATGAGGCACATTCATTGACAAGATGCGCGTCGTCAACAGCAAAGCACGACGCATTGAAAGCGTGCGGTGGGCATCATCGAATCATTTCCGTTTTGGTGGAACGAAGCCTGCTGTTCTCCACATCGTTGTGGGACTTGAGGTATTGTTCAGAAAGGAGAAACATAAACTTTACACGCACTCACTATTATTAACTGAACCTTGCACAGTTTGTGGGCTTAGAAGAATCTCAGCTTGCGTGCCTCACACACCATAACAAGGGAATTGTGTATGGTCGCGTTACCACGAGACACAGCCTATTGTTTAATTTTAATCACGGGATTGTGAGATCCGATCGTTGACGTTTTCGAACTATTTGGTACGCATTTGATGAGAACGCATTCTGTGCGAATTTTGCCATTTTGAGGTGTTGCCTATTGCCCTGGTTGAACCACGTGATTGTGAGATTCGATCGTTGATCTCCCTCTAACCATTTGATAAGTATTTATTTCATGAACCCATTTGCCTGCATTAATCCGATATTTTGATGAGCTTTTTAATTTTAATCGCATAATCTTGCAATTATAATCTTTGATACTTTCTAAACATTTGATGAGGATATTTTTTTTAAACACGTATGCTGACATTGGCACAGTTCATATTCTTAGTTTTTTCGGTAAAGTCACGTGACTTTACCGAAAAAACTAACAATAGGATTTACTGCAGTCACGAAAGCTTTAAATTGTTGTGGGTTAACCTGTAAGTATTCTTTGATCACGTGATCGTGAGATCCGAATGTTGATGCTTCTGACCATTTGATACGCATATTTTTTTGGGACACGCATTTCCGTACGGATATCGCTTTGTTTGTGTCTGCCTTTTGTTTTTTTTCATCACGTGCTCGTGAATGTTAGGCAATATTATCCAATACTTGTTTTAACCGAAAAAAACAATGAGTAATACTTGTTTTTGTTGTCATTTCCTATGGATTGATGAGTACGTATATATTTGCATTCGTATTGTCGTTGCTATTATTAATTCCTGTTGACAAGAGTTTGATGTTAGAGTGACATTAAAATTGCTGAGATTAAAAACAGGTTCCGAGTGCATCATTGTCATAAATGACGGAACTGTATCCTGCGGTGAGATCCGAATCCCGAGACCTGTCATAATTACACATCAGAATTGTTAAAGCGAGAATCATTGACATTATCACAATCACACGTACATACCCCTAGACAACGAGAGCCAATAATAATCGCACCACGTAATAACTCAATCACAAACACATAATCACACGTAATAATCACACCCACACACAAAAATCATAATTTTTTTCAACACATTCTTAATTACACTTTGTGCACATGTATAGGTAATCACACTTAATTACACATTAACATATTTAACATAATTAACTTTCATTACTTTACAATATTTCATTTCAGATTTTTAGAATATATACATCACTGAGCGAGGGGGGGACATCACAGAGGGGGGGCACATCACAGAGCGAGGGGGGGACATCACTGAGGGGGGGGACATCACTGAGGGGGGGGGGGACATCACAGAGCGAGGGGGGGACATCACTGAGGGGGGGGGGGACATCACAGAGGGGGGGAACATCACTGAGCGAGGGGGGGGGACATCACAGAGGGGGGGGGGGACATCACAGAGGGGGGGACATCACTGAGCGAGGGGGGGGACATCACAGAGGGGGGGGGACATCACGGGGGGGGGGACATCACAGAGCGAGGGGGGGGCATCACAGAGGGGGGGGGGAAATCACAGAGGGGGGGGGACATCACAGAGGGGGGGGACATCACAGAGCGAGGGGGGGGCATCACAGAGGGGGGGGGGGGAAATCACAGAGGGGGGGGGGACATCACAGAGGGGGGGGGGGGGCATCACAGAGAGCCACGGACGCGCGCGCTCTGCGCGGCCTCCGTCTCTCTCGCTCGAAGATGGCAGCGCGTGGAGGCTTAAAGGAGGTGACCGAGGAGGGGGAGGGGGGTGGGGGGCGCGGGTGGCTACCTGGCGCTGCTTTAGGGGCCCCCCTAACGCCCGACCCTGTTTCCAGATCTCTCCTCGTCGGGGACCCCTCCACCACCTCACCCCGCTCGCCGCGGCGTCGCGTCCTTTAGACGTCACCGATCGATTCCTACCATCGAAGTTCGATCCGCGGTGTCGGAATTCGCCTCGTGCATCGATTCGCCCGTCTGCACCCCCCCACATGCCCCCACTCTACCAACCCCCAGCCTGCCCCCACTCTACCCCCCCCCCCCAGCCTGCCCCAACCCCTCTGCCCCCTACTCTTTGGTTTTATTCGGTTAAGTCACGTAGGTAAAAAAAACTAAAAAAAAATATTTCATTTAATTAAAAAAAACAAAATTATTTTTTCTTTCATTTAATTTTAAAAAACAAAAAAAATTTCTTTCATTTAATTTTAATTAGTTTTTTTTTACCTACTTGACTTAACCGAATAAAACCATAGAGTATGAATTCCTGCAGTCACGAAAGCTTCAAATCTAGAACTCTCTGCCACCACCCCCCTCCCTACCTTCTGTGAGATAATCGATTCCCTTCGTTTTAGATTCACCACACGCACGAATCGATACGACGACACGCGCGTGCGCGTGTGGTTTGAGCGATTAATGTTTTTTGGTTTCGACGGATGCCGTTAAAATTGTCACGGATTTTGAGAGAGTGGGTTCGGGCACCCCCACACCCCAACCCCCACTCCCACTGCGTGAGGAAAATCGATAAAGGCGTATATAATCCACCCTCAAATCATCGATCTAGATTGTGACGTCGCATCCTGCTGAGCGGCCCCGCCCCCTCCCCAACCCCCCACTTAACGGAAGTGACGTCACTCGCCGCCATCGTCGTAGGGACGTGGAGCCGTAGCCGTTCGGGTCGCTCGCTCTTTTTTTTTCTCTCTCTCTCTCTGAACACCGCCTCAGTCCTTGACCCCCCGCTCCCTCTCCGTTTCCCTCCAGCCACCTTCGCTGCGACGGCTCGCGCTCCCCTCGTGCTCTCTCGCTCGGCGCCGCGTGACGAATTCGACGACGATGACCCGTGAGTCGCAGTTCGCCGGCGCGTTTTCGTGATGAGCGGAGCGGGCCGGTTAGAAATGGTAGACACGGATCGGCGTGCTGACCGCGCTAATCCGGACTGGGGTTTAGAATCTGCTGGTGTTTTTTTAAATTTTATTTCTTAAAAGACGTGCTCCCGTAGTTGTCAACACATAGCACTTTGGTTCTTTCGGTTAAAGTCACGTTGGTATAAAATAAAATCAATTAAATTAAAATGACGACGTTTTCGGAAGCGACACAAGCGTACGTCATCAGGTGGGAAGGCCACAGCAAGAAACGAATTGCTGTGGTTGTCCCACCTGATGACGTACGCTCGTGTTGCTAACCGAAACGTCGTGATTTTAATTTATTTTGTTTTCAAAGAACCAAAGAGCGCGGATCCCTGCAGTCACGAAAACTTCAGATCTAGAAAGTTAACCCATAGTTAGGGTTTGTATCCCCCCCCCCCCCCCCCCCCCGTGTTATTGTGCAGGCAAATTGAGTTTTCAGGTCCATACGACGTACAGCCGTTTCAATACGGGCACATTTTGTAGTGGCAGTTTATAGTGTAGTGTATAAGTGTATTTTATAGTGTAGTGTAGTGTGTAGTATATGTGTATTTTATAGTGTAGTGTATAAGTGTATTTTATAGTGTAGTGTGTAGTGTATGTGTATTTTATAGTGTAGTATTTTATAGTGTAGTGTATAAGTGTCTTGTATAGTGTAGTGTATAAGTGAATTTTGTAGTGCAGTGTATAGTGTAGTGTATTTTATAGTAGGGTACCTCATGGGACCCCCTTTGCCAGTACCAAAATGAGAATAGGTTTTCCCCTTTTTTCTAGACGATGCATATACTGTATTATATTATTGGTTCTTTCGGTAAAGTCACGTAGAAGGGAAATAATAAGATAATAAAACAATTAAATGCATATATTATCGTGTATGCATGATTACAAGCAATCATGCAGACATGATTGCTTGTGAAAGGTTTCGGTTTGGTGTTGTGACATCTTAACACCTGTTTTGTTGCCAGAAAAAAGGGGAAAACCTTATTCTCAGTAGCATAGCTCTCAACCAATACGGTTTACCCAGCCCACTGGGTTTAGGATTTAGGGTTCTTGCGTGTTCAAGGGTGGGGAGTCAGAACCGGGGAATCGAACCTAGGTCACCCAACATTTGCACATACTTTATACAAAGTTTAAATTAAGTTTTGGCACGCACGACTTGATCATAAACGATGCACCAGATTGTTAAATGTTGTGGATTTCTCTCCCAACACGCCGGTGTGGTGCTGAAGCAGTAATTGGCACGGTTTTTTGGACCGAATATTCCATCGCGAAGACTCGCACGTACGTTTTATGTTATCGTTGTTATCGATTAACAAACAAAAAAAAATCGGCTGTCCAGCCGATTGATCGTTAACTTGTCAAGTAACGGTGTGTCGTCGCCTCCCCAACCCCCAACCACCCGGTGATATCAGGCGGAAACCAGCGCGAGCTCGCCCGTGCCAAGAACATGAAGAAGAACTCTGAGAAGGGTAAGAAGAAGGAAGACGGCCTCTCAGCCACCGCTCGCAAGCAGAGGTACGCTCTCGGTCACCATCGCCCACCGGCGTCTCCCTCCCCAAACTCCCTCTCCAGCTCGCTCTCGCCTGGCGGCCACCTGTCCCGCCCTATGTGCTGATGGAGAAGGGCCATTGCCTGAAACGTCACAAATTATATATCCAGCGACGGCTCTGCTTCCGAACGAGTTAGGCCCCAGAGGTCTGCTCGTAAGTCGATTTGTGCTTGTACGTCCAACTTTTACGCCTGTCGAATCCAAACGTGTTGTTACGACGTTGTACACTAAACATGGGGAATGGCTTTAAAAGTTGTATAATCTCCTGTAAGTGTCACCTGTTCTTCACGTTCTACAGATGTAGATGCCACCACCGCCATCTATTGTGCGGCGATTGAACATACGACTCGGTCCAAACAGCCACTGTTTGGACCGTGAGTTGTACGGACAGGTTTGTTCGTATCTCTGAAAGTTCGTAAGTCGAATGTTCATAAGTAGAGGAATCCCTGTGTTTAGTATTTTACAGTTGTAGGGGCGGTGTCAGCTCCGATCGAGTTAGTCGTTGCGATTTATGCTTTATTGTGTAATTGGCAACGGATGGTAATCGCAGTGTGATGTTAACTGTAATGTTCATCTTAATGCTGCTGTATTTGTAATTCGAATTGACCCCAGGTGTGTTACGGGGCTGCAATTAGAGTCATTAATGAATTATTCGGGCTTCAATTTTACCCCCACGTCTGGCATCGTAATTTTGTATTCGTTTCGTTGCAGCCTTATTCGTTCCATTGTCTTCGCGAGATTTGATGCAAAGAGAACAAGTGCGTCATTGTGCACCCAATCGAGGCCTCCCAAAAGGCTTTTAAAAGGCCTACCGCAGCAGCTCACGAATCGTGTCCATTACTCGCGGGAACCGCGGTGCCGTGTAAATGGGCGGCGCGTGCCCTCCTCGTCATCTCCGCAGGGACGCCGAGATCATGCAGCAGAAGCAGCAGAAGGCGGCGGGGGAGCCCAAGGAGAGCGGCGGAGCGGCCGGCGGGAAGGACTAACGAGCGGGGCCGAGCGATGCAGAGGGGTCTCGGGGGAGAGGAAGGGGGTGGGGGTGGTGAGCGCCACTCGCTTACGGGTGGCACCACAGCGGGCCGACGCGCTCATCTCACCTTGCTGCTCCACCACCAGTCCACCTTGAGTCATCACTCCCCCCCCCTCCATCCTCTTCCTAACTCGTCCCAGCCCCCCTGACGTGAGATTTTCGTCAGCGGGGTGTGGCCGGGTGTCGCCCCGCGTCCACCGCCGCCGCCATCGTCGTGATGATTGCAAAGCCCCCCCCCACCCCCGCCCCCTTCGTCCACGAAAGGAAAACGCAGCCCAAGAAATAAACGGTTCTCTCGTTATGTGGTTACGTAGCTGGGGATGTGCGTCTGCGACTCATCTCGGGCTGGCCGACGTGAACGAGCAGCTTTGTTGGCGACATCGTAACAGACCTTCGGCGTGACATGGCAGAGCTCTGGTGACGTCCCTGCATTGGCATTGTATTAAGCCGCGTCACTGTGACTGTGCACAACGTAACTTTAATATCTTTTCCCCTTCTCCATTAATGAAGATCCAGAATCGCGTCGGACGGCCCGAGACACGACCAGCCTAAGGCACGCACGGGCAAGGCAAGAGCCGTTTGTTGGGTTACGTCTCCCTTCTGGTCAGAAATTGTCAGATGTTTAAACTCTTAGCTCCTTTTGTCTTGCGTGGAATTGTTTTACTCTTTCATTGCATCCCCCCCCCCCCCCCAAGTGTCCCCCCTCTGGTTAGATGCATGCACACGTGGTGGAAAAGGGGGGCGGGAAGGGGGTTTAGGCTTCTGCAATGAACATGCCCCCCCCCCCCCCTTAACCCTACCCATGCAAAATGAGCCCCCCGCAGACGTGCTCCTCCTACGTACATCACCCCCCCCCCCCCCCAACTCCCACAGCAAGTACGTAGCAAAGACACTCCCCCCCCCCAACCCCCATGCCGGGCTAGACTCGTAAGAGTATCGAATCATTGGCCACGTCTGTGCATGGCGGGGAGGAAAGGGGTCGTTGTCGCCATCCCCTGGGTTTGTGCTTGAGGCAGATCCGTTTTTTACAAGTCACGCGCCCGCGCCATCAGCCCGTACAATACAGACCATTTATTTTCAGAATCGCGTTGGGGCACTGAAGAGGGCGTGTAACGAAATGCGACTAAACAAGCGACGTCTTTTGCGTGTCATCCTTTGGCGTTGCTTTTGCGAGCGACAACTGTGGCATGTCAAAGTTGTTTTTGTGAGCCCACCCCATGCAACACATCTTCCATGCAGCTACCCACCTCCCCCCCCCCCACCTTGCTCTTTTACAAAAGTTGTTGCTGACCCTGCTACCTCTCCCATTGTATAGCCATGCCATATGCAAGCTAGCGTTGTTAATCCTCTGTATCTGCAGTGCATGCCCCCGCCCCCCACGCTTGCGGTCTTGTTTTTTAATTCGTAGTGTGCGCGTGTGTGCAACTTTAGGACGAAGTAGCCACAGCGCCCCCCCCCCCCCCTCCCCGGTTTTTCCTGTCCATAGCTTTATTTTCCCAATATAATGAATAAAGTTTCAAAGAATGTCCCGGGCTGTGTTTGGCGTCCGTTTTAAATGGACTTAGAGGCAAAAGCGTTTGTGTGTGTGTGTGTGTGCGCGCGCTATCATGTACAATTTCGGTTCTGCGCGTCCACCTAGTTATTTTTGTTACTGTGCGAGCAATATGCCGGTTCAGTAACAAATATGGTCGATTCACAAATAGCTGGGGTAATGGGGAAGATCGTGAAGAATACATGCGAATCTGGTTATACAAATGCATTGTTGACCTACATGGAATGGGTGTGATGATGTAGAACGTTGTTTTATTGCTTCTCGAAACTTAGCTGTTCACTTGCCACAGTGTTTGTAGTCACCGACCCATTCGGCGTGTGAGGAGCTGCTGATCATGAAACCAATCCACACTTAAAGATGTGTGTATATATTTTACTTATGACAAAACAAGCATGTAAAGATATTTTATTTAAGAATTTCACACGCACATGGATAATCTTCCCGCAGATATTGAACAGTTAATTGTGTTCCCACATGGTGTAGATGGAACAGCCGTGGGTTTATCTGCGATGCAGTTGCTCTGCTAGCGTAAGATTAAAGTTTCCGCATTCCCTGATATCGCCTGCTCAGGGCAGAACTAGACGTGTGAATCATGTACAAGTCGTGCTGTTAGAGACTCGTGTGGGAGAGCATGAGGATGGGAATGAGGTGTCTGCTTGTGTGCGAGTACTAATTGGGAGCGGTAGTGTTGTGGTTAGCGCCCTGCACTACACACCCAGAGATCAGATTCCGATAAACGCTCGGCCAACATGGGTGTCAAATATCTGAACCGGTCCCGAGCGTCCACAAGCTTGACTCGGCCTTTAAGTGAGTACCTTGTGCAGTGTATAAACTTCAACACTGGGGAGACAATGGTGGCCGGGTGTGGTGCTGGCCACGCACCCCATCGTTTCCCGTGCCTGCATTAATATGTGCTCGCTAACAGCACGTCCTCCAACGATCTGTAGAGGCTATACAGGGATATTTGTGCCGTGTGCAGTGCCTGGCGAGCAATGCACAGCAGTACAATCCCGCCGACCAATCCCATTTCAATTCCCGGCCACGGCTGACATCAAGTGGCACGTGATATCTGAATCTTAGGTCAAATTGGCCTTGACTTTGTACATGGTTCAGTGTGTACAAACATCAGAACTGGCCAGACAGAGGTGGCCGGGCGTGGTGCTAACTGTATCATCCCCCTCGAGCGCTGTGCTGACCTTAATAGGTGCTCACGTAAGAGCACTTGTAGTCTGCTAAAGGCTATACAGGGGATATTTGTATTTTGTGTTGTAGTTACTTGATGGGTGTGTGTGTGTGTGTGCGCCCCCCTTGCTGTATGTTCTGCATATGTGTGTCGATGCGCATGTGCCTATGCGAGTATGTGTGTGCACCCCCCCCTCCTCACCAGCAATTAAATTGTTTAATTGCCACAATTAAATTCACGAATCGATTATTTTTTTTTGTCTCCACGTACTCTTGTCCGTTAAACCAGTTAGCCATTAGCATGTCGTGTGCAAGGATCATCGATTCTCACAAGCGATTTGATGATGCATGTGTCGTGAACACCAATTAACTTAACTACGAACCTTTCAGTGCCTACAAACTCTTAGTGCTCCGCTACAAAAACCACCAGCGGCCGCGCGTACGACTCCAGATCCTCCTCCTCCTCTAGTACCAGAAGGACTTGCGTGGCCGTCGTTCCTCCACGATGCCCATGGCGTCCATGATCTCCTCCTCGAAGGTCTTGAGGGACGGCGAGTAGGTGGAAGCCAATGCATTCTCCACCGACGTATCCTTTGGACCATCTGCCGGACGGATGCGGGAGGGGAGGGTTACTCGAGGATCCAGTGGCAACCAATGAATCAAAACAGCCAAGGCGACCGGGTGGCTCGGAGCGCCGGGCTGGCACAGCTGAGACCCTGGGATCAAGTTCTAGGGGAGCCTCCTGTGATTTAACCGGCGTCTCCAGTGTCTTCAATTGATGGTCTAAGGCTATAGTGGAAATAAAATCAAAGGACCGGTATGGCGAAGGTGCCATTCGGCGGGAGGAAACGGTTCTTGACAAGGAGTGAAATCGTAAAGAAAAAGACTGCCGAGCCAATGGTCCTAGAGTGTAGCCATGCATAGAGCAGAAAGTGATGGAGCGAGACATTTCAAAGAGTTAGAGATGTGGGTATTTAGGAGGCTGCACAGAGTGAGCCGGACTTGAGAAGATTAAGGAAGAAAGAGAGCTGTGAGTGGTCTCAATGAAAGAAGACTGATAAAGGAAGCCATCAAGGGACGGAATAAGTGCACTGGATGCATGCTTCGAGGGGACGGGTTGATGAATAATGACATTACAAGAGAAAGACGTGACGGTAAATAGTATGAGAGGAAGGGCCGATCGGCGGTTGTTGTTGTTAGATGGGGAAATGTAAGGGTGGGGTCAGCGGGGATGGACTCGAACCTTTCCACTGCTCGGGGATAATGCCGTCGTCTCGCTGGTACGGCGGCAGGGGAATGATGCGTCCCGTACGCTCGGACACGCGCACCCTCTCGCCCTCGTCCGTGAAGCGCCACTCCACGTTCGCCGCTTTCCTACAGCAGCCACAGCCGCACCGCGTCGGCAGCGGTTACGCACGCGGAGACGCGTCGGTTAAACTAGCTTTTTATTTTACCAGGTAAAGCCCACTGAGCTATATAGCTCTTTTTCAGAAGCGATTTGGCCACAAATTATCGCTCAACGAAGTGGCTTGTGGGGAATTTTAACGCAGCTGAATACTCTAAACGCATGTTTCTAAATGTGGAGGGTAAAACCAGAGGACCCGGATACAAATACAGTAAAACCTTGGATTGCGAGTAACTTGGTCTCCGAGTGTTTTGCAAGACGAGCAAAAAATTTAAATAAATATGAATTTGATAAACGAGCAAGGTCTTGCAATACGAGTAGTACGTATATGCTTTGTCTGCCGAGCGTCACGTGATCACAAATGATATACGAGTGCTTTGGATATACGAGTGCTTTGGATTACAAACACATTTCCGGAACGAATGATGCTCGCAATCCAAGGTTTTACTGTACATGCGAACATGGGGAGAACATGCAAACTCCAAATATACAGCAGGCACCTGGGTCGGGATCGAACCCACAACCTGTATACCAGGCAAGGTAGTTAACATTGGCCAAAAATTGCCGAAGCTCTGGCTGTGGCCAGTGAATGTGGAACGTCGAGCTGGCTAGCAACCATCTTACCGGTCGGTGGGGTCCACGAGTGCAACGTCGTTGACCAGGAGTGGCGCCTCGCTCGCCACATACATGCCGGAGAAGGTGGGCGTGCGGCCCGTGTAGCGGTAGTGCTGCGGGGGCGGAACGGGGAGCAGAGAGGGGAGCGTTGGTGGTGGTGGGGGCACAGAACATTCTTAGTACTTGATTCTGTGGAGGTTTACGTGTCGTGTAATACTTTTATTTTTCTACATGCAGAGACCGATATAGGAGGGGTGCGCATTGTGTGCTTATTTTTTCCACATTCTTAGGGGTCTTCAGGACGTTTTTGAGTCAATAAAACTACGTCCCGGTCACCACGAAAAAAATACTGTCATGTCAAATTGGAAGTTTCACTTGGGCTAAAATTAAAGCTGTGGGTAGGGTTTGTAGGAGTGGTTCATTGGCGGGCGGGTTAGGGCTAGAGGTAGGGCTAGCACTAGCGAGACCTTTTTTTTGCCAGTATCAAATAGTACCAAACTTATCCCTCCCCCTAAAAAGGTCCCATTATATAGTTGCTCAGCCCAAGCTATAAATGCTCTGATATTGCATTGTCTTTGTACTATTAGCCTTTTGGCGTTCTCTAATCTTACGCTGGTGAGACTAAGCCTGAAACAAGGCTGTCTCTGGTGTAGTCCAATCAGTTTCAAAGACATTGCGTATATTAGCATGTTTTGTTTGCATTTTCACCACAAGTACGTGGTTAATGCAGACTTGATTCCTTGCAAAAGGTATCCATTTGGTTTCAACCGAGAAGATGGATTCTGGCTTAGCAATCATTGGAAGGATTTGATAAACCATTTTGGGTCTTAATTAATTGTGTTCATGCTTACGGTGACTTTCAGACCGCATTCCATTCTCTTTCTATCTCCCCCCTCCTCCGTTCCGAGCATAGATGGACTCGTCCGTCTGAACAACCGCCAGTTGCTGTCCGTGGTGCTAACGTTAAGAAAAAAACGCCACTTTTTTCAGATCTTAACACCTATTTTATTGCCAGAAAGCGTAAAACCTATTGTTATTTTTCATAGTACTCGCGGCTTGTCTGTTCGAAGTAATGCTAGTCCTTGTGTTTAGTTTGCGAGTGGTACGGGGAGGTGCTAGTTCTGGTAGCTAGTTGAGTTAGGTTCAATGGTAGGGCTCGTACAAGTGGCCGGTTGTATAGTTAGGGGTAGAGCTGGTACTAATTTCTGGTTGCATACCTGTCAAGCCCTTACCAGTGCTTTCCTTATTACAGACCAATTCAGACCTTATTGGTCACCCCGTGCCCTTATAAATCTCAACGTTCATCTCACAAAGTCCCATCACGCGGGAGAAACACAAACAAATAGACTTTTTTGTTGTTGCCGATATTGAAACGGCCGTACGCCGTATGGACCTCAAAACTCAATACAGGGTAAATCGTATGGGTTGACATGGTGTGTGGTTGGCTAGTGTGCTCGCGCATTCTATTCACAGTCTCATCCGCGTTCCGTGCCAGATCATTCATGCAACGGGCGCGTACCGTGTTGAGTCCTTGTATCACCACCCAGTTCCGCTCCTTGATGATCTGCACCACCTTGCCCTGCTTGCCCGCGTCCTTCCCCTTCAGGATCTCCACCTGGGGCCACACGACCTCGGTCCGTCAAGAGATCGGCCGCCTTCCGAGGGCTCCATCAGCACTACGACGATTAGAACCACCATGATAATACAGCGACGGGTAGGACGTGGTTGATGCTAAACTTGGGATTCGTTGAGCGTGAACACGTTCGTGCGTTCTCAATCTTTAACCGTCTCTCTGTTCCTCCTCCTTGTGCTCACTCCACACTGTCGCTCGCCTCTCGCCCCTCCTTCACTGGAACAAACTTACACCTCCACATTAAGCGGTCACTTTCGTTCACGAAGTTTCCGCTCCTCGTTCAAAACTCACACTTCTTGTTCCCTAGCTCACCCCACGACCCCCCCCTTAATCTCCTCCTCATAACCACCACCACCGTTCCTGTTCTTTCTTCATACTCTCATTACATGGGTATCGCTCATTAACCCCATTCTATCAATCCATCCATCATCATTTACTATCAGAATAATAATTATTCACATTATGTCTATCATTCATTCCATTCATCATTTACTGTCAGAATAATAATTATCATATGATTCACTCAACACCATTAATTCAATCCATCCATCATTTACTGTCAGAATAATAATTATTCACCTTATATGGCTATCACTCATCAACCCCATTCATCAAATCCATCATTTGCTGTCAGAATAATAATTATCCACCTTATATGGCTATCACTCATCAACCCCATTCATTCAATCCATCCATCATTTACCGTCGTCAATTTCTCTTTCACCAAATTGACGCATCATCATAGATTTGTCCCCATTGCTTCCTCTCATCTATTTAATTCACCTCATCTCCATTACATTCATATGTTGGTACCGATGTTATTTATTTGCAAAGCGCCTTGGTTAAAGAGCTATATAAATTCCGCTAAGATAAAAAGATAAGATATTCACCACAATGATGATGCTGATGACCACCAAAATGACTGCGATGTTAAGATTGATGGCAGTGCTGATGAGGATTCAATGATCAAAGTTGTCTTTTTTGGTTTAAGCACGTGAGAATTCAAGAGGCAAGGGCAGTCTCATGGCCATGAGACCTGGGGAATTATTCTACCAATAGGGGGGGGGAGCGATGATATGTACGATTCCAAATGGATAATTGGTGGGTAATTTTTAGATTTTTAAAAACAAAATATACGGCACACAATGGGCAACTTTAGCGCATTACTTCGGGAGATCTTTAACGAACACGGCTAAGCAGGCGGCGCGTACTAGTACAGTATTCCGGTTATTATTACACCCGTAGCGATAACCGGGGCGGCCGCTGCAATCGAACCGTGAAGCACCGCAACACCAAGCGGCGACCGCACTCCAGAGGCTAGACCAAGGAAGGGATCGACAATCAAAACATAAGAAGAGCCTAGATTTAAAGCTTTCGTGACTGCTAGGATCCATACTCTTTGGTTCTATTGGGTAAAGTCACGTAGGTGAAAATAAAATAACAAAAAATCACGACGTTTCGGCCACAACACAAGCGGCCGCTTGTGTTGTGGCCGAAACGTCGTGAAGCGGCCGCTTGTGTTGTGGCCGAAACGTCGTGATTTTTTGTTATTTTATTTTCACCTACGTGACTTTACCCAATAGAACCAAAGAGTATAAGAAGAGCCGTTATTTTTTTTGAGAATTCAGTTTAACAAAAAGTAAAAAACAAAACACCCTTCAATAATTCAAGAGCCTCAATGCACGAGACGGTCCTCAATAAAGAACGGTCACGAAGCGGTCCTTTAAAGAGCCGCATGCCGACCCCCTGAGCTAGAACCGTTGTCACCACCCACTCAATGAAGCTGCTGCCTGCTACTGCTGCCGACGACAATGGGCTGCGAGTGACTGCGGCGTGTCTGTGCCCACGGCCTCACGATATCTCCGCGGAAGATGCACCACCGCTCCCCCATGGGCTCGGTCAGCACGATGGGCCTGCGGCTGCCCGCCGGGTTGCGCGCCTTCGACGCGAGCGTCCAAGGGCGATTCATGCCGTAGCGGTGGTGCCTCTGCGCCCTCGTCACCGGCTTGACGGCGCGTGCCGCCATGGCGAGCACGGCCGTCAGACGCATCTCTTCCTTCCCCCTCGCGAACGCGACGGTCGCCTTCGCTTCCTTCCCGATGACAACTCCAGCGAGCCCGTCCAGCAGCAGCCGCCAAGACCAACAACCACGTGGGGGTTGACCTCCGGTACTACGGCTGTGACCCCTCCGCCCCGCCCTGTCTACCACGTGCTCGGCTGTGACCACACCCCCCCGCACCCCCACGTGCTCGCCGTCAGCCATTCAGGAGGCGAGAGCTTGGTGGTGGTTGACGATGACGCCGTGGCGGCCATCTTGGTAAGGTGGAGTCCGCCCTGACGTAGTCGCACAACGGCTGTAACTGTACGGGCTCATGTTAATTGGGCGGCCATCTTAGGTAGGGGGGGTGTGGAGAAATACAGTGCAAGGCTACGTATAAAATAAAATCGCTAAATGACGATTGAAAAAAAAACAATCTTAAGAGAATAAACGTGCAGTCTGGGAGGGTAAAAAAGCATACAAACCCCCACCTACCCACCCCGCCAACAAGTTTCGAACAACACGGGAGGACGTGTAAAAAGAAAACCCCATCAACAGTTCTTGAAGAGCTGTCATTGTTGGCCATTAACGTGTCAGGCTACCGTCAAACTTTTCGCAATCGTGACAGACTGCCAGCAGCAGCGCTGAAGCATCGAGTAAACCCAAGGACCGGATGGATCCATCCGAATTATGACTAATACAATTAACTTTTTTCGTCGTTGCAAATTCAAAGTGGGATTGCATCCAACAACAATAAAACAGCGAAACATTTGGCAAGAATCCGCCTGAGCAAAGTCTTGAGATCTCGGGCGAGGCAATTCTGGGCAAAGATGCGTAATCATAAAACAACGTTGGCAATCGTCAGGTTACATTACAACAACAACCACCATCACCACCACCATCACCAAGCAGCCCTGGTGATGAGACACCGGGTGTCGAAACGACTCCATCGTTTTGTTTTCTTTTGAACCAATGGGGAATGTGGGGGTGGGGGGGTTGAGTGGGGGGTTGAGTGGGGGGAGGGGTTAGTTGGGTGGGGGGGGGTCAGCGGTGTGGGTTTAGTGGGGGGGGTTAGTGGGGTGGGGCTAGTGGGGGGAATTGAGTGGGGAGGTGTTGATTGAGAGGGGATGGGAATTGAGTAGGGGGGGGGGATTGAGTGTGGGGGGGGGCGGGGATTGAGTGGGGGTGTGGTTTCGTTCGTGTGAGGAGGGGGGGGGTTGACGAATGACGCACTTCCGCCCCCACAAGGCGTTGCGCGGGGCCCGCAGGAGGCGGCGAGGCGACATGGTGGGTGGTGGCGAGACGCGGCTCACGAAGCCCGCGGGGCCCCAGCGAGGCCCCAGCGCGGCCCTTGCGGCAGCAGCAGCAGCGCGGCTTTCCACGAGCCCCGCCGCACCCCTCGTTAAGCGAGGCGGTGGGGTGATTTGGGTTGGGGGGGGAGGGGAGAGGTTGTTCATGAACGAGGTGGGTTGTGTTTCACGAGCGCGTGTGTCTTGTGTGTGTGTCTCTCTGTGTTTCTTCTCCACCAGGCGGACTTCCTTAAGGGTCTTCCCGTGTACGACGAGAACAACTTCAGTCGATACCCCGCTGACTCTGTGTGCAAGGCCTCGGTGAGACAGTCTATAATCTCTACAGTATACATGTACAGTTTGTGCAGTATACATCATGCAGTCTATACACAGTGTATCGTAGAGCTACTACTACCCCGCCGACTGGGTGTGCCAGGCCTCAGTGAGACAGTCTATAATCTCTACAGTATACATGTTGTACAGTCTGTGCGGTATACATAATGCAGTATATACACACAGTGTACTGTAAAGCTACTACCACCCCGCCGACTTGGTGTGCAAGGCCTCGGTGAGACATACAGTATACATGTACAGTCTGTGCAGTATACATAATGCAGTCTGAACACACAGTGTATCGTAGAGCTACTACCACCCCGCCGACTGGGTGTGCAAGGCCTCAGTGAGACAGTCCATAATCTCTACAGTATATATGTTGTACAGTCTGTGCAGTATACATAATGCAGTTTACACACACATTGTATTGTAAAGCTACTACCACCCCGCCGACTGGGTGTGCCAGGCCTCAGTGAGACAGTCTATAATCTCTACAGTATATATGTTGTACAGTATGTGCAGTATACATAATGCAGTCTGTACACACAGTGTATTGTAAAGCTACTACCACCCCGCCGACTTGGTGTGCAAGGCCTCAATGAGACAGTCTATAATCTCTACAGTATACATGTACAGTCTGTGCAGTATACATAATGCAGTATATACACAGTGTATCGTAGAGCTACTACTACCCCGCCGACTGGGTGTACCAGGCCTCAGTGAGACAGTCTATAATCTCTACAGTATACATGTTGTACAGTCTGTGCAGTATACATAATGCAGTCTATACACAGTGTATCGTAGACTTGTACAGCTGCTACTACTACCCCGCCGACTGGGTGTGCCAGGCCTCGGTGAGACGGTCTATCATCTCTACAGTATACATGTTGTACAGTCTGTGCAGTATACATAATGCAGTTTATATACATAGTGTACTTTAAAGCTACTACCACCCCGCCGACTGGGTGTGCTAGGCCTCAGTGAGACAGTCTATAATCTCTACAGTATACATGTTGTACAGTCTGTGCAGTATACATAATGCAGTCTGAACACAGTGTATTGTAAAGCTACTACCACCCCGCCAACTTGGTGTGCAAGGCCTCGGTGAGACATACAGTATACATGTACAGTCTGTGCAGTATACATAATGCAGTCTGAACACACAGTGTATCGTAGAACTACTACCACCCCGCCGACTGGGTGTGCAAGGCCTCAGTGAGACAGTCCATAATCTCTACAGTATATATGTTGTACAGTCTGTGCAGTATACATAATGCAGTCTATACACAGTGTACTGTAAAGCTACTACCACCCCGCCGACTAGGTGTGCAAGGGCTCGGTGAGACTGTCTATAATCTCTACAGTATATATGTTGTACAGTATGTGCAGTATACATAATGCAGTCTGTACACACAGTGTATTGTAAAGCTACTAGCACCCCGCCGACTTGGTGTGCAAGGCCTCAGTGAGAGAGTCTATAATCTCTACAGTATACATGTACAGTCTGTGCAGTATACATAATGCAGTCTATACACAGTGTATCGTAGACTCGTACAGCTGCTACTACTACCCCGCCGACTGGGTGTGCCAGGCCTCGGTGAGACAGTCTATAATCTCTACAGTATACATGTTGTACAGTCTGGCAGTATACATAATGCAGTTTATATACACAGTGTACTTTAAAGCTACTACCACCCCGCCGACTGAGTGTGCTAGGCCTCAGTGGGACAGTCTATAATCTCCTCAGTATATATGTTGTACAGTCTGTGCAGCATACATAATGCAGTCTATACACACACAGTGTACTGTAAAGCTACTACCACCCCGCCGACTTGGTGTGCAAGGCCTCGGTGAGACAGTCTATAATCCCTACAGTATACGTGTTGTACAGTCTGTGCAGTATACATAATGCAGTCTATACACAGTGTACTGTAAAGCTACTACCACCCCGCCGACTTGGTGTGCAAGGCCTCGGTGAGACAGTCTATAATCTCTACAGTATATATGTTGTACAGCCTGTGCAGTATACATAATGCAGTTTATACACACAGTGTACTGTAAAGCTGCTACCACCCCGCCGACTGGGTATGCAAGGGCTCGGTGAGACAGTCTATAATCTCTACAGTATACATGTTGTACAGTCTGTGCAGTATACATAATGCAGTATATACACACAGTGTTCTGTAAAGCTACTACCACCCCGCCGACTGGGTATGCAAGGGCTCGGTGAGACAGTCTATAATCTCTACAGTATACATGTACAGTCTGTGCAGTATACATAATGCAGTATATACACAGTGTATCGTAGAGCTACTACTACCCCGCCGACTGGGTGTGCCAGACCTATATCTCTATCGCCTACAGTCTTTTCCCCTGCAGCCTACAGTCTATCTCTCACCAACAGTGGCATCAATATAAATGTGGTGTCGTTAAACCCGCCACCACCCGACACACCCAATTAATAAGGGTTGTCACGTAAACAGAACGTGCCAATTCGGTACTAGTACAGCACGCCGGTGTGTTGGGAGAGCAAATATACAATATTTACATTCTGAGTACGACGTTTCGCCAGTAATTACCACCGGCATCATCAGGCGATGACCAGATTTGTGGAAACCTGTTTCTTTCCTTAAATAGAGGGATAGATGTGATGACGTCACTTGTGATTGGCATGTTCTGTTTACGTGACAAACCCTTACTAATTGGCTGTGTCGGGTGGTGGCGGGTTTAACGACACATTTATATTTACACGATCTAACCCAAATAAAAAAAAAATCTATATTATGGATAACTACCTTATCTCTCTTATAATGAGCCCTGAAGTCAGCAGCGGTAGTTCCCAAACTGTTGGAGACGACATTTTGGCCGACCGTCCGGGGCTTTATAAGTGGGCCCCAGGAACTGTTTGCAGACATACCGTATGTTCCCGCATATAGCCCGCATACACATATAACCCGCAGACGCATATACCCCGCAAAAATAGCGTTTTGTGGAAAACAAATTTCAGATAGCCCGCACCTCCATATACCCCGCATGCATTCATATCTTTAACGTCGTTACCGCAGCTTAATTCCATCATATTAATACAAAGTTTACATTTGTAATACATTCCACTATCAATTGTTAACATTAAAATCATAACGTGCACAAAGAAAACAAACTAACCAGAAACGAGTGAACTTAAAACAGTAAATAAGTTACAAAAGTAAATATCCAATAAACAAGTAACACATAACTGGTAGATAAGTAAGCATACTGTTAGGCTTACCAGCATTCGACCTCATCATTAAAGCTACTGGACCGGTCTGAACAAACCGCTGTACAGTTTTAGCACTGGTATATTGCGCACTGAGCAGACAATAGCGGCACTACAGTAACGCCATTGCCTCCTAGCAACAAAGCCATTGGAAGTTTGAAACAAAGCTCATGGTCGCGACTGTATAGTGCTCAGCCAATAGCAGCGGCTTAAGGGACTCAGCAATTATGATTCCGCGTTTGGTAGACGCTTGTTAAGGCCCTTCCCATTGTCCAATCCATAGCCTGAGCTGAAACTTTCGCACCCCCCTACAGCCACTGAAAGTAATACGGTAAACAAAGTGCGCCCACTTCAAACATTGTCGTTTCATTGTACAAACAATTCGAATAATTTAAAACGTGATAACGTGCAATTTTAGTGTGAGTGGTTTATTCAGCAGTGCTTTAGTCAAAGGTAAGTGTTGCCTAGTGGATAGTCCTACCATGAAAAAATGTAACGAGTTATGACATGCCACACGTGTAAAATATTTTTGGGATAGCCCGCACCTCCGTATACCCCGCAGAGTCTTGTTTTGTTATATGCGGGAAAATACGGTAATTTTACAGCTATATTTTGTAAGACTTTCAAAGTAACAATTGACGGCACTTTTAGAGGAGTTTTAATCTAGAAAAGTACGTTATTGGCGGAAAGTGCTCCGCAAACATTGAGGGTTGACGGTACAAGTTTGAAACCACTGTTCTTGAGAGTAGAAATCTGTATGAGGTGGGAGGTCGAGAGATGCTGTCGCGTTTGTATGCAATGTAAACCCACGTTTTGTTGTTTGGATCTGTTGGACTTGCACAGAGACCCACAGACTCGCAGAGAGCGCAATAGACCATAAAGACTCGGACTCTGTACCCCAGTTCAACTCCAGGCTTAAGGACCATTCTCCTTGCGTTCTGCCTATGATTGACTGCCTCTTTCTCACTATAAAGTAAACGTCCTTATTGTTTATGTGCAGCATCTACAGGTGCAGTCTTATTTAGACACGAAAGTAGACTCGATTATCCATGCTAATGATGTGTAGGTTGGCTGCGGATAATCCAAAAATATCTATTTACTGCGGATCTCTGTCTAAGAAAATGTTGTTTATATTCTTGGTTCTTTCGGTAAAGTCACGTAGAAGGGAAACTATAAAATAATAAAAATATAAAATGATAAAATTCTCACGACGTTTCGACTGCAACACAAGCAATCATCATCAGGTGTGAAAACCACAACAAGAAAATTTGGAAAACGTGGCGGTTATTTTTAACGTTAGCACCACGGAGAGAGATTTGACAGTTTGTTCAGATGGATGAGTCCATCTATGTTCGGAAAAGAGGAGGGGGGAGACGAAAAATAATGGATGAAAAACGCATGTCAAAAATGTTATAAATTGATTTGCATTTTAATGAGGGAAATAAGTATTTGACCCCCTCTCAATCAGAAAGATTTCTGGCTCCCAGGTGTCTTTTATACAGGTAACGAGCTGAGATTAGGAGCACACTCTTAAAGGGAGTGCTCATAATCTCAGCTTGTTACCTGTATAAAAGACACCTGTCCACAGAAACAATCAATCAATCAGATTCCAAACTCTCCACCATGGCCAAGACCAAAGAGCTCTCCAAGGATGTCAGGGACAAGATTGTAGACCTACACAAGGCTGGAATGGGCTACAAAACCATTGCCAAGCAGCTTGGTGAGAAGGTGACAACAGTTGGTGCGATTATTCGCAAATGGAAGAAACACAAAAGAACTGTCAATCTACCTCGGGCTGGGGCTCCATGCAAGATCTCACCTCGTGGAGTTGCAATGATCATGAGAACGGTGAGGAATCAGCCCAGAACTACACGGGAGGATCTTGTCAATAATCTCAAGGCAGCTGGGACCATAGTCACCAAGAAAACAATTGGTAACACACTACGCCGTGAAGGATTGAAATCCTGCTGCGCCCGCAAGGTCCCCCTGCTCAAGAAAGCACATATACATGCCGTCTGAAGTTTGCCAATGAACATCTGAATGATTCAGAGGACAACTGGGTGAAAGTGTTGTGGTCAGATGAGACCAAAATGGAGCTCTTTGGCATCAACTAAACTCGCCGTGTTTGGAGGAGTAGGAATGCTGCCTATGACCCCAAGAACACCATCCCCACCGTCAAACATGGAGGTGGAAACATTATGCTTTGGAGGTGTTTTTCTAAGGGGACAGGACAACTTCACCGCATCAAAGGGACGATGGACGGGGCCATGTACCGTCAAATCTTGGGTGAGAACCTCCTTCCCTCAGGCAGGGCATTGAAAATTGGTCGTGGATGGGTATTCCAGCATGACAATGACCCAAAACACATGGCCAAGGCAACAAAGGAGTGGCTCAGGAAGAAGCACATTAAGGTCCTGGAGTGGCCTAGCCAGTCTCCAGACCTTAATCCCATAGAAAATCTGTGGAGGGAGCTGAAGGTTCGAGTTGCCAAACGTCAGCCTCGAAACCTTAATGACTTGGAGAAGATCTGCAAAGTGGAGTGGGACAAAACCCCTCCTGAGATGTGTGCAAACCTGCTGCCAAACTACAAGAAACGTCTGACCTCTGTGATTGCCAACAAGGGTTTTGCCACCAAGTACTAAGTCATGTTTTGCAGAGGGGTCAAATACTTGCTTCCCTCATTAAAATGCAAATCAATTACATTTTTGACATGCGTTTTTCCGGATGTTTTTGTTATTCTGTCTCTCACTGTTCAAATAAACCTACCATTAAAATTATAGACTGATAATTTCTTTGTCAGTGGGAAAACGTACAAAATCAGCAGGGGATCAAATACTTTTTTCCCTCACTGTATAATAATACTTTCCTTCTACAAAGAGGACTGCCCATGAAGTGGATATCAGAGCCATGTTGGTCAACATCAATCAAACTCCGCCCACTGTTGTAAAGATATGCAACTACTGTACTGTAGGGGCGATCACGTGGATTTCGAATTAACCGGAGCACATTTGTTCCATTTAAACACTGTGACTTGTAATGCACATTTCCAAGAGTAACAATGTATCTGTTTTTAAATGATTAATTTGGGCACAAGGGAAAATCCATGAGTTATTAATTTGTCAAAATCAAAAGTGCGCGGTTTATCCAATTTGCGGATTAACTGCACGCGGTTGATCGAGAATCTACTGTATACAAATCTGCATTGTACAGACTGAACATCCGAACCTCGCTCCCTATTCGTCCATATCTAGATGAACCAATCAACGCCCAAGTTTGGCGCGATTTCAGACACCTCAGTTACTCTAAAGCGAACGATTCACCGTTCAGCCTTTTTTTTTTATGACTGACGTCCTCAACGAGTGGACGGCTAGATGCGTGCGGCGATACGTGAACAATTTGCGTTGCGCGCGAGCGCGTCGGGCGTCTGTTGCGTTGGCGCACGCAAAAGCGCACATGGTAAATAGGTCGTTCTCGCGGTCGTGTGGTTCGTTCAACACCTTCCAACGGATGCATCAATCTCTCGGCACTGCTTGCCGACGTGGAGACGAGAATCTCGGCAGCATCAAACCGCGTAGAACCGAAACGTGTTCCAGAAAACGTAACCTCACGAGGTAAACCGTGTTTTTTGCCGAAACACGCGTTCGGTAAAACCGCATTGGGCAAGGTTTTCCTGTATTGTGTATATGCTGCTCTCTGCGCTAATACTCTGAACATCGCCGTGAGAGGTTGTGCACATTGAATACACTGAAGTCTGTATCTCTACTCAATGCTATACACTCGTCGGCATGTTTGTGAGGAGGCCCTCGTCCGGCAAATGAGCAGTTCATGTAAACTTTTACTCCATCACCTTTCTAGTGTTTGTGCTCTTAAGTTTTCTCAGTTTTTTTTTTACCTTTGCTGTCGGCAATCTTCCCTCTTGTTTGTCTCCTGCCCCTCTCTATCTTCTCGCTTCCACATCCTCTCCCTTCTCTCCTCTATTATTTTCTCTCTCCAAACTCTGATTCACTCTCCTCCACTTACATCATCGCCTCTCCCTTCCTGAGCCTTTCACTCTACCCTCTCTGCGCCCTCTTTGCTTCCCCTCTTTCGCCTCTTTGCTCCCCCTCTTGCCCCACTCTGCTGCACCTCTTTCCCCTCTTTGCTCCCCCATCTCTACTCTTTCCACCCACTCCTCCCTCTACACCCACGCTCCCACTCTCCTGACTCCACCCCTTCTCCCATCTTCATTATTTTCTCCATCCACTCCTGTCCTCAGCGCCTCCTTCTCCACACCCACCTCCCCCTCTGCGCTCTCCTCTCTCTCTTCGTCCTATTACTCCGTTTGCTGTTAACTGCCAGGGTGGCTCTGCCCACCCCAGTCCCTTCCACTTTCTCAACTCTCCTCTCTTGCTGCATCCCCTCCCTTCCATCGCCTCCCTCCGTCTCTCGTCTTCCCTCCCTGTTTCGCCTCTCAGTTGTTCACGGATGATGTGGGTTGGAGTGGCGTGGCATTGTGATGTCACTTGCCATCCGGGGTTTATTTTCTCTGATCACTTTCAGGCAGTGGCCGCTCCTGCTGCGGCTGTTGCGAGCTGAGATGGGTAGAGAGAGGGGGAAAAGGGTCGAGGGGATCGTCACTGCTATGTTTGGGAGGCAGTATTTTAGCATTGCAACTTCATTGAGAATGCAGTCTCGCAGCAGCAGCTTCACAGAAATCTCCCTCTCTTATCTGCTTCAATTTCCTATTCTTTGTAATGTATGGAGTGTTATAGCCTTACAGATGCTATCGCACATGTACGTGTCCTGCCCTTTGTCAAGCCACTGCTGGATTAGAGACCTCCCAACGCCATGCAGGTTGTAGGGTGCTATTTGACCATGCTTCACATTTTTTCGTGCGCGCACGTGTGTATGCATGTCGTGGGGAGCGGTAGTGTAGCGGTTAGCGCGCTGCACTACGAACCTGGCAACCGAGTTCAATTCCCCCAAACGCCCAACACCAGTGACGATTATCTGAACCGGTCCTGGGCCTCCCCTAGGTCGACTCTGCCTCAAATGAGTACCTGGTGCGGTGTGAACATTGCCACCGGGGAGACAAATGCGGTCGGGTGTGGTGCTGGCCACGCACCCACTCGTGCCGGCCTTCGTAAGTGCTTGCTAACACCACTTGCCCCAACAGTCTGTTAAGGCTACACGGGGGAACTTTGTCTCTGTCTTTGGTGTCGCAGAGTCGCAGGCCGCCCGTGTACCTGCCGACGCGCGAGTACCCCTCGGAGCAGGGTGAGACGTGCACTTACACTACACCCCCCATCGCCGCCCCTCCCTCCACGCGGCAGCTCCCATTACACAGTCGTCTATTAGAGGGGCGACAACACCTGCTCACCCGCCGCGTCAAATGAAGGTGGAAAATGACCTTAGAATTGCGCAGGGTTGGGTGAACAAACGTGAGTTACGGGGCATCGTGTTGACTCTAAAGGAAGGGCAAGTGGGCTTGGGCAGGAGGCGATGCTCAGACGATGAAGTGGTAGCCAGAGGCGGAAGGAGCGTGCGGTGAGAGGGTCGTCTGCTGCAGAGATGGAGCGATGGGAGCCGGTTCGTATGCAGGAGCTGCTCGATGGATTTTTGCGTCATCGAGACCGTGAGAGAGGTGGTGACTGCTTGGGAAGGCCTTGAGCGGTGAATAGATTGTGGCTGATGATGAATGTGCTATCGAGATGGGTATTCGGGAAGAAAGCTTTCCTATGTAGGTACAAGGGGATAAGGATTTTGTATTTAAAGGGCCGCATGCTTGTATGCCTCTCTAAGCACCTTGCATCTCATCTCAACCATTCCAATGCGATGCTGCAGTTTAGCTCAGGATACGTCCGGTAGCGGCTGTCCCTGTGCGGCACAACGGGAACGCAGCACTGGCCTGCCAGTTGGGCATTCGTCTGACAGCAGGGGGCAAAGTTGCCGCGTTGCGTTTCCCCAGATAAGTAATTTATACCGTGAAGATGGTGCACGTGGCCTGCGCATTTTAAAATGACGTCCTGGGATATTTAACGTCCTCTGTGAAGCAGACACAGCCGTTTAACACGTAGGCTTTCGCGACCAATGTCATCCATAATACAGGTTTCTTGGATTATATCACGGAAATATATAAACACACCGGCGTGCTGTACCCGTAACAAATTGGCGTGTTCTGTTTACGTGACACACCTTACTCATAGGCTATGTCGGGTGGTGGCGGGTTTAGCGACACATTGATATTTCCGCGATCTCACCCAAAAAAACTTTTAACATGGAAGACACAGCTGTGTTTGCCGCCCCTCCATGCTGCTGTCGTTCAGGCGTTCGGCAGCGACCTGACGATGAATCCTAACCAGACAAGTCCCCGGACAGCGCAGCCTCTCATCTTGACAAGGGGGGCCTTGGATGCTTGCGGAGGCGACGTGGTCTCGTGTGGTTTCACCATGCCGTCGTTCACGTGCTGCACTGTGGTTGTTTTCGCAGTCATCATCACAGAGAAGACGAACATCCTCCTCCGCTATCTTAACCAGCGGTTGGACAAGCGGGTGAGCTCCCTACCGCCCGGTGCGCGCCGCTGTAGCGTCCCGGGCGTGCCGCGCTATATTCGGATAAACGACAGGAAAGGAGAGAACCTCACCGACGGCGAGCTGGGACAGACGGAACTCCCCTCCGTGACGCTCGGTGGCAGATCCAGCCCCCACATGTCCATTTTGTGAAATTCGTGCGCGTTACAACCGTGACGATGGCGCAGGATGTGCATGCGTAATGTATGTGCATCGTGCACGCACGTTGTGCATGCACATTATGTATGTTGATTACCCTACGAGTAACCCAGTCGTTAATGGATATCCACTGTCATTTATATGGATACATTACCCTGCCTACCCCACCCTCGGTCTTCGCGCCTATTTGGCTCACAAGTGACGACATCACAATTATCCCTCTGTTTAAGGCCAAAATAGGATTCGGTGTGCTGTACGAGTAACGAATTGGCACGTTTGGTTTACGTGACAAACCTTACTAATTGGCTGCGTTTTGGGCGGTGGCGGGTTTAACGACACTTTTTTACGCGATCTAACCCAAAAAAACCTGTTACGGATTGTATCATTTTTTAAATTACGTTATTATAGAGCGTCGCGTAACGCCTCTTCTTCGCCACCCCCCCAGAGCTCGGGCAAGAAGCGCGACCAAGGCCAGATGGACGCGGAGGGCGAGGGTGCAGCACCGCCGCAGAAGATGCCGCGGCACGACAGCGAAGACATGAACGAGGACACTTAAAAAAAGAGCCGCCCCGCGCGCTGCCGCTCGTCCGTTTTGGGGGTGGCTACTCGGTCGGCCGTACGGCCGGTTTGTCGGTGGCTCGCTCGCCCCACCCCCTTTGTTCACCGTCATCACCACCCCCCCCCCCACCCCACCGCCACCCCCGGCGATCTCGCGTGTCCGGGCGGCGGGAGCGGCACGGGCGTGAGCGGAACCCGCTCCCGAGGCTCGGCGGGGCCCGCTTCCGCTGTGCTTTGGCCAAAACGAATGCTCTCGTTCGCTCGTGCGCCCGCACGCACACGCTCGCTTACTCAACGTACCCACGATCGCTCGCCCACTTGTCTCTGCGTACCCGCGCTCACGTGCGCACCTGTTCATTCACTCACCCGTGTATACTTGCATAGTCGAATGGAGACTCGCCGACCCACACCACGTACGCTCAATCGCCCATTGACCCACTGGCGTGTGGTCTTCGATTCATTCACTTGCACACCAACCCACTCGTCCACTTACACGGGGTCAGTTGTCTTTTAGTCATGGCATCCCACTCGCTCCAACGCACCCACTTAACCGTCTCGTTCACTGAGTCACCCACTCAACCCGCTTGCCAACATGAGGTGGTTCTTGATAATGGTAACCCACTCGCCCACCCACCCATCCGACCCACTTAACTCGCTCACCCACCCACTCACTCATCCACCACCCACTCTACTCACCCACCCAATCTACTCACCCACCCACTCTACTCACCCACCCACTCTACTCACTCATCCACCCATCCACTTGACTCACTCTTGCGTACAAATGGAGCACAACTACAATTGACGATGGCATTTTCCTATAAAAAAACACACTCGCACTCATCTCACAAACGACCCTTCCCCTTCTAACAACGTTTTGTTATATATATGTGTATATTATTTCTTGTCGTTTTCGTCTTTTACGTCTGCCACCCGTCTGTCCGTACGTCTATTTACTTTTTGTTTTTAGTTTGGCGCGTAACGCTTCCTGCGGACATTTGCGTTTTGCGCTGTCTCGGACCTCGCGATCTTTTTGTCATTGTCCTCCCCCCCCCCCCCTCCTCGTGTCCTCCCCCGCCCCCCCCCTTCCCGTCCCCAAGTCTCCCCTCTCACCGATGCCCGCAGTGAGCACAGTGTTGCCCACAAGCCCCGTGGACGCGTCACTTTTAAAACGTCACCCGTGAACATTTTTGCTTCGGCGTGTTTGACTCGGGTCAGCACGCTGGACCTGCGGTCTAGTGGTCACCGAGTCCGTTCTCCCACCGGTGCAACCGACGGTGCAAGTTCACGAAACGCCCCTCCCCTGCCTCTGTGCAGCCAGCAGTTATTCATCGAGATCGCCACATTTGGACTGCAGGTCGTGTGCGGCGGGGGTGAAGTGTGGGTTACTCCCACCTCTTGGACGATGTGTTTGTGCAGCGTGTAAGAAGAGTAAGATGAAAACAACCACTCGAGTGGCTCTTTAGAGCTCAGTCTAGCGGGCGGGGTGCCCCTTTCCCACCGGCAGTGGTGACAGAAAATTACAGCTGCTCGCGCTCGCCACTGAACATCAGGGCCACAAGCACGTCCTGGCTGCCTGTCTCTCTGGCGATCCCCCGACGTCGGTAGGTGCTGCCGCTGAAGTGCGCAGGAGATGCAGTCGGGGTGTTGCATTGCCTGTCAAGCAAGTTTAAAAGAGTTAAGAGAATGCAATGGGGGCACCCTTACCCTGACTCGGTCACTCACTCGCTCCTCTTTCAAACGAGGGGTGGGGGGGGGGAGGTTGCTACCCGTAAGAAGTTTCTTTCGCACTAAAGCAGCTGCTGTAGTAAATAAAACTAGGCCCCGTACCTTAACCCTGACCCATGCCGGTGCTAGCCCAATTAAATTGATGCCATTTGGTTTTGTAATTTTGCCGTGTAAATTTGCAAATTGAAGCATGCAAATCGGTTTAATTCCATTTACTTTAGATTTTCACTCCCCCACCCCCATGTGGAGCTGTCAACTCATTCGAGTTTATTCGAATGGACTGCGTGGCAAATGAATTATTCCTCTTTCGGTTTAATTTTATTTTATTTAAGTCATCGTGGGAGTGTCAAGTTGAACGTTCTCCTGCTATATTTAAACGGTAACGTTTCATAAAAACCGACTAGCGTCATCTCTCGACGGCACTGAAACGCAACTGGCATGAATGGTCCTACGTGCGGGGGAGGGGGGGTCTTGGTTTGTTCCTGCAATGATGATTCCTTCGCCAATTTGGTGGGATGTTTACCAAAAGTAAAACACTCCCGTGTGTGCGCGTGCGCCAAGTCATTTCACGCGCTGCGTTGATTATCACCAACATTGCTAAGCCTCTCCCGCTATGGGGAACAACAAATCCTTGAAGCTAAAACCTGTCACTGCCTCATCGTTCTGATGTGGAAACCGGATGGGATTGCTTTTTTTTTGCGGAGGAAAGAGGATTTTTACTGCAGCAGCTGGTCACCGTGAAGCTCACTTTGCGGTTCCTCGCGCTTGTCTGAACACGGTATATATGACGCCGAGATCAAACGTATCGATGGATACATTTTTGGGGTGGGGGTAAAGGATATGGTGGTGAGAGTGGATGAGTGTGTGCAAATTAAATGTTTTGTTATTTTTAAAAACAATTTGCGGTATAAGCAGTGTACGGAAGGATGGAGGATGTGTACCCTTCGTTTTGCTTAAGGTATTTCTGCAGTGCCAATGTCTCTCTACCTTTGGTGACAACAGAGTTCACCGTGGATTGACAATTCAGGTGTGACGTGCATTTGGATCTCTTGGATGTCCGTTTTCCACCGCATCTGAGCCAAGCCAGCCGAGCGTCAATTGTTTTTTTCCCCCGCTGGTTATTTTGCTGCGCCGCAATCAAATCGCTGGACTGGCCTAACAAGACGAGGGCCAGGGGGGTCGGGCTAATGCGTTTATTGCGCGAGGAGAATCCCGTCAATTCGACTTAACCACAGCGTCACCGTGTCGCCCCCCCCCCCCCCACGCATGTCCCGGCTTGCTCGTTGCGTGCGCCGTCAACACGGCATCTCGTGCAGACGCGTTTAGCGGCGTGGACGATAGCGCGCATCGAGTTCCACAACCCGGACAGCACCAGGGGGACCGGCTTGGCATGGCCCCAGCGCGGCTTGGGTTTGGCAGTGGAAATTGGATGTTAACGAGCGGCGACGTCGTTTGTTGGCCCGACAGCAGGGGGCGACTCGACGGTGCCGGTTTGGAGGGGGGGGGGGCAGTGGCGATTGCCACGTCTGCATTTCTTGGGCGATGTAAAAGTTGAACATTTGTATTGACTGGGTGACCGGTAGTGCGCATAGCTCATTGTTTTATCATCTTTGAAAGTTACATGCTTAAAAAGAAAACGGGGAGGAAAATTTGGGTTACAGAAAATCTAGATTTTATATTTGGACTCGATACCCTTGAGAACCTTTTGAGGATTGTTGAAATTTTTTTTTATATATATATACCTGCCCCAAAATTTGAAGGGTCTTGAATACAAATAATTTAGGTGTTCAGATTTTTTTATGTCATTTGTATTTAGCACCCTTTAAAAACACTGCGGGTACAACCGTCCACGGTCATAGCTTCAAAAACTTAACTTCAAATTTTGACCCAAAATTTGTTAGCCTGAAATTTAAAAAAGTTGGCTTTCGAATTCATTGGATTGAGCGCAGACACGATATTTGTCAAATGTCCACTATCAAGCCCTATGAAACAATAAAAATGTACTTGTGCCAGCAAGTCAGGATTATCTATAGAGATAACTATGATGTGACATGTTCAATGGACTACTGCTGTACTCCCACCGGATTATTTGCCGATTGCTCACTGTCTGTGCTAGAACATCGCCTAATATTTCGCTTTTAAATTGTTCGCCGCTAAAATCCTACAAAAAGAATTGTCTTTAACCTAGGTGTTTATGAAGAAAAAAAGATTATCTAATTGGGTTCGCGGCCGAATGAACAGAGGCACACATGCAGCTCCGTGTGCCCGCAGATTAAAACCAAAGCTATCCCAGGGGTCTCAATCCTCTTGGGTTGAGCCACCACCGGCTGTTTCCTGAAGCCCCGCGCCGCTCCAAGGTGGTTTCTGCCACCAGAGGAAGAAGAATGTAGCCAATACTCGACCGCACGAGTTTCCTCATCGCAATTACCTTCAGACGATGGTCAACTCATCACTTCCTCGTGCCCACTTGTGCATTCTTTTGAGACTTCAGCTGCTGTAGTTTTTTTATATGTAAATAAAAGTCTGGCCCAATTCGAATTGACTCAGTCGGCATTTTTTTTTACCCGTGCTTTTTTGTTACATTAATTACTAAACTTTAATTCGACCGAACATTTTGGCCGTGTTAATGTGGAGTGTAGAGCGAGCAAATTGAGTTTGATTCCTGTCCACGGCTAAACATCAGTGGCGAGTGATATCTGCAGTTCCTGGGTTACCTCATCGACAATGCGCACTAGCCGGCTTGATAAAAGTGTGGTCACACCGACTATGATAAGGGTAGGCGTGCATCCTGCTTCTCTTCCCTTAAAACAACCCCCATCTCTTCTCCCTGCCCCCTCCCCCCAGCGACATTTAGGAAAACCTCAATCCTTGTCACTACTTCTAACCCTATCTCTACCCCAACCCGTCACTACCCCCCAACCCCTGTAACTATCACTACCCCAAAACCCATAAGCATACCCCAACTGCCTGTTCTGTCACCGTAACCACATCACCACTTTTCATAATAACCACACTCTTCATCTTAACGACTACCATCTTATGTACAATGTTTTATGTTGTAAAGCGCCCAGGAATAAGGCGCCGACATACATTTTTCACAAGATACGAATTTTGACCCAAGCTGGTGATCCTCGTCGTCGTAGAGACACTGGCTGCCAGACTTTTATTTCGGCTGTCGACAGAGCACGGGATGATCGATGAAAACTCCCAAGCGGTGTGCACCTTGCGTTTAAGAATCGCCGCTTTATTAATTCTCCAAGAAACTGCGGTGGATTCGGCATCGCTGACACCACGTGGAATGAATTACTTGGCTCATTTGCTTCGAGCGTCGGTGCCCACTCCATGGGGACTAACTCCTTGTAACTGCAGTTAACGTTGTTTGATGAGGCGACAAGCGAGGTTGTTAGCCCCTTCGGAGGCTCCGCGCAGCGACAAGGCACGTGTGCGATGTACATTTTAACTGGAGGTTTCTCGCACCAGTAGAGGTTTTTTTTTAAGTATTTTTTAAAAAATCACCTTTTTGGGATAAACGCCCGCACAAATGTGAAGGCTCAATCCGATAGGGTGCAGAAACCTTGGGTGGCCGTGTGCGGAGTTGAACCAGGCCTGCACGTTTGACATCGACCATTTTTGTATGTCTTTATTTTTTTTAAAACTGTTGTTGCTGTTCCGGGCAACTTATCGTTAAATCCACATTTTCTGGGTCCTCTCTATTGGGGGAGGGATGCCCTTATTGTGATGGGTTGGTTGAGCTTGGGCGATTTTTGACAAAACAGTTCCTCTTATTCGGTCACCCGTTGGTTGTATCGAGAATAATTGTAATGCCATTTACTCGGGATTGACCGAGCCTGTTTTCCCTAACATTTTACTTCTGTGAAGTCCCTTCACAAATGGCAAATCTACATTCGTTGTAAAAAAAAAAAAGTCGTTTGCAGAATTAGAATTTGTAAATCCCTCACCGTTTGCTTTTTTCTGCCATTCCGCACGAACGATTGCCGTTTCTCACGCACGTTGCCCAAATCTGCTTTCCTTGCACATGTCTCGTTTGCGGTTCCGGTTTTGATCCGTTCACCTTACTTGGTATTGGTAGCAACGGCCAAATCTTGTTCCCCAGCGTGCGCCTCCCCACAAAAGGCCGGCGTTTCGACGGCGGCCGTTTTTGAGTTCAGCTCGTCGCTTGCCATCGCACGGTGGAAGATTTCAGCATTCGTGCACACGGCCCAACTGCGTTGCCGCTCTCCGCAAAAACGGACAGCGGCGCTTTTGTTTTGAAAAGAAAATAATGAAAAGAAAAACATCCAACGAACATAAACGATTTAAGGAGTTTAATCTAAAAAGTAACCAAATGTCTGAAAAAGCAGGCTTTTACAAGTGGTAACTTTCTAAAATGGTTAGCAGCCCGAGTGTTGGCCATGCACACAGCTGTATGTAGTGTGTTTGAATAAAGTGTTTTGCGGATAAGACATTTTACTTGCTTTTCTCTCTGGTGGTCTGTTTTGTGTGCAAGTGCCTGCTGTCCATCACTGTGAGATCAACTCACATTAGCTGCATTACTTGTCTTGCGATTCATATCAATGCTGGAACCTTTTACTTGTAGGCACCTCCTGGTTACACCAGCCCACGGGATTATTGTGTCTGTCCGTCCTGCGTGCATCCAAAAATGGGTGGGGCTGGATGGGGAGGTGCTGGGTGGGGTTGGGTGGGGAGGGGCTGGTCACCCCGTGGTGCCCTTATAAAACTCAACGTTTAACCTACTCAAGCCGGCTTGTGCCCGCCCTCAGTCGGGCATATTTGCGGAATACACCACGCCGCCGTTGACCCTGGCCATTGGCCGAGGAACCCAACGTTCCTACCAGCTCCCTCCACAGGAATGTGTTAAATAAAAATGTCCTCCCAATGACATTACAATTGTGCTATGGGCGTCAAATCATGAGAACACATTTCAATTATGAACTCCGCAGCAATGGGTGAATCGCCCTGAGACAGGGCAACCTCTGGAAGAACATCCCTGTACTAAATCGGACATCCCTTCCAATATCTATTATCCACATTGGTGTCACCACCTCTTATTTTTTTACCAGGTAAGGCCCACTGCGCTACAGTGAGGGAAAAAAGTATTTGATCCCCTGCTGATTTTGTACGTTTGCCCACTGACAAAGAAATTAGCGGTCTATAATTTTAATGGTAGGTTTATTTGAACAGTGAGAGTCAGAATAACAAGAAAATCCAGAAAAACGAATGTCAAAAATGTTATAAATTGATTTGCATTTTAAAGATGGAAATAAGTATTTGACCCCTCCCCCCACCTCTGCTGCTTATTTAAGCCTGTCTGTTCATCCCTCCGGCCCTTTTTCTTGCTTCTCTGTCCGTCTTTCCTCTCCTTGCCTCTTGGTGTCCCTGTATATGTATTTCTGCTACCTTGTACCTCGTATTTGTTCGCTGTCTATGCTGGTGTGTTCAACCCAGAGGATGAACACGAAATTTAGCACTCTTCTGAAATTCGTGGTCCGCCAGGCAAGTGTCTAACTGTGTCGTTGGCCGACTGGTTTTGCATCACGTAATTTTTTCTTAGGTTTGTTGAATTCTCGTCTCTCATCTTCTTGTTGTATTTATCTCCGTGCAGTTTAACGCTCTCTATGTGTTACGTTTATGTCACCCTATGTGCTCCCTCGCTATTTGTTTTTTACACCTGATGAAGATCGCTTGTGTTGCGGTCAAAACGTCTTGATTTATTTTAATATAATTTTATTGTATTTCTACATACGTGACTTTACCGAAAAAACCAATGAGTCATTTATGCAGTCACGAAAGCTTTAATTCTTTATTATACAGGGTATGTTTGGAAAGTGTGTGTAAATGAATCTAAATTTAAGTAAGTAAAAAGGCCACTCGGACAGTGGCAAGTGGAGGAGAGGGTCTGTTTGAACGGATGATTTTCAAATACGGTGACGCCGAGCTCAAATCTTGCCATCCGATATTGCGCCTTGGAGACAGGGCGCTTCTTGGCAGATCTTGTAACACTCCTGAAAGAAAAACGTGGAGAGTGAATAAAAAAGCACCAACGTGTGACCTTGGAAGCATAAAATCAACCGCAGACCTGATCATCCAGCATGAAGAACTGTGCCAAATCAAGCGTTTCGTTTCTTGTCCTTCCCCCGCGCCTCCAATTAGCACGGTTGGCTATATACGGTGCGAAAGAAGTTCAACATACACACAAGTGCCCTCCCCCACACCATGTGGCTCATGGGATTTGTTTGACCATACTTCACCACGTTGGTGAGTACGGACTGGAGAAGGGGCTCAGGACTGATTTCAAATAGCACTCGCCATTGATGCTAGCCTTGGCTTGGAATCGAACTCATGTCACGCAGTGGCACTAATCACTGCATCCAGGTTCCACCCTTTCGCAAAATGTGTGACAATAATGTTCTTTGAGGCTAACGGAAAAAGAAAAAAAAGCTGTTCGAACAAAATACAAACAGTAAAAATACAAACAACACCAGAAAAACGTGACGTTATAAAATAACGATTCTTCAAATTGAATCGGCCCCCCAAATGATCAGAATCAGAATATTTATTTATACTGGAGGAATCCGATGAGCTATAAAGCTCTTACTGGAGGAATCCGATGAGCTATAAAGCTCTTTTTCACAGATGTCCAGTAGGTTCGGGAGAGAACGTTACAACCGCAAACAATATAAAAACAAATCACCCGAATCAAATACAACTAAACCATCCCCATCCTACCAGGCAAAGCCCACTAAGATGTTCACTTATTTTTCAGAAGCGACCTATCACAAATGATAGCTGAACAAAGTGCCCATCATTTGGACATTTATAGCACCAAAATAATCCAAATGATCTCAACGTTGCTAGCAGGTGTTATAAAAAAAGCAATAATCTCTTTTTTATATACAGTAAAACCTTGGATTGCGAGCATAATTCGTTCCGGAAAAGTGTTTGTAATCCAAAGCACTCGTATATCCAAAGCATTCGTATATCAGTTGTGATCACGTGACGCTCGGCAGACAAAGCGTACACGTACTACTACTCGTATTGCAAGACCATCGCTCGTTTATCAATTTAATATTTATTTAACATTTTTGCTCGTCTTGAAAAACACTCGCAGACCAAGTTACTCGCAATCCAAGGTTTTACTGTACATATAAAACCGAGCACCAAACTATGACCTCCCACTGCGCCCGCTTGGCTGCGATGTTGGCCTGCAGCGCCTGGATCTGCTGCCGTCCGTCCAAGACCCTCTGCGCCAGCGCCGCCGTGTCCCTTTGGCAGCACTGCAGGGAGCGGCGCACGAACTCGGGCTCCTGCTGCAAGTACTTGTGGAGGTGGGCGCGGACGTCGCTCGCAGGATCGCCCGACGGCCGCCTCGCGTGCACAGGGAAAGAAGAAGTTTGGGTGGGGGGGGGTAAAAAAAGGAAATTGCCTGCGTGTGCATGGATCGCGTAAACGCTTTCCCATCGGAGGTTTTGTCCTCCAAGGTATTGAACGAGCGATGTTTGACGAGACGTCGCGGGCGACTCCGATTAGTGTGGTTGGCTACACATGGTGTGAAAGAAGTTCAACATAGATAATAACGTAATCGGGAGGGGAGGTAATCAGTCCCTCTACTGCTTCGAAGTTGACACGGAGGTGATTTCTTTCAGTGCTGGTTTTTGTCTGCAAATTTTGGGAAACCCTTAAATCAACGCCTGTTATACTAGTGAAGTATAGTTCATATTGGATATTTTTTTTACTGGAGGTATAGTGCTGTCCTGTTACAGACGCATGGTCAAATGGAGGGATGGACGGACACAGCTATTACATGAACTCTTCCAACCTTCGTTGGAAAACACCAAGAACACAGCACTGTGTGGAAAAGACGGGGCACTGGTGAAAAATCGTATAACTGTACGCTGCTTGACGCAAGCGATGGATGTTTGTGGCTGTCACAGTTTTTCATGTCACCATATTCATCGTGAGCCACGGTCTGCTCGATGAAGGCAAAGTAATGAATTATGATCACAAAGTAGTTGTAATTTTCATTTCATCTAACAATACTGCTGCAATTGTATATAAACTGGGAAGGCTTCTGCTGCTGAATTGTTCCATACTGGATACCACATTGTTACTACTCTATTGGTATGATGCTTTATGAGACCTCCTTTACCAGTAACAAGATATAGCAATAGGTTTTTAGCCTTTTATCTGGCACAAAAACTGACACCTTTATACAAGGGATCATGTTTGCAATAATCACAACACAAGTAGTCAAAATGCAAACAATTCTAAGGACAGTGCATATTATCAGAGTTGTCTTTTTTGTTTGCATTTTGACTACTTGTGTTGTGGTTATTGCAAACATGATAGCTTGTATAAAGGTGTCAGTTTTTTGTGCCATATAAAAGGGTAAAAACCTATTTCAATATCTTGTTACTGGCAAAGGAGGTCTCATAATCTAAGTGCTAACCCCGAGCTCTCAATACTCTGATGGTGCGCTGTTTTTGAGTTGCACGCCTTTTGGCGTCTTCTGGTCCAACACCAGTGGAGACTGGGCTCTAAGAAAAGCCGTCTCGGGTGTGGACCAATCAAATTCAAGGACAGTGCATTTTATCAGAGTTGTCTTTTTTGTTTGCATTTTGACTACTTGTGTTGTGGTTATTGCAAACATGATCCCTTGTATGAAGGTGTCAGTTTTTGTGCCAGATAAAAGGGTAAAAACCTATTGCTGTTATGATTCTTGTTTACCAAGGAAAGCCTCACCGAGTCTCATTACTTTTTTTCAGGAGGCTTCCAGCCAAGTTTTCGCACTTAGGGACGATGTTGTTCTGTGTAATCCCAACTGAGTAATTTGCAGGTAATTTTTTTTTTACATTGAGATATTTCGCCAACACCAGTTACATTGTGGGGTTTGTTTTTTTGTTTTAACTTCGAATACCTGTGGGTGGTTATGAGTGTGTCAATGAGTAATGTGAAGAAGGGATATTTGAACTGCCTGATTTCAGGATGGTAAAGTAAAAAAAAAACTAGTCAGAGACCCACAAAAACTGGGCCACCCCAGATAAATGAGGGCAACGCCACAGCTTAGACCCACGTGCTGCTCACCATGCCGGCTCGACAGGAGCTCCCTTGGCCAACTCATCCAGACTTCCCAGCAGTTTCTCAAGCCCTTCCTCTAACACAATCAGATCCATTTCCTCCTGTCAGGCACAGAGACACACACAGCCACGCACATACACTATGGTGAATGCCTGAAATGCGAGTTGAAGACATCAGATGCTTGAATTGCACTTTATCCATAACAGAGATTTTTCGATTTAAAGCTTTCGTGACTGCAAGGATTCATCTTCTTTGGTTCTTTCGGTAAAGTCACATAGAATGAGAATAAAATAATAAATTGATAAAATAAAATAACACAATAATATTCTCACGACGTGGCTTTTTCACTCCAGCGCTGTCCTCCAGACAGTCTCGTCCCCTTCACCTGATGAAGGCCGCTTGTGTTGTGGCCGAAACGTCGTGAGAATATTATTGTGTTATTTTATTTTATCAATTTATTATTTTATTCTCATTCTACGTGACTTTACCGAAAGAACCAAAGAACATAACAGAGATGTTTTGGTTAAGAGATCCCCCTTCTGTGTATGTGTTTTTTTTCTTCTTCAAGTTGACGGACACCCGCTGGCATACCTTAATGGCTTTGCGAAGATGCTCCTTGGAATTTTCGTGGATTTTCTTGAGCAGCTCGGGATTGTCCGCGTACACCATGGGGTAAGACTTCGCAAAGTGCTTCAGCCTGCGGCAGAGACAGACGCACGTGGCTGTGCTCAACGCACTACGTAAACGTAATCATTTACGTCGATTCTTATTCTCTCGCAATACGTGCATCGGTTTGGGGGTTGGGGAAAAAAACCAATATCTTTACTCTTTGCTTCTTTGAGGTAAACTCACGTAGGTATAAAAAATAAAATAAATTAAATCACGACGTTTCGATCGCAACACAAGCGACCATCATCAGGTGGAACAGATACAGCAGGAGAACTGCTGACATAGTCCACGTGATGACGGTCGCTTGTGTTGCGATCGGAACGTCGTGATTTAATATATTTTCTACCTACGTGACTTTACCGAAAGAACCAAAGAGTATGGATCCCTGCAGTCACGAAAACTTCAACAATATCTTTATAGTTTGCACGTGTAATGCGCGAAATGCTCGCTCACTCTAGGAGATAACAACTCCGATGACTCAGGACTACGAAAAATATAATATTTCTTAATACTGGAAGAAATCCGATGAGCTATGAAGCTATTTTTTTCATAGATGTCCAGTAACGGTACGGGGTCAGAACGTTACAAAAAAAACAATACAAAAACATGATAGTGCTCTAAAGTACAAGAAAGGTAAGCAAATCACCCAAACACACAAATACAACTAAACTATACGCGCCTTCAACTTAGGAATAGCAGCAAAAACTACAAACTTTCTCCTCAAATATTATCGTCATGGCAAGCAGACCTCGGCATTGACATTGAGCTTCTTCAACATATTTACACGTGCAGGAACAGAATTACCAACAGTTAAATACGTTAGAATAAGTTTTCCCCTTTTTTCTGGCAACAAAACAGGTGTCGTAACCCTCCACCACCCGACACGGCCAATCAGCAAAAAAGTGTCACGTTGACAAAGACAGATAATTCACTACTTCAGCCCACCGGTGTGTTGAAGAGTTAATCCACATTTACAGTTTGAGTACGACGTTTCGCTGGTAAATACTTCCAGCATCATCGGGCAATTCGCCAGAATGGTAAAGCCCTCGCTTGCTCCCGGTTTTATATAGGGCAGCAGGGTGACGTCATCACTTAACTCATCAGGTGCAGTGATTAGAGGCGGAGGGGGGGGGGTGTAATGTAATTATATAATCGATTAGTAATCAGTCATTGGTTATGATTAGTAATGAGTTGTAGATTAGTAATTCTTTAAATCAAAATGTAATGTGTATTATTTAATAATACGCTTCCAGGCCGCACTAAGCCGGTAGCTGTCAGAGCGATTAAAGTTATTCTTGTTCCTCTCAATTTCAATGGATTCTCTAATTAGTCTTTGCCAGTAATAATTAGTTTTACACACCACTGCAACATTGTCAAAATCAATTGAGTGTCCTTGTTGACAAGCATGTTCTGCCACTGCCGACAGTTGTGTTTGAGATAATTTAATATTTCTCTGATGTTCTTTTAGTCTTACGCTAATGTTACGTCCCGTCTGCCCAATGTAGCAGCTGCCACATGAACAATTAATCCGATATACACCTTCTGTTGATAGTTTAGGTAATGCGTCTTTAGTGCAAGATACTAGTTTTTGAATTTTGTGTACTGTACCAAATCTTACTGTAATGTTTTGCTTTTGCAAAACACGGGCTAATTTGTCAGTTACTCCTGAGATATATGGAATTTTTATTGTTTTAACAATCTGGTCGCTTTCAGTAGTATTGCTTTGCGATCGTGATTTGGCATTCAGTGCTCTGTTAATTTGAGCATTATTGTAGCCATTCTGTCGTAGTGCGTCTTTAACGTGTTTAATCTCTCTCACTAGACTCTCACCATCTGACACTGTTTTCGCCCGATGTACGAGCGTCTTGATAAGAGAGGATTTTTGAGCTGGATGATGATGTGATTCTGCATTCAGATAGGCATCAGTGTGCGTTTGCTTTCTGTAAACGCTGTGTGTTATTTTACCGTTTAGGCCATGTCCAAGCAAAATATCTAGGAATGGGAGTGTGTTATTCACCTCCATTTCCATGGTGAACTGGATGGCCGGGTTTTGTGCATTGAGATGATTTAGAAAATCATTAAGTGTATCTTTACCATGTGGCCAGACAACCAAAGTGTCATCCACATACCTAAACCAAAAGGATGGTTTTAATGTGCTCGAGGCAAGTGCTCTTGTTTCAAAGTTTTCCATGTACAAATTTGCTATAGCAGGGGATAAAGGAGAACCCATTGCTGCTCCTTCCTTTTGTTTAAAGAAATCCCCTCTCCATAAGAAGTAAGTGTTATTTAAACAATGGCCAGCAAGTTTCGGAATATCTTTTTGTAAACCGGTATTCTTTACTAGTGTATCAAGTAATTTAAGCGATTCGTCCACTGGAACCTTAGTGAATAGAGAAATCACATCAAAACTTACCAGAATATCATCAGGAGTAAGTTTAATATCTTTAATCACATTGACAAGATGTTCTGAATTTTTTATGAATGAAGATGTCTTACCGATGTAGGGCTGTATTTGTTTGGTTATATATTTTGCTAATTGATATGTGGCAGAGCCAATTGTACTGACTATGGGTCGTAATGGGATGCCGATTTTATGGATCTTTGGTAGCCCATAGAGTCTAGGTGGTTTTGAGGCCCTTGGCTTAATTAGGTATTGCTCATTTTTAGGGATTAATGAATTTGCAATTATTGCAGTGGTCTTACGTTCTAAAGTATTAGTGGGATCTCGTTTAATTTTAATGTAGGTACTTTCCTCTAGTAAATTTCTAATTTTATTATCATAATCGGCTCGTGACATCACTACAGTAGTGCGGCCTTTATCAGCTGCTAGGATTTGGATATCCTTATTTACACGCAGCTCTCTTAAGGCTTTTGCCTCGTTAGAGCTAATATTTACTTTTGGAACTTTGCTATTCTCAATTATTTTAGCAACCTCATGTCTAGTCATCTCTGCCTCATTATGTGGAAGGAGTCTAACTGCTGATTCTACCTCAGCAATTATCTCATCCACTGGAATTGTGCGTGGGGTAACGGCAAAGTTAAGGCCTTTAGAAAGGATAGAGACCATGTCACCGGTTAATACAGTGTTGGTCAAGTTCAGTACAGTTTTGTTTTTACATTTTTGGTTTTCAGTAGGGATTTGTTTATTATGTAGTCTAGAAAATGTATTAATTTGGTTAGTTTTTGTTAGTTTAAACACATTATCAGCCGATTGTTGTGTTATGTTGTCGATTATATTCCAATAATGCATAGATACACTATTGCTTATATCTAAGTGTAACTGCTTTAGCGATTCCGAAATGTAAGATAATTCACTCCTATTGTGCTGTATTCTCTCTATTAATAATAATTCGCTAGCTTTGTGTAGTATTTGGTTAGCTTTAGAAGACTTTATGTGATGTGTTATTTTAACTGCGTTTGGTATTACCTTTGAATCTCTGCACCTTTTGAGGAACGCCAGTGAAGATATCAATTTCATCCGCTTAATGCGAAGCTTCTCCAATTTTCTGGTTTTAAGAAAAGTATCCTCCCCATAGAGGTTAGTCAGTTTAACACGTAGGCTTTCGCGACCAATATTATTCATAATAAAGGTTCTTTGGGTTAGATCGCGTTTATTTATAAATGTGTCGTAACCCTCCACCACCCGACACGGCCAATCAGCAAAAAAGTGTCACGTTGACAAAGACAAATAATTCACTACTTCAGCCCACCGGTGTGTTGAAGAGTTAATCCACATTTACAGTTTGAGTACGACGTTTCGCTGGTAAATACTTCCAGCATCATCGGGCAATTCGCCAGAATGGTAAAGCCCTCGCTTGCTCCCGGTTTTATATAGGGCAGCATTATTATCAGAGTACGTTTTTTCTTGACTTAAAGCTTTCGTGACTGCAGGAATTCATATTCTTTGGGTCTTTCGGTAAAGCCACGTAGATTGAAAAAATAATCAAAATAATAACAGGCCAAGACGATTGCTTGTGTTGCGATTGAAACGTCGTGATATTGTTATTATTTTTAACAGGTCCCTGCAGGGTGGGCTGGTAGGAACATTGGAATTTTGCGCAATTTTATTTTTACACCCCAACAGCACGAGATTTCACTTCGTTAAAGTATTGAAAGGGGACGGACGGACGGACACATTAATCTATTGCAGGCTGGTACACTCAGTTTACAACTTCGTTCCTACCAGTATTATTTCTTCTATCTACGTGGCTTTACCGAAAGACCCAAAGAATAGTATGTTTTTTTTGCATTCTGACCACAAGTAGTGGTTAATGCAGACATGAATCCCTGTAAAAGGTTTCAGTTTGGTGTTTTAACATCTTAACATAACTCGTGTTTTACTATGGCCAGAAAGGGTGAAACCTATTCGTTATCTCTTTGGTTCTTTCGGCAAAGTCACGTAGGTAGAAGTCAAATAAATCACGACGTTTCGATCGCAACACAAGCGACCGTCATCAGGCGGAACCGATACAGCAGAACGAACTGCTGATTTAGGAGAAAGATCTGCTAACAACAAGAGCTTACAAAGGGTTTTGGTGGGCTCAACCCCGTGTATATATTTTGTTGACAGAAAATAGGGGAAAACCTATATTTTGGTACTGGCAAAGGAGGTCCCATGATGTAGTTAAATACGTCCAAATACAAACGCATATCGTGACAGAAATTGGCATTCGAAATGTATCACTGTTAGTAGGATTACTACTGCATCTAAGCTGTACCCAAAGCGTGACCGAACATAGAAGTGATAAAAAAAAGATTATCGGACAGGAGAACAGCGAACGATGCAGGCAGTGAGTGATTAGATGGAAACGTCGGTAGGATGGACAGCAGGTGACATTAAACGGGTGATGTTCGGGAAAAATGGAAGGAACGGGAAAGAGAGGAAGACCGAAGAGACTGGCTTGACGACATCGTAAGAGATTGGTGCCAGAAAGATGTGGCCACCACATTAACATATTGGCACAAGGACAGCGGGGAAAGTGGAAGCCTACGGGCTATCTGCCCCATGGATCGTGATGACGATACCGACGAACGCATATGGGGGGGATATCGTCACAACAGTGCATGCGTATGCATGAATCTTATTAATATTCATAATGAAAGTTTTTTTGGGGGGTTATATCGAGTAAATATGAATGTGTCGTTAAACCCGACATAGCCAATTAGTAAGGGTTGTCACCTAAACAAAACATGGCAATTCGGCACGAGTACAGCACACCGCTTGTGTGTTGGGAGAGTAAACCGACAACATTTACAATCTGGTGTACGACATTTCGCCAGTAATTGCAACCAGATTAAAATGATTCGTATTCCTTGGCTGTTGATAGTCTCACTTGAGGGCTGCTGGAATACGCTCCAACAGCTTATCTGTGGCCACCCAGAACTCGGACAATCGTTCTCTCTCCTCGGCCCCGACAGCCGCCTCAGCCTCCATCCTCTGCGGGCCCTGAGCTCCCTCTGCAGGCGGAGAATCCATCCGAGGATCGGCGATTGTCTTTACCTCGCTAGGCCGCAACTGTCTAGACACCCTCAAAATTAACGCGCACTTAACGCGTACACGAATTGACAAGTGTTGCTACGGCAGCAACCCCTAATTTAAAATACGACGCCGATGGCAAAAACAAAAAAATACACGTAGGGTTTATTTGTAACGAATAACGTTCCTCGAGGACGACCCCTCACGAAGAAGTTGGCTTGAACGTTTCCCGCCTTTTTCCACCCCCCCCCCACATCGCCCCCTCTACACCCCCCCCCTCCACAACTCGGAAGCCGCCGCAACCGCCGGCGGCCATGTTGCTCAGGGGGAAATACCCCGCGACGCCCTGCGCGTCAACGTCATCACACTGCACCCGCACCCCCAACCGCCACCGCCACTTACAACTACCGGGCAGCGCCTCCCTACCCAACATGGCCGATTCGGAGTGAAGGGGGGGGGTAGGAGATCATCGTAACGACGTGAACGGCCGTGATGATGATGATGGTGGTGGTAGGGACGATGATGTCTTCTCGGCTGTTGTCGCGATGTGGACGTTGGGCGCTCCGTGTCCCCGCGGCTCCCCGCTTTGCCACAGCGACCGCGGCTGCCCGGCCGAGTGACCGCCCGGGTGTGAGTTGTGGCCTTGAGTTGTTGCGTTGTGCCGTTGCTGATGCTGCTGCTGCTTGTAAAAAAAAATATTTTAAATACCATCTCGCCTCACCCGAGTTCAAATGTGCACTTAAAGAGTTGAAGTTGTTCAGGCAAATACCATTGCCAAAGGGTTCTTGGCGTTGGCACGAGTGCGTAAACAAATAAGGAGAGTGAGGAGAGGTTCATCCCTGCTTTGAAGATCCGAATGATATTGTGCCATTAAGGTGTAATTTAGGCGAAGTAATTTGTGGGTGTGTGCTTTGTGTACTGTGTGTGGTGTGTGTACAGTGTGTGGTGTGTGTACTGTGTGTGGTGTGTGTACTGTGTGGTTTGTGTACTGTGTGTGGTTTGTATACTGTGTGGTGGGTGTACTGTGTGTGATGTGTGTACTGTGTGTGGTTTGTGTAATGTGTGGTTTGTATACTGTGTGATGGGTGTACTGTGGGTAATGTGTGTAAAATGTGTACTGTGTGTGGTTTGTGTACTGTGTGTGGTGTTTGTAGTGTGCGTAGTGCGTACTGTGTGCGGTTTGTGTACGGTGTGGTGTGTACTGCGTGTGGTGTGTACTGCGTGTGGTGTGTGTACTGTGTGTGGTGTGTTTTCTGTGTGGTGTGTGTACTGTGTGGTGTGTGTACTGTGTGTGGTGTGTGTACTGTGTGTGGTGTGTGTACTGTGTGTGGTGTTTGTAATGTGTGTGGTTTGTGTACTGGGTGTGGTTTGTACAGTGGGGGAAAAAGGATTTGATCCCCTGCTGATTTTGTACGTTTGCCCACTGACAAAGAAATGATCAGTCTATAATTTTCATGGTAGGTTTATTTGAATAGTGAGAGACATAATAAGAACAAAAACATCCGGAAAAACGCATGTCAAAAATGTTATAAATTGATTTGCATTTTAATGAGGGAAATAAGTATTTGACCCCTCTGCAAAACATGACTTAGTACTTGGTGGAAAAACCCTTGTTGGCAATCACAGAGGTCAGACGTTTCTTGTAGTTGGCCACCAGGTTTGCACACATCTCAGGAGGGATGTTGTCCCACTCCACTTTGCAGATCTTCTCCAAGTCATTAAGGTTTCGAGGCTGACGTTTGGCAACTCGAACCTTCAGCTCCCTCCACAGATTTTCTATGGGATTAAGGTCTGGAGACTGGCTAGGCCACTCCAGGACCTTAATGTGCTTCTTCCTGAGCCACTCCTTTGTTGCCTTGGCCATGTGTTTTGGGTCATTGTCATGCTGGAATACCCATCCACGACCAATTTTCAATGCCCTGCCTGAGGGAAGGAGGTTCTCACCCAAGATTTGACGGTACATGGCCCCGTCCATCGTCCCTTTGATGTGGTGAAGTTGTCCTGTCCCCTTAGAAAAACACCTCCAAAGCATAATGTTTCCACCTCCATGTTTGACGGTGGGGATGGTGTTCTTGGGGTCATAGGCAGCATTCCTCCTCCAAACACGGCGAGTTGAGTTGATGCCAAAGAGCTCCATTTTGGTCTCACCTGACCACAACACTTTCACACAGTTGTCCTCTGAATCATTCAGATGTTCATTGGCAAACTTCAGACGGGCATGTATATGTGCTTTCTTGAGCAGGGGGACCTTGCGGGCGCTGCAGGATTTCAATCCTTCACGGCGTAGTGTGTTACCAATTGTTTGCTTGGTGACTATGGTCCCAGCTGCCTTGAGATCATTGACAAGATCCTCCCGTGTAGTTGTGGGATGATTCCTCACCGTTCTCATGATCATTGCAACTCCACGAGGTGAGATCTTGCATGGAGCCCCAGGCCGAGGGAGATTGACAGTTCATTTGTGTTTCTTCCATTTGCGAATAATCGCACTAACTGTTGTCACCTTCTCACCAAGCTGCTTGGCAATGGTCTTGTAGCCCATTCCAGCCTTGTGTAGGTCTACAATCTTGTCCCTGACATCCTTGGAGAGCTCTTTGGTCTTGGCCATGGTGGAGAGTTTGGAATCTGATTGATTGATTGCTTTTGTGGACAGGTGTCTTTTATACAGGTAACAAGCTGAGACTAGGAGCACTCCCTTTAAGAGTGTGCTTCTAATCTCAGCTCGTTACCTGTATAAAAGATACCTGGGAGCCAGAAATCTATTTCCCTCATTAAAATGCAAATCAATTTATAACATTTTTGACATGCGTTTTTCTGGATTTTCTTGTTATTCTGTCTCTCACTGTTCAAATAAACCTACCATTACAATTATAGACTGATCATTTCTTTGTCAGTGGGCAAACGTACAAAATCAGCAGGGGATCAAATCCTTTTTTCCCTCACTGTATACTGTGTGGTTTGTATACTGTGTGGTGGGTGTACTGTGTGTGGTTTGTGTAATGTGTGTGGTTTGTATACTGTGTGGTGGGTGTACTGTGTGTGTACTGTGTGTGTAGTGCATACTGTGTGTGGTGTGTGTACTGTGTGGTGTGTGTACTGTGTGGTGTATGTACTGTGTGTGATGTGTGTTCTGTGTGATGTGTGTTCTGTGTGGTGTGTACTGTGCGTGATGTGTGTACTGTGTGTGGTGTGTGTACTGTGTGGTGTGTGTACTGTGTGGTGTGTGTACTGTGTGTGATGTGTGTTCTGTGTGATGTGTGTACTGTGTGGTGTGTGTACTGTGTGGTGTGTGTACTGTGTGTGATGTGTGTACTGTGTGTGTGTGTGTACTGTGCGTGATGTGTGTACTGTGTGTGATGTGTGTACTGTGTGTGATGTGTGTACTGTGGGTGATGTGTGTACTGTGTGTGATGTGTGTACTGTGCGTGATGTGTGTACTGTGCGTGATGTGTGTACTGTGTGGTGTGTGTACTGTGTGGTGTGTGTACTGTGCGTGATGTGTGTACTATGTATGATGTGTTTACTGTGTGGTGTGTGTTCTGTGTGGTGTGTGTACTGTGTGATGTGTGTACTGTGTGTGAAGTGTGTACTGTGTGTGATGTGTGTACTGTGTGTGATGTGTGTACTGTGTGTGTGTACTGTGTGGTGTATGTACTGTGTGTGATGTGTGTTCTGTGTGATGTGTGTTCTGTGTGGTGTGTACTGTGCGTGATGTGTGTACTGTGTGTGGTGTGTGTACTGTGTGGTGTGTGTACTGTGTGGTGTGTGTACTGTGTGTGATGTGTGTTCTGTGTGATGTGTGTGGTGTGTGTACTGTGTGGTGTGTGTACTGTGTGTGATGTGTGTACTGTGTGTGTGTGTGTACTGTGCGTGATGTGTGTACTGTGTGTGATGTGTGTACTGTGTGTGATGTGTGTACTGTGGGTGATGTGTGTACTGTGTGTGATGTGTGTACTGTGCGTGATGTGTGTACTGTGCGTGATGTGTGTACTGTGTGGTGTGTGTACTGTGTGGTGTGTGTACTGTGCGTGATGTGTGTACTATGTATGATGTGTGTACTGTGTGGTGTGTGTTCTGTGTGGTGTGTGTACTGTGTGATGTGTGTACTGTGTGTGAAGTGTGTACTGTGTGTGATGTGTGTACTGTGTGTGATGTGTGTACTGTGTGTGTGTACTGTGTGGTGTGTGTACTGTGTGTACTGTGTGTGTACTGTGTGGTGTGTGTACTGTGTGTGTGTGTACTGTGTGGTGTGTGTACTGTGTGGTGTGTGTACTGTGTGATGTGTGTACTGTGTGTGGTTTGTGTGTACTGTGTGTTGGTGGTGGTGGCACAGCGGTTAGCACGCTGCGCCACGAACCCGGCGACCTAAGTTCGAGTCCCCCTCACGGTCACCAACACCGATGACGATTATCTCTGAACCCATCCTGAGGCCTCCCTTAGGTCGACTCAGCCTCAAATGAGCACCTGGTACGGTGTGTCGTAAACATCTCCACTGAGGAGACAAAGGCGGCCGGGCGTGGTGCTGTCTATCCACCCCCCCTCGTGCGCCGTGCCGGCCTTCATAGATGCTATTTGCTAACAGCACTTTCCCCAACAGTCTGTTAAGACTACGGGAGATCTTTGTGTGTGTGTTGTGTGTACTGTTTCTGGGGAGCGGTAGTGTAGCGCTTAGCACGCTGCGCTACGAACCCGATGACTTGAGCTCAATTCCGGTCAGGGCCACCACCGGTGACGATTATATGAACCGGTTCTGGGCCTCCCCTAGGTCGACTCAGCCTCATATTATTATCCGGTGCGATGCATAAACATCGCCACTGGGGAGACAAAGGCGGTCGTGCGTGGTGCTGGCCACCCACCCCCCTCGTGCGTCCTGCTGTCCTTCATAGGTGCTACTCGCTAACAGCACTTGCCCCAACAGTCTACTAAGGCTCTATGGGAGATCTTTGTGTCTACCGTATGTGTGTGGTATGTGTGTGTGACAACAGACGGCCCTTCTACAGTCCGCCTCTCGGCCGTGCCCAGCGAGGTCGCGGCGTTTAGCCAGCGGCACGGTGGCGATGGGCGAGGCGGCGTACGAGCGGCTCGCCGACGGCACCCTCGACGCCCTTCACGACTTCTTCGATGAGCTGGGGGACGCGCCGAGCTCGCCGCAGGACTACGATGTCGCCTACGCGGCGAGTAGCAAAAGCCCCCAGAGATTTCCCCCAACAACCTCCCCCCGCCACCGCTACGCTTACACTCCCGAGGAGACATTGCGCTGCAATAGGAAAACTAAACAGAGATTGTAATTTATAATCTGTTCTTCAAATTCCGTGGGCAAATCAATGAGAAGAATCAACAACATGTAATCAATGCGCACCATTTTGTCCTCGATCCAGCAGCTCACGTCATGGTCAAGTGGCAAGCCCCCCACATCACCCGAGGAGGTGTTGACTACCTCGCCTGGTATTCAGGAGGTCGCGGGTCCGATCCCGACCCTGACGCCTGTATTTAGGGACTCCTACTTACGGACGAGTTAGGTTCCAGAGTCGATTTGTTCGAAAGTCCAACTTTCCTGCTGTCGATTCCAAACACATACAACGTGTACACTAAACATGGGGCATGGATTTAAAAGTTGTATACTCTCCTGTAGATGCCACTGGTTCTTGATGTTCTGCAGATGTAGATGTCACCACCGCCATCTATTGCGCGGTGGTTGAACTTACGACTCTCGGTCCGAACAGGCATCTGGCCATCTCTGAAAGTTCGTAAATTCGAATGTTCGTAAGTAGAGGAGTCTCTGTATTTGGACATTAATACGAATTTATTAAAGCAATTATCAGCGCCCAGGTTATTTCATAATTCCCTCACAGATTTTAAACAAAAAATACTAACCGTGCTCACAATATGTACGCACCTGAAACTGATGTGTTAATACTTTGGTCTTTTTCTTTCCAGGTCTGTGTGAATAGCACATTGACTATCATTACAATTTTGTCAACGATTTGCTCAAAAGTATTTAGGCGACATGTGAAATTGCTGCGAGGAGCATTTCCCCTTATTTGCACGCTTCCACATTGCAACATCTATTCAGTGCTGGCACCGATAGAGAAGGGGTGGAGTGGTGGTGCAATGGTTAGCACACTATGCTATGCCTATCATAAGTGGCGAGTGATATCTGCACCGATTCTGCCCCACCACTTCACCTTCACAAACCCCGCACTACGTGTGCCACGGTCGCGAGATGTTAACTACCTCGCCAGGTATGTAGGAGGTCGTGGGTTGTATATTTGGAGTTTGCGTGTCTCTTTTATCATCATCATCATCATCACCACGGTGGCTTGGAGATATTGACTACCTAGCCTGGTATACAGGAGGTCATGGGTTCCATCCCCGACCTTGATGACACCTGTTGTATATTTGTAGTTTGCGTGTCTCTCTCCCCGTTTAGAATCAATGTGCGTTTTCGAGTATTTGGCTGCTATAAATTTCCACGTGATGATAAGCCACTTCGTTGAGCTATCATTTGTGGCCAGGTCACTTCTGAAAAACGGCTATTTAATGCAGTGGGCCTTACCTGATAAAATAAAAAAATAGATTTTAGTTTTAACCGTGGGGTCTAGAGCCTTTTTTTAATATAACGTCACAGGATGTTTAACGTCCACCGTGAAGCTTTTATGTTTTGTTCAATCACCTGCAGTATTAAGCAAGGGGGTGGCTGTTGGGCTCAAACCACGGACAAACCAGCGGCACCTCCAACTCGGCTACGTACGGTGCCAGAGAAGTTCAACAACCACGTGTGCAGCGGCAGATGCCGACGAAAAAAACGTTACTGCCTTGCATTTGAAGGACACATTGCTAAAAGGGAATGACATTTGACGGTCGAGACTGGTGACCAAATGGCAGACAGGGCCCAAGGCTGCAGCCACCTCGGTGATGGACGGCAATGAGATCGGCTCGTGGGCAGGAGTGAGAGACGGATTGTGGCGTCGCAAGACCACGAAGGATGACGGTAGAGGATAGACTGATAATTTCTCTCGCAGTGGCTGTCACAGGTTGACATTCAAATCACTCGGCCACGTAATTGTCCAACCAGCCTTTTTTTTCCACCTTATAGACACACGATAGTGGGCAGTCCTGGATGAGGGCCGAAGGTGGTGGTGAATATCAATGAATGTTGTAATGTTGAAAGACCTCTTGTGCTGACTCTGCGTTTTTCTTACTTTACAGACGGGAGTATTGACAGTGAAGCTTGGCAGGGGTCTGGGCACCTACGTCTTAAACAAGCAGACGCCAAACAAGCAGATATGGCTCTCTTCACCATTCAGGTGACTGACCTGAGGCACGCACTGAGTGTACAGCCCATGCTATTCCATGGATCCTCACGATTTGAGGTCATGATGGCTTCCAGGATTGATGCCTTTTTCGGTCAAATTTCTACTGCTTCATTTGTATTTTCCGCTGTCGTTGTTCCATTAGTTGCAATGTAACATTTGCGCATAAGTTTGTCAGTAATTTATTTATACATGCATGAATTCGATGCGTGTGTATTTTGAGCGTGCGTTTGTGTCATGTTACGAGACAATCCATGCGGATTATAGCAGGAGCAGTGCAGCCCTTCATGTTATAGAATGGCCCACGGAGGTGGATATTTCAAAGGTGCCTCTGAAATCCTGTCAAAATGACGTCTGATTTACACTGTAGAGGGCAAAACTTTCCCACCTGGTCTGCCACTAAGACTTAATGTCCACCGAATGATGGTCAAATACAATTTTGTAAAGTGGGAATTAGTGAACATAAGTGCAGAATTATATATATAAATTTAGTTATTTTTAAAGATCTTTTTTTTTTTATGCAAGCATTGGCCGGCGGGCTGAGACCATCAATTTGGCATACCCGATAATCTGACTGCCCGGGATGCAAAGCCAGCGTCTCAACTGGGACCGCTCTGATGGCAAGAGGCACCCGTCCACCTGAAGAATCTGCTTTAATGAACATCGATGAATACATTGTTTAGATGTCTAATTTATGCGGGCTTGATTGTGTGCGTGCACCTTTAAACACAACAACGTATTTAAAAGCTGCCACTTTCTTAATAGAGGTTAAATTTGCAGAACTCATGTGCATGCTCAACCCAAAATGCTTGCACAGTGTTGTGGGCTTTCCAAAAAATGGACTAAATTACGTTTCACATTTGGTGCAAAGCCAGCGTCTCAACTGGGACCGCTCTGATGGCAAGAGGCACCCGTCCACCTGAAGAATCTGCTTTAATGAACATCGATGAATACATTGTTTAGATGTCTAATTTATGCGGGCTTGATTGTGTGCGTGCACCTTTAAACACAACAACGTATTTAAAAGCTGCCACTTTCTTAATAGAGGTTAAATTTGCAGAACTCATGTGCATGCTCAACCCAAAATGCTTGCACAGTGTTGTGGGCTTTCCAAAAAATGGACTAAATTACGTTTCACATTTGGTGAGAAAAAAACTACTCACTACTGTTCTGCCCACCACCTTCGAAAGGGGAAAATCAAAATAAACCATGTCTTTAATTGTGGATACAAAGTACAGATCTCCTCCCAGATAGGATAATAAAAATAATTTCATTTTTATCGCGGCTTTCCATCAATTATTTCAAAGTGCCGTACAGAATACAGCAGCAGCAGACAATCAGCATCAACATATTATAAACACATTTTAAGGATCCATTTACTAAATTAACAGCTGAATAAGCGGAAACGTATATAAATAGGTTTTAAGATGCATTTTAAAAATGCCCACAGACTCAAGAGATCCCTGCTACCTCGTGAAAGAGTGTTGCATATAGCCTGGGGGCTACACGACGGGGAAACATCTCAGTCACCCGTAGACCGAAGTCTCAACCTGCCAATGCAGAGAGAAGATCTGCATCATGACCAGATCTTAGGGACCTTGAGGAGGGTATATGGGTGCAGCGTGTCATTGATGTAGGCTGGCGCAAGGTCTCAACTCGCCAATAACTTATCGTAATATTACATGATAAAATCACATTATATAACTACATTATAATATTACACTTTGGACGCATCTACACTGAATATTGGCCGAATTGCAGTTCTGAGAAATAAAAAACATGATTGGATGGGTGGAAAAGTGCTTCTCTCCCCCTATTATGTGGACCATAGGTCACTCAAAATAATTTCAGAAGCTAGCTCTGTGATATCCACTTACGCGGGCCCTAAACACGCAGCGCTGCACTGCTTGGCGAGAGATACATATGTATCCTTAATTTCTGGACATGACGCCGATAGCACATGTGGGATACCATTGGCAACCCTCCCACCCACCCCTCCCCATAAATTTCATGAGAAGTTGCTCATTGTCGTTATCTTCGTGGGTGTGCGTGGGTTACAGCGGTCCAAAGCGCTACGACTGGACGGGCGACTGCTGGATTTACGCGCACGACGGAACGTCGCTCCACGTGCTGCTCTCGCAGGAGCTCTCCTCCGTGCTTCACTCGCCCTTCGACCTCACGGCGCTGCCGTACGCTGGCGGGAAGCTCCCAGAGTGAGCCGCCATCGCTGCCGCCGCCCGCTGCCACTGTCACGTCGGCGACAAAACTGGCTCGTGGCACAGCGCCACCTGCTTGTGAGGCGTGGAGGCGGGAGGGGAGGGGAGGCGGCGGCTGCGATGGTAGAACAACTGAACCTGACCGATGGTAGAGCAACTGGCATTGATGAACAAACGCCGAACATCAAGTGGACATCGGATATGGGTGGCGTCAAACATTGCAGTGGCCGGGTTACCACGTTGACAAATTGACTTTGATTTCTCGCCCATGTCGAAATGGGTACAGTGAAGTCTGAGATTATCCATGGTCACGCGAGCGAAGGCATTGGCCCAGGTAAAATAAGTAATTAAAAACACCTGAGAATTAGGCTTTGTTTTACCGAATATAGAATGGGGGTGAATAATTAGAACGTGTCCAAGTTTTTTTTATTTAAGTACATTAATCAGTGCACTTGGCAGTGTATTCGTGGCTGGATGGATCACTGAGTCACTGACCCTCAACGAGTGAAGGGCAGCTCTTGAACCAGCGCCCGTCAGGGCACCTTATTTATTTATTTATTCGAAAGTGCTGTTCATTGCCCGTGGATAATCGTGACTTCACTACTTTTTTGCGCTCTCAATATCGACTGCGCGATAATGACCCCGAGCACTCGCGATTTAATCTTGTGAACGGTCCCATGTGGGCTGTCCGATGTTGGGAATTCTCGGCAAACAATAAACCGGTGGTGTTTGTGTATATATGGCGTGTGTGTACGGCAGCCAACGGGAGGAACACACCCAAGAGGGAAGTACTGCCCATTGCTGTGTGCACCGGAGGTCACTTGAATAGATCTCAAGAGGTCGCTCGAAGAAAGACACTTTGATCAGCTCTTCCCCACATGATGCCGACGGCACGAACTGGGCAAAGGCAAAAAACAATCTTTGCAAAGGAACTGTGTTGATGACAAAGACTTTGTCACAGGGGGCTTTGGTTAGTTGAGAGGTCATCGGAGGCAAGGTCGGCGCTGTATGGTGGGCGCGGTGGTGGTGGTTTCAATTTTGACTGTGCGATTGACACGGTTGTTGAGCTTCACTCACCCCACACGTTTTTGCATGTGCAATGGTGTGTGGTGCTCTTGGGGTTGGCATCGTCACCCACTCTGTCTGATGTCGAGGGGAAATGGGTGAGGTTTAGGACTGTGGCTCATGCAGATGCAGTGGCTGCATTGGGTACACGGTCCAGACCCCCCCATAGACCCTGGCGGACAGAGGAGGTGTTCAAGCTGACTGAGAAAAAGCGACAGGCCCACTTTCATTGGCTACAGCATCCCACGTCAAAGAATGAGGCTTACCGCAGCCTTCGCTCAGAGGTTCGGAGAGCCGTGAGGCACTGCAAGGATGGGTGGTGGTCGCGGGTTGCTGAAGAGATGGAGTCTGCCTCAGTGGCCCGCGATCACAAATCGCTCTTTAATTCTGTCAACAAGTAACCTGCAGCACCATACCTCTTACCATAATTAGGGGAAAGAACGGTGATCCAATCTCCGACCCCCAGGAACAGGTTTACAGATTTGCTGAGCATTTCTGAGGTCCTTGGGAAGGGGAAATCCCTCATCCAGGAAAACAACGAGGGACAAAGTGGGGATGACCCTGCCGAGGCTGCGGTGCCTCAAATATTGGAAGAGGAAGTCACCCCCTGTGAGTGGCTGGCTGAGCTGCCATCTGTGAAGGAAGTACTGAGGACGATCCAGAGTCTGAGACCAGGAAAGGCACCGTGCAGAGATGATCTCCCAAGCGAAATGCTGAGGGAGGGTGGCATTTGTGCACATACTGCCTTACATGACATAACATTCTGGACCACTGGACGGGTTCCGCAGGACTGGAATGATGCCCTGGTGGTCCCCGTCTTTAAGAAGGGAGACCGCACAGACTGTAACAACTACAGGGGCATCTCACTCCTCAGTGTGCTGGGAAAGGTCCTGGCAAGGATTATTCAACATCGACTTGCTAGGCACGCTGAGGAGAGGCTTGTAGAGCCCCAATGCGGTTTCAGGAAAGGGCGGTCCTGCACAGATGCCATATTTTCTGTCTGTCTGCTACAGCAGTAGTGTAGGGAATTCCAACAAGACCTACATCTCTGCTTTACTGACCTGGTCAAGGCCTATGATACCATCAGTAGGCCTAGGCTCTGGTTTCTTCGTGCTTTTGGAGTCCCTGACCCTCTGCTCACGATTATTAAGGACCTTCATTATGGTGAGCGGGCCCAGGTAAAACTGCGTGGCCGGGAGTCAGAGCCATTTCCTGTATACCTTGGGGTGCGACAGGGATGTCCTCTGGCTCCCACATTAACATATATTTTGACCACGTAGTTCGTGAAGCCTTCAATAGTTGTCCCGGAGGAATTTCCATCTGGTACAGATACAATGGGAGGCTGATCGATGCCCGGGTGCGGTCAAGGGATGGCACCCTATTGCTCAACCACGTTATGTATGCCGATCTGGTAATTGCTGCTCCCTCAGAGGAGGAGTTGGAGGTGCTGCCGCTGAACCTGGAGCTTACCACCAAGAGGTGGGGCCTTACCATCAGCCCCACCAAAACTAAGCACCTGCCTGGGTATTTCGTACCATCGGACACTCCACCCCCACAACTCCCAATTGGTGATAGGGCAGTTGTGGAGAGAGCGGAGAGTTTCCCATACGTTGGTAGTGTGCTCATGACCGGCTCCGGTTTAACAGTGGAGGTCTCACTCCGAATCAGTCGAGCGGCATTATCTTTTCATCGGTTGCGTAACACTGTGTGGAAGCTTTCTGGTCTCTTGCTCCACACGAAGCTTCAGGTCTTCTCGGCCACTGACATTCCCTCCCTTCTCTACGCTTGTGAAACGTGGACCCCCCTAATGGAACATCTTTGCCGGTTAGATACATTTAGGCTGGCCTGCCTACGATCCATCCTGGGTTTAACCAGGCTGGATTGTGTGAGGAGCTCACAAATCCTTGAAAGATCTGGACAAAGTTCCATCGGTGAGCTCCCCCGGCAGGCAAGGCTGCGTTGGCTGGGCCATGTAGCCCGCATGCCCAGCTACCGCATGCTTAAAAAGCTTTTGTTCGGCCGGATCGAGGGGGCAACGGGCACGGCACGGGCTAGAGAAGAGATGGAGTGATGTGGTACAGGAGGACGTGTAGCCGAGTAGACTTGGCGATGACCGGTACCAGCGGTGTCAAGATCGGCCTCTGTAGAGGAGGCTCGTGAAGGCCGCTACTGGGCAGTTGGAGGCAGTCGCCGTCCAACAACAACGGAGGGTGGAGGAGCGACGCTCACAACAACGAGCAGAGCGCCGGGTGGCTAAAGCACAACAGGTTGGCACAGTAGGGGGCACAGGTGGTGCATCAGCCAGTCGTCTCAGTCGACTCGTGGCATCTGGGTCTGCCCCGTGACCTGCCAGCGGGCTTTTCTCACTTCACGTGGCCTCAAGGTGTACATAGCCTGGCACAAGCGTCGTGGTGACGTCACCGCCAGTTAGTGGCGAATTGCGGTTGTTGTTGGTGCTCTTGTGGCGTTTGCACGTGCGTATATGCCTGGATATGCCCGATGATAATAAGAATAACTGAGTGATATCCATAACCCCTCAAATGATGTTCGTCACGCTTTCAATCTATTGCCGGATGAAGGCCACCCCATGCTGTGTCGGTCATGGGGGTTGTTTAACCATACTTCACGCTGGTCAGTGTAGGTTGTGGAAGGGGGGGGGGACAGCTAGGGCCAGTTCAGGAATCGCACGCGGCTGATATTAGCTGGGCCGAAAATCAAACTCGGGTTTCGCGGTTCATAGTACGTTGCGCTAACCACTGCGCCACCACTTCTCTACGGGTAAAGGTGTATCCCTCCATTTGATTTCTTATGGCAGAAGTGCCCCCACTGCTGAGCGCTAGAGTGCCATTCTCGAGGGTTTTTCTGGCCTCTGCACTGCTGGCCAGATGTATTGGCGGAGGCGGGAATGCCCACACTTTACCCCGCCACACCGGACCTGCCGACCCGCTGTGGGTGGACAGTCGGGAGGATTTCAGAAACTTGTCCTTGCTTTGAACTGTTGCACTGAGAGTTCAGCCGGTGACCCCTCTGAGATCCGGTGGGGTAACCGTGCGACCACATCGAAAAAAATAGCACGTGATCTATTATTTTGCAAGCAGAACACCCAACAGGTGGCGTTGGGTGCTCTGCTCGTTACATAATTTTTATTTAAAAAACAGAATGAGTTGATGGAAATTTTCTATTGGGAAAGAGGATGTGGTTTTGATTTTTTTCCATTTTGTTGTTGAGTTTAGGATTCGCAGCGCTAAAATTGTTTTTCTGGCCAGTTTCAAAGTAAAAGGCTCTCTATAAATACATAAATATATAACAAGAGATGCGATTTGTATTTACGTCCCTTTAATGCACCCCCTCCCGCACCACCAAATCAAAAGCACCTGATTTAAAATCTCGTCTGGATCGCCACATCTCATTTCTAATCGTTCTATATGCTCCAGCAGGCGTCAGGGTTGGGATCGAATCCACGACCGCCTGCATATCAGGCGAGGTAGTTAACATCTCGCGACCGTGGCGCACAACATTGCTGGGTTTGTGAAGATGAGGTGGCGGGGCAGAAATGGTGCAGATATCACTCGCCACTTACGATAGGCATCGCATAGTGTGCTAACCATTGCACCACCACTCCACCTCTTCTCTCTCTCTCTCAGTGCCAGCACTGAATAGATGTCGCAGTGTGGAATCGTGCAAATAAGGGAAAATGCTCCTAGCAGCGATTTCACATGTCGCTTAAATACTTTTGAGCAAATCGTTGAAAAAAGTCATTTATATAAAATTTGATTGTGAGCACGGCTTGTTTCTATTTTTTTTGTCTTAAATCTGCGAGGAAATAGAGAAATAACCCGGGCGCTCATCGCTGTTATAATAAATCCGTATTTCATTTCTGACCCTTTGGATAAAGTTCCCAACATAGTGTCAGTCACGTGACCCAAGACCGTTTCAGTTATCGCTGGCTACTGAAATTTGCCATGGCTGAGAATGAAAGCCTTGGTGTCTGGCATTAGAGCGCCAATACAATTAATTATATATGTTATATTCACCTCTTCCATGGTCGCCTTATTTCAAAAAGAATTTCCCCTGAAATATGATTTTGTCATTTATCATTATTGAGGGCGGCGTGAGCATACTTTGTCATCTGGGAAGGGAAGAAAGACATGTAACATGCAACAACAACAAAAAACGCATTGAGGAAGTCGCGCACGCACGCACATCACCCCTGTACAGGACGAAGAGTGGCGAAAAATGTGGAGGAGGCTCGCTAAGAGTTGCGGGCGATGTGGAGGAGGCTCGCTAAGAGTGGCGGGCGATGGCGGAGAAGGCTCACTAAGAGTGGCGGGCGATGTGGATGAGGCTCGCTAAGAGTGGCGGGCGATGGCGGGGAAGGCTCACTAAGAGTGGCGGGCGATGTGGAGGAGGCTCGCTAAGAGTGGCGGGCGATGTGGAGGAGGCTCGCTAAGAGTGGCGGGCGATGGCGGAGAAGGATCACTAAGAGTGGCGGGTGATGGTGGGGAAGGCTCACTCAGTGGCGGGCGATGTGGAGGAGGCTCACTAAGAGTGGCGGGCGATGTGGAGGAGGCTCGCTAAGAGTGGCGGGCGATGGCGGAGAAGGCTCACTAAGAGTGGCGGGCGATGTGGATGAGGCTCGCTAAGAGTGGCGGGCGATGGCGGGGAAGGCTCACTAAGAGTGGTGGGCGATGTGGAGGAGGCTCGCTAAGAGTGGCGGGCGATGTGGAGGAGGCTCGCTAAGAGTCGCGGGCGATGGCGGAGAAGGCTCACTAAGAGTGGCGGGTGATGGTGGGGAAGGCTCACTCAGAGTGGCGGGCGATGTGGAGGAGGCTCACTAAGAGTGGCGGGCGATGGCGGAGAAGGCTCACTAAGAGTGGCGGGCGATGTGGAGGCTCGCTAAGAGTGGCGGGCGATGTGGAGGAGGCTCGCTAACAGTGGCGGGCGATGTGGATGAGGCTCGCTAAGAGTGGCGGGCGATGTGGAGGAGGCTCGCTAAGAGTGGCGGGCAATGGTGGAGGAGGCTCGCTAAGAGTGGCGGGCGATGTGGAGGAGGCTCACTAAGAGTGGCGGGCAATGTGGAGGAGGCTCACTAAGAGTGGCGGGCGATGTGGAGGAGGCTCGCTAAGAGTGGCGGGCGATGTGGAGGAGGCTCACTAAGAGTGGCGGGCGATGGCGGAGAAGGCTCGCTAAGAGTGGCGGGCGATGTGGAGAAGGCTTACTAAGAGTGGCGGGCGATGTGGAGGCTCGCTAAGAGTGGCGGGCGATGTGGAGGAGGCTCACTAAGAGTGGCGGGCGATGTGGAGGAGGCTCACTAAGAGTGGCGGGCGATGGCGGAGAAGGCTCGCTAAGAGTGGCGGGCGATGTGGAGAAGGCTTACTAAGAGTGGCGGGCGATGTGGAGGCTCGCTAAGAGTGGCGGGCGATGTGGAGGAGGCTCGCTAAGAGTGGCGGGCGATGTGGATGAGGCTCGCTAAGAGTGGCGGGCGATGTGGAGGAGGCTCGCTAAGAGTGGCGGGCAATGGCGGAGGAGGCTCGCTAAGAGTGGCGGGCAATGTGGAGGAGGCTCACTAAGAGTGGCGGGCAATGTGGAGGAGGCTCGCTAAGAGTGGCGGGCGATGTGGAGGAGGCTCGCTAAGAGTGGCGGGCGATGTGGAGGAGGCTCACTAAGAGTGGTGGGCGATGTGGAGGAGGCTCACTAAGAATGGCGGGCGATGTGGAGGAGGCTCGCTAAGAGTGGCGGGCGATGTGGAGGAGGCTCGCTAAGAGTGGCGGGCGATGGCGGAGGAGGCTCGCTAAGAGTGGCGGGCGATGGCGGAGAAGGCTCGCTAAGAGTGGCGGGCGATGTGGAGGAGGCTCGCTAAGAGTGGCGGGCGATGTGGAGGAGGCTCACTAAGAGTGGCAGGCGATGTGGAGGAGGCTCGCTAAGAGTGGCGGGCGATGGCGGAGAAGGCTCGCTAAGAGTGGCGGGCGATGGTGGAGAAGGCTCACTAAGAGTGGCGGGCGATGTGGAGGAGGCTCCACGTGCCGTCGACTCGCCCGCCTTGCAGCCGCACCCTCCCCCTCTTAGCAAGCTTTGTGAATGCGTCGGCCTTCCACAAGTTCCCATTTTTTTCGTTGAAGAAACTCACCGTGAGATTAACAGGGCGGATGTCACGGTTGTTGTTTTTTCTTCTTCTTCTTCTTGCCAGCGAGCTGACCACGCAAGGCGCTTGTGGTTTTTTTTGGTCGCTGTTGCTTTTGTGGCGTGCAAGGAAAGTTTCTCAACGCCGCCTCCGCCGCCCTTATAAAGCGAGCTGGTACCCTGCTTCGCCCTACTCGCCTGCTTAGGCTTCCAAGTACTCGTTGGGCGTTCGCACGATCAAAGTAAGTATGTGTGTGTCCTTTGTAGCCCCCCCCCCCCTCTTTTATCTGAATAAAGAAGGCCACGGTGGGTCCAGGGTGGCTCCAGGGTGGCTCCATGGTGACTCCGCAGTGGCTCCAGGGTGGCTCCGTGGTGACTCCGCGGTGGCTCCAGGGTGGCTCTGGTGGCTCCGTGGTGGCTTCAGGGTGGCTCCAGGGAGGCTCCGTGGTGGCTCCGTGGTGACTCCGTGGTGGCTCCAGGGTGGCTCCAGGGTGGCTCCGTGGTGGCTCCGTGGTGGCTCCAGGGTGGCTCCAGGGTGGCTCCGTGGTGGCTCCACGGTGGCTCTGCGGTGGGACTCGAGTCACGAGCAAACCGAGACAATTCTTTAGGTTCCCCAAATTCATGATAAAGAACATTTACGAGAATCCATCACCTATCAGTTAACGTTTGGCAAAAAATTCCAGCTCTGCGGAAATATTGGTGTGCGTGCCATGGGCATGAACATTTCGGTCCAACGGGACGCCAGAAAGTGCCCCTTCTCCAGAACTCGAGATCCTCCTCTGCCTCTACAAAGCGATGCAACATCGGAACAACTTTCTAAACGCTTCTGAACGACGGCCTCCTCTCGACATCAAACAAATACGCTAGCCTCGTCGTTCGCGGCACCGTTGTCAAATCGAACGCTAAATGATGCCCTTCCCCCCCCCTCCCCGCCACTACCTCCTGTACCGCATGTCGATGGCGGTGCTCGTTTGACCATACTTCACCACGGAGATGGCACCGCTGGCTGTGGCCGCCCTGCTGCTCGGCACCGCCCTCATTGCCGCCGCCACCGCTGCGGATCCGGCGCTCGACTCGCACTGGGGGGCCTGGCGGGACATGCACGGCAAGAGCTACGAGCAGGCAAGGCTGCGCTGCTGCTGCTATCGTCTCACGTAACGGCGATACACACGGAGGGGGCAGGTGGGGGGGGGGGGCGTGGGGCATGGGGAGGGGGCGCAGGGGGGGAGCCACCTGGGCACACTGCGCCCGTGTAAAATCATCGCGTGAGTTTTTTTTCTGGGGGGGGGCATCTGGGCTCACTGACCACCCCCCCCCCCATCATCATCATCGTGCTGCTGTCACAAAGCCCCCAATGGTGGTTTGACGTGGCGTGGCGGGCAACCCTCGCGCTACTGACGATGTCTCATCGGCCAAAGTGCCCCCCTCCCCGCCACCGCCACCCTGACAACGACAACAACACCGTGCGTAGAGCAATAAGTGCACTCGAGCCGGAGAATCGCAGCAGGAGTAGCGGCGTTTGCCGCTCGTGTGTCGCTCTTCGCGTTCCCCCACGGGGTGTCGCGTTTCTCGGTGGACAGCAGTCGCCCGCGCGCTGTCCGAGAGTTTAAAATCAGGGGTGGGGAACGTCCTGGCCCGCGGGCCGTATGAGGCCAGCGAAATCATTTGGGTCTCTGGCCCTGCCAAGGCAACCGCAGGCGGGACTCGAATAAATCTAGGGGAGCAAACCTGGAAAAGCAGTTGCGAGTAGCAGCAACATCATCAATATCGGCTAACATCATCACACGCCTCGCCAAAGAGGAGCAGTTCCAGCCATCGCATTAGTGGTGAGTTAATTAAATGTTTGATCAAATATAACGGGCTAATTCACCCCTGATTAAACCGAGTTTTCAGTTAAATCGGGCATTTACCCGTGATTAAACCGGGTTTTCAGTTAAATCGGGCATTTACCCGTGATTAAACCTGGTTTTCAGTTAAATCGGGCATTCACCCGTGATTAAACCTGGTTTTCAGTTAAATCGGGCATTCACCCGTGATTAAACCTGGTTTTCAGTTAAATCGGGCATTTACCCGTGATTAAACCTGGTTTTCAGTTAAATCGGGCATTCACCCGTGATTAAACCTGGTTTTCAGTTAAATCGGGCATTTACCCGTGATTAAACCTGGTTTTCAGTTAAATCGGGCATTCACCCGTGATTAAACCTGGTTTTCAGTTAAATCGGGCATTTACCCGTGATTAAACCTGGGTTTCAGTTAAATCGGGCATTTACCCGTGATTAAACCGGGTTTTCAGTTAAATCGGGCATTTACCCGTGATTAAACCTGGTTTTCAGTTAAATCGGGCATTTACCCGTGATTAAACCTGGTTTTCAGTTAAATCGGGCATTCACCCGTGATTAAACCGGGTTTTCAGTTAAATCGGGCATTCACCCGTGATTAAACCTGGTTTTCAGTTAAATCGGGCATTCACCCGTGATTAAACCTGGTTTTCAGTTAAATCGGGCATTCACCCGTGATTAAACCTGGTTTTCAGTTAAATCGGGCATTTACCCGTGATTAAACCTGGGTTTCAGTTAAATCGGGCATTTACCCGTGATTAAACCGGGTTTTCAGTTAAATCGGGCATTTACCCGTGATTAAACCTGGTTTTCAGTTAAATCGGGCATTTACCCGTGATTAAACCTGGTTTTCAGTTAAATCGGGCATTCACCCGTGATTAAACCTGGTTTTCAGTTAAATCGGGCATTCACCCGTGATTAAACCTGGTTTTCAGTTAAATCGGGCATTCACCCGTGATTAAACCTGGTTTTCAGTTAAACTGGGCATTCACCCGTGATGAAACCTGGTTTTCAGTTAAATCGGGCATTCACCCGTGATGAAACCTGGTTTTCAGTTAAACTGGGCATTCACCCGTGATGAAACCTGGTTTTCAGTTAAATCGGGCATTCACCCGTGATTAAACCTGGTTTTCAGTTCAATCGGGCATTCACCCGTGATTAAACCGGGGTTGCCAGTTAAACTGGGCATTCACCCGTGATGAAACCGGGTTGACGAGCGTAGCGATGCTGAACTTCGTCTCCACCCTCGTCTCCCCCTGGTGGTGCACAGGCCGAGGAGGGCCAGCGTCGCCTCGTGTGGGAGCACAACCTGAAGATGATCGATCGGCATAACCTGGAGGAGGCCCTCGGCAAGCACTCCTACACGCTGGCCATGAACCAGTTCGGGGACATGGTACGTGCGGCCGCATCCCCGATGCTGTATAGAGCATGCGGTTGTTACCGTCTGATACGTCTGCACGGCACGTCAACTTCGTGGTTGGGGAGGGGGGGCCGGGTATGTTTGAGTGTACTTCAAGCGCGCCTGTCGATGCGATGTTTGGCGAAGGGAATGCCCAGGACGGGTTCAGACTTGTGCAGAGACCAAACGGACTTTACGAGATGTACGGATGTGGACAGCGAGAATCGAACTCGGGTCGCCGCTTTCGTAGCGAAGCGCTAACTGCTACGCTACCGCTCCCCACACACAAATATCAAAAGATCCCCCCCCCCCCCCGTATGACCTTTAACAGACTGTTGGGGCAAGTGCTGTTAGCGAGCACCTATTGAAGGCCGGCAAGACACACGAAAGAGTGGGTGGCCAAGACCACGCCCAGCCGCCTTTGTCTCCCTCGTGGCGATGTTCACACACTGCACCAGGTACTAAGTTGAGGCCGAGTCGACCTAGGGGAGGAGGCTCAAGACTGGTTCAGATAATCGGCGTTTTGTTGTGGCCGTGAGCGGGAATCGAACTCTGGTCGGCGGGTTCGTAGCGCTAACCGCTCACACTACCGCTCCTCACGCATTCACACTTTCCCACACACACAGACACACATGTCCGTGCACGCACACACCCGCACACATACGCAAACACTCACTCCCACTCACTACAACCTCGCGGAGGATCGCTACTCCGAAACAAAATCGTTTCGCGGTTCAGTTTTGCAATTGCGAGTTCGCGTCTTAAAGACCATGTAATTTGTCTTAACATATTTTAATGGAAGCTGGTTCGTAAGCACGATGCGTTCGTAAGTGCGGGCGTTCGTAAGTGCGGGCGTTCGTAAGTCGATGATCGCAGTCACTCACACCGAGACGCTCATCGGCTCATGTAGCGCGCCCCCTCGTGGAGGACTCTGGGTTGCAGCGGCGTGAGCGAACTTCTGCAGAACTGCGACCACCATTCGTCTATTTTTCAGACTTTATCTCGAGAGCCACATTACAATTGTAGTGAGCGACTTCCGACACGCGTCTAGTAGAAGGCTTCTTATTTATTAAGAGCACGCCGGACGATACACCTACACCTCAGGCTGTCCAAACACGCAGCCCATCTCCGTCCTGCGCTGATGAGACTCACATGGAGTGAACACGATGATGAGACTCACATAGAGTCACAAAGATGTAAATGCCACTGGTTGTTCACGTTCTGCAGATGTAGATGCCACTGGTTGTTCATGTTCTGCAGATGTAGATGCTACTGGTTCTTCACTTTCTGTAAATGTGGATGCCACTGGTTCTTCACGTTCTGCAGATGTAGATTGCACTGATTCTTCACGTTCTGCAGATGTAGATGCCACTGGTTCTTCACGTTCTGCAGATGTAGATGCCACTGGTTGTTCATGTTCTGCAGATGTAGATGCTACTGGTTCTTCACTTTCTGTAGATGTAGATGCCACTGGTTCTTCACGTTCTGCAGATGTAGATGCCACTGGTTGTTCATGTTCTGCAGATGTAGATGCCACTGGTTCTTCACGTTCTGCAGATGTAGATGCCACCGGTTCTTCACGTTCTGTAGATGTAGATACCACTGGTTCTTCACGTTCTGTAGATGTAGATGCCACTGGTTGTTCATGTTCTGCAGATGTAGATGCCACCGCCGCCATCTATTGCGCGGCAGCCCGAACTCACGACTCTCGTTCTGAACAGGCAACTGGACAGGTTTGTTCGTATCTCTGAAAGTTCGCAAGTCGAATGTTCGTAAGTAGAGGAGTCCCCGTACCATCAACCGCCCCCACCACCGTTGCAGACGGAGGAGGAGTTTGTGCAGACGATGACGCGGCCCATGCTCGTGAACGAGACGGAGGTCGCGGCGGAGTTCGTGACCTTCGAGCCGCCGCCAAACTTCACGGCGCCCAGCAGAGTGGACTGGCGCAAGACGGGCGCCGTCACGGACGTCAAAAACCAGGTGACCTTGCCAGTGCCCTTGCACCGTTGCCGGTGCCGTTACCATTGCCAGCGCCTGTGCCGCTGCCGGTGCCGGCGACATTGCCTGTGCCGGTGCCCGTTGCCGCCGCGGATTTGTCCGTCTCGGTGTTTTTGTCCGTCGTGACAGGCGAGCGACGGTGATTTCCTCGGAGGCATCATTTGGTGCCCAACGCCCGTCGAAACAAAGCCCCCCAAACTGAGCCGGTAGTGGGAATGTCACGTTTCTACGGGAACATCCTACGGGAACGTCACGATCCTATGGGAATGTCCTATGGGAATGTCACGATCCTATGGGAATGTCCTATGGGAATGTCACGTTCCTACAGGAATGTCCTACGGGAATGTCACGTTCCTACGGGAACGTCACGATCCTACGGGAACGTCACGATCCTACGGGAACGTCACGATCCTACAGGAATGTCCTACGGGAATGTCACGATCCTGCGGGAACGTCACGATCCTACGGGAACGTCACGATCCTACGGGAACGTCACGTTCCTACGGGAACGTGACGATCCTAAAGGAATGTCCTACGGGAATGTCACGTTCCTACGGGAACGTCACGATCCTGCGGGAACGTCACGATCCTACGGGAACGTCACGATCCTACGGGAACGTCACGATCCTACAGGAATGTCCTACGGGAATGTCACGTTCCTACGGGAACGTCACGATCCTGCGGGAATGTCACGATCCTACGGGAACGTCCTACGGGAACGTCACGATCCTACGCGAACATCACGTTCCTACGGGAACGTCACGATCCTACGGGAACGTCACGTTCCTACGGGAACGTCACGATCCTACGGGAACGTCCTACAGGAACGTGACGTTCCTACGGGAACGTCACGATCCTACGGGAACGTCACGATCCTACGGGAACGTCACGATCCTACGGGAACGTCACGTTCCTACGGGAACGTGATGTTCCTACGGGAACGTCACGATCCTACGGGAACGTCACGTTCCTACGGGAACGTGATGTTCCTACGGGAACGTCACGATCCTACGGGAGCGTCACGATCCTACGGGAGCGTCACGTTCTAACGGCCATCGCGAGTCTGCTCATGGGACGACCGCTCGCTCCCATGACACTCCACCTCACGCAGTCTCCCTGTCGTTCTTTCTCGCTTCTTGCCCCCGTTGCACTGGGACAAACTTCCTCTCCACATTAGACTCCCCTACCTCCCCCCTACCCCTACCCCCCCTCCCCCCGCTTTCCTCCTTTCGCTCTGCCCTCAGCTCCTTTCTCTTCTCTCTGCTGCTCTTTCTCTTCCACTGCCTCCACCACCACTACCGGTTCCTCCAACTCACTCCCAGTCCCCCCCCCCACCACCACCCCGCTCCTCTTCCTCCTACGACTCTTTAATTCCTGACCCGGCTCCCACCACGTCTCGCTTTCTCCGCTGGGACCTAAGGGGCCCTCCATAAATGACGTCACGCACCTAGAGGGGGGTCAGACATTTGTGACGATGTGTGGCGAGGGGGGGGGGTTGAGAAATGTGACGTCGCATCAAAATGCGCAACTTTATAAATAAATACAGACAACACGTTCTACTTAATTAAATATACTTTTTAATAAATGTTTTATCCTACAACATCAGAGTGCAGCGCCACATTAAATACGCACTACAATGACAATAGTTTAAAGCGATTTGAAGCATGTTTTATTTTCAAAATGGAAATATGGTTTTGGGGAGGGGGGAGGCAGAGCTTTGATGACGTCATATTTGAGGGGGGGGTCTGACTTTTTGTGACGCCGAGTGACAAAGGGGGGGGGTCAAAATCGCGTGACGTCATTTATGGACGGCCCCCCTCGCGTTGCAAAGTGCCCCGTGGAAGGGCACTGCGATATATGGATCCAAAGGAGAATAGAAAGAGTACAGCGAGCTAATCCAAGGCCGTAGCCATGGAGTCAACATTGGGGAGGACCAAATCTTCCAGGGGGTCTGGGGGTGTCCCAACCCGGAAAAAAAATCTACATTTGAAAACTCATTTCCTGCCTAAAATATAAAAAAAAAACACTAACACATAGGATGGACTTTTCACTTATTTTTTACAATAATGTCTAATAGTGTATATTGTATTACATTGCTCTGTTTTACCTTTTCTTGTTTCATTGTCTGTAATGGCAGAAATTAGAGATTAATAAAGTACAACCATAACCACAATCATATAAACAGACATCTATTTTATAGCAATACAATGGTGGGGACTTGGATTCACCACGCCCGGCCGCCTTTGTCCCCCCCAGTGGCGATGTTCACACACCACAACAGTTACTCGTTTGAGGCTGAGTCGACCTAGGGGAGGCCCAGGACCGGTTAAAATAATCGTCACCGGTGGTGGCCGTGAGCGGGAATCGAACTCGGCTCGCCGGGTTCTCAGCGGGGCGCGCTAACCACTACACTACAATGCGTTACGCTTCCACGTGCGCGGGTCACGTGACAGATTTGACGTCACAGCTCACTTGCCGTGCAAAAAACATACGCATTATTGAGCTCCCCACCCCCCCAAAAAATAAAAAAGTGTATTTTTATAATTTTTGCATGGTGTACACCCTGGAGAGTACCCACATGCCAAATTTCACGTCTGTTGCACGTCGGGAAAGTACCCTAAACATTTCGAACAGACGCACGCAATCACAAACTTTGCCTTGTTATGCGCATGGAGATTACGTCCTTGAGCTAAACACGCGACGATTTTTGAGGACCTGCGGCTGGGTAACCGCGGGATCCGTGCCGCTTCGTGCAGGGCGCGTGCGGCTCGTGCTGGGCGTTCAGCTCCACGGGCGCCCTGGAGGGGCAGTGGAAGCTCCGCAGGGGGCAGCTCGTATCGCTCAGCGAGCAGAACCTCGTCGACTGCTCACGCGTCGGCAACTACGGCTGCCGCGGGGGGTTCATGGTCAACGCCTTCAAGTACATCCACCAGAACCGCGGCATCGCGTACGAGCGCAGCTACCCCTACACAGGGCAGGTGAGTGTCTGAGAGGGTGAGTGTCTGAGAGGGTGAGCGTCTGAGAGGGTGAGCGTCTGCTAGGGTGAGTGTCTGCTAGGGTGAGTGTCTGAGAGGGTGAGCATCTGAGAGGGTGAGTGTCTGCTAGGGTGTCTGCTAGGGTGAGTGTCTGCTAGGGTGAGTGTCTGCTAGGGAGAGTGAGAGGGTGAGCGTCTGCTAGGGTGAGTGTCTGCTAGGGTGAGTGTCTGAGAGGGTGAGTGTCTGAGAGGGTGAGCGTCTGTTAGGGTGAGCGTCTGAGAGGGTGAGTGTCTGAGAGGGTGAGTGTCTGAGAGGGTGAGTGTCTGAGAGGGTGAGTGTCTGCTAGGGTGAGTGTCTGAGAGGGTGAGTGTCTGCTAGGGTGAGTGTCTGAGAGGGTGAGTGTCTGCTAGGGTGAGTGTCTGAGAGGGTGAGTGTCTGAGAGGGTGAGTGTCTGAGAGGGTGAGTGTCTGCTAGGGTGAGTGTCTGAGAGGGTGAGTGTCTGCTAGGGTGAGTGTCTGAGAGGGTGAGTGTCTGCTAGGGTGAGTGTCTGAGAGGGTGAGTGTCTGCTAGGGTGAGTGTCTGCTAGGGTGAGTGTCTGAGAGGGTGAGTGTCTGAGAGGGTGAGTGTCTGCTAAGGTGAGTGTCTGAGAGGGTGAGTGTCTGCTCGGGTGAGTGTCTGCTAGGGTGAGTGTCTGCTAGGGTGAGTGTCTGAGAGGGTGAGTGTCTGCGAGGGTGAGTGTCTGCGAGGGTGAGTGTCTGAGAGAGTGAGTGTCTGAGAGGGTGAGTGTCTGCTAGGGTGAGTGTCTGAGAGGGTGAGTGTCTGAGAGGGTGAGTGTCTGAGAGGGTGAGTGTCTGAGAGGGTGAGTGTCTTAGAGGGTGAGTGTCTCCTAGGGTGAGTGTCTGCTAGGGTGAGTGTCTGCTAGGGTGAGTGTCTGAGAGGGTGAGTGTCTGAGAGGGTGTCTGCTAGGGTGTCTGCTAGGGTGAGTGTCTGAGAGGGTGTCTGCTAGGGTGTCTGCTAGGGTGTCTGCTAGGGTGAGTGTCTGAGAGGGTGAGTGTCTGAGAGGGTGAGTGTCTGAGAGGGTGTCTGCTAGGGTGTCTGCTAGGGTGTCTGCTAGGGTGAGTGTCTGAGAGGGTGAGTGTCTGAGAGGGTGAGTGTCTGAGAGGGTGTCTGGTAGGGTGTCTGCTAGGGTGTCTGCTAGGGTGAGTGTCTGAAAGAGTGAGTGTCTGAGAGGGTGAGCGTCTGTTAGGGTGAGTGTCTGAGAGGGTGAGTGTCTGCTAGGGTGAGTGTCTGCTAGGGTGAGTGTCTGCTAGGGTGTCTGCTAGGGTGAGTGTCTGAGAGGGTGAGTGTCTGAGAGGGTGAGTGTCTGCCAGGGTGAGTGTCTAAGAGGGTGAGTGTCTGCTAGGGTGAGTGTCTGAGAGGGTGAGTGTCTGCTAGGGTGACTGTCTGAGAGGGTGAGTGTCTGAGAGGGTGAGTGTCTGAGAGGGTGAGTGTCTGCTAAGGTGAGTGTCTGAGAGGGTGAGTGTCTGCTAGGGTGAGTGTCTGCTAGGGTGAGTGTCTGAGAGGGTGAGTGTCTGCTAGGGTGAGTGTTTGAGAGGGTGAGTGTCTGAGAGGGTGAGTGTCTGCTAGGGTGAGTGTCTGCTAGGGTGAGTGTCTGCGAGGGAGAGTGTTTGAGAGGGTGAGTGACTGAGAGGGTGAGTGTCTGCGAGGGCGAGTGCCTGCGAGGCACGAGGTGGAAATTCGACGCTAAGGCTGCATTTGGAATTGGACATCGGCATTGGAGTCTTTGTTTATTTACCCTGGAGAAATGCGTTTCGGTCAAACCGGCCGATTGGCTGTCCAGACCGTCATGGAACGTCACTTGGATAGCGTTGGCGGCCCACAGCGACACCGGCTTGTGCCTCACAGCAAGACGCCTCTGGGTTTGATTCCCAACTCGGGTGCCTTTCTGTCTAGGGTCCGTACATTCACCCCCCCATCCCCCCCCCCCCACCACATTCTGCAATGGGGTTCCCCTCCGGTCCACTCCGATTTCCTGCCACGACCAAATAAAAAATGAACACGCGACGGGCGCCGGGAAAAAAAAAAAACATCCCACAACGCTCGGGAGCGACGCGCGGCGCGCGAGCGACGCGGTCGACTGGAATTTTTCGTCGACCGATCCACCAAGATTCAATCCGAAACCGGCTCAGGGTGGCGGACAAAGAAAGCCCTTTCCGGCAAGCCCACAACGACCGACCCCAGCGTGCCGCGCACCCCCCCCGCCCCCCGCCCCCCCCCCCACCCCGTGTGCCTTCCCAAGGACAACCGGCCATGCCGCTACGACCCCCGCAGCCGCGGGGCCTACCTCACGTCGTACGGGCGCATCAGGAAGAACAGCGAGGCCGGCCTGCAACAGGCCGTCGCGAACGTGGGGCCAGTGGCCGTGGGGATGGATGCCAGCCAAAGGTCCTTCCAGTTCTATAGAAACGGTAATGACCTCGCTAAGCGTTAAGCACCATCATCATCATCATCATCTTTAGCTTGTTGTCTTTCCCCCCACACCCCTGATTAATTATCTATGTAAAGAAGTTCAACGTGCGTGTTTTCAGAATGCGAATTAGCTATAACGCAATGAATGTATTTTTTTTTTATAACGCGGACGCGAATTGGATGTAACGCGATCTAGCGAACGGAACTACATCGCGCGCGAGTAGGAACAAGCGGTTTGTACGGCCGCCTCGCCGTAGCCTTATTGCGCAACCCATTGGGATGCTGCTGGATGCTTCTAGATCAGCGCTTCTTCTTCTTAACCTAAGCACCTGCCTGGGTATTTTGTACCATCGGACACTCCACCCGCACAACTCCCAATGAATTGGTGATGGGGCAGTTGTGGAGAGAGTGGAGAGTTTCTCATACCTGGGCAGTGTGCTCATGACCGGCTCCGGTTTGACAGCAGAGGTCTCACTCCAAATCAGTCGAGCGGCATTATCTTTTCATCGGCTGCGTAATGCTGTGTGGAAGTTCCCTGGTCTGTCGCTCCACACGAAGCTCCAGGTCTTATCGGCCACGGTCATTCGCTCCCTTCTCTACGCTTGCGAAACGTGGACCCCCCTAATGAAACATCTTCGCCGGTTATAAACATTTAGGCTGGTCTGCCTATGATCCATCCTGGGTTTAACCAGACTGGATTGTGTGAGGAGCTCACAAATCCTTGAAAGATCTGGACAAAGTCCCATCGGTGAGCTCCTCCGGCAGACAAGGCTGCGTTGGTTGTGTCACGAAGCCCGCATGCCCGGCCACCGCATGCCGAAACAGCTTTTGTTCGGCCGCATAGAGAGGGCTAAACGGGCACGACATGGGCTGGAGAAGAGATGGATTGATGCTGTAAGGGAGGATTTGGAGCTGTGTGGACTTGCCGATGACTGGTACCAACGGTGTCAAGATCGGCCTCTGTGGAGGAGGCTCGTGAAGGACGCTACTAGTCAGTTGGAGGCAGTCGCCCTCCAACAACAACGGAGGGCGGAGGAGCGATGCCCACAACAACGAGCGGAGCGCCGGGTGGCTAAAGCACAGCAAGTTAGCACAGTAGGGGGTACAGGTGCTGCATCAGCCAGTCGTCTCAGTCAGTCAACCCGTGGCACCTGGGTCTGCCCCGTGACCTCCTGCCAGCGGGCGTTCGAGACTTCACGTGGCCTCAACGTGCACATGGCCTGGCACAAGCGTCGTGGTGACGTCACCGCCACTTAGTGGCGGATGGCGGTTGTTGTTGTGTTGTAGTAGTGGTGAGTGTAGTGGTGAGTGCACTAGTGGTGAGTGTAGTGGTGAGTGCACTAGTGGTGAGTGCACTAGTGGCGAGCGTCTTATCTGTTTGCGTTTCTCCCTCGCGATGGTGACTTTTTTGTGGGATAAACGTTGAGATGTATAAGGGGCACGGGGTGACCAATGAGTTCTGAACTGGCCTGTAACAAGGTAAGAGGGCACCGGTCGAGGGGTTTACAGCGAGACGGCGACGTCGACTCTTCTGACGCGTGTCGGCGACGTGACTGCGCCGCAGGTGTTTACTACGACCCGCGGTGCAGCCGCACCAGGATCAACCACGCCATGCTCGTGGTCGGCTACGACCAGGAGGGGGGCCACGAGTACTGGATCGTCAAGAACAGGTAGGGCCGGGTTGGGGGAAGCGGGCACGCTGCGTCGGGCACCCTGGAACGGCTCCCTGGTGTCTGCGGTGATGAGCGGAGGGTGGGGAGGGGCAGATTTTTGTTTATTTGCATTTTTTGGAACCTTTATTTTATTATTTATTTCTTATGCATTTTTGTTATTTCTTATTTCACCTTCATTTAACCGGGTAAAAAAAACCCTTGAGGTTAAAAAACCTCCTCTTTTGCGACGGGGTGGGCGGGGGGGGACCTGGCATGAAGTCGGCGGACATGGTCGATGCTGATTGTCCGCGCGACTTCTCGCTCCGATCCGCGGACAACGTGTGTGTGACCAAGACGCAAAGAGTTGCGGGCGATCGTTGCGACGGTCGGGATGAACCAGGCCTGTGGGGTTAGGGGAGCGAGCGCAGATACGGCAGTGGCCACAGACTGCCGGATCTGATTATGATCGGAATCGCGGGTAAATGTGAATTCCGGATAAATAGGGCTGCGGATAAAAGGGGTTTGCTGCTTTATCGGTGCCCCCAGAGGAACACAAAATATGTTCCCACCAGTGAGCACCTTTGTCTCTTACCACTTAATTATACTCTTAGGTTATGTTTCGATTTAAAGCTTTCGTGACTGCAAGGATTCATCTTCTTTGGTTCTTTCGGTAAAGTCACGTAGAATGAGAATAAAATAATAAATTGATAAAATAAAATAACACAATAATATTCTCACGACGTTTCGGCCACAACACAAGCGGCCTTCATCAGGTGAAGGAACGAGACTGTCTGGTAGGACAGCGCTGGAGTGGACAATCTCGTTCCTTCACCTGATGAAGGCCGCTTGTGTCTTGGGTTATGGTTAAGGGATCGGGTTAAGGGGTTAGAATTAAGGGGTAGGTGGGTGGGATTGCATTTGGTTCTGCGCTCAACTCAGCGAGATTTCCATCTCTGAGAATGGGAGCTGTCGATGTGACTGACGCGTGACAAGCACGACGGCTCCCAGATGGCAATGGGCCACCTCGTTAAACCTCAGCGGCTAAGGGAGGTCCCTTTAAAGGAATCTCGGAAGAGGTGACCCACTTGCCGTGCGCCGGTCTTTAAGCACAGAGGCACTGTTCTCGTAAAAAAAAAACACGCGCGTCAAGAAATCACGAGAAAGTACGTTGAGGGTTTTTGTTGTTGTTGCTGTTGTTGTGCTGTTATTGTGTGCGCGTGGTTTGCTTCTCGTCGTGAACGTCTTTGCGCAGCTGGAGCAAACGTTGGGGCGACGGAGGCTACATTAAAATGGCCAAGCACCGGAACAACAACTGTGGAATTTCCAACTACGCCTGCTACCCAATCGTGTGACCTCCGCAGCAGCGGAGGCCGCGCGCGCGCTCGCACGCGCATGCACGCACGCACGCACGCACGCGCGCACACACTCACACAAAGATCCCCCGTGTAGCCTTAACAGAATGTCGGGGCAAGTGCTGTTAGCGTAGCACCTATGAAGCCCGGCACGATACACGAGGGGGTGGGTGGCCAGCACCACACCCGGCCGCCTTTGTCTCCCCAGTGGCGATGTTTACGCAGCGCACCAGGTCCTCATTTGAGGCTGAGTCGACCTAGGGGGGAGGCCCAGGACCGGTTCAGATAATCGTTCTTAGTTGCTGGCCACTCTCCTCTCTGCGTCTTTGCGAGTTCAGCCGCGCCTCCATCTCGCCCCTCGCGGGAGTGTGGTGGGAGGCGCGTGTGACTTGCCCTGTGTGTGCGTGACTGTGCGTGCGTGTGCGTGATTGTGCGTGCGTGTGCGTGACTGTGTGTGCGTGACTGTGTGTGCGTGACTGTCTGTGCGTGACTGTGTGCGTAACTGTGTGTGCGTGCGCGTGACTGTGTGTGCATGAGCGTGAATGTGCGTGCGCGCGTGAGAGTGGGGAGCGGTGGTGCAGCGGTTACGAACCCGGCGACCCGAGTTCGATTCCCGCTCACGGCCAAAACCGGTACGGTTAAGGGACTAACCCCGACCCACCCACCAGCGACCAGTACGAGCTTTTACCCCTAACCCTAACCGATGAGCCAGCTGACCAACCAGTCACCAGTACGAGCTTTGACCCCTAACCCTAACCAACTAGCCAGCTGACTAACCAGCCACCAGTACGAGCATTAACCCCTAACCATAACCGATGAGCCAGCTGACCAACCAGCCACCAGTACGAGCTTTGACCCCTAACCGATGAGCCAGCTGACCAACCAGCCACAAGTACGAGCTTTAACCCCTAACCCTAACCAACTAGCCAGCTGACTAACCAGCCACTAGTACGAGCTTTGACCCCTAACCCTAACCAACTAGCCAGCTGACCAACCAACCACCAGTACGAGCATTAACCCCTAACCCTAACCGATGAGCCAGCTGACCAACCAGCCACCAGTACGAACTTTGACCCCAAACCCTAACCAACTAGCCAGCTGACCAACCAGCCACCAGTACGAGCTTTAACCTCCTGACCAAATCGCCAACCATTCATTTGTATCAGCTCTTCCCATAACCAGAACTGGCCAACCAGGAAAAACACCCGAGATTAAACGAATACGAGCAGAATTCTGTTTTTGTTCCACCGCATATGATTATTATTAAACAAAAGATGAACGTGTTTTAGTCCACCGGCCTCTTGGCCCTTCCAAACGAACAGCGATCGAACGAGCGGTTTGTTCAAGCGAGCAAACTCTGGAGCCGGGTTTCGACATTCCGGGGACGCGTCAGAACAAATCTTCGGGCAGCAGTTCGCATTCGCTCGAAACGCAACCCCAGATTGGCTGCCCCTTTCCACGTGACGCTCCGAAGCTAAAGCCATTCCGAGATCGTCACGGCGTCTTTGGCCGTTCGCCCCAAGGCGGCATCAGTTTGAAGCCAGCGGTTCTTATGAACCTTTTCTGCAGCCTTTGCGCCCCCTTTGGTTCTTCATCATTACGATTTTATTTATACAGGGACTCCTCTATTTACGAACGAGTTAGGTTCCAGAGGTCTGTTCGTAAGTCGATTTGTTCGTAAGTCCGACTTTACTCCTCTCGATTGCAAACGTGTTGTACGGCGTGTAGACTAAACACGGGGAATGGCTTTAAAGGTTGTATAATATAAATTTAGATGTAGATGCCACTGGTTTGTGATGATTGCTTGTGTTGCAGTCGAAACGTCGTGAGAATGTTATTGTTTTATATTTTTTTTATAATTTTATTGTTTCCCTTCTACGTGACTTTACCGAAAGAACCAAGAATATGAATCCCTGCAGTCACGAAAGCTTTAAATCAAAAATGCCACTGGTTCTTCACGTTCTGTAGATGTAGATACCACTGATTCTTCACGTTCTGCAGATGTAGATGCCACTGATTCTTCACGTTCTGTAGATGTAGATGCCACTGATTCTTCACATTCTGTAGATGTCGATGCCACTGATTCTTCACGTTCTGTAGATGTAGATGCCACTGGTTCTTCACATTCTGTAGATGTCGATGCCACCATCTATTGCGTGGTGAATGAACTTACGACTCTCGGTCCGAACAGGCAACTGGATTTACGAACAGGTTTGTACGTATCTGTGAAAGTGCATAACTCGAATTCCCATAAGTAGGGGAGTCCCTGTTGTTACTTAACGTCCCCGTGGCTTAATTTGTGTCTTCGATGATGAACCTTCTAAAAGAAAAAAAATCTGGCCACGTCTCGCACACCCCCCACAAAGGGCTTCTCGCATCCCCAGGGGGTGGGGGGTGGGAGGGGGGGGTGTGCACCCCCAAGTTAAGAAGAAGAGCCACTGCTTCAAAGGTGACTTGCGTCAAGCGAGCCCAGGTGTCAGCCCCAACCTTGTGGATTTTTACTCTGCGCCGGGCACCGCTATAACAACTCTCCTATACTTCGCTAGGGAGCTCCTTCAATTGCTCTTGTTGTTGTTTGTTGTTGTTCCGATCGTCAGTTTTGGAGTTGACGGTGCCGCTGGTCCACCACGTCGCCACCTTCCCAAACTTGGGCCCGTCACGTGGGGGGGGGCGAGTGGGGGGGGGGGCGAGTGGGATGGGAGGGCGAGTGGGGGGGGGGGGAGCGAGTGGGGGGTGGATAGAGAGTGGGGGGAGAGTGGGGAGGGTACCGACTGCCGCTGCTCTGTCGCCTCCCCCGCTACGGCTGCTATCGTCTTCACTGTCGCTTTTGTCAGTGACATCGGCCCCCCCCTCCCCCCGCCCACCGCTGGCTAAGGGTCAGGGTTCATATTTATGGATGGCACGGTTGGCTACGTACGGTGCGAAAGAAGTTCAACGTACACACGTAAAGGGTATGGGTTAGAGTCTCGGGTTATGGCTTAGGGGTTAGAGTTCAGATTTTTGGGATAGAGATTATGGTCATGGGTTGAGGCTCGGAGTTATGGGTCGGGGGGGGGGTCTTAGAGTTTAAGGTTAGGAGTTAAGGTAATAGTGAATGATTTAGGGTTATCGGTGTATGGGTTCGAGTCTAGGGTTAGGGGTTAGAGCCTCATCTCTTTATGATCGTTTCCGCTTTGCACGATCCTCAGTGGAAGTCTTTTGGGGTCCTGCTCTTTGGCATTTCGCTTTCTACAGACTTCAGATCTTAACGAATCAAATGCGTATAATGATTATTTTTATATATATAGCTGCAGCTTGCACTGTCATCTAAAGATGCAATGTTCAATAAAGGCACGTTTTAAAATCATTGTTAACACACCGCTGAGAAGAGTGCTGTTACTGTTTTATGCTGTGATGTAAGGCGCGTTGGCAAGTTATTGTGGCATTAAGTGCCATATAAATGCAATTCCGAATCCCTTTAATGGCAGATGATGTTTCCCGATTGATGACACAGACGGGCACGTGGCAGCATACGAGCGTTTTTACCCTTTCTGGCCATAATTCATATTATTGGTTCTTTCACGTAGAAGGGAAACAATAAAATAAACAAATATATATAAAACAATAAAATTCTCACGACCTTTCGGCTGCAACACAAGCAATCATTGTCAGCTGTGAAAACCACAGCGATGATTGATGACGATTGCTTGCGTTGCAGTCGAAACGTCGTGACAATTTTATTGTTTCATATTTTTTTCATAATTTTATTGTTTCCCTTCTACGTGATGAATTTAAGATGTTCAAACACCAAATAGATTCCCTTTTGCAAGGGCTCAAGTCGTGCGCAATGATGTTTTCATACTTTAATACTGGCAAAACAACAAAGGTATCCCACGATATAAAGCTGCTCAGCCCCAGTTGTGCATGCTCTGACACGTGTTTTGGTGCTGTTCGCCTTTTGGCGTTGTTCTCTGACACTGGTGGTGGGATCTAGGCCATAGAGAAGACTCTCTGGTGTAAGGGGCCATCCATGAATGACGTCACGCACCTGGGGGGAGGGGGGTTCAGATTTTTGTGACGATGTGTGACGAGGGGGTGGGGGGTTTGAGAGATGTGACGTCATATCAAAATGCGTAACTTTAAATAAATATAGAATTGTTATAACAGCACTAATTGTTATAACAACACTCCTACAACATCAGAGTGCAGCGCCACATTAAATACGCACTACAATGACAATAGATTAAAGCGATTTGAAGCGTGTTTTATTTTAAAAATGGAAAAATGGTTTGGGGGGGGGGGGCAGAGCTTTGTGACGTCATATTTGAGGGGGGGGTCTGACTTTTTGTGACGCCGTGTGACGAGGGGGGGGGGGTCAAAAATCGTCCAAAATCGCGTGACGTCATTTATGGACGGCCCCTAAGCCAATCAGTTTTAAAGACAATACGTATAGTATAATTATCATGTTTGTTTGCACGTCCGCCACAAAGTACTGTGTGCGGTTAATGCAGACAGGATTCCTCGTAAAAGGGTTACCTTGGGTGTTTGGACATCTTAACGCAACAGGGAGAGGTCAAATATATTTTCTTACTTTTCCATACTTTGATACAGGATGTGTGAACACCGAATAGACACCCCTATCGCAAGGCATCAATTCTGCATCGACCACACAATACTTTGTGGCGAGACATGCTCAAGTTTGTGTGTCAAAGACAACGTGTGTGTTATCAGAGCGTGTTTGTTTGCTTCATTTGCCACAGGTACGTGTGGTTCATATATTTGGTGTTCGAATATCCTAACACAACTCAGAAAAGGGTAACTAAACACCTCCTATAATTATATATATTTTTTATTTCTCAGCATGAGCGTGTCGCCAGCGAGCAGCAATGCGAAATGAATTGTCGCCCTCTGCGCCACGCTCCAAAGTCTGTGCCCTCCCCACCTTCACCATCCACCCCCCCTATATCTAACCGGTGTGGTGAAGTATGGTCAAACAACCCCCAAGACCCGCACCACGTCGAGGCGAGGGGGGGGGGGTTGGTAGGCCCTCATCCAGCAGTGGATTAACCAAAGGGCTGTCTGCATGCTCGCGGTGCTGCCACCCGAGAACGCATTGCGCGGGGAATGGCGCGCGTTGCCACG